TGAAATTCATCATGTCTGTTGCACGATTCGAGTGCGTTCTTGAGTAGTTATCAATATGGTATTAGAGCTACATCGCTTCAAATTAATCCTCTTGATTTTGGTTGTAAAATTAAGTACCAAGGATTGGAAGTTGTGTTCATAGAGACATGAACTTCCGCGAAACGCCCAGGGGTCTTCTGTTGGGCTAGATGACTTGGGTACGAAGTCTCACCCCTTCTAATTTTTGATATTAGTTCCTTCCACAATATTTGCGTCTTTTATGAACTTCCACGAAAAGGTGACTTGCCTCGATCCGATTATGTCATGAGCTCGGGGAGAAGCTAGAGAATAGAGGAGATACTAGAGAAACCAGGCTATATATGGCACCAAGCAAGTAGGTAAAATCACGGAGAACGAGTAGAAAAGAGGTTGATCTCGATCTGCTCCTGCGCAAGATGGAGGAAGCGGAACAAGCGAGAGCTAGGCTGAAATTAAACAAGTGGAGATGTGCATGCGCTAGGCCGGCAGCCATTGACTAGAATTTATAATTAGGACTAATCCGTTCAATTCTGAATCAAATCAAATCGTGAGCACGCAACAAGTCAGTGTCAACACGTCAAACTAGGCAACGACCGTATACGGCCAGAATTGTCAGATACTACAAATCATGTCCGGCTAGTAACTCGATTTCAGCCTCTCTCACAGTAACTCGATTTCGATGGATATATATAGGTTAGCAGATTGCTGTGAGCTAAAACAACCTAACAGCTTAATTAGTTAATTAGCAGCTGCCACTAGTTTATTTTTATTTATTTTTAATGGTTCATCAAAGTATATATAAACATTGGTTGATCGAATGTGATCGAATCAAGCGTGGACGCAAGCCTACCTAACATTTCACAAGGTAGCCAACAAAAATATTCCTATTCCAATTCTTAATTCATTTCGAATGGCAATTGCCAACCACTAAAGCTGCATGCAGGTCCGGTGCAAATGCACTGCACTTGTTTGTTCTCTCCCTCTCTCTGTCTCAATATAATAGATAGAGATCCCAGACCTTCTACCATAAATAGATATACTATACATAGACAAAACTTACAAAAATCGTTAGTTTCCAAAAATCTTAACTGAGAAACAACAAAACAAAAGAAAGGTTTTATTTTCAAAAAAAATGTAGAAAAGTAAGCTTTTTGAATCTTCTTTTACCATGCTTCACCAATCCATAAAACCGCACCGTGGTGATCTTAAGGAGCAGCCTGAACTCGAACAACCCTTAATTAGCAGAGTTCCATCCCTATTCCCTAATAACATTTTCTTTTATTTATGATAAACTAATTAAATTTGTCATTACATATATATTGTATTTCAGTGTTCAAGGACTAGGACCTGCTAGCTTCCTCTACAAAAGTATTGGGAAAAATGTGAGCCTATTCATATTTTCCATTCAAATAGTGTAAATGATTTTTTATTTAATTTATGCCCAAATTTAGTAGGCATCTAAATTTTTCTCTCTGTTTTATTTATAGCTAGGTTTGTTTCCATATGTCCGCCTTCTTGTTCATAGCCACAGTAGATAGCTAGCATTGGAAGAAGATCATCCATTGCTCATTGCTTCATCTCTCTCCTTGCGGCTGATGATGGATGGCATACTACTAGAAAAACGAATTTCTACAATGAAACACATAGATTTTCACAGGCAGATCTTATTTTCGACTACGATTGCCCACCTGTGTAGTTGTACGTTGTGTGGAGAGGAGTCCAATGGCCGACCGCCTGGGAATATCCTATTCCCATTTTTGCAGGCAGATGGCTTAAAAGGGCTGCCTGCAATAATACCCTTATTTTTGCAGGTGGGCCTCTTAAGCCATCCGGTGAAATTTGGTTGTGGCATTTAAATAGACGCAAAAGAAAACTGAAACACCAGTTTTTTCTAAGTCCCCAACTCCCTCCCTTTTCCTCTCTTGAGCTCCTCTTTCCTCACCCGAACGGCAGCAACGGCGGGGCTCGGTAGTGTTGGAAGGGAAGGGAGCAGCGGCGGTGCTCCCCCGGCCGTGGCACACGGTTCTCCGACGAGGGTGGTGGATCCGGCGATGAGGGAGGCGGAGGCGGCGGATCTGGCAACGACTCGTCTTGGCCTCCTCCTCATCATGGTGGCAAGGGCGCACCCTCCTCGCGCTGTTTGTTGTCATCTTCCTCGTGGTGGTCTTGGTGACAATGTTGGCGCTGGAGGTGGTGGTAGAAGCGGCGTCCATGGAAAGCCGGCTTCTCGATGGCGACGGCGGCATCAATCCTCCCTGCAATGATGACCACCACCACCACGTCCAACTGCTGTTTCGTTTTGGCTACCTGCAAAAATCGTTGTTCTAGTAGTGGTAGTACTGATGAGAAGTAGATAGCATATAAGATATGGAGGAAATTAACACATTATTATTGGTAGTATTGACATTATTGGAGTAGTGATCAGGATGATGCATGCATGGAAAATCAAAACAAGAATAACACTATAGAATTCCCCCCCCCATATCATTAGTTTTATCTGTCGACGAGTTTCAAAATACCATCACAGATATACCGGCACAATTTACTCTTTATTTGTCTACTATGTAAAACTAATAAACCAGAATGAGGATTGAGAAAACAAGAGATATATGATTGGTTCATATGGATGGCAACATGGCATGTTGTGTTTTCTTCTGCTATCAAGTTTATCTAGTAGCTAGCCGTCAACATCAAACTCGTGTCGTCTATCGTAACATTTGATTTATATATGTCTAATTGATTCAATAATTAATATTTGAGGCATATGGGAGGTTTTTGGATATCAGGTGTAGAGATTTTGAATTTTCTTGGAACAGCTTGAATTTGATTATTTTAAGGTTTTGGATGCCCTTTTATACCCGATGCTGAATCGTCGACCTAATATCTTGCTCATGCACATGTGTTATTTTTGAATTTAATTGAGAGGGATTATTTACAGGTAGTATATATGCTGTACTTTACAGTCAGCCTCGTGACAAGAATTTTGTTTTTCTTCGTGCTGTTGACAATACACGGCTTTGTCCTTTAGTCGCCATTGTGTAATTCCTCTCTGTGGATAGTTGCTGTTTCCTATACATCGTAATCCACTAAATTAAACTTTGCTACTTTGGAATTTCTGGGGAGATGAAATGATCAGCTAATTATATATCACATGTGAGCACATCTGCATATACACACAAGTATGTATCTGTTCCTGATTTTTCTATATGTTTGTTTTTGTCCTGTACTTTTGATCTCGAATACACATCACATGCAATTATGCATGCCTCGTAGAGGAATTACTATTCAACAGCGTAGTATTTTATTGTGTTATATAGGGTCTGTTCAGAACCTAGGGTTCCTAACCCCTCTCCATCGTATTCCACGTGCATGCTTTTCAAATTGCCATAAACAGTGCGTTTTTTTCAAAAAGTTTCTATACGAAAGTTGTTTAAAAAATCATATTAATCTATTTTTTTTATAAAAATAGCTAATACTTAATTAATCACGCGCTAATAGACTGTTCCGTTTTCCGCATGGGAACCGCCAGCAGCGAACACAGCCATAGCCTGCTGCCAAGCACTTGACAAGCAAAGTACATGTGACAAAGAATGTCATGAAACTCTTGGAGATATATATGCATGCCAAAACTAATCTTTTAGCACAAAGATATTTTTTCTCAATTTGCATGAGGAGCATATAATATTAATATATGCTTTTCGTATTTAATTTTTCACTTAGTTTCGCTATATGCATGCGCCGAAGAAAAAAAATCTACACGCGTGCCATATGTTCATGTATGTACCTCTATGCACAACCGCCGCCTGATATAATTGTTTTTGGACTTTAAATTTTAGATAACATTTTTTTTATTTAACTAAGCCAATTACATATAGTATATATTATGTTTAGATAAATGGATATATATATCTTTATCCCGTTTACATATGTGATGAGCAATGATCACATGGAACTTGGTCGTGGATATATGTACCTAGCTAGCTGTAGATGCATGCTCTGTGCCGCAACATTCAGGGCCTGATGATTGATGAGCCGCTCTACAGCGGATTCAGTGTTTGTTATCACGTCACACATGCCCCTGACAGCAGCCACTGCAAGTATAATTAATCAGGCAAGCAAAACATCCAGCCAAAAAGGCTCCCCACTCACAACAGCTAGCGCTTCAAATTTGATTGATCAATCGTTTTTTTAAGCCAGTAATTGGAGTAGTCCGCGCCCCGTACAATTATGAGGCTAGCAGTCCTAGCACCCGCATAAAATTATAAAAGAATTACACATAATTTTAAAATGTATTAAAAAATATCTCGTTGTCTTGGGAAATCGTACTATTTTAGAGTTCATTGTCTCGTCCTTCCCTTGTTATAATTTTAGAAGTCCTAATAAACATCGTCACCTTACTTCTACGCCCCGACCGCTGGCTATTGCTAATTCTCTTTACCGCTGGGAACTATAATTTGAACTCTTTTTAACTCTATTTTTTCTTTTCTTTGATTAATGTGAGAATTTATAGTCCCCATCGTTCACTTAATGTCGCTTTTTAATGATGTTTTAATAATACAATAGATTGAAAAGCGTTTTACCCCTCCGAAAGCGACACACACACACATATATAGATTGAGCGAGAAATCTCAAGATATTAGGCCACGTTTGGAGAGATTGAGATTCTAGGAAGAAACTAATGAGTAGCCTTGGCTAGTGAGAATACGAAGCAAACTGTGTTTTTAATCTTTTACTTCTATTTAGTAGTTAATTTTCTGAATTCTATAACTACAGAGAATCCCTAGTATTGGAGTGAGAATCTAATTAAACTATTTAAGAGAGCTCAAGATTTAAAAGAAATTGCCGCTACTAAAAGCTTCCCTAAACGTACACGGTCACGTGTACATGTACATCTGATTGGGAATTGGAGATATAGATAGATGATAGATCCATATATACCAGGGAACATGAGCTAGTATAGGATGGAGAGGTCGGGGTGGAGTGGAAGGGACGAGAGCATCTGTCTATGTCATGGTGGGCCCATAGAGGGCGCCACGTGGGCCCCACCCTTGTGCCGGCGCCGGAGGAGAGCTAGCTAGCTCGCTCGCTCATAACCAACCACCCAACTCGAGTCGATCGATTACTCGATCCACACCATATCGATCTCCCTCCTCTCCTCTCGCTCGCTCGCTCTCTCGTCTTCTTCCTCTCTTCTTCTCCAGCCACAGGCGCCATATAGTAGCATATGCTCCTAAGCTAGCTTGTTATACCAGTTACGTCGTCGTCGTCGTCATCATGTGCTATAGCTAGCTCCAAACAAAACTTGGAGAATTTGGAGCGTACGTGTACTAGCTAGTATAGATTGCAGCAGCTAGCTAGCCCAGCAGCAAGAAGACGAGGAGATAGCTGCAGTCTCGTTTTTGGCTTTTCGAATTTATTATAACCCCGGTTCGTGTTTGCTAGCTCTCTATATATTTCTATCTCCATCGCCTTAATTAGAGTTTTCTCCTCTTCCTTTTTTCAACAAGGAGCCTAGCTTGTTTTCTTTAACTTGTTTGTTCGGTTCTCGATCTCCATCTCAGATCGATGACATGTGATTTATTTTTTTTGGTTTTTTCTCCTGCATGTGTTGCTGTTCTTCTTCTACCTCGGTCTCCATGCCTTATCTCATGTTATTGACCAGTCTCCTTTTTTCAAGCTAGCTAGTTTCTAGCTGCCTTGCTTGTGAGTATGTGCAACGTACGATTGCATGTTTTTTTTTTTGGAACTTTGGATTAATTAGCTTGTGAATTAATTCCTCTCTTATTAATTCCTTGATTAAATTCCCCTCTCGTTTTCGTTTCCTTCCCCCTTTTTGATTTAATTTGTTGCTTTGTTATTAGAGAGGATCTGATCGATCAGCTGCAGGTCAGTCAGTTTGTCTGTCCTATGGCTGCACACAGTACAGATCCATCCACCATCTTCCATGCTAGCTAGCTTCATCCACGCATGTAATTACCTCTTGGATCTCTGCTTAATTTTGTCTTGATTAATTTTCAGGTCGTGCAAATCGAAGAGGATTGGAAGTCAGCTGGTAGACTAGCTAGCGTCCAAGATACACATACTACTATCGAAGAGTGTGACTTAATTGGATTGGATTAATTCCATGCCTATCTTCTTCTTCAGCCACAATTTAACAGAACAAGACAATTAGTCTATCAGTGGTTTGAGCTGATTAACTATCATCAGAGATAGAGATGGCAGCCGCCTCGTCTGCACACTACTTCGGTCTCGGCGAGCCGCAGATGCAGCAGCAGCAGCAGCAGCCTCCCCTGCAGAACAACGCGGCTGCTCCGGTCGCGGCCACGCCGCCGCCCAAGAAGAAGAGGAATCAGCCCGGGAATCCAAGCAAGTATCTCATTTAATATAATTCCTCTGAATGAATTTCGCAGATGATCAATTAATTCAATGATGAATTGATAATGTACGTAGATCCTGATGCGGAGGTGGTGGCGCTGTCGCCGCACACGCTGCTGGCGACGAACAGGTTCGTGTGCGAGGTGTGCAACAAGGGGTTCCAGAGGGAGCAGAACCTGCAGCTGCACCGGCGAGGGCACAACCTGCCATGGAAGCTGAAGCAGAAGAACCCCAAGGAGACGCGGCGGCGGGTGTACCTGTGCCCGGAGCCGTCCTGCGTCCACCACGACCCGTCGCGAGCCCTCGGCGACCTCACCGGCATCAAGAAGCACTACTCCCGCAAGCACGGCGAGAAGAAGTGGAAGTGCGACAAGTGCAACAAGCGCTACGCCGTCCAGTCCGACTGGAAGGCTCACTCCAAGACCTGCGGCACCCGCGAGTACCGCTGCGACTGCGGCACCCTCTTCTCCAGGTACTCTTTATGTACTACTCCCTCCGTCTCAAAATATAAGTCGTCATCTTCGTCTTTCTATTGCGAATCATACTCCCTTCCGTATGTCCCAGTAGCAACTTCTGGCTATGCATCTGGTATATGTGCATGACTGTGCCAGATGTATAATTAAAAAGTTTCATATTTGAGAACGGAGATAATATCTCTTAAATTCTTTGTTTTTTTTTTGTTTGTGATGTCCCTCTGTGGTCTCAACAGCAACTTCTGGTTATGCGTCTTGTGTCAGATGTATAGCTAGAAGTTACCGTATATATTTTGAGATGGAGGTGTAGTATGTCTTGAATTATTAGATATTCCATTAGTTTGCAAGATGTGGCAACCTAGAGAATTGTTTGGATTTGGGATGATTCCTTTTCATGTACTTTTATATATTTTGTTCATCATATGATTGAGTCATGATGAACACACTCATGAGGAGGAGGTCCGGGCACTGAAAGGCACGAGATGAATAGCTTTGGTAGATACTAGGATAGATGGAGATGATGGTGATTTGATTGAAGCAGATGGCTCTAGCTAGCTAGCTAGGTCGCCGGCCGGCCCGGGTGAGTACTACTACGTGTTAGGGTTAGGGTTGTCACCACTCGCGCATGCTGCAGTGAAGAACAGTAGGTAGTAACAGTGTGACTGGCCTTGTACGGTTGTGTCTCTCGAGTCTTTCTTGTTTGGAAATTTGATTTTGATTCCCTTTGCTTACTCTCCTCTTACAACAAATTAACTTTTCCCATTGATCATTCCATGAGAGAGAGTATATAGGATTAGTAGCTTAGCTGGTCACACGTGAACTGCTCTTGTCCGGAGGGGGACACAAAGGCAGGCAGGCAGGCCAGCTGAGAGAGGCCACTGCAGATCATGCCGCCATGGTCATCTTCTTCCTCCTCCTCTTGAAAAGGTTCAGAAAGAAAAACAAAAGCCAGTCATCTTTTTCGACTCGGAATCCGCACCATCTTGATACAAGTATCCTTCTCTCTCTGTCTCTCTCTCATCGTCCCTACGTGTTCACGTGATGACAAGAGCCCTTGCTAGCTGCAACTGTAGTACTAGTACTCTCTGTATACTCGTACTACAGCAATGTAAGCAAGGACCATGGCCATGGTCATGGCTTGTTCTCTTGTGACGGATGGGATGCATCAGTACTACTCTCTCTTGCATTGCATTGCATGCGATCGATGCATGGAGCCATGCATACAGACTACAGAGACGACAGCTCTATTCTTTTCATGGCGACTGTGCTAGCTACTAGCACGAGCAGCTGCGTTAGCTTAGGTGGTGTTTATATCTAGGGACTTAATTTTAGTCTCTGTATTTAGACACTAATTTAGAGTATTAAATATATACTACCTACAAAACTAATTACATAAATGAAAGCTAATTTGCAAGACAAATTTTTTAAGCCTAATTAATCCATAATTAGATAATGTTTACTGTAGCATCACATAGTCTAATCATAGATTAATTAGGCTCAATAGATTCATCTCGCGAATTAGTCCAAGATTATGGATGAGTTTTATTAATAGTCTACGTTTAATATTTATAATTAATTTTCAAACATCCGATGTGATAGAGACTTAAAGTTTTAGTCCTATTGGCCTTACTATTCAGCCTGAACCACTTGTTGTTGCATTCGGATCGATCGACATTTGATGATGCCACTCGGCGACCTGATCGATCTGCTCATACATGCATGTGTAATTAGTAACCATTTCATGTGTATACACACACACACACACATATGCAGATATGCTCTTGCATCCCCATCTGAAAATTGGAACCTTGCTTGCAATTGTGTATGAATGTTTTGGAGAGAGGGTACAGTACAGTTACACCATGCATCTTAATTTGGGTATTGTTGCATTGACATTCTTTCTTTCCCTTTGTTTTGCCTTCCCATTTCTGGCTTTTTGATCATGGGCTACAGTCGCAGTTTGCACAATCTGCCGCATATATTTGGATATATTGGTACAAAGACAATCAAGCATGCATGTACTACTAGTGAAATTAAGCCAATGTTTTTTCTGTCCACAAATAAATTCCATGTTGACATGCATGCACATTAGTATGGTTTTTAATTAGTAAATAGATATATAATTTTCAACAATTTTTTTGTTGCTATATATGTTAGCAAAGGATATTTGATGGTACCATATATATGTTTATGTAATTTTGTGTATAAGTTAGATAGTGCTTAAATTGGGGGAAAACTTCGTGTGCTATTAAACAGCAGTATGATATATGTCTCGAAAGCTATATGCTCAATTTAGCATTGCAATGGATCTTGATATTCTAGTTTGATTAATTGCTCTTTTAGACATTTCTTCATTTATTAATTTGGCGAACTGTTTTTTTCTCATAACCGATGGTATTATTGAATTTAAAAAAAAAAAGATAACTGGAGTGACAAGTTGAACGTATATATTGATCTGTAAAACAAATCATAATGTTCACATTTTCTGTTTTCACATCAACTTAATTAATTAAAAGATAAATGTTGTGCTGGCTGCACAACGAAACAACTATATACAAGATGAGTGAATTAAATGACAAGTGAATAAAAGAAGAAAGTGAATTTGAGGTGAACATGTGAATGCACATATACCAACCTGCTACCCTTCAAATTACTTATTGTTTTAGCTTGATCTCCTAAGTCAAATATGTTTATCTTAATTTGGCCATTGGTTTCTAGAAAAACTGTACTTTTCAAGGTATATTATGAAGATATTTTTCAAGGTAAATCTGAAAACATGCATAAATCACACTGATGCTAAACTATACAACTGTTTAAAAATTGATGGTCAAATATATGGATGTTTGAGACCGAGGATAAAGATAGAACGGCAAGTAATTAATTTAAAACCAATCAAGTAGTGTATTTCTTCCCAACTTCATTGTGTATAGCATCATGATCAGTATCATTATTATCTCTAGCTAGGAGTAAATTGTATACTCCCTCCGTCCCTAAATGTTTGACGCCGTTGACTTTTTTAAACATATTTAACAGTTCGTCTTATTCAAAAAATTTAAGTAATTATTATTTTTTTCCTATCATTTGATTCATTGTTGAATATACTTTTATGTATATATATAGTTCTACGTATTTTACAAAAGTTTTTAAATAAGACGAACAATCAAATATGTTTAAAAATATTAACGACATCAAATATTTAAGAACAGAGGGAGTATATATCTTGCTTATAAAGATTAATAATTAAGTGGCACATCATATTGATCACCGTGAAAAAAAAAACTTTGTACCACATGCAGGAGGGACAGCTTCATCACCCACCGCGCCTTCTGCGACGCGCTGGCGCAGGAGAGCGGCAGGATTATGCCACCCATGGGCGCCGCCCTGTACGCCGCCGCCGGCGCCGGCATGGCCATCGGCGGCCTCACCGGCATGGCCGCCTCCCACCAGCTCCAACCGTTCCAGGACCACTCCTCCGCCATCACCACCGCCGCCAACGCCGCCGCGCAGTTCGACCACCTCATGGCCACGTCGTCCGCCGCGGCCGGCTCCCCTGCGTTCCGCGCCGCGCAGCCGACGTCGTCGTCCTCCTCGCCGTTCTACCTCGGCGGCGGCGGCGACGACGGACAGGCCCACACCTCGCTGCTCCACGGCAAGCCGGCGTTCCACGGCCTAATGCAGCTGCCGGAGCAGCAGGGGAGCAATGGCGGCGGCCTCCTTAACCTGAGCTACTTCTCCGGCGGGAACGGCGGCCACCACCACCACCACCAGGAGGGACGACTCGTCTTCCCGGATCAGTTCAACGGCGTCGCCGCCGGGAACGGCGCCCGCGCCGGCAGCGGCGAGCACGGCAACAGCGGTAACAACGCCGACTCGGGGAGCATCTTCTCCGGGAACATGATGGGCGGCGGCGGCGGCTTCTCGTCCTTGTACAGCTCGTCCGACCAGACCGTCCCGCCGCCGCAGATGTCGGCGACGGCGCTTCTCCAGAAGGCCGCACAGATGGGCGCGACGACGAGCAGCGGCGGCGCCGGCAGCGTGAACTCGCTACTCAGAGGTCTCGGAAGCGGCGGCGGCGGCGGCGCTCTGAACGGTAAGCCCGCCGGAGCAGCCGGGTTCATCATGTCCGGGGAGAGCTCGTCGAGGAGCACTGCTTCTCAGACGGCGGAGAACGAGAGCCAGCTCCGGGAGCTGATGATGAACACGCTCTCGGCGACCGGGGGCGGCACCGGCGCCGGAACGGTGTTCGTCGGCGGCGGCTTCCCCGGCGTGGACGACGGCAAGCTGAGCACGAGGGACTTCCTCGGCGTGAGCGGCGGCGCGCCGGGGCTTCAACTGCGGCACGGCGGCGCCGCCGGGATGGGCATGGCCGGCTCACTGGACCAAGAGATGAAGTAATTAATTAATTATTATATTAATTAACCACCAGATTATTAGGGTTCATCGATGCATCATGCAAGCATGGAACTAGCTAATCAATCGATCGATCGATGAGATGATCAAGTTAATGGTGGATTAATGTGGTGTTTTGATTATTTAATTTAGGTGGATCAACTGGTGATAATGCATGTTAATTGTCAATGACTGATCAGTCATGCATGCATGCAGTGTAGCTTCTTCTCGTTCTAGAGAGATGATGGATGAAGCTAGCCACGCAAGCCATCAAAAATAACACCGAATTAAGGCCGAACCAAATCCAATTTGATGTTCAATTTGTATGTGATGTGGCTACAAAATTTAATTGAATCTGGCTGGGATTTAATTTGTACATTTACTACTCCGTATTTTGGTAAGTGGTGACAATTGTCACACTGAATTAGTGATCTTGATAACGCATATCAAATTGGTGCCAGATATATACTGCAATTTTGGCTGGGTCTGAACATAACATTTGTGAAAATCTTACAACAATTAATGGCTCAAATGATAGAAATATAATGTGGCACGTGAACACACACGCACACTGCACACATATAGTCACACACAAGAGTGTATTGCTATGTGATACTATGTGCGTGAAAATTTTGGTTGTGTATTCAAGTTATGCAAATGCCGAGAATGTTTTCAATATGGTTTTATCACTGATATTAATTGATTGAGTTCAATAAAGTTTTTCTTATCTTAAAAAACATGCACGCAATTTTGTACAGTTTAGCTCTGCCCTCTCTACAGCGGGCTGCTCCTGTTGATTGTGGAAGGCCCAATTAAGTAGTTGGGCCATTGGTTGGTTTATAGTGGGACATGGGCTATTATAGAAGCCCATTATGTAAAGGACTGCAGCATAGATGGGCCGGTGGACGTCGTACTAATCAAATTTATGCTTTCCACACGTATCTGGTTCAATAGAATAGGGCTAGCCATTTTCTAGTAAAAAAATAGACAAATTTCTTATATGCCACTGATTATACTTAACTTAATACTTCCTCCATTTCACAATGTAATACTTTCTAAAATTGCTCACATACATATAGATGTTAATAAATCTAGATATATGTGTGTCTAGATTCATTAACTTCTATATAAATATGAGAAATGCTAGAAAGTCTTGTAATCTGCAACGGAGGGAGTAGTTTTTTCAGCACTAACTTAATAGTTATTGTTACATTTTCTCTTTAACTAGTCCTCGTTAGTTAGTTCTATTCTTTATGCTGTACGAGGACTACATAATTTCTACTTTTAACCACAATGCATATGTAATTGTGTTAAAACGTTTATTATTTTAATTAAACTAGCAAAATATATGTGTGTTGCGTTAGGAAACAATAGGCAAATAAAAGATAAAGAACAATAGATCAATCACAGAAGACACGAGATTTAACGTGAAAAACCTTCCCAAAGCAGGAGAGAAAAAACCATAGGTGCCAGCCAGCAAATTAATATCTTCACTGTATCGGGGTGAGGTTACAACGCCGAACGACAACTTACAAGAAGTATATATGAATGTGAAACCCTAAAAGGATAACGATCCGTACTCAAAACATTTCTTTTTGTATTATATGCACTCGCTCGTGTTCATATGACTTGAATAATTTATGTACAAAATGATATCTTCTCAATAAGTGGAAATGCTACGTGCTACAACGCACAAAAAGGTCTACTATCGCCAGGTCAATCTTTCGGAACTAATTTAGAGAAAGAAAAAAAAAGCTTAGTTATAATATATATCCAAAAAAAAGCTTAGTTATAATATATATCCACAGGTAGTGATGAAATTGGTTCATATAGTTTCGGACTGTCCAGACACTTGCGTGGAAATAGACTGTGTTGATTTATGGATAACTTCAGATAGTATCAGAGACGAATATGGATATAGTAAGGCTATTATCCGTCGGAAACGGAAAACGGTCAAGCTATACGGATAATTCTGAAAAACAAAAGCATAGCACCAATTTAGATTATTTCTAATCGTTACACTACAGTTAAAAGAGGAAATGATATTTCTTTTTCCAATACATATCACCAATTTAGATTATATCTTATCGTTTTCAAAATTCTGATGCTCTGAGAAATTTCGGCAGCTTACATTTTTACCAGCTAACCTAAATCAGATAAGCTAAATCCGGGTTAGACAAAACCCAGGATTTTTTTTTGGTAAAATAAGATTAAACTTTAAAATCATACTGCATACCTAGGCATAGTACAGCTATTACTAGCGATACATGTGAGGCTGGTTAACTAGCTAAAGACTGGCCTTAGCTGCCAGAAGGACCTTCCATTCTTAGGTAGTCATACATCAGTCCCTGAAATGGACTCTGGTTCCTGGGCTGCTTCAGGTAGATGGTGTTCATCCCTTGAACAAGCCAAGCTCCACTCACATCGATGTTGAACAGCCAGTACAGCGCATGGATCCCGTGCCTCGCAATCGTGTTGTCTTTCCCAATCAATCCAGTTGTGAAGTGAGGAGCAGTTCTGTCCTGATTGTTGAAACGAACCTGAAAATACAAGCATTTTGTGTATTTAGTATCAACTTCTTGAATGATGATAACAAATAATGAAATAGGAATGGACATTGGCCAATCTGAGTATTTTTGTGTTTTTTTTTCTGAAATAACCTGCAACTCGGCATTTGCGGATGATGCAAGAGCCACTCTGAATTTGTATGTGCTGTTAGGACTGACACTGTCAAGATTGAACTTTATTTGCCATGTGGTTGGCTGGTAGGTGCTCTGATCAGTTCTTCTGCAGTGGACACAGATGTTAGAAGCACATCATGTAACTCTGCGTAATCAGTTGTATTCAAATGAGATGAAAACATCACCTGTTTACTTGAGCAAAGAACCAATCGGTGGTATAGTCGCTCTGGCCAATTGTGTATACCAGATCACCGTCTGGATACAGCTCTGCATATCTTTCCCAAAGTCCATACTGCCTAAATCTGTAACGAACAATCAGAACACTATATGATAAGAAATGATGATCACTTGATTAGTACATGTTTGAGAAGTCTGTTGGTAGCCAGTCTGCATCACCTGTCAGGATGGTTGATATACAACCTATTCACATAGTTGGGATTAGGGTCTGGAACATAGAATTCAGAGGCGGATCGATCAGGTATTCCGATCTCCCACATCGTGGGACCGTCTCTTGGTGGTTCATACACAAGGTCACCCAGATAAATGTCATCCCCTGAACAGGAGTGCTGAACATATCAGGATATCTCATTGGAAGCTGCAAGAGGAATAAATGTCAGGTAGATACTGACCTGAAGATATGGTTAGCTTAGCATCCAGTTTGTAGTCCCCTATAAATCCTGGAACCCATGCATAAAGGTTGTAGTCTCCAGCTACAATGTTTCTTATGCTAAAGCTTCCACCATCATGTGCCCTACACCAGAATTGGTATCCCTACAGTGTTGGAATATGTGATCGATAATATACTTCATAGTCTAACATGTATTCCAGCTTGTTCTAAAAGAATAAGTGTGTATATAGAATGCATTACCTTGCACTCTCTTTGCCAGGATCCAACATCTCCTGGTAGAGCTAAGCCTACATAAGCTGATGTACCATAAAGATCTGCATCATGTAAATACCTATATAACACATGATAAATTCATTAGTAATAGATGTATCTCGATCTAAATTACATCTGGACTGAATCAAACTTTTTTAGTTACTACTGTTGTAAAAAACTGGAAAAGAAATGTCATTACTACCTGTCTCTGACGAGTAGTCTACCAGAGATACGACCTCTTTGCTCAGTCTTCTGAAAATCATCTGATAGTGCAAAATAGTACGGCCAGCTCTCTTTCTCAATCATCATCTGTTTTCCAAAGGAGAATTAAATTACAAGTTACTTGTGCCGTGTTCATAACAATTGTACTGTCAATAAGAACTTATTCAATCTGAATGTTATCACCTGAACTTTTGTAAATAAAATAAAGATATCAAAGTAGAGAAGAAATATGCATCCAATTTGTCACCTGAACTTTTGCATCCTTCCAGAGTAGAGTTGGGTTACTTCCATCCCAACTGGAGTTAAGGTACATGAAGACAGGCCCATGGACCTTTTTCCAGTATTCACCAGTCATGAACTTGGGTGTAAGGTCATCTCCAGCATAATGGCCGCTAAGGAACATCTGAAAATCAGATTAAAGAAAAAGGGTTTCAGAAGAATGTCTGAACTTAATAATCTGAACTTTTTATTTCAATATAATATAATGTCTGAACTTACAGCCAGCATAGTTGGCCCAACATGAGAGGTCAGGTTCTGCTTGACGGGACCTCCTGTCCGGAACTCATCACTCGGAGTGATCTGCCAGAAGCCAATTGGAGGATCGAATGATATCCATCCATGGACATTGTTATACTGGTTTTCACACGAGTATTGGTATTTATCATCAACCTTGACAATTTACCAGTAACAGTGTTTAGATTCTTCATGATATTGTAAATTTACCAGGAATAGTGTTTAATTGATAATTAAAATTCCGGCAGATCTCCTGCCATCGTTCTCTAAAAAAAATCCTTATTTTTTCAGCTTACCTCTCCTCTTAGGTCAGGATTTATTGGGTCCACAAGAAGGACAGCTTCAGGGTATGCTAATTGCTGTCCCCGGGGCGACACTCGGTCTTCAGGCATCGGCATTATTCTCTTCCTGTCGTCGGCCAATGCCATGTAATGAAACCTGAATTTGCACCAAAGTAATGGATTCAGTGTAAGATGTAGCATAATTCAGCAAACTAAAAAAAAAAGGGAGTATCTATGCATTTTTTGAAATATTTTTATGATCATATCACACAGATTTTTAATTTTTGGATTAAAATCCAATAGACACAGTAAAAGACAAGAAACAACTAAGAAACACCATAATAGACACTAATTACCATATCTGCAAGAAAAAGACCAAATCCAATATAAATTTCAAAACTTAAGATTCAAAATTACATTGTAAAAGTTACAGCGTAAGTTTCATAAATTACATTGTAACTTACAAGAAAATGCACTATAAATTTGAGTGAGAAAATCGAGTGAGAGATAAGAAAAAAAACTTTCGAGTGAGATATAGCAAAATCGAAAAAAAAACTTAAATTCAGGAACTAGAACAACTTGTCTTTCCGAAGCTTGAAGGCCACCCTGGTCTCTACCATGCTAAAACCAGGCCACCCTTCCTGATGCTCATAGATTCCGTAAGTATAGAATCCTGAGCAGCCCCGGAGTACGATGAACCTATACAAACATACTTGCGCTGTCAAAATATATCAATTACTTGCTCTGTTAAACATGATTGCCTTTTCCAAATGAATTGCTGAGAACAACTCCATTGTATGCCTGTGCTATTGGATCACCTCTTATCAATGTTCAAGGGAACAGCTTTGCCTTCTAGAGAAGGATCCCATGTTCTGACGAACGAGACCTCTGCCTGGTTTTCATCCTGATATATGATTCGGAACTCTGTCCCTTTTATTCTGCGTAACAACGTTCAATGTCAGCTACATCTGGGCTCTCTCTAGCACAAAAAGTGTATTCATATGGAGGCACAGAACTGATGCCTGAAATCTGAGGAGTGAATTGAGAACCCTTACACATCAAATATGCCAGTTCTTTCTCCCAGTTTACTCCAAACAAGGTCCCAGTACCTGACAACATACAACACCATATGACCAATTGACTATAACCTCAGTTGCAGCCTGTACTTGAATGAGGACTAAAATATTTCTTCTTTAGTTTTAAATAGGCAAAGTAGCTCAATAACAATTAACAAATGTACACTGGTAGGATGTGGCAAGATCCAAGTAGTACCAAACTATTGTACTTGCTAATTATCTATTATATTATTAAAGTAATAAAAAAGAAGCCACCACGTTTGCTCTTCCGGCCTAGAAATTCTCACATTAATCAGAAAAAAAAGAAAGGTAGAGTCCATATAGGAATACAATTTAAAAATAGATGAAATTCGGAATTAAAAATAAGGAATATTAAAAGAGTAGACTAGAGTCCATACAAGTATACAATTTGGAATTAATTAAAATTCGGAATTAAAAAATAGGAGAATCAAAAGTAGAAGTTAGAGTTCATATATATATACACACACACACACACCTAATAATTAGAAAATACATAAGGTTTCCGACAATTTTTTTTCGTCCGTGCGTTTTTTTTCGCCGTTTTCCTTTTTTTTCCGTCGTCTTTTTCGGTTTTATTCCCATCCGCTTCTTTTCATGGGTTGGCATGGCTGTTGGGCCCGAGGATGGTGGCCCAAGAAGGAGGAAAGGAAGAGAGGTGGCTGCTGGGCCCAAGTGGAGATAGGGATGACGGCCCAATAGGGAGGGATGGCAGCCTAAGAGGGAGGAGAAGAAGAATGGGCCAGATTTGGCCCAGACTTAGGAGAGGGCTTTTAGTTTGTTTTTACTTTAAATTAATTATTAAAATTATATTTGTATTATTAAAATTAGCAAATGAGCTTTGAAAAATTCAAAACAATTCTAGATAGTGTGGTTCATTCATGAAGAATTTAATAAAAAATGTATATTGTATTTTATTTTAATAATAACATGTTATTTAATTCTAATTCTAATCTATACCTCTGTACCTAATTAAAAAAATACGTAAGGATTTCGGGGGATCCGTTTAATTGTCGGGTCAAAACCGCGGTTGATATAGTATACGTATCTTCCATATAATCACCTCTCTCTCCTTTTTACACCTATATTACTTGCACTGTGTCAATGGGCCTCTCTTGGAATAAATCTACTTTTTATGGGCCTCTCCTAGAATAAGTCTACTGTCCCTCCCTCCTGTCAAATCATATTTGCGCGCAAATTTTTTTTTCTCGACCACTAGCACGGACCATACACATCCGGTTGATGAAAAATCAAAACTATAGTACCTCTTTCTTCAACAAATTTTTGTTGATTATAAAATCTTATAATGAACCAGTTTTTAATTTAAAAATTAAAGTTAATTATATTATGTGCACAAGAATCCTAATTGCAGCTCATGATTTTTGAAAATATATAAATTCAAGCAAATTCCCACGGTGAATCTCACCTTAACTAAACAGTATAACAATAATAAGATTAAAATAGATTTCACCCGTTGCAATGCACGGGCATTTTTTCTAGTAGAAATAAAATTTAGAAATAACTAAAATTCAAAATAAAAAAGCAAGATTGGGAGAAGAGTCAAGAGTCCATATATAAATATAATTTATAAACAACTGAAATTCAAAATAAAAAACAAGAAATATTTAGAAAGAAAGTCTAGAATCTATATAGGAATACAATTTATAAATAATTTGAATTCACAATTAAAAAAACAAAATATTAAAAAATGAATTTAGAGTCCAGATAGAAATACAATTAGAAATAACATATTGGGAATTAGAAAAGTAGAAATATTGTAAGAAGAGTCTACGGTCCACCACGTTTACTCTCACGGCTTAGAAATTCCCATATTAATCGGAGAAAAAGAAAAAAAAAGTAGAGTTCATATAGGAATACAATTTAAAAATAGATGAAATTCAGAATTAAAAATAAGGAATATTGAAAGAGTTGACTGGAGTCTATACAAGTATACAATTTAGAATTAATTAAAATTCGGAAATAAAAAATAGGAAAACTAAAAGTAGAAGTTAGAGTCCATATAGAAATACAATTTAGAATTAACTAAAATTCAAATTATTTTTTTTAAAAAAAAGCAAGATTAGGAGAAGAGTCTAGAGTCCATACATGAATACAATTTATAAATAACTGAAATTTGAAATAAAAAATAAGAAATATTAAAAAAAAGAGTCTAGAGTCTATATAGGCATACAATTTATAAATAATTTAAATTAAAAAATTAAAAAACAAGATATTGAAAAATGAATTTAGAATCCATATAGAAATACAATTAGAAATAACAGGTTGAGAATTAAAAAAGTAGAAATATTGGAAGAGGAGTCTACGGTCCACACATAGGAATTTAGAACTAAATGAAAGTTAGAACTTAAAAATAAAAAAAAATAAAAGTAGAGTTTAGAGTCCATATAGAAATACAATTTAGAATTACAAAAAATCAAAATTAAAATAAACAAGATTGGGAGAAGAGACTAGCGTCTATAGGAATACAATTTATAAATAACTGAAATTTAAAATTAACAAATAAGGAATATTGGGAAAAAAAAGTCTAGCGTCCATATATGAATACAATTTAGAAATAGCTGAATTTTAAAAAATAAAAACTATTGGAAAAAGAAGTCTAGAGTCAATATAGTAATACAATTTACCAATAATTGGAATTCAAAATTAAAAAAAATAAATATTGAAAGAAGAGTTTAAAGTCCACATAGAAATACAATTTATAAATAACTAAAATTCAGAGTTTAGAAAAATGAATATTGGAAGAGTAGTCTAGAATCCATATAGGAATAGAATTTATGAACAAAGGAAATTCGAAATTTAAAAACTAAGGAATATTAAAAGATTATTCTTGAGTCCATATATAAATATAATTTATAAATAACTATCACGTATACCATACAATAAAAATATCACACATTTGTTAGTTCAACCAAGAGTTTAAAATTACGTTGTCATTTTAATATATTTTAATAATAAAATGTGAAAATATTTAAGCTATTAAATGAGAAAAAAAAATGTAACGATGCTAGCCACGCAATCTGCGTGAGCCACTATGCTAGTTAAACATATCAAAGAGAGGATAAAAAGCGTAAGCAAAATTGTCAGGTAGGTACCCTCTCTTGTCTTCTTTGTTAAGAATCTCCATCAAGTTGTCCACACCATTATACCGGACGCCGGTCACGATCCCGTCGGGGTTGGACAGTGTAACCTCAAAGATGCCATTTTTAATCTCAACCTGCATGCGCATGCAATCATTCAATCAATCATGTCAGCAATGAATCGATCGATCGAACATATGCAGGCAGAGCTGACCAGCAGCAGCACACTTACATATCGGTCGCTGACCATAACGCTGACGCCGGCGGTGGCGCCGGCCGGTGAGGAGGTCGCCGGTGGATGGCCCATGCAGCACGGCGAGAGGTTCTTGCAGCTTCAGAATTCACACAGATGGACGTGTGCATGCATGAGCATGAGACCACCAAACCAGGAAACCAGCAGCATATATAGGCCCTGTTTTGGGAAGCTTGTCTCAGCGGCAGCTTTTGGAAAAAGCTGCTTTTGCTAGAAGCTATCCTAAACAGTCCACAGCTTCTGAGAATATGGAGTTACATATTCTGAAAAATGAACTAATAAGTCAGAAGCTGGAGAAGCTAGGTTTTAGAGCTTTTCCAGATTCTCAAAAGCTGGCTACCAAATAGCTGCTTCTTAGAATCTAAAGCTCCCCAAACAGGCCCATAGTATAGCAATGGCTAGCAATGCAGGCCAAGTGTGTGGGCATGGCCATGCAGTGCAGATGCAGCAGTAGTACTAATCAATCACCCACTGCTACATAAACGATTTTTGTGTACGAGACCCTCATAATTTTTGCAAACGGACCATAACTTACCGCATGAAAAATCAAGCAGCTTTTTCGCATACGGCTTCTGGAAAAATCGATTTTCCTATTCATGCAAGCCTCTTAAGATGTCCGCATGTAAAAAATGAGCTCATTTTTGCATGTGGATCACTTAAGAGCCCCTATGAGAAAATCGATTTTTCCATACAGTCGTCTTAAGCAGCCGTAAGCGAAAATAAAATTTGAAACTAGTTTATCTCACTCATATGAACTCCAAATTGGATGATTTTTTTCCTAAATGTTTTTAAAATCATCCTCTATCATGTTATTGTGTTCTTACTGCTATTATTTTGGCTATTTTCTCTTGTGACTTTGTTTTATCAATTAAAAATTTGAATTTCAAAACTTCAAATAATATTTTGAAGTAGTAAATAATTTCAGCTGAAAAAGTCATGAACATAAAAGTTTTAGAACTCACCAAGACATACAACTTTTATTTTGGTCACTTCTTCATCTGACAAAGTGATAGTAATATTCTTCACAAAATTTACATTTCTCTTATAGTTTACACACAGATATATATATATATATACATATGTATACATATATATATACATATATATATATATACATATATACATATATATACATATATATATATATACATATATATATACATATATATATATATATGTATGTATATATATATATGTATACATACATATATATATATGTATGTATACATATACGTATACATATATGTATATATGTATGTATACATATACATATACGTATACGTATACATATACATATACGTATACGTATACATATACATATACGTATACGTATACATATACGTATACGTATAATATATACATATACGTATATATACGTATATGTATATGTATACGTATATATATATATATACGTATATATATATACGTATACATATACGTATATATATATATACGTATACATATATATACGTATATATACGTATACATATATATACGTATATATACGTATATATATATACGTATATCTATATATATACGTATATATACGTATATATATACGTATATATATACGTATATCTATATATATACGTATATCTATATATATACGTATATATATATATATATACATGTATATATATATGTATATGTATATATATGTATACATATATATATATACATATACATATACATATGTATGTATGTATGTATGTATGTATGTATGTATGTATGTATGTATGTATGTATGTATGTATGTATGTAGGGAGCGTATCCTATGCACACAGGCCTTCGCGTGTACACACCGTGTACACCAAGTAAAAATTATCACAAAAAATTCTAGGAAAATTCATACATGTACTTTCAATAGTATTACATCTACGTACAAAGTCGCATCTTCAAATTCATTCTACATAGAGAATAACAAAAAAGATAAAATTCTGACAAAATTACAACCTTAAAACTGTCAGATTTTTTGTTTTTTTTTTTGTTACGGCTAAAATATAATGAATTTGACGTTAAAATTTTAACCCTAGGTGTACTACAATTGAAAGTATGTGTATAATTTTTTCTAGATTTTTTAGTGACATTTTTTAGTTGGTGTGCACGTGTGTACACGTGAGGGTCTGTGTGCATATGATATGTTGCCATGTATGTATGTATGTATACATATATATATATATATAACCAGTACAATATATATATATATACAACTTTGTTATTAACAATTTTTCCATTTGAAATCATTTACTACCGAAAAAATTATTTAAATTTCTTATATTTTAAAATTTAAAATTTATATAGTTTAATCAAACTCGATGGAGAAATAACCAAAAAAAATTGGTAGATCTCAATAAGTTATACAACTTTGTTTTTGACAACTTTTTTATATGAGTTCATTTAGTACGAATGTATGATAAAATTTGACTCGAAGTTTAAAGAGCCGCATGCAAAAATTGATTTTTGCAGATGCTTAAGTTCCTCATTTTTACATGCAGGCCACTTAAGAGACCCGCATGCGAAAATCGATTTTTGCATGCGAGCCTCTTAAGGATTGGACTTGAAGTCTAATTAGCCTTCTCCTTCTCTGTCCACCGGTTTAAAATTTTTCACCCAACCTTATTGTCATGGTTCTGGATACCACATACCCAATAGAAATCGACTAAGCTCGGCGGGGCCCACCATATACCAAGTCCTATACAGAATCATGCCTCATATATAGAAGGAGTTCCGGATAAGGAAGGACGAGTAGAGTTCTATATGGAAACGATAAGGATTACGCGGATTGTATCCATATTGGTCTCTCTATTCCTACGTGGACAATGGGACATCTATGGGTATAAATACAAGACACCCTAGGTGTCGACGTTTGATGCCGCGATTCCGGTATTTGCATGGTATGGGGATCGTTAGTACTAGGATATATGCGAGATTGAGGTAAAAGAGATGGAGACGATGATTTTTATACAGGTTCGGGCCCCTGAATTGTCAGGTAATAACCCTACTCCTATTAGCCGAAGCCGGTCGTTGCTCTTATTCACCATAATCACACCAGTACAATATTTGGGGTAGCCTATCTAACTGTTGTCGACTTGGCGGACTGAAGTATCATCACGTAGTCGACAACAGGGTAGTCTTCCTCCTCGAATCCGTGCCCGATGAGATCAGAGATAGCGCTAGATTCCTCTCTTTGGTTCCCGTAGGTACCATATGGGATTTGCCTAGGCTTATCTCTGATATCGATATCTGCCAGCTTGTCTTGGCGTATGTAGGCTTATATTGGCATGTGGCTTTGTGGCGTCTATGTTGTTCGTGTCCCCTTTCCTCCTAGGGGGCCTTGTATTTATACCCATAGGTGTCCCCTTGTCCAAGTAGAACTAGGGAAACCAATATGGATACAATCCGAGTAGTCCTTGTCATTTTCATGTAGAACTCTATTCATCCTTCCTTATGTAGAACTCCTCCTATATCCGAAGATTGTTCCCGTATAAGACATGGTATGTGGTGGGTCCTGCCGAGATTTAGTCGACTACTATTATGTATGTGGTATCCATAACCCTGACACTAGGGGAGAGAGGACACGATAGATCGACACACAAACCAACACGCCGGCAGACATCGACATCAGAGATAAGCCTAGACAGACCCAATATGGTGCCTGCGGAGGCCGACAAAAGGGATCTAGCGCCATCTCTGATCTCGATGAGTTCGTACTCGAGGAGGAAGACTATCTTGTCGTCGACTACATGTTGGTTATCTATGCCGCCAAGTCGATGACAGCTAGATAGGTTATCCCAAATATTGTACTTGTGTGATCCAGATGAATAAAGAGCAACACCGGCTTTGGTCAATAGGAGTAGGGTTATTACCTGTATAAAAATCCTTGTCTCCATTTCTTTCACTTCAGTCTCGCATATACCCTGGTACACCGACGATCTCCACACCATGCAAATACCGTAGTCGAGACCTCAAACGTCGATACTTATCTTCTCCTCCTCTCCTCTCAATCCTCTCTCTCTCTCTCCTTGTCACCTCGACGGCAAGAGCAACCGAGACTCCGAGAGCGGTGTGGAGTGGGGTGGGTGGCGGCGGCGGGCTTGATGGCCGGAGGAGGAGCGGGCTCGCGTGGATCTAGCACCGGCAACGACGGCGGCGACCGGGAGCAGGCCCTCCCCACATGGATCTGGCACCGGCGACGACGGAGGGAGGTGGGGGGCGGATCCAACAGTGCCGATGACGACAACGATGGCGGGTGGCGGATCCGACGGCACCCTCAACGACAATGACGGCGAGCGGCAGATCCGGACGACGAAGGCAGATCCAGCTACAGGATCCTACCTCGTGCGGTGGGGGCGGTGGATGTGACGGCGATGACGACGGTGGGCGGCGGATCTGGAGCGTGGCGGAGATCGCGACGGCGGTCTCGACCGGAGGATCCGGCACAGATGATGGCGGTGGTGGCGGCGGCGGTCTCAGGCGGCGGATCCGGGCGGGACGGTTCTACCGGCGGCTGGTGACGGCGACGGCGACGACAGGAGCGGTGGCGGCGGCTGCGACGATCTCAGGCGGCGGCGGGGCGATTATTTTTTTTTGCATGTGGTCGGCTTAAGTGCCCGTGCGAAAATCGTATTTTCGCATGAGATTGCGCTGGCCACATGCAAAAATACCGATTTTCGCAAACCTTTTCACACATGCGGCTAGAGCAACCGCATGCGAAAATCAGTTTTGCCAGTATGCAAAAATGTGTTCCGTAGGAGTGACCACCGTACCACATCCTCCAACTCCACAAGCAGCTGGCAAGTGGCAATCCACTGATTGATCAATCCATCCATCAGCTTTGCTTAGATGAGTGGTTATCCCTTGGTTTTCCATGCCCTAATCCTGGGGAAACTATTTTGATCATTCAAGGGGATATCCCCTCGTTGTTTGCATATCATTCAAATAGTTATGAAAAAAAATTAAAAAAAATGCAACATGTGATATATCACTCCACAAACATGCAAGTTCAAATTCAACTTCTACATCTCGCAACAAAAAAAAATAATTAAACTACAGCTAGTTAACGTATATTCACAGTCAAATTTGTTTTTCGTTGCGAGATGTAGAAGTTGAATTTGAACTAGCATGTTCATGGAGTAATATCACATGTTAATACATCTTCTCAATTTTTTTAGAGCTTTTTCATAACCATTTGAGTGACATACAAACAACGAGGGGACATCCCTCTCGAGAGATCAAAATCCACTCCCCCTAATCAAGCACCACCACATCCTCCAAAACTCCACAAGCAGCTGACAATGCACTGATTGATCAATCCATCCATCAGCTTTGATTAGATGAGTGGTTATCCCTTGGTTTTCCATGCCCTAATCAAGCACCACCACATCCTCCAACTCCGCAAGCAGCTGGCAATCCACTGATTGATCAATCCATCATCAGCTTTGCTTAGATGACTGGTTATCCCTTGGTTTGGAAAGCAATTGGCATGTGCCTGCACTGGAGTTGATCGATGAGTTGAGTTCAAGCCAAGGAGGAGGACAGCAATGGCGCCGAAACTGGTGGTTGGTCAGTAGTCAGTACAGCCTGCTGCTGCTGCGAGTACGAGGTGAAGGGATCAAAAGCTTCAGGGGCTTGACTTGTTGAGAGGGGAGACCTGCAGCAAAAGGAAGGTGCCAAAGATAGCTACTGCTTCAAGAATTGATTTCTTTGCTAATAGTTAGTGGGGTTGGCAACCGATTTGACCTAATTAACTAACAGCTTGTTGGAGCTTTTGACTTTTGAGTGAAGAATGTGTCTTGCCACCATCTGGCAACTTCTCCAGTGAAAGCTGTTTGCTGCAAACCTTAATTCTGAGAAACAAGAGCATGGCACCAATTTAGATTATTTCAAATTGTTACACTAGAGTTAAAACAGCAGGGAAATGTTATTTCTTTTTCCAATACATATCACCGATTTAGAGTATATCTAATCGTTTTCTGAATTCTGATGCTCTGCGAAATTTCGGCAGCTTACATCTTTACCAGCTAACCTAAATCAGATAAGCTAAATCCGGGGTTAGACAAAACCCAGGATTTTTTTTGGTAAAATAAGATTAAACTTTAAAGCACACTAAATAGAATATTAGTGGATGGGAATATCTGGGTCATAATCGTACTGCATACCTAGGCATAGTACAGCTATACTAGCCATACAGGTGAGGCTGGTTAAACTAGCTAAAGACTGGCCTTAGCTGCCAGAAGGACCTTCCATTCTCAGGTAGTCATACATCAGTCCCTGAAATGGACTCTGGTTCCTGGGCTGCTTCAGGTAGATGGTGTTCATCCCTTGAACAAGCCAAGCTCCACTCACATCGATGTTGAACAGCCAGTACAGCCCATGGATCCCGTGCCTCGCAATCGTGTTGTCTTTCCCAATCAACCCAGTTGTGAAGTGAGGAGCAGTTCTGTCCTGATCGTTGAAACGAACCTGAAAATACAAGCATTTTGTGTATTTAGGATCAACTTCTTGAATGATGATAACAAATAATGAAATAGGAATGGACATTGGCCAATCTAAGTATTTTTGTGTTTTTTTTTTCTGAAATAACCTGCAACTCGGCATTTGCGGATGATGCAAGAGCCACTCTGAATTTGTATGTGCTGTTAGGACTGACACTGTCAAGATTGAACTTTATTTGCCATGTGGTTGGCTGGTAGGTGCTCTGATCAGTTCTTCTGCAGTGGACACAGATGTTAGAAGCAGATCATGTAACTCTGCGCAATCAGTTGTATTCAAATGAGATGAAAACATCACCTGTTTACTTGAGCAAAGAACCAATCGGTGGTATAGTCGCTCTGGCCAATTGTGTATACCAGATCACCGTCTGGATACAGCTCTGCATATCTTTCCCAAAGTCCATACTGCCTAAATCTGTAACGAACGATAAGAACACTATATGATAAGAAATGATGATCACTTGGTTACTACATGTTTGAGAAGTCTGTTGGTAGCCAGTCTGCATCACCTGTCAGGATGGTTGATATACAACCTATTCACATAGTTGGGATTAGGGTCTGGAACAAAGAATTCAGAGGCGGATCGATCAGGTATTCCGATCTCCCACATCGTGGGACCGTCTCTTGGTGGTTCATACACAAGGTCACCCAGATAAATGTCATCCCCTGAACAGGAGTGCTGAACATATCAGGATATCTCATTGGAAGCTGCAAGAGGAATAAATGTCAGGTAGATACTGACCTGAAGATATGGTTAGCTTAGCATCCAGTTTGTAGTCCCCTATAAATCCTGGAACCCATGCATAAAGGTTGTAGTCTCCAGCTACAATGTTTCTTATGCAAAAGCTTCCATCATCTTCTGCCCTACACCAGAATTGGTATCCCTACAGTGTTGGAATATATATTTTTTTTTGCCGGGTCACGGTGTTGGAATATGTGATTGATAATATACTTCATAGTCTAACATGTATTCAAGCTTGTTCTAAAAGAATAAGTGTGTATATAGCATGCATCACCTTGCACTCTCTTTGCCAGGATCCAACATCTCCTGGTAGAGCTAAGCCTACATAAGCTGATGTAGCATAAAGATCTGCATCATCTAAATACCTAAATAACACATGATGAATTCATTAGTAATAGATGTATCGCGAACTAAATTACATCTGGACTGAATCAAACTTCTTTTAGTTACTACTGTTGTATAAAACTGGAAAAAGATGTCATTAATTACTACCTGTCTCGGACGAGTAATCTACCAGAGATACAACCTCTTTGCTCAGTCTTCTGAAAATCATCTGACAGTGCAAAACAGTACGGCCAGCTCTCTTTCTCAATCATCATCTGATTTCAAAAGGAGAAAGAGAGAGTTAAATTACAAGTTACTTGTGCCGTGTTCATAACACTTGTACTGTCAATAAGAATCAACCTGAATGTTATCACCTGAACTTTTGTGAATAAAAGAAAGATATCAAATTAGAGACGAAATATGCATCCAATTTTTCACCTGAACTTTTGCATCCTCCCAGAGTAGAGTTGGGTCACTTCCATCCCAACTGGAGTTAAGGTACATGAAGACAGGCCCATGGACCTTTTTCCAGTATTCACCAGTCAAGAACTTGGGTGTAAGGTCATCCCCAGCATAATGACCGCTAAGAAACATCTGAAAAACATATTTTAAAAAAAGGGTTTCAGAAGAATGTCTGAACTTAATAATCTGAACTTTTTATTTCAATATAATACAATGTCTGAACTTACAGCCAGCATAGTTGGCCCAACATGAGAGGTCAAGTTCTGCTTGACGGGACCTCCTGTTCGGAACTCGTCACTCGGAGTGATCTGCCAGAAGCCAATTGGAGGATCGAATGATATCCATCCATGGACATTGTTATACTGGTCTTCACAGGAGTATTGGTATTTATCATCAACCTTGACAATTTACCAGTAACAGTGTTTAGATTCTTCATGATATAATACGTTTATCATAGATAAAAAAAATCCTATATTTGTCAACTTACCTCTCCTCTTAGGTCAGGATTTATTGGGTCCACAAGAAGGACAGCTTCAGGGTATGCTAATTGCTGTCCCCGGGGCGGCACTCGGTCTTCAGGCATCGGCATTATTCTCTGCCTGTCGTCAGCTAATGCCATGTAATGAAACCTGAATTTGCACCAAAGTAATGGATTCAGACATTCAGTGTAAGATGTAGCATAATTCAGCAAACTGCAAAAAAAAAAAAGAAAACTTAAATTCAGGAACTAGAACAACTTGTCTTTCCGAAGCTTGAAGGCCACCCTGGTCTCTCCCAGGCTAAAACCAGGCCACCCTTCCTGATGCTCATAGATTCCATAGGTATAGAATCCTGAGCAGCCCCGGAGTACAATGAACCTGTACAAACATACTTGCGCTGTCAAAATATTTCAAAAATTACTTGCTCTGTTAAACATGATTGCCTTTTTTCCAAATGAATTGCTGAGAACAATTCCATTGTTATGCCTGTGCTATTGGATCACCTCTTATCAATGTTCAAGGGAACAGCTTTGCCTTCCAGAGAAGGATCCCATGTTCTAACGAACGAGACCTCTGCATGGTTTTCATCCTGATATATGATTCGGAACTCTGTCCCTTTTATTCTGCGTAACAACGTTCAATGTCAGATACACCTGGGCTCTCTCTAGCACAAAAAGTGTAATCATATGGAGGCGATTCCTGAAATCCGAGTGAATTGAGAGCCCTTACACATCAAATATGCCAGTTCTTTCTCCCAGTTTACTCCAAACAAGGTCCCAGTACCTGACAACATGCAACACCATATGAGTACATTGACCATAACCTCAGTTGCAGCCTGTACTTGAATGAGGACTAAAAGGTTTCTTCTTTAGTTTTAAATTGGCAAAGTAGCTGAATAACAATTAACAAATGTACACTTGTAGGATGTGGCAAGATCCAAGTAGTACCAAACTATTGTACTTGCTAATTAAACATATCAAAGAGAGGATAAAAAGCGTAAGCAAAATTGTCAGTAGGCACCCTCTGTTGTCTTCTTTGTTAAGAATCTCCATCAAGTTGTCCACACCATTATACCGGACGCCGGTCACGATCCCGTCGGGGTTGGACAGCGTAAGCTCAAATATGCCATTTTTAATCTCAACCTGCATGCGCATGCAATGGTGCAACGCGGGCCAACCAATCAATCATTCAATCAATCATGTCAACAATGAATCGATCGAACATGCGCAGGCAGAGCTGACCAGCAGCAGCACACTTACATATCGGTCGCTGACCTTAACGCTGACGCCGGCGGTGGCGCCGGCCGGTGAGGTCGCCGGTGGATGGCCCATGCAGCACGGCAATAGGTTCTTGCAGCTTCAGAATTCAACACAGATGGACGTGTGCATGCATGAGCATGAGACCACCAAACCAGGAAACCAGCAGCATATATAGTATAGCAATGACTGGCAATGCCGGCCAAGTGTGTGGAGTGGACATGGCCATGCAGTGCAGATGCAGCAGTAGCAACAGAAGAAAGAAGAATGCAGAAGCAGCAGTAGTACCTAAGTTTCCCCATGAGCAAGCTGATGGATGGATGGATTGATCAATCAGTGGATGGCCAGCTGCTTGTGGAGTTGGCTTGATTAGATGAGTGGTTATCCCTTGGTTTGGAAAGCAAGCATGTGCCTGCACTGGAGTTGAGTTGAGTTCAAGCCAAGGAGGAGGACAGCAATGGCGCCGATACTTCTTGGTGGTTGGTCAGTACAGCCTGCTGCTGCTGCGAGTGCGAGGTGAAGGGATCAAAAGCTTCAGAGGCTTGACTTGTTGAGAGGTGAGACCTGCAGCAAAAGGAAGGTGTCAAAGATAACTACTGCTTCAAGAATTGATTTCTTTGCTTATATTTAGTGGGGTCAGCAACTGATTTGACCTAATTAACTAACAGCTTGTTGGAGCTTTTGAGTGAAGTATGTGCCTTGCCACCATCTGGCAACTTCTTCAGTGGAAGCTGTTCGCTGCAAACCTTCAAATAAAAAGGGGTGTTTGATGCAAAGGGCTTATTATTTAGAGGCTTTCAGCTCAAAACAAAAGCATAAAATCGTGTCCTATGTATTCCTATACTTATGAAAAATTCAAATCAATGAGAAAAGGTGAGTTTTAACACAGATTAGTACGCCAACATTAGAATCTGACACTAGTACTAGTCTACTAGATGATGAACTAGTTGGTGTATGTCCGAACTCTGTGGCATTGACACGTGGAACATGCCGATAGCCACAGCATCCCAAGTGTCACCATCTAGTAGTCCCGTGAGGCAGAGAGGAAGAGAAAACACAAGTTCAGAAAAGAGAAAACGACAGGAAGAGAAGACTTTCATTGGAGCAAGCATAGAGATATTGGCAGGCATTGGGGGAAAGCGTTTGGCCTCTTGTCCTTGGAACGGAAGAACACCGGCACGAGCAGCGAAATCCAAAGCATCAGAGATTGTATGGGGAACAGGGGAGGTAGTTCAGCACAGTGATCATGTGATGGGAGCTCAGCTGATACATCTCTTCAGCTAGGATTCCTACTGTACTCTCTACTGTACCAAGCATCAAGGCTAGTGAGATATTCACGGGGACCTAATTGCCTAATTCCTAGAAAGGGATAGTTGCATAGTGAATCAAGAACTGTACTCCAGCTATGAAAAGTTTTGGGTTCCCTATCCTGCCATGTGCTGCTTGCAAGAAAATTGCGTTCTCCGTCGTCAGATTCAGAGAATTGCAGAGGGGAGGTAAAAAAAAAAACTGATCCTTGAAAGTAGAAAGATGAGATGCTCGTGGAGGGCTTGATGCAACAATAGGCAAGAGCAAAAGTGAGCAAGAATCACCTAGGGGAAAAGATCACAAGTGAGAAGCACAGTTATCTGCAATTGCAGAAATCAAACAGGGCAGTAAGAAAATGAGTTAAAACAGGGAGAGGGAAGAGAACTGTTGAACTAACCTCTGTTTGTTTGGCCGGTTATTTACGTCCATGGAGGTTACAGACTCCAGAAAAGTTAGTTCAGTAACAACAAAACCATACGATATCCCGAAGAACGCCTGCAAATTCATCAATAGCAAGAGTAATATGGCAGTTCCATTCAGTTAGATTTGGAGGTGTTGTCACTCTTCTTTTTCATTGATGACGACCCACCAACAGATCCGATCTCTCTCCAGGGAATGTTCAAGAGCACAAATTTGTCACAAATACAGCACTTAGTGGTATAATGTTGAGAATTAGTGTCGGACAGGAGTTATGTTCCTTGCAAACTGGTAACTTTTTGCAAAGCTTTACTCCTTTACTTGATCCAGGTAGGCGGGTATCATTGTAATTCAGTTGATAGCATGAAAGGTTGAAATCAACACAGATAAATTTGATACAGTTAAAAGAAGACCTCACTGGTTTCAAACAAAGCTGCTCAGTTGCATTTGCTGCAAACAGGTCAAAATAGAACATCCATTTTAGACACCACAAAAAGGAGTTGAATAACAGGTACAAGAGCATATGCTACAGGCTATATCAATGCAAACCACAAGTACTACAAACTCAAAGCTTCTAAGAGATCAACCGCCGGCGTGACACTGTGAGTGAGTGAACTACAGAAAAATGTCACTATGAACTAGCCTAGAGATGTACATTGACAGAGCAAACCAAGTTATGTACAGTTTAGGCGTTAGAGGGGCAAAATTCCTCAATTGCTCACCAAAAAAATTGGTTGGTGAAGCATCGACAACTCAACTAATCTGAAAGAATCCCTTCTAACTCTGGATCCTCTAGTCTGAACTGCACATCATCATCCGCTTCAGGATCAATTATCTCCTCTTTCTCTCCAGGAGCATCTTCATCTGCCTCGGATTCACCTGCCTCTTCATCAGTATGATCAGGAACTGTGGGCTCACTAGTGGCTATTCCCATCTCAGTATCATTACTCGAGACTTGCTCAGTTTGAATGGCTATTCCTCTCTCAGTATCATTACTTAAGACTTGCTCAGATTGGGAGTTAGATTTGGCTACTGTTTTGCTAACGGTTTTTTCACATATACAGGTAGAAGGGTTCTCATGAAATTCTCCCCTTCCTGGCCTGAGTTCCTTGGGCTCTCCCATAAATCCTTTCTGAACCATGCGCACTCTTGAGGAGAATGAATCCCATGACATGTTTCTTCTGTTCGAAATTAAGGAATAGAGCCTTTTAGCATTTGGCCGGATCGTTCTCTTATGCCCAAAATATCTCCTATCAAAAGCAGTATAGATGGTCAGAACTAATAACGAAGTACATGATGACAGCAGGGAGCTTCCAGTAGCAGAAGAGAAGTATACCTTCGCCCAGCCAAAATTTTAGCCATGTTACCATTGTTGTTAGTCACAAAAGCATCACTTCCATCACATACAATAAAATCAAGTGCAGCCATGCGAGATGAGTATTTAGAGAATGGAGCCAGCTCCTCTTTGCTTGATATTGTTTCTTTCGTGTGGAGATTTGGGAAGAACGCTTTGAGGGGTGCTAATGTCCTTGCCCCGCCATATATCTCTCCAGATGCAACATAAATGTGAACATCATTTCTGTAGCCCAGTGCCCTCAACATCAGCCCCACCTCTTCAGGAGTCAATGGGCATCTACCTTGCCTTCTTCCTTTCTCAGGGTTGATAGCCTAAACAAAGAAGAGGTTGCAGTAGGTAGTTCGGTCAAGGATATATGCCATTTTAAGTACGTACTAATACACTATAATGATATGCCATACGTACATGCAAGGTTTTCCATCTCTTCCGTATTGCACCAAGCTCTTTTCTTTCTTTTTCTCCACCACCATAATAGCACCCCGAAAATGCAAGCATATCAGGTTCAAATCTGGCAACCCAAGAGAAAGACTGTTTAGGGAAAAGGAAAAAAAAGGAAACCACTACAAACTAAATAGACAACATACTTATATTACTCATACAAGAAAATCAGAAACCAGTACAACTTCAGACCAAGATGGTGGTCTATTCTGAAGCAAAGGTCACAGCCAATCCACTAAACTGAACTTCTCCTGACAAGAGCATGCTATATGATGGCCTTCTCTCTTTACTAGCATGACCAACAAGTGATTGACTGATATTATCGATAAGATCTGAGACCAATCTTCTCAATACATAGATGGAGCACAGGAGGACCCTCTTTTGACATGCCATTCGGAACTCCATATATATGTTCTACTAGTATGAGTATGTGCCCGCACAAAGGCTACTTTGGACAGTATTGGTTGACAACTTTTAGATATCACCCTTCACTATTTTGTGCATGCATCCTATTTTGTGCATCCTCCCTCTCAAATCCAGGCTATGCTCAACTGGGGTATTCATGATAAAAGAAACATGCTAAGGAGCCCAACATTTGCTAATCCAAGCTAGAGATGAAAATTGCCCCCCTTATGACCTAAAATGGGTTTCAAGTAATCCCCTGAGAAAAAGAAACTATGTTCTTCACAAATACAGCACTAAGAATATAAGACTCTCTAGTTTTGTATTAAAGGAAAACCAAAATATGAGAGCTCAAGCACCAGAACTTGAGATGCGTGTACCTTAAATGAAGAGCAATAAAATGTTTGCTTCTCTCTCTCATTCTTTGTATTAATTTTTCACCCATTTCTTCTATTAGGCCAGTAAATCTCAACCCATGATAGTTTACTCTGCATCTCAGCTTCTGCAGATCTGTGTCCAACCTGTTTGCTAGTCTATAATCAAATTTCGTCAGCCGAACAACCTGCACTACGTGAAAGTAATGATATAAGGTATCCTGGTATTGGTATTATGAGTGTCTCTGAACAGAAGAAGTAAATTTATTTGAAGTCACACAAGGTGGTCAATGGTCAGTCAGTGGAACGAAAGTACAGTCAATTGACCTACCAAGAATATGAAATTTCTATTCCTGATCTCAAAAATTCATATCATCAAGACGGTGAATTAGCACATAATTTAAAAGTATCTTGGGATTATATGCTGCTAGCAATGACTTACATGTTTCTTAAGAAGTGCAGGCAACACACGGTTCACATAACATCTCTGAGTACATTTTCGGGGCACACGCATTCTATGAGGAGTCCGCAGTTTGCCTCCTATCTCTGGAAGCTCTTTCACAATCTTTACATCCTTTGATAGATTCGAGATGAACCAGTCGACGTCAAAAATTTCAGAGAAATTGCTGCAGAGAAACAGTACACATACAAATGTAAGTGTTCATAGAAACATGGGCAGCCTTAGAATATTAGGGTAGGAAGCGCTCAATACTCAAATTAACCTTGCATCTTTCCAGAAAGATGTTTGATCCAATTTGGGAACAACAAGTGTGGCATTTAAGATACGTGCAGCAACAACAGCATCAATTATCTGAAAAGCAGAAGATGGTCATAGTTATGCATATGGAACAACAGAATACACATAACTACCACGGAGTTACATGGAACATGGTGTCATAATGGATCACATAAAATCTATGTGTACAAGTTGATTCTTCATGTACATTTGCAAACTGATTTCTTTTATTCTTTTTCCTATCCATCCACACGCATCACAGTATTTGATACGGAACAGTGTGGCACATATATTACCCCTGTTCTCTGTTGATTGAGGCCTCCACTTGTAACGATCATCAAATAACGGTCTGGTTGCGTGATAACACTTGAACCTGCACAATTTAAAACATTGACTATTTCAGGTAATCCATACAACAAAGAATAGTACCACTGCCACTAAAACCTCCTATATGTAGAATGCCTCAGAAACATGCACACTACAAATCTAAAACACTACTCAGTTCGAGCAAATTTTAACCGTCAGTGGAAAAATAATGCGCACCAAGGAACCTGCTGCTTGAGTTGCTGCACCCATAGAATCTGCTCGCAAACTTAGAACCCCAAAGGCCATCTGCCTCTTTCTGCAGTATGAGAAATTGCAATGAAGTTTTCATGCTACTTTAGACAAAAATGGAGCAAAATGAGTACATATTTCATGGGTCTATATTTCAAAATAGGGAGTGTCTTGACTCTTGAGCGCATTAAATAAAATCAGTTTAACTCAAATCTCAGAGGATCACATCTAGAAAACCCATGAGAACAAGTTGTGTTTCAAAGGAAATAAATAAACCCATGATAACAAGTTAGAAAATACTCTAGAACATCCTAATCTAACTCCGTAAATATAATAGAAAAGAGCTCAATTTAATAGCTTGCCATCATCTAATTTGCTTCAAAAATGGCACAGGGAATGGAACCTGAATCATTATCTACCAATTAAAACAACCATTTCCCAGAAACAATTAGTTAGGCACTAGAACTGGAATAAGTGCACTGTATCTACTAATTTCTGAACAGCACAACCACGCAACCTCTGACAATTAATCGAGGAATTAGTTCGCTTAATCTAACCAAAGAAGCTTACGCTTATCGGAACGCGCGAAATCTCGCTGTGCTCGGACACCACCGTGCTTCCGCCGCCGGAGCTGTTCAGCTGCACTCGGAATGCACAGAGCAAGACAAATTAGATCGGGATAAGCGTGGGGAGCAGGTAGGAAGGGGTACTAGTGCAACACCACCAGGGGGGCATGAGGGGAGCGGCGGCGAGAGGAAGCGAGGGCCGGGTGATCGATGAGCGGCGGCGGGGAGACGTAGAGCAGCGCGACGGCGGCGAGGAGGAAGAGCAGGAGCGCCGCCGCCGGCAGCAGGGCCGGGCGCGGGCACTTGTTGTGGCCTCCGCCGCCGCGCCGTCGAGGCTGGGCCATCCTCCGGAGCCCGGAGATCTCAGGCTAGGCTAGGGAGGTAGTGCCGCGACGGCAGCGGCGGCGGTGGTGGTGGGGTGGTCGCCGAGACGGCGGCGACATGGGAGACTTGTGGAATTTCGATGAGTGGGTTTGAACTTTCGAGAAGGTGATACTGTTCCAGTGTACGGCAGTGCAGTATTAAATTAAACTGGATTTCCGTATTGCAAATTTTGTACTAATTTTCAAATTCTTTTCCTTTTTTCATAGCACATATAACTGTAACGATTAAACGATGCAATTTGAATACAAGATATTTCATCTAAAAAAGGATACAGGTATTTATTGTCGATTTCTGTAGGAATTGAGACTTTTGTGTACATTTGTAAAGGAGATGTATTCACATTAGCTAGTACAAATTGGTCGAAATTTTTCTGTAATCCTCCGGTTAAAACTTGCCCTTTAATGGAGTAATTGAAGCACGAATTTCTCTACCATCATTGATGACACATGGAGGAAACGTGAATGTCTGCGTGTGTTCGGGTTGGATTGGGATTTGGTGACATTCTCCCGTGACACCGAGGGATTCGGTGACATTCTCCCGTGACATTCTCATTTGATGTCACCGAATCCCAATCCGTTCAGGATTTTGGCGACAGATGGGACCAGACTAAAAAAAACAAGCAAAATGTTGATTTGTTTTTTTTCATTAAAAAAGGTTGATCATTTTCTAAAACAAATTTATCCCTTCGTTTCAAAATGATTTTTTAGTACGTGTTTGACCATTCGTCTTATTAAAAAAATTAAGTAATTATTTATTATTTTCATATCATTTGATTTATTGTTAAATATACTTTCATATATACATATAGTTTTACATATTTCACAAATTTTTTTAATAAGACGAACGGTCAAACATGTGCTAAAAAAATCAACGGAGTCAAATATTTTGAAACGGAGGGGGTATCAGCGAACACATATGATTTAAAAAGAAACTGTCGACAAAATCTTCGCGAAAAAGAAATGCTGAAAGCATGTGAGCCTGCCGTCCTGAACGCATGACAAGTTCGTAGGTGGCTCATGCCCAAAACAATTTGAAGTTAATTTGCTCATTCCCTGAATGATTTTGTAACATACAGACGAAATATTAATCTTTGCTAAAGTAAGGGAACCACTCATACAGTGAAAAATCGAATGAAAAACAGAAGCTCAGATCTTGTCAATCTCAACAGTTCTACAAAATTCAGATCGGTTGTACTTCACCACATAACGCAACAATTGACACCAACCTTTCTCAGATATATGACATTCAAGAATCACTCGAGGAGCAGTATTTGGCAATTGTACCAGGCTGAATTTTGCAATTACAGCTGGCCTGAATCACAAGAGTGGCAGATCATATGAGACACTGGATTTCTGCCAAGATGGTTACTGAAACATTATTGGCTTGCTATTGTTCTGGGGTCACAAGCTGTCGAATCAGGCCATCGCATCAACTCCATGTACCAGAGTACAGTATATAGGATGGCAAGGAGAAAATCTACAACACCAATAATATGCACAACAAACAAGTCTGCTTGAGCAGAAAAGGGAAGGTCTGTTAGAACAAGAGAAGGTACTATTGGTAATCGCATCAACAACATACCGAGCAAAGAAGTGGAGTTATGTGCCCTTACAACGGAGAGAACATGCAGCTTCATTTTCTCTGCAAGTAGGGCTTGACTGATTCTAAAACAACCTGACCATTAGAGGAAATTATCACAGATCATTAGAGTCAAGATTCAGATATCAGATAAACTGGCTTTAAAAAATCACAAGACAAATATTTCAAATAAGCATACAAATGCTGCAGGTACTTACCCTTCCGTCATAAGATAAAGAAGCAAATAATGACGGATCATGGGAGCTCCATGCAATACCTACAATTTTTTAATACGCTGTGTGATTCCTTGTCAAAATTATAACGTAGAATTATAAACACAGGTAGGAATTCCTGAGGGTACCGTATATGCTATCTTCATAATCAGTGTATGAATTTAGTAATGGTTCTTCTTCTCTTGTGGGTGAACCAGGAGGACTGATAAGCAAGAATGTGGGCATCAAGATTATAACAAACAAAGTAACCAAACAAGAAAATACACAAGGAATAGAAACCTTTCAGGTCCTGAGTCATCAGTGCCAACTTTAGCAAACCACAAATTGACAGTTGAATCTGTTCCAGCACTCTACAGGAGTTACAATGTAGTCAGTACACAATAAAACAGTACATCACAATATGCAAACCACTTGAAGAAATAGAGAGAGAGGGAGAGACCAGAATCAACTGGTCATGCTCAGGATTGTGCCGAACAGCCCATGTCCTGCAAAATTCACAAGGGTCGACTAACTAAACATTGAATCGAAAGGATTCTAATCTGAGTAAAACAGGATATAGAAATATACCAATGCGAATGCCCAGGGAGATTCTTCAGAGGATACTTAAGCATTCTGAGATCCCACAAACGGATACCAAATTCATCTTCTGCTGTTGTCTACAATGCATAAAGGATCTTTTATTGGAACCATAAATAAATTAAACTGAATAAAAATAAACAGTACCTATCACTATAACCGTTAATTGCACAATTGTCTGATTCAACAACCTCTGAAATAGGGTTCAATGATTCAGCTAGATAACACAATCAAATCCGAGTGTTTAGTTTCATTGAACAATAAAAGAAGTAACGGCTAGCAAGTAGCGGCACAGCTGATACCACACAGTACCTACTAATGTAAGAAAAATAATCTCTGCAGGATCCTTAATCAAAACAAAGACGAAACGAAGTTGACAGGTAACAAAGAAAACGGAAGTAATACAACAGTGTTTTTCTCTTCAGTACTAATTCATAACCATGACTTAAGCAAACGAACTATGGCTTGATCTGAAACACTTGAAATGAAGTACGGCAAGTATCACCACTCACAATTAAGTGCTGTTTCTTGGGGTTATAATCCACATCCCGAAAATGCGCATGCTCAATTGCATTTGATTTCCTGAAAAGAACAAGTTCACAGATAAAGATATAAGTGGAACATTTCAGCATCTAAACCACAGACACTAGATCAACAAATCTAATATGTCAAGATTGTGAAGGTATTAACTTCATAGAACGGAGATCCCAGCAGTGAAGTGAGGAATCAGTAATTGCAGCAATTGAATTGTGATCGTGTGGATCCCAAGATCCACCACGTAAATTGGGAAGCATGTCAGCAGACCCCTTTTGCATCACCTGTAACTTAGGAATTCAAGTTAGGACAAGATTAAGTTCAGAACTTCTGCTAACAGAGATACAGAACTGTAAGTTTCCATAAAGTTGACACTGAAGTGCGAAGATAATGCTTAGAAACAATGTAATATCACGTAATTATGTCGATGTACTATTGGTAAAACAGAAGGATGCTGGGCACACCTTGGCTGACTTATTTGATGCATCTATATTCCAGAGGAAAATATTTCTGTCATCAATACTAATTAACTTGTCGTGCTTCCCTAGTGGCCACCAGAGAACACTGCAAAGATAAGCCAGCTTACAGATACAGTCTGAGCATGGTATCCACCAGAAATAACAATGTATTAAAGGAGCTTATACATTGTTATAAGACTGTGAAGAAAGGTCATAACTTATCTAAAACTTTAGATCAAAAAATGGTATTGGTAAATAAAAATATTAAAATTTCATCTATTGTGTGCTCCCTATAGAGAACCTCGGACGAGCCAAAATTAATTCTTATGTTGCTTTGGCCTTCGAATTGTAGCTATGTGTTGTAAACAAGTAAGGTATGCTAGGAAAACTTGAAATATCCGCTGAACCCTATATGGTGTATAACCTTCTCATGACAATGTGCTTCATAAAGTAGCATTGGTAAAATCACAGTCATCGTTTTTGTGAGTCGACTAATCCCCAAAATAAGAGACCCTTTTTGGGCTTTGCAAATCATCAGCATACAGTTGCATTCTTCAACTAGACTCTGGTTACTACTTACCAGTATGTATAAAATCAACAAGCGGCAAAATACTCTACAGCAATAAGACTAAACGGCACCAGAACAAGCGAGCACAGAACATCAACAGAAACAAGAGCGCGCACCATCTTATTTTGCCCGTGTGCTCATCAAGCGTGAAAAGCTGCTCAAGTGGCGGCGAATTCGACTGCCCGTGCAGCTCCGGGATCTTCCAAACAGATGCACCATAGCCCTCGCCTTCCATCCATATCATAACATAAAGAAATTTTTAGAAATTTACAACTAGATGAAATGCCCAATGCACCGGCAGAAAGAGAGTAACAAAGAGGGGAATTCTTTCTTTACCAGACGTGTAGACTGTGGAGAAGACCCTATGATCGAAGGGGCAAGACTTAAGGTCCCAGATCTCGTTTGGATGGTAGAACAGCCCGTCGCACACCAGCTCGCTCTCCGCCGGTGAAAACCGGATCAGGTGCACCTACTTGGCAGCAACAACGAGTTAGAGATCCAATCACAACGTTCTCTTCTACAATTGCTCGAATTGCTGCAACACACAGGGCAGAGCCAGAGTCGATGGAAGAAGACGAGTTGGGGCGGAGAGCCCTCCCCCCCTCCTCCAGGAGACGCACCTCGTTCTCCTCCTTGAGACTGAGGGTTCCGGCGAGGAAGGTGGTCGACCCGGCGGCCGCGCGCACGTCGGCGATGCACCGCGCCTGCAAGAGTGGGGTGCAAGGGTGAGGGGCGCCCCCCTACGGGAGACTGTTCTAGAAGGTTCGAGAAGGCTTGCCTGGTACTTGAGGCCGCCGTAGACGATGCCGCTAGATCCGCCCTGCATTCTCGCTCCGTCCGTCGCCGGCGAGCACCACGGTGGTCGACGGGCACGGAGATCGCGGAATGCACGGAGACGAGCGAGACTACGGCGACCTGGCGCCTTCTACACTTCTTATCGAGAAAAAGAATACGTTTCGTACACATGGAAACGAACTTCTTGAGACCGTGTCCGATATGGTCAATGGTTTACGTTTTCTACGTATGCGAAGCGGAAAAGATTTGGTTAGACGTGAGCGTTGGGAAAGGTAGGTAGGCCGTTCAAATAGGATTCGGCTCCCCAATACGGCCCGGCCCATCTACGATCGCCTAGTGTGGGCCCGCAAGGAAGTTACAGTCCGTTCCGGACTTGCGGCCCATGCAATATGGGCCGCACATAGGCCGGAAACCCCTTACAGCCTGAGTAGCTGGGACGCCTAGCACAAGCCCACAAACCCAACAGCCATCGACCATCAAAGATATATCGGCCAACAGCTTGCTAGCTCTAGCTTTTCAAAACTTTTTTCCATCAATTATTTCGATTTTCGAGGTGTCACACATTTCCTTCTCAAAATTTCAGCACTTGTTCTTTATGAGAAGAAAGCAGCAGGTGAGAGGAGTCCGGGCTTTCTCAAGGTTAGAACGAGTGGACGACGTCCAGAATCATTATCAGTGCCAATGCGGATCTAGAAATTTGTGTGAGCCTGTTACGCCAACGGATATATAACAAATCACACATAACTTCATAGATTGTGTACCATACAACAACTTTTTTATCTATTCTAATTTAGAGGAAAACATGGTTGTGTTTTTGCAGGCTATGGGACTTAGTAATTTATTATCCCGAAAAGAGAAAAATTATAATGGTGCTAGAAAATTTACTTTGCTTTCAGGTTGCAGATGTCTAATAGCTTACACTCAAGTAATGGGTACAACAATCTAGCTAGTAAATAATTCTGGTGCTTCAGGTTATACCCTAGATGATTATGTCTAACAGATTATTAAAACGTACTTATACTACTGCATGCAGCATGCTAGTTATTGTATGCTGTGGCTAAGTATGTTCTCTAATACTTATACACGTTATTAAGTGTCCCAACCAAATAGTGTGCTTATACTGCTTCATGCCGTGGCTAAGCACCATAAATTAGCACTAATCAAATGATGCTTGCGGCGCCGAAGCCCGGGCAAGTGCCCAGGGTCGCCGGGCCCTAGCTCCGCCGCTGATCATTATTGACAGAGAGTATTATTGCAAAGTCTAAAAACAGAGTACCACCACTACTCTATATCAAGCACCGTCACTTTAGAGTAAGCAAGATAATAGCCTGCTTATGTAAGAAGAGAAGGACTAGAGAGAGAGAAGCGAGCGACTATTCTATTGCCAATTCAAGCGCGCGCGCCTATGCACGGTTACTGACATGGACCCGCTACAAATGAGAACATTGTTGATGACAACCATGAAAAACAGAACAAACAATGTACAACATTGGGTAACTCTTGGCGTGATGCATACACTCTCATGTTTGTTGTCCCAAAGGAGGCAATATTGTTGTTTGTGCAATGATGTCACCACTATCTCAGTATCTCTACATCACATGGGTCAATAAAAGCTGACCTGATGCGTTTTATCTAGCCTTTAAGTGTCTTTGAGTGCTGTAGAAACCGATGATTATTTAAGTGACCTACTCACTCTCCCTTCACCCATTTCTTCTCTAACTCATTAATTTTGTCATCGCAAATGTAATATAGCCACCTGTATATTACTTGGATACTAAGGCACCCGCAATGATTATCTATAAGCTCTCTACAAGAGATCCATGTCAGCATATTTTTCTACTTGGAAGATATTAAATGAAGAGAGAGAGAGCGAAGCTATCTACTAACATAGAGATAGTCTATAGAGAAAAACGAGGCAATGCATGAGAGAGCTATAGATACCCATGTAGACATACTATTGAGGTGGTTTACTATTAATCTAGTATATTGCTGAGATGTACATGTTTTATAGAGAACACTTTACTTTACCATCGCGGGTGCTCTAATGACTCCGTCTAACTGTAAACTGTTTGTCCACGTATTCCGTATAAAAACGGTTAAAAAAAAGGAAGCAGAGGGTTGGTTTGGTTTGTGGTCTAAATAGGCCTTACCAAATTTTATTAGTACCAAAATTTGGCAAGTTTTGGCATGACTAATTTTGGTAAGGCAAAGTTGTGTTTGGATTGAAGCCAAAATAGCCTAAGTTCACTATTGAAATGGCCTATTTTCTTAGGCATGCCAAAATTTGGCTTCAAACCAAATAGACACTAAACACTATTGAAATTGCCAAAAATTGGTAAGCCTAATTTAGGCCACAAACCAAACCAGCCCAGAGTCGGGGGTTGCTAGTTGGCGCGCGCACCAGCTGCTCCCGGCCTAAGGCCCATCAGCCCTTTTTTTTCGCGATTTGTTTTTTCTTTTTCTTTTGCGATTGTTTTCGGTTTTTTTCGTTTTCTTTCTTATTACTTTTTTTAATCTTTAGCACACTTATTTTTTTATAAAATGTTTTGAGTTGAAAGTTTTTAAATCTTAACTTGAAAATTTTTAAATTTGATTTGAAAGTATTCAAATCTCGAGTTGAAAGTTTTTGAATCTGAGTTGTAAGTTTTCAAATTTGAGTTGAAAGTTTTCGAATCGGAGTCAAAAGTTTTCGAATTTTGAGTTGAAAGTTTTTAAATCTGAGTCGAAAGTTTTCATATTTTTTCAAATCTTAACTTAAAAATTTTCAAATCTGTAATTGAAAGTTTTTAAATCTCGAGTTGAAAGTTTTCGAATCTGAGTTAAAAGTTTTTGAATCTCAAGTTAAAATTTTTTAAATCTGAGTTGAAAGTTTTCAAATATGAGTTGAAAGTTTTCAAGTCGAAGTTGAAAGATTTCAAGTTGAAGTTGAAAGTTTTCAAGTTAGAGTTAAAAGTATTCAAATCTGGGTTGAAAGTTTACACATATATGGAAAAATTCGGAAAAAAAAAATAACCGTGTCTTGCCGTCTATTGGGCCGTGTGGGCCGGCGCGTGCGCGCCAATTAGCATTCCTGCACAGAGTCCACGTCTGCGGTGAAGAAAAAAAAAAGAGAGACAGAGGAAACAGGAGGGTGACGTGGACAGAACGGATGACGGGATGGCGGTAGACGTGGCGCGACGGCCATCGGCTACTCCGCATCCCCTCTCCGCCACTCCTCGCCCGCCTCTCCCCCCAACCAAAAACCCAACCCCGACGACCCACGCCGCCACTTCTCCACGCTCTCTCTCTCGCGCGCGCAAATGGCGTCGTCGACCAGCCTCGCCGCGCTGCCCTCGCAGCTCGCCTCCCCCGCCCGCCGCGCCGCCCTCTCCCGGTCCGCTACCGCGCGGCCGCGCCACCACCACCACCCCCTCCTCCGCGCACCGCCCAAAGGTACAATACCTATCCCGTTTCCGCCTTCCCCTCGCCTGCAGTTGCGGATGATCGTGTGAGGTAAACGAAGTTTGGGGGGTTCTCCAGGCTGCAGGCTGGTGGTGACCTGCAACGCGCAGACGGCGGTCCCGACCAGCATTGCGCAGGGCACGCCCGTCAGGCCGACCAGCATCCTGGTGGTCGGCGCCACCGGGACGCTGGGACGGCAGGTGGTCAGGCGGGCGCTGGACGAGGGCTACGACGTGCGCTGCCTCGTCAGGCCCCGCCCGGCGCCGGCCGATTTCCTCCGCGACTGGGGCGCCACTGTGGTCAATGTAGGTTTCCACTGTTTTCCTTGCTGCTATATCAACCTCACTGTTCAATGTTTATCCGCCTCATGCCCATTTCTGTTTGCTGATTTAGGCCGATCTCAGCAAGCCAGAGACCATTCCCGCGACGCTTGTTGGTATTCATACCGTCATCGATTGTGCTACAGGGCGTCCCGAAGAGCCCATTCGGACGGTATGTTGTTAGCATTTCTTTAAGCATAATGTGATACTTCTGTATTCCTGTCCTGAAGTTGATTCTTGCTGAAGTGTATTTGCACTATTGTTGAGTCGTGACTAAAGCTAATCACATTGCTTTTAATATATCACGTAATTGTGATGTAGTCCTTATACTGTGAGTCCTGTGACATATATGCTGTAGAGTCGTTGAGTGAATTTGGTTTCCGTTTTGCTAATAGTTGTTCTATTTAGGTAGATTGGGAAGGAAAGGTTGCTCTAATACAATGTGCTAAGGCCATGGGAATTCAAAAGTATGTGTTCTACTCTATTCATAACTGTGACAAGCACCCGGAGGTTCCCTTGATGGAAATCAAGCATTGTACAGAGAAGTTTATTCAGGATGCCGGTCTGGATTATCTCATCATCCGTTTGTGTGGTTTCATGCAGGTAAATGTGTTCCTTCTGTGGGGTTCTATATATTTGGCCAGGAAATTGATTTGTTTTCGAATATAAACAAGGGTAGTTAATTGTTTCCTGAAACGAATTCTGTCAAATGTTGGTCTGAGTAGGGCCTAATTGGGCAATATGCTGTGCCCATACTAGAAGAGAAGTCAGTATGGGGAACTGATGCTCCTACCCGGATTGCTTACATGGATACCCAGGTTTATCTTTCTCCTTCTCCATTGAAAGATGAATATGTGACCTATTTGTAACATTATCTCTTCAAAGTCCCTTCCTTTGATACAACATCCCTCGTGTGATTGTAGGACGTTGCTCGACTGACGTTTATTGCCATGCGGAATGAGAAGGCTAGCAAGAAGCTCTTAACTTTTGCCGGACCACGTGCCTGGACAACTCAAGAGGTAGTATACTGTACACTGTTCTAATGACGTCAATTCTTTTTTTAAGGATGTAAATACATATTTGGTTTCCATGAATAAATTGCACAGCATGTTTATTCTTGACTGGAAATATACTCCCTCTGTCAGAAATATATGTCGTTTTGCAAAATGTGCAGCTGAACTTCCTTATCTTTGTCCACCAACATATCAAATGGTATTAGGCTTGTCATATGTACATATTTGGCTTCCATGAAAGCCTGTCATGAAAATTTTTGCTGGAATTTTCTGTGGCGCATCTGTTTTAGTTTTCCAGTGTGTGTGTGTGTTTATGTGGTATATTTTGGGGATAGGAAGGGCTTTTAACCCCTAACCCTCCCCTTGTAGTACTATATTATTTATTCTTAATGAAATAGCACAGAGCTCTTCTGCGTGTTCAATGGAAAAAATTGCAATATACTAATTTATGTTCACAAGCATATTCATATAAATGTAAAGGTCAAAGTTGCATGTGGAGACTATATTGTTGTCCAAAATGTCATGAATTCTTCAAGAGATGGGAGTACTAATCTTGTATTTCCTGCTCTTAATTTCGTTTTCAATGTCAGAATGTACCAAATGATGGCTTCTGAGAGTTGGAATACTATCATTTACTCAACTATTGTATTGTTTTTTTACTCAGGTGATTACACTGTGTGAGCGGTTGGCTGGCCAAGATGCCAACGTTACTACTGTCCCTGTTGCAGTGTTGAGATTTACTCGTCAGTTGACACGGTTCTTCCAGTGGACAAATGATGTGGCTGACAGACTGGCATTCTCAGAGGTTACACTCTAGACTTATCTAAATAGTGCACTTGATTTTTCAGTAATTATAAAATTGTCAAGGCTTATGAAAATTAATAACTAGTATTTAATTGTTATAATTCAGGTCCTCTCCAGTGACACAATTTTCTCAGTTCCAATGAATGATACATACCAGCTTCTTGGGGTAGATTCAAAGGATATTCTCACCTTAGAGAAGTATTTGCAAGATTACTTCACTAACATTTTAAAAAAATTGAAGGATCTCAAGGCACAGTCCAAGCAAACTGACATATTCTTTTGACAAGAAGGATATCTACAAACCTATGGATATATTTTCTGATGCAGATCTGTGCTTCAAAACACAGATGAGTGAATACAAATTTTCTTGTATATCTGTTGTTGTGGTATGTGCAAGAAGTGCATGCTATTAGGTTATGTCTACAGAATCCCAACTATTGAACTATCAGGTCATGTATATAGGATCTCAACTATTCAACTATCAAAGACCTGGAGTTTGTGTAGATCAGACCTAAATTCATGAATTCACAGTCAGCTTCTGCTTTTCTATAATCACGCGTTTTAGCATGACTAGTGAACCAGAATGTATTGTATTATCTTGGGATAGACTAAAGATGAATTATTGTTTTTAATCTGTACTATGACAAACAATAAAAATTGCATAACAATTAAAGAAAGAGATGCACATGAAATTTCCTTGGACCTTTGGAGAAGGCCTACCTGGCTTACCTATGAAGAGGAAACAAATGAGGCCATGACATCCAGTGATAAATACAATCTTGCTACTTAATACCATAAATTTTGTGTGTTAATGTCCTAGATTTGTGTTGCAACAGATCAATTTCAAATCCTCAAAGGAGCCATAAGCAGCAAAGCTTTCTAGCCTCAAATAGTGTACCGCACATTTTATATTCCAAATGAATGTTTTGCTTATTACCTGGGGGTGGGGGTGGGGGTGGGGGTTAAAGTTTGATTTCTTTTCCCCTTTATGATTGGCACATATCAGACCAACTCTGGTGTTTACTTCTATTTTAGACCTTGCGGCTGGAGCTGGCATATTTCCTATATAGGCCAGATCCACCTCATAAGGAGTGTATCAGTGTACAAATCACAATCATTATGAGTTGTTGAAACAACACTACTATTTGTAAATCAGATAACTAAGCTTAATCTCTATCCCTGAAAAAAAAAATCTGCACTACCATCCCAGATAGATGCACCAAAATGTATTTTCTCATAAGACAAAAAATATACTTTTGTTACTGAAGCACGGATATACTTTTTCTATTGATGTATTTTCATCTGTTCAAATGTCCTGCATATTTGTTGACTTCACGTATATATATGATACCATTTTGATATTAGTGAGATTGGTGGTTCTGTCATAGTAAATTGGCAACATGAACTATGCCAACATTTTGTTTTTTTCACTAGAAAGGCAATAGTGCAGACATCTCATGGAATAATGACATTGTGAACCTCAGTAGTATGTGAACATTGAATGCACAACACAAATTAGATCAAAACTTTTGTCTCTTCATGTATGAACATTTCTGTACACTACATATACAAATGGGAAGGATCGGCAAATCCTTTAAAAGGCGGATACCGATCACATGCTATCAAGAATGACAGAGGAGTATCTATGAGCTAAGAATGTTAAGGAGAGTAACCCTGCTCTGGACCAATCTCCTGAACACAAGTCCAGCCCCAGCCTCAAGATCTCCGATGCAGCACTCTAACACCTGCAACTGTTCCTCACTGCAAACAACTGAGTTTTTCTTCAGGAATGCCTTGGAGATGATAGACATTTTTGGTGTTGCGATTTGCTTCGATAAGAGGTCCATTGATGACTCAAGTACAGAGGTTGTGATCTCTCTAGCCTTGCTCAAGAGCTTGACCATCTTGTCATCCTCCTTGTCTGAGGTAACCTTCTTCACAGTCTTCTTGAAATGCTTTTTTGCCTTCTTCATCAAGCGAATGTATGACTGGATCTTAGCTTGAACAACTGCATCATCTCCTTTTCTAAGAGATACTTGCATATCTTGGATGATGGCCTTCAACTCAGCAAACACCTCATGCATAGCATTGCAGAGATCCAGTAGCTCAAGGGAGCATTCCATTTCTCCATCCAACAACTTCCTTTGCTGGGATGAGCAAATTTGGTTGCTAGGCAGGCACATGATGCCCTCAACAGAGCTGTAGATATCCTCAAGCCTCTTTAAACCATCGGAGAGGATCTCAATGGTCATCGAGGTTGAAGAGATGGATGCCTCTACGATGTGAAGCTCTTCTTCAACTTTGGAGTGAGTCCTAGAAGGCAAGCTAATTGATCTTTGGTGGCAAGCCATATCTGTTGATGTAATTCTTGTTGTGTTGTGGCTGAGGAGATGGGAAGGAGAGTCCAAGCTTTGGTTTGATGTGTTTGGCCTTCTGCCAAGGCCTATTTATACAGAGGAACTGCACGGGACAGCATCGTTTGGTTTACAGACAAGTAGAATCCCTCCAGTTCATCTCCCAGATGCTGTCTATCAAGGTCTGAGATCTGGTAGCAGCATATAGAATCTATTCTGTCACTCATGTGTAGCTGCATATATTAGTGCACTACATATCCTCCCAATGAACTATCACATTGTCATGTTCCAACTATTGGAAGCAAGAATCAGAAGGTTAGTTCACTCTATTGGTGGATCTTGACATTATTGCGTTTTCAAGATGTTACTTTAAGGGAGTGGTACTGAGTATTGTTGGTGATAGGTGTGTCTTCTAGTTTTTAGTGTGCTTGCTAATTTAAATATTGTTTTATTATGTGCAATCCATGCCGCTCACACATTCAACCTCGTGCATTGGAGCTGGCTTGTCTTAGCTCTGGTAGCAAGATCCACTGCTCAAGGATCCTTTGCTTCTTGTTGAGTTAGCACATAGCATCTGAATAGCGAGGCCGTATCATAGTAAATCATTTCGAAGCTGAACTTGAAAATTCTGCTAACTGCTTCTCTAACAGTCAATAATGATGAGCATATTGTTAGAAAATTAGGTATTTATATCAAACATTCATAAACAGTGTAATCAACAATAGGAAGTGGACAAATACTTTGTTTTTGTTTCTCAACTGAGTTTCTGTACAATTCCTTTCATATATGTACACATCAAAATTTTGTTCCAGTGATCAGCAAATCCTCTAAAAGGCGGATACTAATCGCATGGAATCAGAGTTGGTGTATGATCTATCTACAAGCTGAGAATGTTGAGAAGAGAAACTCTGCTCTGGATTGATTTTCTGAACAGATTCTCGACTCCAGTCTCTAGATCAACAATGTCTAACTCCAACACCTGCAATTGCTCCTCCTCGCAGACAAGCCTTCTTTTCTGGAATGTCTTGGAGACAAGAGACCATTTGCTAGAGCATGGCAAAGCAATCTGCTTCGACAGGAGATGTGATGACGACTCGAGCATTGACAGAGCTATCTCTCTAGCTTCAGCCAACAGCTTGATCACCCTGCAGCTCTCCTGATCTGCTGAAGAAGACTTCTTGCTGATATGCTTGAACTGTTTTCGCCCCTTCTTGGCGAGGCGGATGTAAGACTGTATCTTGGCTTGGACAGCTGCATCATCTCCTCTCTTGACAGCCAGCTGCATGTCCTGGATGCATGCCTTGAGCCCGGAAAAGCTCTCGTGAATGGCGTTGCAGAGGTCTAGCACGACGAGAGAGCCTTCTAACTCTTGCTCCACTGCTTTCCTCTGCAGTGGTTGGCAAAGGAGAGCTTGGCTGCTGGGCAGACACATGATCTCATCGATGCAGTTGTAGATACTCCCAAGCTTCTTCCAGCCACTGCTCATCGTCTCGATGGTTGAACTGGGTGAGGAAATGGTCACCTTTAGACTCTGCAGCAGTTCTTCAGCGTTGGTTTCATTGGAGCAAGGGCTGGATGGCACACTCGCAGATCTGAGGTGGAATGCCATGGCTGCAGTGGAAGCTTATCCTTTTTCTCTTCTCTGTGGAAGTGAAGATGAGAAGAATGCTGTGCTGCAATGGTGTCGACCCGGCTATAGCTTTCCTCTATATAGACAAAGAGGCAGAAGCAATGGCATCCCTCACCGTGTAGACAACAATGAAATCTCAATAATAATGAAGTGCTTTGCTGCTGCAACAGACGCCACCCATCTCCTCGACAGGCTGATGTTTTTTTATGTTTCCCAACCAAGTGTAGAGGCATCTCTAGCTCAGCTTACAATGCTGTCATGTCCTGATTATTGGCGGCAAGTTCACCTGCACAAGTGTATAGTCTAATGTAATATTCAGATCCAGATCATGAGAAGGATGAGCCTTGCTCACAGGAGCAGCAGTTGACTTCTCTCTCCAGGCTCCAAACCGTGTTTCTTATCTGGTAGAATCTGCTCACTGATCTTGCAGCATTGCATCACTGGCTTGCCTGCTGTGCTCACAGCATTTAGCATCTGTTGCAATCTCAAGATGATTCCACGTGCTGTCCAAATTTCTGGTCAATTAGGCCGCCTAACTGAATCACAATGTCATGTTCCAGTTATTGGCAGCAGGAATCAGCATGGCAGCTTACTCTAGCGTTGAGCCTTTGTCATACGTGCAAGCTCCAGCATTTATCCAATGGAGATTGCTAATCGAGTAGTGTTATTGCAACTTGCCATCTGTGCTGCCCATCTGATTGCAGAATAATTTATCAACAACCGTACGAGCTGGCAATCTGTCATGGTGCTATATGCAAGGCAAGATCCACTGCAGAAGGATCTTGTGCCTGTACTTGAGGCACGTCACATGTGAATAGTAATTACATGGGCATCTCACGGTAAAGCTTTGTAAATCTAATATTTGAACTCTGCATTACTACTGATCTCTATATTATAACAGCCAAGATCGATGAAGAAAATTCTTATTAAGTTACTATTTCCTTTCGTGAACAAGTTTCATCTGAAGAACTCAAAATGTCAGGTGATTGTTCAGTTGACATCCATGTGGAATGAGGGGGAAAAGGAAGACAGTGAAATTAAACAAAAGGAATAAATCCTTTGTTTTTCAATCGCATAAATTTCTGTACATTTCCTCTCATTTATGTACACATGACAAAATTGATTCAATGATCAGCAAATCCTCGAAAAGGCGGATGCCAATCACAGGGGATTAGAGTTGGTGTATGATCTATCTACAAGCTAAGAGCATTCAAAAGAGAAACTCTGCTCTGGATCAATCTCCTGAACAAAGTCTCAACTCCGCTCTGAAGATCAACGATGTCCAACTCCAACACCTGTAATTGCTCCTCCTGGCATGTAACCCTTGTCTTCTGGAATGCCTTAAGAGACCACTTGCTGGAACTCGGCACCGCAATCTGCTTTGACAGGAGATGCAAAGTTGATTCAAGCACTGAGAAAGTGATCTCTCTGGCATCAGCCATCAGCTTGACCACCCTGCAGCTCTCCTGATCAGCTGAACTAGCAGGCTTCTTGTTGATCTTCTTGCACTGTTTATGTGCCTTCTTGGTCAGGCGGGTGTAAGACTGAACATTGGTCTGAACTGCTGCATCTTCTCCTCTCTTGATGGCCAACTGCATCTCCTGGGTGGTTGCCTTGAGCTCAGAGAAGCTCTCTTGCATGGCGTTGCAGAGGTCAAGCAAGGTGAGAGACCGCTCCAGCTCTTTCTCCACTTCTCTCCTCTGCTGATGCTTGCAAAGGCTAGCTTGGCTGCTGGGCAAGCACATGATCTCATCCATGCAGCTGTACACATCTGTAAGCCTCCTGAAACCATTGCACATTGTTTCCATGGTTGCAGAGGGTGAACAGATGATCTCCCTGAGGCTCGCCAGCTGTTCTTCGATGTTGGTTTCATTGGAGCAAGGGCTGGAAGGCACGCTCGCGGATCTGAGGTGGAATACCATGGTTGGGATGGAAGCTGATGACTCGTTTCTCTCTAGAAATGGAAGAGAACAGACTGCTTTGCAATGTTGTCAACAGCAAACCATGGCTTCTCTATATATAACGAAGGAGGGAGAAGCAGTCTCATTACTGGACCAGCAGACAGAAAGAATCTCTCTAATAATTGGCGAAGCCTTGTGCTGCAACAGAAGCCACCATCTGCACGACAGGTTTCTGTTTCTTTAATATTTGTATGCTTTGCTCAATGCACAAAGCATCTCTTCTCTAATTGAGCTTGCATTGAGGTGGCTATCATGCCTCGCTGGCCAGAAACTGGAGACAAACTCATCTGCACGAGCGTGTCAGTTTAGTTTAATATCAGATCCATATCGTGAGATTGGTGAGTAAAGCAATGCAGTGCAGTGAGAGGAGATGAGCTGTTTTTGCTGTTGCAACCGTGCAAAGGAGGAGTTGACTTGACATCATGTGTCATCTGTTGCTGGTCGCAGATATCATAGTGTGTTATTGCCAGCAGGAATCAGCATGGCAGCTAACTCGTAGTCATAGTGCAGAGCCTTGTCATACATGCATGCTGCAGCACTTCTTTAATGGAGAATGCTAATCGAGTTGTGTTGTTTCCAACTTGCCATCTGTGCTACTCCATCTTCTTGCGGAACAATTTATCAAGAACTATATCAGCCGGCTAACTGGCAATCTGTCATGCTGCTATCAATTATATGCATGGCAATATCCACCATCTTCTTGCGGAACAATTTATCAAGAACTATATCAGCCGGCTAACTGGCAATCTGTCATGCTGCTATCAATTATATGCATGGCAATATCCATTGAAGAAGGGTCTTGCGCCTGTTCTTGAGGCACATCTCATGTGAATAGCAATGACGTGTCCATCTCACGGTAAAAGCTTTGCGAATAAAATATTTGAACAGTGCAATTATACTAATTTCTTTATTATAACAACCAAGATAGATGAAGAAAATTCTGATTAAATTGCTATGTGCCCTCTTGAACAAGCTTCAGCTGAAGTATTCAAAATGATAGATGATTGTTCACCTGCCATCCATGTCGATTGAGGGGAAAAGGGAAGTAAGACAGTGAAATAAGACAGAAGGAAAAATCCTTTGTTTTTCATTCGAGTGAATTCTGTACATTTCCTCTCATTTATGTACACTACTATACATCCAAAAATTGTTTCAATGATCAGCAAATCCTCTAAAAGGCGGACGCCAATCACAGGGGATCAGAGTTGGTGTATGATCTATCTACAAGCTAAGAGCATTCAAAAGAGAAACTCTGCTCTGGATCAATCTCCTGAACAAAGTCTCAACTCCGCTCTCAAGATCAACGATGTCCAACTCCAACGCCTGTAATTGCTCCTCCTGGCATGTAACCCTTGTCTTCTGGAATGCCTTGGAGACAAGAGACCACTTGCTTTGACTTGGCATCGCAATCTGCTTTGACAGGAGGTGCAAAGTTGATTCAAGCACCGAGAGAGCGATCTCTCTGGCATCAGCCAGCAGCTTGACCACCCTGCAACCCTCCTGGTCTTCTGAAGCAGACTTCTTGTTGATCTTCTTGAACTGTTTCTGCGCCTTCTTGGTCAGGCGGGTGTAAGCCTGAACCTTGGACTGAACTGCTGCATCATCACCCCTCTTGATGGCCAACTGCATCTCCTGGGTGCTCGCCTTGAGCTCAGAGAAGCTCTCTTGCATGGCGTTGCAGAGGTCAAGCAAGGCGAGAGACCGCTCCAGCTCTTGCTCCACAGCTCTCCTCTGCTGAAGCCTGAAGCTGGGCAAGCACATCATCTCATCCATGCAGCTGTACACATCTGTAAGTCTCCTGAAACCATTGCACATTGTTTCAATTGTTGCAGAGGGTGAGGAGACGATCTCCTCGAGGCTCTGCAGCTGTTCTTCGACGTCGGTTTTGGCAGAGCGAGGGCTGGAAGGCGCACTCGCGGATCTGAGGTGGAATGCCATGGCTGGGATGGAAGCTGATGACTTGTTTCTCTCTGGAATTGGAAGAGAAGAGGAGATAACTCAAGACTGCTTCGCAATGTTGTCGACACCAAACCATGGCTTCTCTGTATATATAACCAAGGAAGGAGAAGCAGGTCTCATTGCTGGACCAGCAGACAGAAAGAATCTCATTGATAATTGACGATCACTTGTGCTGCAACAGAACTACAGAAGCAACAGGTTTCTGTTTCTTTAATCTCTATCATTATATGCTTTGCTCGATGCAAGAGGCAGCATCTCTACTGATTGAATGAACTTGTGAGATAATACTAGTAGATGACTAGCTGTCATGTCTCACCTGAAACTGGAGACAAACACTCATCTGCACGAGCGCGTGAAACTTCAGTTTAATGCCAGGTCCAGATCGTGTGAGATCTGTGATGAGCAAGCAATGCCAATGCAATGCAGTGAGAAGAGATGAGCTGTGGTTGCTGTTGCAACCGTGCAAAGAGTTTGACTTTGCCTCGTGTGCATATCTATCTTGGAAACATATCCTATACACACAGGCCCTCACGTGTACACACGTGCACACCAACTAAAAAATGTCAATAAAAAATTTAGAAAAAATCATACACATACTTTCAATTGTATTACACCTAGGGTTAAAATCTTAACGTTAAATTCATTATATTTTAGCCGTAACAAAAAAACAAAAAATCTGATTGTTTTAAGGTTGCAATTTTGTCAGAATTTTATCTTTTTTGTTATTCTCTATGTAGAATGAATTTGAAGATGTGACTTTGCACGTAGATGTAATACTATTGAAAGTACATGTATTAATTTTTTGTGATAATTTTTAGTTGCTGTACACGGTGTGTACATGCGAGGGTCTGTGTGCATAGGATACGCTCCCATCTATCTGTCCGTTGGAAGCAGATATCGCAGTGTATTTGGTTGGCTTACGCTTTCTGTATTACTACACGATGATTCCATCCATAATTGCCTTCGTGCGCATGGCTGGTTTGTTTCACCTCAATCTCGAGATGATCCGTGTGTTGAACAATAACTAAGCTTATCGGGCTGTCATGTTTGCTAACTTTTTTTTTATTAATCGTCCGCAAATAATCCACAAGGGCGTCTAATATGCGATAATGCGAAGTTGCAAACCAACTCGCTTGTCCTCGCGTTCGTTCAGGAACATTAGTACGCTATTTTGATCTACTCCCTCCTTTTCCCTAAATGTTTTTTCCCCTAAATGTTTGATACCGTTGACTTTTTTAAACATGTTTGACCGTTCGTCTTATTTAAAAACTTTTGTGAAATGTGTAAAACTATATGTATACATAAAAGTATATTTAATAATAAATCAAATGATAGGAACAAAATTATTAATTGTTTCCTGCATTTGCTTTTAAGACTTGATTAATGATGTACTTAAGTAAACCCTTAATTCTGAACATGAAAAAAAGAAGCGCTTTACAATGCAAAAAGAAAGAAAAATCTATATTTATAGCCGCGCCGACTTCAAATGTCTTACTTCCTCCGTTTCACAATGTAAGTCATTCTAGCATTTCCTACATTCATATTGATACTAATGAATCTAGACATATATCTATCTAGATTCATTAACATCAATATGAATGTGAGAAATGCTAGAATAACTTACATTGTGAAACGGAGGGAGTATTGTTTGACTTATGATTATAAAATTTGAATTTTAGAACTAAATTTTGAATTTGATTTGTTTGTTTTTTTCATCGTAGTTTATTTCACAACATTTGTTTTTAAATCGCTAAGGACACGTATATAACAATTTTCCTTAAAAATAAGCGATTCGGATAAGCATATGAATAAGAGAAACAATGGGGCTGCAAATGACTCCACCCCTTCAACCATATCTATGGGCATGTTCAGATTGATGACATTTCCAACCATAGCATTATTTGGTAAAATTGACAATTATGTAGCTACGTTTAGTTTGTTACCAAATATTGACAATGTGTATATAATTTTGGCAACATTAATAAGCCAATTCTACCAAAACTTTGGCAATGTTGACAATTTGCTAAAATTTTGGTAAAGTTTATTTCGACACCAATCTAAACAGACCCTATATAAGAGTATACTACAAGATATAAATAGTTTTCTAACTATGCAGAGTTGTTCAAATTTTTACAGAAAAAGAATTGTTGTTGGCAATGTAGTTTCATGGGCCAAACTGAAGGATAGCGAGACCATCCGGCCCACAGGAAGCCCATGAATCCACTCAGTACCCCACTCGTTCCCCAATCCACGTGTCTTCGTCTCACCACTCGCCACCACCCCCCACCGGAGAAGAAGAAGAGGAGCGAGGAGATGCGCCGCTCGCCGCCGGCTGCCGGTGAGGCCGCGACCACCCTTCCCGCCGCTACCCCCGCCCTGGAAGGCAGCCCCCGACAAGATCGCGGAGGTCTCCATCAGTTCTGGCGGAGGTATCCCACTAACCCTAACTCAATAGCACACGGTATCTGCGGTATCTTCGCAATGCCTTGCGTTCCCAGCCGAATCCTTCGCGGCCATCCTGTTGAGACCTGAGTAGACAAGCGAATGTTCAGGGCCAATGGATAATTCCTTGTGATTCTGCATTCATCGAACATTTTTTTTTTGTTGGCGTCATCAAATAATTCCGCACGTATTTCACAGATCACATGCTGTCTTTTCTTTTGCAGACTATGTTCGGAGCAAAGCACAACTGCACAAGGGCAACAGTACTGACATGGATAATCGCATAGAGGTTGAAATCAGAAGCATGCAAGGATTTTCATGACACTGAGTTTGGCCAAAACTTTTGTTCACTATTATGTATGGAGTTTTCTGTACATTTCTACTTATATATATACAATGTGAAAGATCAGCAGATCCTTTAAAAGGCGGATGCCAATCGCTGGGTGTCGAGTGAAGATTCTGGAGTATCTATGAGCTAAGAATGTTGAGGAGAGAAACTCTGCTCTGGACCAATTTCCTGAACAGATGTCCTGCTCCGCTCTCAAGATCTCTGATGCTGCACTCTAACACCTGCAATTGCTCCTCCTCGCAAATAACTACTTTCTTCTTGTTGAATGCCTTGGAAACAAGTGATTGTTTGGGCATTTCGATTTGCTTTGACAGGAGATGCAGTGTGGACTCCAGCATAGAGGTTGATATATCTCTAGCCTCCCTCAATAGCCTGGCCATCCTGCAATCCTCCTTTTCATAAGTAACCTTCTTTGCAGTCTTGAAATGTTTCTTTGCCTTCTTCAACAAGCGGTAGTATGATTGGGTCTTGGATTGAACAGCTGCATCATCTCCTTTTCTCAGGGCCACTTGCATATCTTGAATGATGGCCTTCAACTCTGTGAAGTCCTCATGCATCACGTTGCATAGATCCAATAGCTCAAGGGAGCATTCCATTTCTCCATCCAACAATTTTCTTCGTTGGGAGGAGAAAGCTTGGTTGCTAGGAAGGCACATGATCTCCTCAATAGAGCTATAGATGTTGGCAAGCCTCCTCAAACCCTCACACATTGTATCAAGGGTCGTGGAGGGTGAAGAGATGCATGCATCTAGGATGCACAGCTCCTCTTCAACCTTAGAGTGAGGCCTAGAAGGCAAACTAATTGATCTCTGGCGGAAAGCCATTTCTGTCGCTAGAACTCTGTCTCCCTATTGAGTCTGAGAGATGAGAAAGAGAGGGAAGTTTTGGTTTGATGTTTCTAGCTTTGTGCTGAGGCCTATTTATACAGAGATGTGCAACACACAGCATCAATTGGATGGTAGACAAACAGAATCCTGCCAGTTCACCTCCCGATGCTATCTATCATGGTTTGAGATCTGGCTGCAGCATATAGTCTTGTATGCTCAATATTTTAATGCACTGCGTCTATCTTCCAAGTCAGCTATCACATTGTCATGTCCCAACTATTGGCAGCAAAAGCCAGCAGGTTTGTTCAGTCTACCGGTGGATTTTGGCATTATTGCATGTTATCAAGGGATTATTTTAATAAAGTGTTACCAGAGTATTATTATTGCCAAGTGTGTTATCTATTTTTTAATGCTTTTGTTAATTTCAACAAGTGTTCTATTGTGTACAATCCATGCCGCTTACACGCTTAACCTTGTGTATTGGAGCTGGCCTGTTTTACCTGCAGCAGCAAGATCCACTTTACATGGATCAGTTGCTTGCTAGTGAGGCAACAAACGGCATCAGACTGGCATGACCCACATGGCCATTTTTCATAGCCCTATGGCGCATCATATATCAATTTGCCTGTAAGAAATAAAAGAAATGAAAGTAATATCGCTAACTTGCCCATATATTTCATAAGTCATATGCCATGGCAATTATATTGACATTGAATTGCATAACCCATCATGTAACTCTGCAACACGCGAGGATCAAGTGCACGACAAGAATTGGATCAAAACTTTGTCTCTTTTCATGTATTTTCTTTGCTGTACAGTAAGCCTATAACATATACAAATGGGAAGGATCAGCAAATCCTTTAAAAGACGGATGCCAATCGCAGGGTCTTAAGAGTGTCAGATCTTGAGGAGTATCTATGAGCTAAGAATGTTGAGGAGAGTAACCCTGGTCTGGATCAATCTCCTGAACAGAAGTCCTGCTCCAGCCTCAAGATCTCCGATGCAGCACTCTAATGCCTGCAACTGCTCCTCATTGCAAATCACCAGGTTTTTCTTCTGGAATGCCTTGGGGATGAGAGATGATTTTGGCATTGTAATTTGCTTTGACAAGAGGTACAATATTGACTCGAATAGTGAGGTAGTGATCTCTCTAGCCTCGCTCATCAGCTTCACTATCCTGCAGTCGTTGTCTGAGACAACCTTCTTCACAGTCTTCTTGGAATGCTTCTTCGCGTTCTTCATCAAGCGGATGAATGACTGGATCTTGGCTTGAACAACTGCACCATCTCCTTTTCTGAGATGTACTTGCAGATCTTGGATGATGACCTTCAACTCGGTGAAGACCTCACTCATAGAGTTGCAGAGATCCAGTAGCTGAAGGGAGCATTCCATTTCTCCATCCAACAACCTCCTCTGTTGGGATGAGCAAATTTGGTTGCTAGGCAGGCACATGATCTCCACAATGGAGCTGTAGATGTCCCCAAGCCGCCTCAAACCATCAGAGACCACCTCGATGGTCGTGGAGGGTGATGAGATGCATGCCTCTATGCTGTGCAACTCATCTTCAACTTTGGAGAGAGGCCTAGAAGGCAAGCTAATTGATCTTTGGTGGAAAGCCATGTCTGTTGCTAGCTCTGCCTCTTTGTGCTGAATCCAAGAGATGAGAAGGAAAGGAAACTGATGGTATGATGTGTCTAGCTTTGTGCTGAGGCCTATTTATTCAGGGGATGTGCTAGACACAGCACCATTTGGTTGGTAGACAAACAGAATCATTCCAGTTCAGCTCCCTGATGCTGTCTATCATGGTATGAGATCTGGCAGCAGCAATAAACAGCATATGGAATCTCTCGTGTTCTGTTCTCATTTTTAATGTACTGGCATCTATCTTCCAAGAGAGTTATCACATTGTCATGTCTCAACTATCAGCAGCAAGAACCAACAGGTTAGTTAGCTCTACCTGTGGTTTTTGGCATAATTGCATGCTCTCAAGGGATTATTTTAATTGATTGCTACAACAGTGTTATTGTTATTACATGTGTTATCTATTTTTTATGCTCTTGTTAACAACTGATTGTTCTATTATGTGCAATCAGAGGCTCTTGCACGCTTAGTCCCGTGTTTGGTAGCTGGCGTGTTTTAGCTGCTGCAGCTAGATCCATGCTGCCTGCACGCTTAATCTCATGTATTGTAGTTGGCTTGTTTTAGCTGCAGCAGCAAGATCCACTTTACATGGATCCTTTGCTTGCTAGTGAGGCAACAAATGTCATCGTAGTGACATGACCCACTTGGCCATTTCATTGCCCCATGGTATACCATAGATCAATTTGACTGTAAAAAGAAAAGAAATCAAAGTAATATCGTTACATATATTTCATAATTCATGTGCCATGCCCTTGTCATGCAAAGTATATTAATCACAAAGGCAATAATATTGATATCGCTTGCATAATCACATCATGTATCTCAGAGATATGTCAGGACTGAGTGCAGGGCAAGAATTAGATCAAAATTTTGTCTCTTTCATGTGTGTTTTCTTTTCTGTACAGTGAGCCTATAACATATACAAATGGGAAGGATCAGCAAATCCTTTAAAAGACAGATGCCGATCGCAGGGTCTTAAGAGTGTCAGATCTTGACTCATCTATGAGCTAAGAATGTTGAGGAGAGTAACCCTGCTCTGGACCAATCTCCTGAACAGAAGTACTGCTCCAGCCTCAAGATCTCCGATGCAGCACTCTAATGCCTGCAACTGCTCCTCATTGCAGATCACCGAGTTCTTCTTCTGGAACGCCTTGGAGATGAGAGACAATTTTGGCAACACAATTTGCTTTGACAAGAGGTCCAGTGTTGATTCAAATAGAGAGGTAGTGATCTGTCTAGCGTTGCTCAACAGCTTGACCTTCTTGGAGTCCTCCATGTCTGAGGCAACCTTCTTCACAGTCTTCTTGGAATGCTTCTTTGCCTTCTTCACCAGCCGGATGTATGACAGGATCTTGGCTTGAACAACTGCATCATCTCCTTTTCTGAGAGACACTTGCAGATCTTGGATGATGGACTTCAACTCGGTGAAGACCTCGTTCATAGCGTTGCAGAGATCTAGTAGCTCAAGGGAGCATTCCATCTCTCTGTCAAACAACTTCCTTTGCTGTGATGAGCAAACTTGGTTGCTAGGTAGGCACATGATCTCCTCAATGGAGCTATATATATCACCAAGCCTCCTCAAACCATCAGAGATCATCTCGATGGTCTTGGAGGGTGATGAGACACATGCCTCTATGCTGTGCAACTCATCTTCAACCTTGGAGAGAGGCCTTGAAGGCAAGCTAATTGATCTTTGGTGGAAAGCCATGTCTGTTGCTAGAACTCTGCCTCTTTGTGTTGAAACCAAGAGATGAGGAGGAAATGTAACTTATGGTTTGATGAGTCTAGCTTTGTGCTGAGGCCTATTTATTCAGTTGATGTGCAAGAAAAAGCATCATCTGGTTGGTAGACAAACAGAATCCTGCCAGTTCAGCTTCCTGATGCTGTCCACAATGGGTGGAGGTCTGGCAGCAGCAATAAACAGCATATGGGATCTCTCGTATGTTCAATACTTTAATATACTGCCATCTACCTTCCAAGGACTTATCACATTGTCATGTCTCAACTGTTGGCAGGAAGAAACAGCAGGTTAGTTCACTCTACATAATTGCATGCACTCAAGGCATTATTTTAATTGATTGCTTCCAGAGTGGTATTTTTTATATGTGTTTTATCTTTTTTTATGCTCTTGTTAATTTCAACATGTGTTCTATTTTGTGCAATCAGTGGTACTTGCACGCTCAACCTCATGTATGGTAGCTGGACTGTTTTAGCTGTGGCAGCAAGATCCACTGCACACGGATCCTTTGCTTGCTACAAGTGCTCTATTATGTACAATACCTGCTGCTCACATGCTTAACCTCGTGTATTGGAGCTGGCCTATTCTAACTGCAGCAGCAAGATCCACTATACATGGATCCTTTGCTTGCTAGTGAGGCTACAAATGGTATCAGAGTGACACAGCCCATATGGCCATTTCATGGCCCTATGGCACATCACAGATCAATTTGACTGCAAAAAAGAAAAGAAAATAATTTTGCTTGTGTGGAACATATGTTTCATAATTCATGAGCCGTTGCTATGTGTATTCGATAACAAGGCAATAATACTAATATCGCTTGCATAATCACATCATGTATCTCAGAGATATGTCTGAACCGAGTGCACAACAAGAGTTAGATCAAAACTTTGTCTCTTTCATGTATGTTTTCTTTTCTGTACAGTAAGCCTATAATAAATACAAATGGGAAGGATCAGCAAATCCTTTAAAATACGGATGCCAATCGCAGGGTCTTAAGAGTGTCACATATTGAGGAGTATCTATGAGCCAAGAATGTTGAGGAGAGTAACCCTGGTCTGGACCAATCTCCTGAACAGCAGTCCTGCTCCTGCCTCAAGATCTGCGATGCAGCACTCTAACACCTGCAACTGCTCCTCATTGCAGATCACCGCATTTTTCTTCTGGAATGCCTTGGAGATGAGAGAGAATTTTGGCATCGCAATTTGCTTAGACAAGAGGTCCAATGTTGACTCGAATAGAGAGGTAGTGATCTCTCTAGCATTGCTCAACAGCTTGACCATCTTGGAGTCCTCCTTGTCTGAGGCAACCTTCTTCACAGTCTTCTTGGAATGCTTCTTTGCCTTCTTCACCAGCCGGATGTATGACTGGATCTTGGCTTGAACAACTGCATCATCTCCTTTTCTGAGAGACACTTGCAGATCTTGGATGATGGACTTCAACTCGGTGAAGACCTCGTTCATAGTGTTGCAGAGATCCAGTAGCTCAAGGGAGTATTCCATCTCTCTGTCAAACAACTTCCTTTGCTGTGATGAGCAAACTTGGTTGCTAGGCAGGCACATGGTCTCCTCAATGGAGCTATATGTGTCACCAAGCCTCCTCAAACCATCAGAGATCATCTTGGTGGTCTTGGAGGGTGATGAGACGTATGCCTCTATGCTGTGCAACTCATCTTCAACCTTGGAGAGAGGCCTTGAAGGCAAGCTAATTGATCTTTGGTGGAAAGCCATGTCTGTTGCTAGAACTCTTAACTCTTTGTGTTGGATCCAAGAGATGAGAAGGAAAGGGAAGTTCTGGTTTGATGTGTCTAGCTTTGTGGTGAGGCCTATTTATTCAGTTGGTGTGCAAGACACAGCATCCTTTGTATGGTAGACAAACAGAATCCTGCCAGTTGAGCTCCCAGATGCTGTCTATCATTGTTTGAGATCTGGCAACAACATATGGAATCTTTGGTGTGCTGTTCAATTGTTTAATACACTGCCATTTATCTTCCAAATGAGCTATCACATTGTGATGTCCCTACTATTAGCAGCAAGAATCGGCAGGTTAGCTCACTCTGTTAGTGGATCTTGACATGATTGCATGCACAAAACGTTTTTTTTAATGGAGTTTAAACAGCGTATTATTGGCATCATGCTTGCTATTTAGTTGTTGTATAACTGATATTATCAGAGGTACTTTATACTGCAAATTACATGCTGCTTGCGCCCTCAACCTCGTGCATTGGAGGCTTGGAGCTGACTTGTTAGCTATGGATAACTAGATCCACTGCACACGTGTGCTAAACTGCTAATTACTTCTATAACAGTCAATAATAATATCACCATCTGAGTAAATTATTATATTACTTTTGAATTTTATCTGAATGATCTGGTCCCATACGTTGCTATGCATCAAAGCATGCTTAAACAGTTAAATAAATAGCAGGAAATTAAATGATTTTTTTTTTTGTTTCTCATTGAGTAAATTTCTGTACAATTCCTTTTCATTTACACATGATTATCAGCAAATCCTATAAAAGCTGGGAACTAATCATCTGGGATAAGAATTGGTATAATCTATCTACAAGCTTAGAGCATTGAAAAGTGAAACTTTGCTCTGGAACAACCTCCTGATCAATAATGTTCAACTCCTATGTCTATAGTGGTTCCTCGTTGCATAAAACTCTTTTCTTTTGCAATGTCTTGGAGACAAAAACTACTTGCTAGAAGTTGGTATCTCAATTTGCTTTGATGGGAGATGCAATAAGGACTCAATCATTGAGATATAAACCTCTCTAGCTTCACCCTGCAGCTCCCCTAGCCAGCTGAAGCATACTTCTTCCTGAACTTCTTGTATTTCTTTCGCGCCTTCTTGGTCAAATGGATGAACGATTGGATTTTTTTGCATCTTCTTAATGCTTGTCTTGAGCTCAGAAAAAAATCTCTTGGATGGCTTTGCAAAAGATCGAGGAGCACAAGGGAATCCTCGAGCTCTTGCTCCATGGCTTTCCTTTTCTGATTCTGATGAAAGATGAATTGGTTGCTTGGTATGCACGATTACCTCAATATTTTTTGTACACTCATTCAATCATCTTGAGGTCACTGAAGATTGTTTCGACAGTTGCAGAGGGTGAAGAGATGATCACCATCGAGCTCTGCATCTATTTTTCAATGTTGGTTTCTCCGGAGCGAGGACTTGAAGACATGCTTGCAGATCTGAGGTGGAATGCCATGGTTTTAGCTGAAGCCACAATGCTCTCCTTTTGCTGATAATGGGAGAGAAAGAGTAGAGAAACTGTTTTGCAATGGTGTAGACCTGCCTACGGTTTATCTCTTATCTATAACGAAATAAGCATTGCAACAGAAAGGATCTTGTCAATAATGAAGGTTGTTCTTCTGCAACAATGGCACCCATCTCCTCGACAAGTTGATGTTTTTTCTTGTGATTAACCTGTGATGTAGGAACCGTCAGCAGCAATCTCATCTGCATGAGTGATTAGTTTAATGCCAGATCCAGATCAATGTGGACATGTGGTGAGATTGACAAGCATGCACTGAAATGGCGAGAAAGGAGCTGGTGATGTTTTCTGGTGGAAGGAACAGCTAATTGACTTCATCTCCAAGCTCCAAGCCTCCAACGTGACACACATGCTTATCTGTTCTGGACGCTGGTATGTTTCTCATGTTGGTCCACATGCTGTTCGATTTTCTATTGATGCATTAAGCACTCCTAACTAGCCATATCACCTTTTCATGTTTCATTTTTTGGTATCAAGAATTATCATGGCAGCTTATTCTAGTGCAGGATTTCACATCCATGTGTATTCTAATATTTGTTTAACTGAGAATGCTAGCTAGTAGTATGGTTCTATGCTTGTTATTAATTTTTTAAGTAGTTGGTTTTTCAGGCACAGGTTGTGCTAATTACCGGCTGGCATGCTATTAGTCATGACAGCAAGATCTACTGTATAAAAAAACCTTGATGTGCATGAGAAAAGCATGCCAATGGAGAATGGCAGGAGTAGGTCGCCGAGAAACTTTCTGATATTTTTTAGACCATATATCAACAGATCAACCCAGCTTAACTTAGAAAGCGAACATAAGTCTTACAGCATACAGGTAAAAGCAAAAGACTGGAATCTCCAGTTTGACATCAGGACAACAAAAACCACCACATAAACAATCCTGATATAACAACCTACTATTGTTGCTTTTATGTCTTGGTCACTTGATATCTGCTGCTGTGATTTCCTCCAACTTTGCCTGCAGTCCCTTTGATATGCTTATTTTTGCACAACTCGGATCTCAATCCTGTACTAACCATTGTATGTATTTCATTTCTTAGCAAACACAAAAATTCGCTTGTTATTGGAAAAAGAAGAAATAAATTATCATCCCATTGTTTCATAGTGAAGAGTGCAGACTTAAAAGAAAAACTTTGGACTTTATGTATCGTTGTTTTCTATAACATCGATCAACAGTGAGCATCTGATAGAAAATTATGTATTTTATAAATAATATTAAATTTCAGAACTCTAAAAATTCATGGTTTTGCTTGGCTGTCCTCAGTGAGGTGAAACAGAGCAGTTTCTGGAAAGGAGTCGTGAGCATGCATTTAAGGTTCAAATAACAGTAAAATAGACAACTGAGCATGGACTAAAAACTTTTCTTTTCGATTGATGATTTCCTGTACATTTTGTCATTTTCTATCATATATACTCTATATACACAAAATTGTTTTGATGATCAGCAGATCCTCTAAAAGGCGGACGCGGATCAAAGGGAACAGGAGTTGGTGTATCATCTACAAGCTCAGAGCATTCAGAAGAGAAACTCTGTTCTGGATCAATCTCCTGAACAAAGTCTCAACTCTGCTCTCAATATCACTGATGTCCAACTCCAGCGCCAGCAATTGCTCCTCCTGGCATGCAATCCTTGCCTTCTGGAAAGCCTTGGATACAAGAGACCACCTGCTAGAATTCGGCATCACAATCTGCTTCAACAAGAGATGCAATGAGGACTCAAGCATTGAGATTGCAACCTCTCTAGCTTCAGCTGACAGCTTGAGCACCCTGCATCCCTCCTGATCATCTGAAGCAGACTTCTTGCTAATCTTCTTCGACTGCTTTTGTGCCTTCTTGCTCAGACGGATTAAAGACTGGACCTTGGCTTGAACAGTGGCATCATCAGCTCTCTTGATAGCCAACTGCATGTCCTGGATGCTTGCCTTGAGTTCAGAAATACTCTCTTGCATGGCATTGCAGAGGTCAAGCAAGACAAGAGAGCGCTCAAGCTCTTGCTCTGCTGCTTTCCTCTGCTGTGGCTGCCAAAGGAAAACTTGGCTGCTGGGAAAGCACATGATCTCTTCAATGTTGTTGTACTCTCCTCCAATTCTGCTGAAACCATCAAGCATTGTTTCGACAGTTGCAGAGGGTGAAGAGATGGTTGCCTTCAAGCTCTGAAGCTGTTCTTCAACATTGCTTTAATTGGAGCAAGGGCTGGAAGGCACACTTGCAGATCTGAGCATGGATGCCATGGCTTCTATGGATGTTGTAGCACCTCCCTTTTTTTCTGGAAACGGAAGAGAAGAGAAGAAACCTTGCTCAATGGTGTAAACTCAGCTATGGTTTCTCTCTATTTATAAGTGAAGAAATAGAAGCAACAGCAAGAATCTCATCCATAATGAAAGCTATGCAGCTGGTACAAAGCTACCCATCTCCATGACAAAGAGATGTTTTTTTATGTCCCTTCGGTGCACTCTTAATATTTGAGTTCATGATCAGCCTGTCATGTCTGCATTGTCAATGACAAGCTCTTCTGCACGAGTGAGTAGTTTAATGTCAAATCCAGATTGATGTATTGAGATCTGTGAGTATGCAGTGAAATGATGAGATAAGGAGCTGATTGATGATTCTTGGTGTAAGGAAGAACTAGTTGACTTCACCTTGTGCTGATCACCCGTGTATCATCGCTGGCATGTTTCTTCTAGTGCATTTAACATCTGGCTGTTGCAATCTCAAGATGATCCACATGCTGTGCAATTTTCTGTTATGCATTAGGTGCTCCTAACTAGGCCGATCACATTGTGATGTTTCAGTTCATGGGATCAAGAATCAGCATGTCAGCTTACTCTAGTGCTGCGCATTCACATAAATGCATGAGCTACCATTTGTTTAATGGAGAATGCTGGGAAAGTGGTATGGGTTCGATGTGTTATATTAACTGTTAGATAGTTGGTTTATTGGACAATTATGCTAATTATCTGCTAGTGTGCTATTAGTCATGACAGCAAGATGGACTGTACTATAAACTTCCTGTGGATGAGAAAAGCACAACCATCTCATTATTTTATAGGAAAGGGTGCAGCTTCAGAAGGAAATTTCAAACTTTCTGTACTATTATTTCTACAACAACCAGTAATGGTGAGCATCTTGTTTATAAGTTATGTTTTTACCTCTAAGTGAACTTTAACATAAGAACTCCAAAATACAAGTGATAGTTTGGCCATTCTAAGTGAGGATAAATAAGATTTTCTGGAAGGGATTTATGGTCATGCAGAAAGCTAAGACAGTAAAGTTGACAACTGAACATAGATAATTTTTTTTCTTTTCAGTATTCTTGTACATTTTGTCAGTACCTATTGTGTATATACACTTCTCAAAATTGTTTTGATGATCAGCAAATCCTCTAAAAGATGGACGCGGATCACAAAGAACAAGAGTTGGTGTATCATCTACAAGCTCAGAGCATTCAGAAGAGAAACTCTGCTCTGGATCAATCTCCTGAATAAAGTCTCAACTCCGCTCTCGAGATCACTGATGTCCAACTCCAGCGCCTGCAATTGCTCCTCCTGGCATGCAATCCTTGCCTTCTGGAAAGCCTTGGATACAAGAGACCACCTGCTAGAATTCGGCTTCACAATCTGCTTCAACAAGAGATGCAACGAGGACTCAACCATTGAAATTGCAGCCTCTCTAGCTTCAGCTGACAGCTTGAGCACCGTGCATCCCTCCTGATCATCTGAAGCAGACTTCTTGCTAATCTTCTTCGACTGCTTTTGTGCCTTCTTGGTCAGACGGATGAAGGACTGGACCTTGGCTTGAACAGCGGCATCATCGGCTCTCTTGATAGCCAACTGCATGTCCTGGATGCTTGCCTTGAGTTCACAGAAACTCTCTTGCATGGCATTGCAGAGGTCAAGCAAGATAAGAGAGCGCTCAAGCTCTTGCTCTGCTGCTTTCCTCTGCTGTGGTTGGCAAAGGAGAACTTGGCTGCTGGGAAAGCACATGATCTCCTCAATGTTCCTGTATACACCTCCAATCCTGCTGAAACCATCAAGCATTGTTTCGACGGTTGCAGAGGGTGAAGAGATGGTTGCTCTCAAGCTCTGAAGCTGTTCTTCAACATTGGCTTCATTGGAGCAGGGGCTGGAAGGCACACTTGCAGATCTAAGCATGGATGCCATGGCCTCTATGGATAGTGCAGTGCTTCCTTTTTTTCTGAAGAAATGGAAGAGAACAGGAGAAACCGTGTTTCAATGTTGTTGACCCTGCTATGGTTTGTATGTATTTATAACGAAAGTAGTGGAAGCAACAGCAAGAATCTCATTGATATTGAAAGCCGTGCTGCTGCAACAAGGCCACCCATCTCCATGACAAACAGATGCTTTTTTTTGTCTCCTTGGTATAAGATGCATTTCTATCTCTAATATTTGAGTTCATGATCAGTCTGTCATGCCTGCTGTATCAATGGCAAACTCATCTGCACGAGTGAGTAGTTTAATGTCAAATCCGGATCAGTGTAGTGAGATCGGTGAACATGCCAGTGATCTTATGAGAGAAAGGAGCTGGTTAATTTGATGATTCTTGGTGGGAGGGACAACTAATTGGCTTCACTTCCAGGTTCCAACACATGATGCTGTGCTTATCTTCTCTGACCACCCGTGCATCATAGCTGGCATGTTTACTAGTGCATTTAGCATCTGGCTGTTGCAATCTCAATATGATCCACATGGTGCGTATTTTTATACGATGCGTTAGGTGCTCCTGACTAGCTCTATCACATTGTGATGTTCCAGTTCTTGGGATCAAGAATCAGCATGGCAGCTTACTCTAGTGCTGGCCCTTGACAAAAATGCATGCTCTAACACTTGTTTAATGGAGCACGCTTGGCGAGTCGTATGGGTTCTCTATGTGTGCTATTAATTGTTAATTGGTTGGTTTATTAGGCATAGGTTATGCTAATTACCAGCTGGCATGATGTCAAGATATATTGTATAATAATATTCCTGTGAATGAGGAAAGCATGGCCATCTCATCATCTCTAGTAAAGAATGCTGGCTTCAAAGGAATTTTTCAAACTTTCTGTACTATTGTTTCTATAACATCCAGGAAAAGTGAGCATCTTATTGATAATTTAAGTTTTTTTTCTATCAATAAACTTTAGCTTAAGTACCCCAAAATTCAGGTGATTGTTTGGCCGTCCTCAGTGTGAGGTTAAATAAGTTCCTGGAAAGGAAAAATGGTCATACATACAAGCTTCAAAATCAGTAAAAATTGACAACTGAGCATGGGCCAAAATATTTTTTTTCCTTTTGACTAACTGATGTACTGTACATTTTGACATTTGTCATTTCCTCTCATATACACATTGGAAAATTGTTTTGATGATCAGCAGATCCTATAAAAGGCGGATGCAGATCAGAGGGAGCCAGAGTTGGTTCATCGTCTATCTACAAGCTTAGAGCATTCAGAAGAGAAACTCTGATCTGGATCAATCTCCTGAACAAAGTCTCAACTCCGCTCTCGAGATCAACGATGGCGAACTCCAACGCCTGTAATTGCTCCTCCTGGCATGCAAGCCTTGTCTTCTGAAATGCCTTGGAGACAAGTGACCACTTGCTAGAATTTGATGTTGTGATCTTCTTTGACAAGAGATGTGAAGAGGACTCAAGCATTGAGATGGCGACCTCTCTAGCTTCGGCCAACAGCTTGATCACCCTGGAGCCCTCCTGCTCAGCTGAAGCAGACTTCTTGCTGATCTTCTTGGACTGCTTTTGCACCTTCTTGGTCAGACGAATGAAATACTGGATGTTGGCCTGAACAACTGTAGCATCCCTTCTCTTGTGAACCAACTGCATCTCCTGAATGCTTGTCTTGAGCTTGGAAACACTCTCTTGGATAGAGTTGCAGAGGTCGAGCAGCACAAGGGAATGCTCGAGCTCTTGCTCTACTGCTTTCCTCTGCTGATTCTGACAAAGTTGAGCTTGGCTGCTTGGCAAGCATATGATCTCCTCAATGTTGTTGTACACAGCTCCAATCCTGCTGAAACCATCAAGCATTGTTTCAATGGTTTCAGCGGGTGAAGTGATGGTTGCCTTCAAGCTCTGAAGCTGTTCCTCAACATTGGTTTTGTTAGAACGAGGGCTGGAAGGAGCGCTTGCAGATCTAAATGCCATGGTTTCTATAGATGGTGTGTGGTGTTTCCTTTTTTTTTTCTCTGGAAACGGAAGAGAAGAGAAGAAACTGCTCAATGGTGAAAGCCCAGCATAGTCTGTCTCTATTTATAACGGAAGAAACAGAAGCAACAGAAAGAATCTCATCAATATTGATGGTTGTGCTGCTGCAACAAAGCCACCCATCTCCAAGACAAACTGATGCTTTTTTATGTCTCCTCAATATAAGAGGCATTTCTAACTCTCACATTTGAGCATAACAAGCCTGTCATGTCTGAATTATCAGCGGCAAACTCATCTGCACGAGTGGTTAGTTTAATGTCAGATTCAGATCAAGATGCGAGGTGAGCACGCAGTTAAATGATGAGAGAAATGAAGCTGGCTGCTGCCTGATGATTCTTTCTGGAAGAAAAAACTATGGTTGACTTCCCATCCAGGTTCCAATGCAACACGCCATGCTTATCTTGTTCTGACCACCCGTGCATCATTGCTGGCATGTCTCTACCAGGGCATTTAGCATCTGGTTGTTGCAACCTCAAGATGATCCACATGCTGTGCAATTTTCTTCCGATGCATTAGGTGCTCCTAACTAGGCTTATCACATTGTGATGTTCCAGTTGTTGGGACAAAGAATCAGCTTGGCAGTTCATTGCTGGGTCCTCACAATCACAGGTGTGCACGCATGCTCTAACACTTGTTTAATGGAGTAAGCAGGCTGACTAGTTAGTGGTTCCATTCGTGTTAATGGTTGTTAAGTATTGTTTTATTGGGCACTGGTTATGCTAATTACAAGCTGGTCTACAGCACGCTATTGGTAAATCAAGTTTGTGTATGTCAGCATGAATCTACGTTTATCCCATTATTATCTAAAAAAAGGGATCTTCGTCTATCCTGTTTTCATAGTGGCACTTCTTGGAAAAGAAAATACTTTGCCAAGTGAACATAATCTTGTACTAGGCCTGATGTCATAGGCATGGAATAAAGTTCTCATCAAAGTACATACAGTGAATCGACAAGAGAACATGGACCAACAAGAATTCTTTTCTCAAAATGACTGTACAATTCATCATTTTGTCTCATTGTACTCATGGCAAAATTGTTTCATGATCAGCAGATCCTCTAAAAGGCGGACGCAGATCACAAAGGAGCTAGTGTTTGCATGATCTATGATCTATCTCATCATCTACCAGTGTCAGTGTGTTGAGAAGGGAGACCCTGCTCTGGATGAGTCTCCTGAAGAGAACCTCAACACCGTTGTTAAGACCAGCAATGTCCAACTCCAACACCTGCAACTGCTCTCCTCGCAGGAGGCATCTCTCTTCTTCTTGGAGACGAGCTGGGACCACCTGCTTGAACTCGACATGGTGGCGATCTGCTTCGGCAAGAGCTTTGCTGCTGCTGTTTCGAGCGCTGCGACGGCGATCTCTCTGGCTTCAGAAGCTGCAGGCTTGCTGCTGCCACCGCCGGTGATCCTCCTGATGTGTCTCTGTGCCTTCTTGGCCGCTCGGCGTACGACTGGATGACTGCCCTGTCTCCTCTCCAGCGAGCAGATGTATAAATCCTGCACGCTTGTGTAGTGTGTTCATCGATCTCTAGTTGAGAGTTGGCATGCGAGGCTGTCATGTAGCAGCTGCTGCAGGCAGCAACCGTTGCACGAACACACGCACAAGTACTGTCAGATTGGATTGTGAAATCATCGTCGAGCCTGCGAGGAAATGGGGCATCCAATCATCCAAAACATCTAATCTACTGTAAGCATATGCAAGTTGTGTGGTGTATGTGAGGGTGAGGCAAAATTGGTTGTTAATTTTGCTTTTGATCTGATGGGGCCCAGGAGATACTGCCTACTCGTCGCCTCCCACAACTCACCACCACCGGAGAAGGCAAGAAAGAGTGGAGGGGTAGAGCCCGCTCTGGCGAGTCGGCGACGGCGACGGCGACGGCAGCCCCAGGGAGCGGCCGCATGCTGTATAGTCTCCAGCACCCAGGGGGGGCAGCTGAGGTATTCATGCATCTACCACTTTATTTTCCTGTAACCTGTGTGCTGCAATGCAATGCCCCGTGAGTCATCTTGGTTCTACTGTTGATGCCTGAGTTCATGAGTGAATCAGCAATCCACAGCGATAAGCGTACGCATGGTTTCGAAATCGCTTCGTGCAGCTTTGAATTTCTCAAATCTGCTTGCAGTTTTCCCACTCGTCCGGCATATTTGCTGCAGAATTGCAGATTATGCTGTCTACGCTACAATTATAGTATTTAAACATTTTTGTTTTTTAAGAAAACTTCTGAATGTGATGCATATGAGTCCTCCAAAATGAATAAATAAAATGGATGTACACACAAGAGCTTACCAAGCTAGGTCGTGCGATCATGCAGCGAACTTTGGCAGCTAATACATTGTGCTAATTGCAAGCTTTAATCTCTGTAGTTTGGGCCTGGCATGTTTCATGTGTGTAGTGCAAGATGCACCAAACACTGATTGAGGAATGAGGACTAATTAATGGACTTAGACCGGTGTGAGGTAACATAACCACATGGCCTCAATAGAATATGCAAACTAGGATGTTGTGGGTATTTTCGTGTAATGTTCATGTTTAGAGGTAGAGCATGTATATCCCTACGGCCCATCACAGATCAATTTGACTGTAAAATAGAAAAGAAATGAAAACAATATCACTAACATGGCACATATTCATTTGCGGATTGTTCGATGTATATTCATAACAAAGGCAGTAATACTGACAGAACATTGGGTAATCACATCATGTATCTCAGATTCTCAGTAATATGTGAGGACAGCACACATGGCAAGAATTAGATCAAAACTTTGTATCTCTTTCATGTATTTTTTTTCTGTACAGTAAGTCTATGGCATATACAGATGGAAGGATCAGCAAATCCTTTAAAAGGTGGACGCCAATCGCAGGGTCTTAAGAGTGACAGATCTTGAGGGGTATCTATGGGCTAAGAATGTTCAGGAGAGTAACCCTGCTTTGGACCAATCTCCTGAACAGAAGCCCTGCTCCAGCCTCAAGATCTCCGATGCAGCACTCTAACACCTGCAACTGCTCCTCATTGCAAACCACCAGGTTTTTCTTCTGGAATGCCCTGGAGATGAGGGACAATTTTGGCATCTCGATTTGCTTTGACAAGAGATGCACTGTTGACTGGAATAGAGAGGTAGTGATCTCTCTAGCCTCACTCAACAGTTTGACTATCTTGCAGTCCTCCTTGTTTGAGGCAACCTTCTTCACAGTCTTGAAATGTTTCTTTGCCTTCTTCACCAAGCGGATGTACGACTGGATCTTGGCTTGAAGAACTGCATCATCTCCTTTTCTGAGAGACACTTGCAGATCTTGGATGATGGCCTTCAACTCGGTGAAGACCTCGTTCATAGCGTTGCAGAGATCCAGTAGCTCAAGGGAGCATTCCATCTCTCCATCCAACAACCTCCTCTGCTCGGATGAGCAAACTTGGTTGCTAGGCAGGCACATGATCTCCTCAATGGAGCTGTAGATGTCCCCAAGCCTCCTCAAACCATCAGAGATCGTCTCGATGGTCAGGGAGGGTGAGGAGATGCATGCCTCTATGCTGTGCAGCTCCTCTTCAACTTTGGAGAGAGGCCTAGAAGGCAAGCTAATTGATCTTTGGTGGAAAGCCATGTCTATTGCTAAACTCTGTCTCTGGTGAGTCTGAGAGTTGAGAGGAAAGTTTGGTTTGATGTGTCTAGCTTTGTGCTGAGACCTATTTATACAAAGGATGTGCAAAACATAGAATCAATTGGATGGTAGACAAACGGAATCCTGGCAGTTCAGCTGAGATCTGGCTGTAGCATATGGCCTCTTTGTTATTTATTGTTTTAATGCACTGCCATCTATCTTCCAAGTGAGGTGTCACATTGTCATGTCTCAACTATTGGCAGCAAGAACCAGCAGGTTAGTTCACTCTACCGGTGGCTCTTGGCATAATTGCACGCTCTCAAGTGATTATTTAATAGTGTTATCTAATTTTTAATTCTCTTGTTAATTTCAACTAGCGTTCTATTATGTGCAATCCATGCTGCATACACGCTTAACCTTGTGTATTGGAGCTGGCCTGTTTTACCTGCAGCTGCAAGATCCACTGTACATGGATCCTTTGCTTGCTAGTGAGGCAACAAACGGCATCAGAGTCAGTAACCCACATGGACATTTCATAGCCTTATTGCACATCATAGATCAATTTGACTGTAAAAAAGAAAAGAAATAAGAGTAATACTAATATCACTAACGTGGCACTTATATTTCATAATTTAGGTGATGGGTTGTGCAATGTATATTAATCACAGAGTCAGTAATATTGACATTGATTTGCATAATCACATCATGTATCTCAGCAATATGTGAGGATTGGGTGCACGACAAGAATTCAAGAATTAGATCAAAACTGTTCTCTTTCATGCATATTTTTTTTCTGTACAGTAATTGTATAACATATACAATTGGAAAGGATCAGCAAATCCTTTAAAAGGTGGATGCCAATCACAAACTCTTAAGTGTGTCAGATCTTGAGGAGTATCTATGAGCTAAGATTGTTCAGGAGAGTAACCCTGCTCTGGACCAATCTCCTGAACAGAAGCGCAGCTCCAGCCTCAAGATCTCTGATGCAGCACTCTAACACCTGCAATTGCTCCTCATTGCAGATAACTGAGTTTTTCTTCTGGAATGCCTTGGAGATGAGAGACAATTTTGGCATCGCAATTTGCTTCGACAAGAGGTGAATTGTTGACTCGAATAGAGAGGTTGTGATCTCTCTAGCCTCGCTCAACAGCTTCACTATCTTGCACTCCTCCTTGTCTGACACAACCTTCTTGACAGTCTTCTTGGAATGCTTTTTCGCCTTCTTCACCAGTCGGATGTATGACTGGATCTTGGTTTGAACAGCTGCATTATCTCCTTTTCTGAGAGACACTTGCAGATCTTGGATGATGGCCTTCAACTCGGTGAAGACCTCATTCATACCATTGCAGAGATCCAGTAGCTCAAGGGAGCATTCCATCTCTCTATCCAACAACTTCCTTTGCTGTGATGAGCAAACTTGGTTGCTAGGTAGGCACATGATCTTCTCAATAGTGCTGTAGATGTCCACAAGGCTCCTCAAACCATGAGAGATCATCTCGATGGTCAGGGAGGGTGAAGAGATCCATGCCTCAATGCTGTGCAGCTCCTCTTCAACTCTGGAGAGAGGTCTAGAAGGTAAACTAGTTGATCTTTGGTGGAAAGCCATGTCTATTGCTAAAAATGTTGCCTCTCTGTGTTGGATCGACAGATGAGAAGGAAAGGAAAACTTATGTCTTTGATGTGTCTAGCTTTGTGCTGAGGCCTATTTATTCAGTGGATGTGCTAGACACAGCATCATTTGGATGGTAAACAAACAGAATCCTGCCAGTTCAGCTCCCTGATGCTGTCTATCATGGTCTGAGATCTGGCAGCAGCAATAAACAGCATATGAAATATCTCATATGTTATTCTTATTTTTAATGCACTGCCTCTTTATTCCAAGAGAGTCATCACATTGTCATGTCTCAACTATTGGCAGCATAAACCAGCAGGTTAGTTCACTCTACTTGTGGATCTTGACATAATTGCATGCTCTCAAGGGATTATTTTAATTGAGTGCTACCAGAATGGTATTGTCGATACATGATACATGTATTTTTTTTTAATTTTTTGTTCTCTTGTTAATTTCAATATGTGTTCTATCATTTGCAATCAATGCCGCTTGCACTCTCAACCTTGTGTATGGGAGCTGGCCTGTTGCAGCTGTGGTAGCAAGATCCACTGCACAAGAATCCTTTGCTTGCTACCGAGGCAGCAAATGGAATCAGAGTGTCATGACTCACATGGCCATTTTCATAGCCCTATGGCACATCACAGATCAATTTGAAAGTAATTTCTTGCTGTCTCAAATAGGGATTGAGTGCCTGTGGAGAAGAGAAGGGTTGGTTTGATTGAGGAAAGAATAGGAAAGCTAACATGGTATATATATTTCATAATTCATGTGCTTGGTTGTATGTATATTCATCACACAAAGGCATTAATACTAATATCACTTGCATAATCACATCATGTATATCAGAGATATGTGAGGACAAAGCACATGGAAAGAACTAGATCAAAACTGTCTCTTTCATGTATCTTTTCTTTTCTGTACAGTAAGTCTATGATATATACAAATGGGAAGGATTAGCAAATCCTTTAAAAGGTGGATGCCAATCGCACGGTCTTAAAGAGTGTCAGATTTTGAGGAGCGTCTATGAGCTAAGAATGTTCAGGAGAGTAACCCTGCTCTGGACCAATCTCCTGAACACAAGTCCAGCCCCAGCCTCAAGATCTCCGATGCAGCACTCTTAACACCTGCAACTGTTCCTCATTGCAAATCACTGGGTTTTTCTTCTGGAATGCCTTGGAGATGAGAGACAATTTTGGCATCTGGATTTGCTTCGACAAGAGGTGCATTGTTGACTCGAGGAGAGAGGTAGTGATCTCTCTAGCCTTGCTCAACCGCTTTACAATCTTGCAGTCTTCCTTGTCTGAGGCTACCTTCACAGTCTTCTTGAAATGTTTCTTTGCCTTCTTCACCAAGCGGATGTATGAATGGATCTTGGCAACTGCATTATCTCCTTTTCTGAGAGACACTTGCAGATCTTGGATGATGGCCTTCAACTCAGTGAAGACCTCACTCATAGCATTGCAGATATCCAGTAGCTCGAGGGAGCATTCCATCTCTCCATCCAACAACTTCCTCTGCTGGGATGAGCAAATTTGGTTGCTAGGCAGGCACATGATCTGCTCAATGGAGTTGTAGATGTCATCAAGCCTCCTCAAAACATCAGAAATCATCTCGATGGTCATGGACGGTGATGAGACGCATGCTTCTAGGCTGTGCAGCTCCTCTTCAACTTTGGAGAGAGGCCTAGAAGGCAAGCTAATTGATCTTTGGTGGAAAGCCATGCCTGTTGCTAAAGGTCTGTATTTCTGTGTTGAGGCCAAGAAGATGAGAAGGAAATGAAAGTTTCGTTTGGTGTGTCTAGCCTTGTGCTGAGGAGTACTTATACAGATCATGTGCAAGACACAGCTTCATTTGCATGGCAGACAAGCAGAATCCTGCCAGTTCACCTCCCAAATGCTGTCTATCAATGGTTTGAGATCTGGCAGCAGCATATGGAATCACTCGTATGCTGTTCGATTTTTTAGTGAACTGACATCTATCTTCTCAATGTGCTATCGCATTGTCATGTCCCAACTATTGGCAGCAACAACCAGCAGGTTAGTTCACCCTACCGGTTGATCTTGACACATTTGCATGCTCTCAAGGGATTATCTTATTAGAGTGCTAACAAGTATTACTGTTGACATGCGTTTTTCTAGTTCTTGTGCTCTCGTTGATTACAACATGTGTTGTATTATGTGCAATCCGTGCCGCTTACACGCTCAACATCTTGTGTTGGAGCTGCCCTGTTATTTTTATTGGTGGAGCAAGATCGTTGCTTGCTGCTGAGGCAGCATTTGTCATCTGAGTGACATGGGCGATTTGCCCATTTCACATTAAAGCATTTCGAAGGTGAACTTTAATGTCATCTGTTTTTTTTTTTTGTGACAGTCAATATTGATGAGCATCAATCTTCTAAGGAAATTAAGTTTTTTACCTTTTGGTACTAAAGCATGTGCATAGACAGTGTAATCAACAATAGAAGATGGACTGAATCCTGTTTTTATTTTTCAGTGAGTATATTTCTACACATTTTTCTCATGTTTATATAAACATTGGGAGACTATTTCAACGATCGGCGAATTCTCTAAAACGCGGGTGCCAAGCACAGGGGATTAGAGCTCGCAAATCTACCTTCAAGCTGAAGTAGGAGTCGGAAAGTGAAACTCTACTTTGAATCAATTTCCTGAACAGGTTCTTAATTCCATTGTCTAGATTAACAATGTTCAGTTCTAACACCTACAATTCCTTGTCGCAGGCAACTCTTATCTTGTGGATTCTGGACTATCTTCTGACCTGACCTGCCTGTGTTAATTTGAATGTGTATCCTGTAGTGTGATCCTCCCTGTCAATGTCCCCAATGAATCCTACGTTCATTTTAATTTGGAATGCAAGGGGGCTTGACAAGATTGCTAAACGCAACTATGTGCTGAATTGCTGATATTGTTTGTTATCAAGAGAAGAGACCAAAAATTTGTATAGCTATTTTTTTATCATTAATTTCATGCCTCCTCCCGGTGCTTGGAAAATAAAGGCTCGAGTTGTCAGGCGAACAATCAGCATGTTGATACGACATACCAGCATTCGTTGAATGAATTTATCAGCAAAACATGTTGCGAATAAGAAAGACAGAAACTTGTTAGTTATATTTGTTTAGTGAAAGGGATATACATAACTTGAATTGAAATACAGATACACGCAGAGCAAACTCCTGCAAAATTTGTGTTTGAGCCTTTCACCGTCCTGGACTCAAACCATGAAAGCCCAAACAAGACGTTGTATTGGCCTCCGACTCGCTGCTCCCTCGGCCTCGACTCCTCGGCCCGCCGCCTGCGCCGACCTCCAATCTCGCGACCAGCGGCGCCGGCGTCCTCGCCGCCGGCCGGTGAGCGCCTCATTTTTCTCTCTTTCCCATAACATTACATTCTCTACTTGTTGATCTGGGAGCTTTTCTCTCTGCCTTAACCTTGAGTATTATTTATGCTGATAGCATATGCAATTTGTTTGCAGAAAAAAATAACTTGGGGCTATAGGTTCGCCCCTCTGGTGCCTATCGTTTTTAACCATGGGTTAGTTGATCTGTTCTCAAAAAAAAAAAAAGTATCTTTGCCCCTCGGTGGGTTCCCTCTGATTGATACTTTCGTTTTGCTCAATCGGTTGCTGTTTCCTTGAGTTCCTTCTTAATTTTTCCCCTTGTTCCAATCCATATCAATATCTGGGATATATATTTTTAGATAATGGTCTGGGATATATATGGACTATTATTGTAACTATTATCAATATATATATATTGAGTAAGTCTCTGTGCTTGGTTGCGTTGCAGTTGGATCCATTGCTTCAATGAATACTAGAAAAGGGCTCGGGCTTGCCCTCTAGTCAACAAGATGGTGATGATTCTCAAGCTGTCAAAGCAACAATTCCAGACCTTCCTGAGGTACGTAGGGCGGCATGAAATTCTGACCTTTCTGATACATTCCACTGCACTATCAATTAATTATCAACTCTTGTAAATCTGCATATCACTTGCAATTAATCATGCCAAAAGGTATACCTGGGTAGAATATAACCCTCCTACTCCATGTGGTACTTCTGTTTTTCTTTCTACTGTCCAAGTAACCATTTGGCTCTTTCGGCATTGAACTCTACTCGCATATGCTCGTATGCAGGACATCTGGTGCCATGTACATTCCCTAATGCCACTGCGTGATGCTGCTCGTGCTGCTTGCCTATCTCGTGCCTTTCTTCATTCCTGGAGATGTCGTCCCAATCTCACCTTGACTAGGGAAGTGTTTCTCCCGGAAGTACATTCACTACATTCACATATAGTGAATGCCAGCGACATAATTGATGGCATTCTAAGAAACCGCTCAGGCTCTGGTGTGAAGATATTGAAGCTTCAATTAGAGGGCATTTCCCTTCTCTGCCTCGACCGTTGGCTTAAACTTGCTGTTACACCGATGACTGAAGAGCTCATTGTTATGCTATGTACTAGTATTACAGCAGAGTACAATTTCCCATGCTCAGTTTTATCCAGTGGGATTCGAAGCTCAATTCGGTATCTTAAACTTGGCTATTGTGCCTTTCGCCCCACAGCTGAACTTGGCACCTTGAGAAACCTAACAACTAACAAGTCTGAGTCTGCATTTTGTACATGTTACCGAGGATGAGTTGGAGTGCTTTCTTTCCAATTCTACTATTGCTTTGGAGCAGTTGAACCTCAGCAACTGTGAGGAGATAATTTGCCTGAAGATACCTTGCGTGCTGCAAAAATTGAGCTGCCTGGTGGTTGCTGGATGCTGTAGGCTGCGAGTGATAGAGAGCAATGCTCCAAATCTTTCCAGTTTAAGCTTCAGCGGAAATGTAAAACTCTCACTTGGAGACCCATTGCAAGTGAAGAGATTAAGCATGATCCATCCAAAGGTTGTCTGTTATGCTCGTGCCGAGCTGCCATCCGTTATGCCAAATCTTGAGACTCTTGCCATTTACTCCAATGATGAGGTATCGATCTCTAAAACATTAGGCGTTTTATTATGCATATTAAGAGTAGTTGTATATTATAGGATTATTAATTCTAATTAATTTGAGACATGACATACATTGTGCAGGTGGTCAATACACCAATGCTGCCTACAAAATTCCTCTACCTTAAGCACCTCACCATTTCCGTTAGCTCAGCAGCCTCCTTTAACACGTCGTATGATTATTTTTCTCTTGTTTCTTTCCTTGACGCGTCTCCTTCCTTGGAGACATTGATCTTGAATGTAAGGCACTCTTCGCTCATTCCATCCTGCAAAGATATACTCCTCTATCTGATCACTGATCTCTTGGATATGTATACTTTATTTGACTTATCTTTTATCATTATCAGGTATCACAAGAGCATATGAAGCATGAATCGGTTCTTGGAGATTCCTCGCCTTTGAGGCAGATGCCGGAACACCGCCATTGCTACCTCAAGAGTGTGAAGATGACAGGGTTCAGCTCCGCGAAGAACTTGATTGAGCTAACATGTTATATCCTCAAGAACGCGGTGTCACTCGAGTGCCTTACATTGGACACCCTTTATGAAAGGGCATGTAGCCTAGTGGTTACAGTGACCTGAGTAGTACCCCAAGGTTCTGAGTTCAAATCTTCTATGGAGCGAATTTTAGATTGGGTTGTTTCCGGGGCTAAGTTCCCTATTTCAATGGCCGTATATATCCGGTTGGATGTAGATGCCGGGTAAAAAAAATACCCTTATCTAAAAAAGAAAAAAAAAACGGTGTTAGGTGTTCTGAAAATTCTAGAAGGTGTTATCCCATGGGCAAGAGTGTTGTCAGGGAAGCCCATAGGGCGGTCAGGGCTGTTACAACTTACATCCAGGATAAAGTTCCTGATACAGTTAAGTTCACTGTTCAGAGTTACTTCCTCGTGCTTTTCACGTGTTTTTAATGGATGAAACTGCTAACTCTTAAACATATACTTAATCATTCGTCTTGTTTAAAATTTAATACAAACATATGAAAATATAAGTCATACATTAAGTAATCTAGTGATAAGCCAAGTCACGTCATAAATAATAATTACTTATTTTTTTAAAAAAATAAGGAGAGATGATGGAGATGAATAAAAGGTGTTTTCTATGGCTGAATTATCCTTTTTGGGGGTTATTCCCGACTCGACAGTATAATATCATGTAAAATCTATAAATTCTTTCTGTCTTAATAAAATTTGGTCGGTGTACTTGCGCCGACCCGGCAAAAAATGGCTGAATTACCAGCCGGCAGCAAGGATCTTCTAGTTGGACGATGCGTACAATGCTGTGCCGCGATGCAACGGATGCAAAAATCCTGCATCGCGTGTGTTCATCGATCTCTAGTTGAGAGCTTGCATTCGAAGCTGTCATGAACAATTCCAAGCAGCTAATATACGCAGTAGTATTAGCGAGGCAAATTTGGCTATTAGAGTGTATTCAGATTGATGCCATTTTAAACTATAGATTATTTAATAAAATTGATAAATATATAGTTGCATTTAGTCTATGGATTGTTTAATAAAATTGACAAATATATAGTTGCATTTAGTTTATTATCAAATAGGTAATTTTAGCAACAATACATTTATCTTATTCTACCATAGTTTTGGTATTGCCAATTTAGGAAAAGTTGATTTTGGTAGTAATCCCTTCTTTCTATAAAGTCAATACCAAAAGCTCAAACCTCATACTTCCACGTCATCATCAATTGTAAACCGTTGGATGAATGCGTTAGATTGCTTCTCAGCCGTTGGATGGAACGCAGCATAGAGCCCAATCCATCAAGCATCGGGTGAGTCTCTCCGCCTACTCAGTACCAAATGTAGCCCACGTAAACATATTGGCCCATCTCCACACACATCTACATGTATCCGGCTCATCAATCCGTATAAAAGAGCTTTATGGCCGAATGCCCATTCTGCTTCTTCGTAGCTTATGCTTTGAATGTGCTACCTAAATTATTTACAAAATTTGGATAGGGTTGCTAAAAAGAATTTCTCCAAGAAAGCCATTTGTTTCTTCCGTTTCTTCTTGAGATTGTACCTCCTATCTAACAAATTAATGTTAACCAAGTCCCGCAGCAACGCACGGGGCATCCTCCAGTGCCCTTAATTTTGAATCACTTTTTATTCAGCGATGTTCATTTTGATTTTGATTGTGTTGGGCCCAATTTTGTAGTGGGCCTAATATGAGATACCGGAAAAACCCACCAGGCCCAAATACAAGTAAGCCCACGGCCCAGAAGAAATTACTACTGCCTACTCGTCTCGTCTCGTCTCCCAGACTCCCACCACCGGAGAAGGCTCCGGCGAGAAAGGGCGGAGGGGAGAGAGAGTCCGCTCCGGCGCCACCGGCGGCGGCGGCGGCGATGTCCGCCCCCATGGATTCCCCCAGGACGATGGGAGAAATCCGCGGCCGCTGTTTACCCTCCAGAACCCAGGGGGTCCAGCCGAGGTATGCATGCATCTACCACTTTATTTCTCCGTAATCTGTGTGCCGCAATGCCTTGTGAATCATTTTTATTCTTCTCTATTGTTGATGGCTGAGTTCATGAGTGGATGTGATTCAGGCTTCCATGGAAGCATCTGCGACATGGTTTTGCAAATCATTTTGCGGCAGTTTGGATTTCTCCAATCTGCGTGCAGTTTTCTCACTCGTCTGACATATTTTATTTTGAACCATAACTCATCTATGTTTAAACATTTTTTTAGGGGAAAAAAAATACTTCTGAACTTGATGCATATATATGTGTCCAAAAAATATAAATAAAATAAAAAGGATGCATACCATGCTAGGTCGTGCGATAATGCAACGGACATTGGCAGGTAGTCACTGTGCTAATTGCAAGCTTTAATCCATGTAGGTTGGGCCTGGCAGGTTTCATGAATGTAATGCAAAATGCACCAAACACTGATTGGGCACTAATTAATGGACTTAAACAGGTGTGAGGTAACATGGCCACATGAATATAAAAAAAAAAGTCTTCAATAGAATATATAAACAACTAGGACACTATGGGTATTTGTCTGCAATCCTCATGTCTAGAGGTATAGCATGTATATCCCTATGGATTAATTTGACTGTAAAAATACAAAAGAAATGAAAATAATATCACTAGCATGGCACATATATTTCATAACTCATTTGTTGGATTGTCCGTTGTATATTAATCCCAAAGGCAATAATACTGACAGCACATTGCGTAATCACATCTTGTATCTCAGCAATATGTGAAGCCTGAGCACACGGCAAGAATTAGATCAAAACTTTGTATCTCTTTCATGTATATTTTATTTTCCTGTACAGTAATTCTATTCTATGGCATATACAGATGGAAGGATCAGCAAATCCTTTAAAAGGCGGATGCCAATCACAGGGTATTAAGAGTGACAGATCTTGAGTATCTATGAGCTAAGAATGTTCAGGAGAGTAACCCTGCTTTGGACCAATCTCCTGAACAGAAGCCCTGCTCCAGCCTCAAGATCTCTGATGCAGCACTCTAACACCTGCAACTGCTCCTCATTGCAAATCACTGGGATTTTCTTCTGGAATGCCTTGGAGATGAGAGACAATTTAGGCATAGCAATTTGCTTCGACAAGAGGTGTGTAGTTGACTCGAATAGAGAGGTAGTAATCTCTCTAGCCTCTCTCAATAGCTTGACTATCCTGCAGTCCTCCTTGTTCGAGACAACCTTCTTCAGAGTCTTCTTGGAATGTTTCTTTGCCTTCTTCACCAAGCGGATGTATGACTGGATCTTGGCTTGAAGAACTGCATCATCTCCTTTTCTGAGAGACACTTGCAGATCTTGGATGATGGCCTTCAACTCGGTGAAGACCTCGCTCATAGTGTTGCACATATCCAGTAGCTCAAGGGAGCATTCCATCTCTCCATCCAACAACTTCCTTTGCTGTGGTGAGCAAACTTGGTTGCTAGGCAGGCACATGATCTCCTCAATTGAGCAGTAGATGTCCCCGAGCCCCCTCAGACCATCGGAGATTGCCTCGATGGTCAGGGAGGGTGAAGAGATGCATGCCTCTACGCTGTGCAGCTCCTCTTCAACTTTGGAGAGAGGCCTGGAACGCAAGCTAACTGATCTTTGGTGGAAAGCCATGTGTGTTGCTAAGCTCTGTCTCTCTGTTGAGTCTGAGAGCTGAGAAGGAGAGGAAAGTCTTGGTTTGATGTGTCTAGCTTTGTGGTTAGACCTATTTATACAGAGGATGTGCAAGACACTACATCAATTGGATGGTAGACAAATAGAATACTGGCAGTTCAACTCCCTGATGCTGTCTGTCATGGTTTTGAGATCTGGCTGTTGCAAGTCTCTTTGTTGTTCAATGTTTTAATGCATTGCCGTCTATCTTCCAAGTGAGCTATCGCATTGTCATGTCCCAATTATCGGCAGCAAGAATCAGCAGGTTAGTTCACTCTACCGGTGGTTCTTGGAATAATTGCATGCTCTCAAGGGATTATTTTAATAGCGTGATACCAGAGTATTATAGTTGACATGCGTGTTATCTAATTATTAATGCTCTTGTTAGTTTCAACTTGTGTTCTAATAAGTGCAATCCATGCTGCTTACACGCTTAACCTCGTGTATTGGAGCTGGTCTGTTTCGGCTGCAGCAGCAAGATCCACAGTACATGCATCCTTTGCTTGCTAGTGAGGCAACAAACAGCATCAGAGTTACATGGCCCACATGGGCATTTCACAGCCCTATGGCACATCATTATCAATTTGACTATAAAATATAAAAGAAATGAAAGTAGAATTGCTAACGCGGCACATATATTTGATAATTCATGTGCCGGCTTGCGCAAATTATATTCATCACAACGGCTTTTGGCATCTTGTTGCATAATCACATCATGAGGATTGAGCGCACAATTAGATCAAAATTTCTGTTTCTTTCATGTATAACTTTTTTTCTGTACACTATAAATCTATGACATATACAAGGTAAGGATCAGCAAATCCTTTAAAAGGTGGACGCCAATCGCAGGTTTTAGGAGTGACAGATCTTGAGGAGCATCTATGAGCTAAGAATGTTGAGGAGAGTAACCCTGCTCTGGACCAATCTCCTGAACAGAAGTCCTGCTCCAGCCTCAAGATCTCTGATGGAGCACTCTAACACCTGCAACTGGTCCTCATTGCAAATCACTGGGTTTTTCTTCTGGAATGCCTTAGAAATGAGAGACAATTTTGGCGTAGCAATTTGCTTCGACAAGAGGTGCGTTGTTGACTCAAATAGAGAGGTAGTGATCTCCCTAGCCTCGCTCAACAGCTTGACTATCCTGCAGTCCTCCTTGTCTGAGACAACCTTCGTCAGAGTCTTCTTGGAGTGTTTCTTTGCCTTCTTCACCAAGCGGATGTATGACTGGATCTTGGCTTGAAGAACTGCACCATCTCCTTTCCTGAGAGACACTTGCAGATCTTGGATGATGGCCTTCAACTCGGTGAAGACCTCGTTCATAGCGTTGCAGAGATCCAGCAGCTCAAGGGAGCATTCCATCTCTCCATCCAACAACCTCCTCTGCTCGGATGAGCAAACTTGGTTGCTAGGCAGGCACATGATCTCCTCAATGGAGCTGTAGATGTCCCCAAGCCTCCTGAAACCATCAGAGATTGTCTCGATGGTCAGGGAGGGTGAAGAGATCCATGCCTCAATGCTGTGCAGCTCCTCTTCAACTTTGGAGATAGGCCTGGAAGGCAAGCTAATTGATCTTTGGTGGAAAGCCATGTCTGTTGCTAAAAATGTTGCCTCTTTGTGTTGAATCCAATAGATGAGAAGGAAAGGAAACTTATGGTTTGATGTGTCTAGCTTTGTGCTGAGACCTATTTATTCAGTGGATGTGCTATACACAGCATCATTTGGATGGTAGACAAAAAGAATCCTTCCAGTTCAGCTCCCTGACGCTGTCTATCATTGTTTGAGATCTGGCAGCAACATTAAACAGCATATGGAATCTCTTGTGTGTTGTTCTAATTTTTAATGCACTGCCATCTTTCTTCCAAGGGAGATATCACATTGTCATGTCTCAACTATCGGCAGCAAGAACCAGCAGGTTAGTTCACTCTACTTGTGGATCTTGACATAATTGCATGCTCTCCAGGATTATTTTAATTTATTGCTACCACCGTGGTATTGCTGATACGTGCACTATCTATCTTTTTATGCTTTTGTTAATTCCAACTACTGTTATATTATGTGCAATTAATGCAGTTTGCACGCTCATCCTCGTGTATGGGAGCTGGCCTGTTGTAGCTGTGGCAGCAAGATCTACTGCATAAAGATCCTTTGCTTGCTAATGAGGCAACAAATGGTATCAGAGTGGCATGACCCACATGGCCATTTGATAGCCCTATGGCACATCACAGATCAATTTGCCAGCAAAAAAAATGAAAAGATTTTCGTTTATGTGGCACATATATTTTATAATTCATTTGCCATGTTGTGCGATTTATATTCATCACAAAGACATTAATAATATCGCTTGCATAATCACATGATGTACCTCAGAGATACGTGAGGACTCAGGGGATGGAAAGAATTAGATCAAAACTCTCTTTCATGTATGTTTTCTTTTCTGTACAGTAAGCCTATAACATATACAAATGGTAAGGATCAGCAAATCCTTTAAAAGACGGATGCCAATCACAAGGTCTTAAGAGTTTCAGATCTTGAGGAATATCTATAAGCTAAGAATGTTCAGGAGAGTAACCCTGCTCTGGACCAATCTCCTGAACAGAAGTCCTGCTCCAGCCTCAAGGTCCCCGATGCAGCACTCTAACACCTGCAACTGCTCATCATTGCAAATCATTGTGTTTTTCTTCTGGAATGCCCTGGAGATGAGGGACAATTTTGGCATCTCGATTTGCTTCGACAAGAGGTGCATTGTTGACTCGAATAGAGATGTAGTGTTCTCTCTAGCCTCGCTCAAGAGCTTGACTATCCTGCACTCCTCCTTGTCTGACACAACCTTCTTCAAAGTCTTCTTGGAATGCTTCTTTGCCTTCTTCACCAAGTGGATGTACGACTGGATCTTGGCTTGAAGAACTGCGTCATCTCCTTTTCTGAGAGACACTTGCTGATCTTGGATGATGGCCTTCAACTCGGTGAAGACCTCATTCATAGCGTTGCAGAGATCCAGTAGCTCAAGGGAGCATTCCATCTCTCCATCCAACAACCTCCTCTGCCCAGATGAGCAAACTTGGTTGCTAGGCAGGCACATGATCTCCTCAATGGAGCTGTAGATGTCCTCAAGCCTCCTCAAACCATCAGAGATCATCTCAATGGTCAGGAAGGGTGAAGAGATGCATGCCTCTATGCTGTGAAGCTCCTCTTCAACTTTGGAGAGAGGCCTAGAAGGCAAACTAATTGATCTTTGGTGGAAAGCCATGTCTGTTTCAAAAACTCTGGCGCTTTGTGATGAATCCAAGAGATAAGAAGGAAAGGAAACTTATGGTTTGATATGTCTAGCTTTTTGCTGAGGCCTATTTATTCAGTTGATGTGCAATGCAGAGCATCATTTGGATGGTAGACAAACAGAATCCTGCCAGTTCACCTCCCCGATGCTGTCTCTCAAGGTTTGAGATCTGGCAGCAGCATATGGAATCTCTCGTATGTTATAATAATTTGTTATGCACTGCTATCTATCTTCCAAGTGAGCTATCACATTGTCATGTCCCAACTATTGGCAACAAGAACCAGCAGGTTAGTTCACTCTACTTGTGGATGTTAGACATAATTGCATGCTCTCATGGGATAATTTTAGTAGAGTGCTACCAGAGTAGTATCTTTTATACATGCATAATCTATTTCTTAATACTCGTGTTAATTTCAACATGTGTTCTATTATGTGCAATCCATGCTGCTTGCCCGCTCAACTTTGTTTATGGTAGCTGGCCTATTTTAGCTATGGGGGCAAGATCCACTGGCATAGAAACTAGCATTGGCTATGTGACTATTTCGTAGTAAAGCATTTCAAAAGTGAATTGGAACTATCTGTGCTAACTGTTCATGTAACAGTCAATAATGATGAACATCAGTCTTCTGTGAAAATTATGTTTTTGTACCAAAGCTTGCATAGACAGTGTAATCAATCAAGAAGTTGACAAAATCTTGTTCTTTCTCAATAAGTATATGTCTTTCTCCAAGTCGAGGCACATACCTGGTGAGCCAATGAGTTATGAGTTTCATGGACATTGCATGGTTAAATTGTGGTTGCTGAGATAAACTTGAGATGTGTCTCAAGATAATCTGTGTCTTGCTGTGCACACTATAATTATACTGTTTTTCTGTGCTTAAAAGAAATTCTCTTTACTTCTGAACTTAATTAAAACGTGCTTTATTATCAAGATGTGTATCAGTGCTCCAAAACAGTAAAAATAATATATACACAAGAACACAATACTAGGTAAGCTATGTGATCATGCAGCAAATTTAGGATGTAACTTTTTTTTCCTTGAAAACACAGGTGTGTTGTGCTTCATTGCATTAAGAAGAAAGAAAACAAATATAAAAGGAGGGATCAACACTGATCCACCTCTAAGAACACACACCCACAAAATATTGTGCTGATTGCAAGCTTTTAGCTTTGTAGCTTGGGCCTGGCATGTTTCATGAATGTAGCGTGAGATGCACCAAAACTAAGATCATGTACTAATTATTGGCTTAGGCGGGTGTGAAGTAACATGGCCACATGAATATATAAACAACTAGGCAGTTGTGGACCAGCGCAAATTGTTTGCTTCCAAATATTCATGTCTAGAAGAAAAATGTGTGAGGCCATATGGCATATCAGTATATCAGCAATCATTTGGAGTATAAAAATAATAAAATAAAGGAAAACAATATTACTTGGCACATATATTTCATAGTTCATGTGTTGGGTTGTGCAAATTATATTCATCACAAAGGCAATAATACTGGCATCGTGTTGCATAATCACATCATATATCTCAATAATATGTGAGGATTGAGCGCACGACAAGAATTAGATCAAAATTTCTGTTTCTTTCATGTATAACTTTTTTCTGTACACTATAAGTCTAACCATATACTAAGGATCAGCAAATCCTTTAAAAGGCGGATGCCAATCACAGGGTCTTAAGAGTGACAGATCTTGACGAGCATCTATGAGCTAAGAATGTTCAGGAGAGTAACCCTGCTCTGGACCAATCTCCTGAACAGAAGTCCTGCTCCAGCCTCAAGATCTGTGATGCAGCACTCTAACACCTGCAACTGCTCCTCATTGCAAATCACTGGGTTTTTCTTCTGGAATGCCCTGGAGATGAGGGACAATTTTGGCATCTCGATTTGCTTCAACAAGAGGTGCATTGTTGACTCGAATAGAGATGTGGTGTTCTCTCTAGCCTCGCTCAAGAGCTTGACTATCCTGCACTCCTTGTCTAACACAACCTTCTTCAAAGTCTTCTTGGAATGCTTCTTTGCCTTCTTCACCAAGTGGATGTACGACTGGATCTTGGCTTGAAGAACTGCGTCATCTCCTTTTCTGAGAAACACTTGCAGATCTTGGATGATGGCCTTCAACTCGGTGAAGACCTCATTCATAGCGTTGCAGAGATCCAGTAGCTCAAGGGAGCATTCCATCTCTCCATCCAACAACCTCCTCTGCCCAGATGAGCAAACTTGGTTGCTAGGCAGGCACATGATCTCCTCAATGGAGCTGTAGATGTCCTCAAGCCTCCTCAAACCATCAGAGATCATCTCAATGGTCAGGGAGGGTGAAGAGATGCATGCCTCTATGCTGTGAAGCTCCTCTTCAACTTTGGAGAGAGGCCTAGAAGGCAAGCTAATTGATCTTTGGTGGAAAGCCATGTCTGTGGCTAAAACTTTGTCTCTCTGTTGAATCTGAGAGATGAGGAAGGGAAAGTTTTGGTTTGATGTGTCTAGCTATGTGCTGAGGTCTATTTATACAGAGGATTTGTAAGATATGGCATCATTTGGAGGGTAGACAAACAGAATCCTGCCAGTTCACCTCCCAGATGCTGTCTGTCAGAGCAGGTACAATAGCAGGCTATAAGCCAGCTGCAAACATATTTTAAGAAGATAAATCAGGAGAGAGAAGAGCAGCGGGCTACAGATTTGTAGCCAGCTGTAGCACGGACTCCAAGACGCAGTATGTCTATGACAGGTGGGACTAGGTATTAATAGTGTAGTATGTAACTATTGTATGAATGAGCTATTAGATTGGCTATAGATGAATTGGAGCTAGTAGTTGGCTATACTATTGAACTTGCTCTCAAGGTTTGAGATCTGGCAGCAGCATGCAGAATCTTTTCCATCACTCATGTGCAGTTCAATATTTTTAGTGCACTACGTGTCCTCCCGATGAGCTATCACATTGTCATGTTCCAACAATTAGCAGCAAGAATCAGCAGGCTAGTTCACTTGACTGGTGGATCTTGACATATTTGTGTGCTCAATGTATTATTTTAATGGGGTGCTAATTGAGTTTTATTGCTGGCATGCGTGTTCTCTAGTTTTGTTGCAGTTGTTAATTTCCATAGGTGTTTTTCTATGCACAATTCAGTCTGCTTACACGCTCAACCTCGTGTGTTGAAGCTGGCTTGTTTTTTTCTGTGGTAGCAAGATCCACTACACAAGGATCCTTTGCTTGTTGCTGGTGCAACATATGGCATCTGAATAACGTGGCCATACAATAGTAAATAATTTCAAAGATCAGAGTGAACAGTCTTTGCTAACTACTTCTATAACAGGCAATAATGGCAAGCATCTTATAAGAAAATTAGGTGCTTCTGTCAAAGCATGGATGAAATGCAACAAGAAGTAGATAAAATACTGTGCTTTGTTTCTCAACTTAATATCTGTACAATTCCTCTAATGTATATACACATTGCTAAAATGTTGCAGTGACCAGCAGATCCTTTAAAATTTGGACACCAGTCACAGGGGATCAAAGTGGTATATGATCTATCTACAAGCTGAGAGTGTTGAGAAGAGAAACTCTGCTCTGGATCGATTTCCTGAACAGATTCTTGACTCCAGTGTCTAAATCAGCAATGTTCGACTCCAACACTTGCAATTGCTCCTCTTGGCAGAAAAGTGCTCTCTTCTTGAATGTCTTGGAGACAAGAGACCACTTGCTAGAACTTGGCATCGCAAGTTGCCTTGAGAGAAGATGGAATGAGGTTTCAAGCATTAAGATAGCTATCTCTCTTGCTTCAGCCAACAGCTTGACCACCCTGCAGCTTTCCAGATCAACTGAAGAAGACTTCTTGCTGATCTTCCTGAACTGTTTTTGTGCCTTCTTGATAAGGCAGATATAAGACTGGATCTTCACTTGCACAGCTGCATTATCTCCTCTCTTCATAATCAGCTGCATGTCTTGAATGCTTTGCTTAAGGTTGGAAAAGCTCTCCTGCATGGCATTGCAGAAATCGAGCAAGATGAGAGAGCGCTCAAGCTCTTGCTCCACTGCTTTCCTCTGCAGTGGCTGGCAAATTGCAACATGGCTGCTTGGCAGGCACATGATCTCATTGATGCAGCTGTAGATATTCCCGATCCTCTTCAAGCCATTACTCATTGTCTCAATGGTCGAAGACGATGAAGAAACAATTGCCTTCAGGTTCTGGAGCTGCCCTTCGATATCGATTTCGTTGGAGCGAGGGCTCGATGGCACACTTGCAGATCTCAGGTGGAATGCCATGTCTTCAGAGGAAGCTGTAATACTTTTTTTTTCCTCCTCTCTCTGAAGTTGGAAGAGGAGAAGGTATGCTACAATGGTGTCGACACGGTTAGCTTTATCTCTATATATAACGGAAGAAGAAGAAGAAGAAGCAGAGGCAATGGCATCTCTACTCTGTAGACAGCATTGGAATCTCAATTACATTTAAGTAATGTGCTGCTGCAACGGATGCCACCCATCTCCTCGACAAGCTGATGAATTTTATGTTTGTTAATCAAGTGTGTGTAACAGTGCAAGTGGCATGTCTAGCTCATCTTGTGTCTATCATGTCCTGGCTATTGGCAGCAAACTCATTGCACGAGCATGTAGTTTAAATTTAGATCCAGATCCAGATCATGGGATTGATGAGCTTGCCACGAAAGAGAACAAGAGCTGTTCCTTTGCTCGGCCAAGCAACAGTTGACTTCACCTCCATGATGTGTTCTTATCTGGTACGTTCTTCGTGCAGCATCACATCGCTGGCCTGCCTTCTGCACTCACAGCATTCAGCATCTGCTGCAATCTCAAGATGATTCCACGTGCTGTCCAAATTTCTGATGCATTAGGCCTAACTGAGTCACATTGTCATGTTCCAGTTATTGGCAGCAGGAATCAGCATGGCAGCTTATTCTATTACTGAGCCTTGTCATACGTGTATGCTCCAGCACCCATTTAATGGAGATTGCTAATCAACTAGTATTGGTGCCATGTGTGCTATTGCATCTGATTGCTGAGCAATTTATCAACAACTATTTAGTTATATGGGGAGCAAAGGATCTTGTGCCTGTTCCTGTCTCATGTGAATACTGGTGACATGACCATCCCATGGCTTTACGAAGGCAAGGTGGGAACTGTGTACTTATTACTAATTGCATATATTATGACAGCCAAAAATGGTATGTGTCTTCTGACTAATTTATTATTTTTTTGCTTGAACATGCTTCAGGTGAAGCGCTCCAAATGTCCGGTGATTGTTTGAGAGCAGTATGCGTCAAGTGAAGGGGGAAATTAGAGGCAAAAGAGTGAAATATTCATTGAATGAACTCCTGTACATTTCCTCATGTATGATGTAGGTGAACATACAAAATTGTTTTGGTGATCAACAAATCCTCTAATAGGCGGACGCCAATCACAGGTGTCAGAGTTGGGAATGTTCCATCATTCTATCTACATGCTGAGAGCGTTTAGAAGAGAAACTCTGCTCTGGATCGATTTTCTGAACAGATTCTCGATTCCGCTCTCAAGATCAACAATGTCCAACTCCAACGCCTGCAATTGCTCCTCCTCGCAGATAATTCTTCTCTTTTGGAATGTCTTGGAGACGAGAGACCACTTGCTATAACTCGGCATCACAGTTTGCTTCGAGAGGAGATGTGATGAGATTTCAAGCATTGAGAAGGCTGTCTCTCTTGCTTCAGCCAACAGCTTGACCACCCTGCAGCTCTCCTGATCAGGTGACAGAGTCTTCTTGCTAATCTTCTTGTACTGTTTCTGCGCCTTCTTGGCAAGGCGGATGCATGATGGAATATTGGCTTGAACAGCTGCGTCTTCTCCTCTCTTGATAACCAACATCATGTCTTGGATGCTTGCCTTGAGCTCAGAAAAGTTCTGTTGCATAGCCTTGCAGAGGTCAAGCAAGACGAGAGAGCACTCGAGCTCTTGCTCCACTGCTTTCCTGTTCTGTGACTGGCAAAGGAGAACTTGGCTGCTAGGCATGCACATGATCTCGTCGATGCTATCATAGATGCTCTTAAGCCTCTTCAAGCCATCGTTCATCGTCCTGATGGTTGAAGAAGGTGAGGAGATTGTTGCCTTTAGGCTCTGCAGCTGTTCTTCGACATTGGTTTCGCTGGACCGTGGGCTGGATGGCGCACTCGCAGATCTGAGATGGAATGCCATTATATTTTTCTCTTGTTTTCTTTTCTCTGGAGATGGATAGGAAGAGAAAGGAAACTGTGCTGCAATGGTGTCGACCTGGGCATGGTTTGCCTGTATATATAACGAAAGGAGCTCAAGCAATGGCATTTCTGATTGTGTAGACAGCCATGGAATTGTTGTGCTGCTGCAACAGAAGCCACCCAACTCCTCGACAAGCTGATGTTTTTTTTCATGTAAGAGGCATCTCTAGCTCAGCTAATGATTGTACCATCATGTCCCGATTATTGGCGGCAAACTCAGCTGCACGAGCGGGTTGCTTAGTGTTGAATTCAAGTTCAAGATGGTGAGACCAATGAAGCATGCAATGAAATGGGAGAATCAATCATGCGGTTTCTGCACTAGCATGTTACTCCTGCCTGCCGTGCTAAACTGCAAAATGTTCTTATCAGTTGTGAGTTGTCATGCTGCAAAATAAGGACACATTGTGACATTGTCAACCATCTCTAACAAGTTGATGCTTCATGTCTTAGGTTGTGTTGGCAAAGTGGCAAACTCATCTGCACGAGGGCGTGGTTGGTTCTTGCTTGTGTGAGAGGATTCGTTGTTCTTATAAATGACAGCCTTGGTCCATTGACATTTCAGCCATTATATATCACTCTGTTGTCTTCACAGCATTGCTGTCATGTTTCAGTTGTATGGTACAGCACATTTCTCTGTTCAAGTGTTCATTATGGATATGATCCACATTTAGTGCATTTTTTCAGTGTATTAGGTGCCGTTCGTGTAGATGAGTTTATGTTTTTTCAACATCAGTTTCCGGCATCAGTCTTTGTTATAGTATGTTTCAGCTGTCTGCGGTTAGTATTTGATGTTCATATGCCTTTTATTTTGATATTATGCATGTTTGATCCTTTTTCAAGTACAATGTTGGTGCCTCTTAAGAGCTTAATTACCACATATACATTTTCCAGTTATTGGCGAGAATGAAACCAGTAGCGCACTGGTACTAAGCCAAACAGGTGCATGCATCTTTAGGTGATTCTAAATCCAAAATCTTTTTAAGGTTTTAAACCAAACATATCAAAATATATTAATGCCAAAATTGGTCAAATTTCGTCATTACCAAGTTTTGATAAAATTGAAAGTGTCAACAAAGTGAAAGGACCCGAGATGCGCATTCTCTGATTCTCCTCCATCTTCCTCATCAGCTTGGGCCGAAATTGACATGTGACGCCCATAGTAAAGCCCACACGGCCCATAACCCACCACGCGTCTCTTCAAATTTCCGCCCCTAAATAAAAATAAAACGAAATAAAAGACCAAAAAAAAAAAAAACTCACGAGAGGCGCATCGGCGGCGGCGCCGCCACAGGGCCACCGGCCGCCGTCGCCGGCGATCTGCAGGGTCAAGCACTCAAGCCCCCGCAGCCTGCTTCCCGCCGGAGGTCAGTTCGGAACCCTACTTTTTTATTAGCGTTGCAGTGGGTTACCGCCGTCCTTCCACTGTTGCGTTATCGCATTAGCGATTGGGTTAGGGAATGATTACAGACTAATTGGTGCTAATCACAAGGTCAGACCTCGTGGGGTTGGATCTGGCATGCTGCGTGTATGCAGGGCAGGCCAGCATGATCCACCATTGAAGGATCGTGCGCTGATTATGGGATTAAACAAGTGCGAGGTCACATGGCCACTTTGAAATCAAACATTTAGGTTCAGAAATGGACAGCATTAAGCAGTTGAAAGTTGATTCCATCTACTTATAACTTATTCTAGTCGAATCTCTCTCTTTTTTCTCTATCTTCCTGAGAAGAGAAATCGTGTTTCACTTGCAACAATAATTCACATCTTCTGTTTTTTTCATGTTTTTTTTTTGTTACCCATAGTTTTATGGACATCAGCACATCACAAAATCACATCATCAGATACCACTGAAATCAGAAATCAGAAGCATGTATAAATGATTGGAGATGAGACACTGGCTAGATCAAAACTGCTGTTTTCAATTGCTCTTTTTGTTCTATACATTTACAGATGTACAAAGATTGGCAGATCCTTTAAAAGGCGGAGGCCAATCACAGGGTGTTAGAGTGTCTTCACTTTAGGAGAATCTATGAGCTAAGAGTGTTTAGGAGCGCTACTCTGCTCTGGATCATTCTCCTGAACAGAAGTTCGGCTCCATTCTCAAGATCTCCAATGATGCACTCTAATGCCTGCAATTGCTCCTCCTCACAAACAACTGATCTCTTCTTTTGGAATGCCTTAGAGACAAGAAACATCTTGGGAACCACTAGTTGCTGTGATAGGTGGCACGATGTCGACTCGAGTAGAGAGACGGTGAGCACTCTAGCCTTGATCAATAGCTTGATCAGCTTGCAGTCCTCCTTGTCAGAAGTAGTCTTCTTGCTCATCTTCTTGCATTGCTTCTGCGCCTTCTTGGCCAAGCGGGTGAAAGATTGGATCTTGACCTGAATGCTTGCACTGTCTCCTCTTCTGAGAGCCGCGTGCAGATCTTGGATGATGGTCTTCAACTCGGTGAAGTTCTCTTGCATGGCACTGCAGAGATCGATCAGCTCGAGGGAGCACTCCATTTCCCCATCCAACATTTTCCTTTGCTGTGCAGAGAAAACTTGGTTGCTGGGCAAGTGGATCATCTCCTCGATCTGATTGTAGACATCTCCAAGCCTCCTCAGACCATCAATGGTCGTGGAGGGTGAAGAGATGCTTGCCTCTAGGCTTTGCAGCTCATCCTCGATTTCAGCTTCATTGGATTGCCTCTTGGATGGCAAACTGACTGATCTTAGGTGGCAAGCCATCTTTGTATTGGAGTATTCGAGAGTTGGGAGATGTGGAAGAAAGATGAAACTTGGGTTTGATGTCTCTACTCCTCAGGCGATGCCTATTTATACACTGGAAGCAACTGAGACAGCATCAATTTTTTAAGAAATGGGAGAGAGCGAGCATCTTTTGAAAGGTAGACAGAAAGAATCATGCCATTTGATTTCCCAGATGCTGTCTGTTGAAGTTGCATGCTAATGCTGCAGAAGTGCTGCATTATCAAGGCTTTTCACGTGAAGTACACATATTTAGTTCACTAGACTTCACAAACTGGTCTTAACACTCTGTCATGTTGCAATTATAGGTAGCAAGAATCTGCATTTGTTCCAACCGTCACGATGGGTCTTGAGGGAAATGCAAGGAAAACCATTAACAGGTTCTTAATTGAGTATTATTAGTGCATGTGTATTAGTTCAATTCTTGTTGCTCTTTGACATTAGTAGGTGTTTCCATCAGTAAATATAAATGATAATGCTAATTACCGGGTTGTAGCTCGTGTGTTGGAGCTGGCATGTTTCAGCTGAGTAGAGCAAGATCCATTTCAGAAGGATCTTCCGCTAGAGGAACATGTGAGTTAACATAACCTTTGTTCCCATAAAAAAAAACCATTAACGTGAAGCCCGCAAGGCTGTAATAACAAGTTGATAACCTTATGGAGACATGTCACTTTTGTTTTAACATCAAAAAATTATAAGAGGCACAAAATTTTACTTGGCTGGAACGGCCCGGATCTTAGGTTGTTCTTTTGCCCTGTAAATGGATGGTATGTTTGAGGCACAATACCTATATTTTAGTTATGAGAAACGTCAATCAGTCATGATGTGAATAATACCAAAGACTCATAGCATGAAATTGACAAAATTGCTTCTCTTTCTTTTTAATTTAGTGAACTTTGTATACATATCCACAAGACTATACATGTTGCAAAATTGTTGTGATCGACTGATCCTTTAAAAAGTGGAGGCCTATCACAGGGTATTGGAGCTCAGGTTGCCTATGAGCTAAGAGTATTCAGAAGAGAAACTCTGCCCTGGATCAATCTCCTGAACAGAAGTTCTGCTCCACTCTCAAGGTCTTTGATAGTGAGCTCCAATTCCTGCAATTGCTCCTCTTCGCACATGACTTTGCTCTTCTGGAATGTGGCGGAGACAAGAGACCACTTAGGCGTCTCAATTTTCTTCGACAGGAAACAGGATGTAGACTCAAGCAATGAGACGGTGATTTCTCTTGCTTCTGCTAGTAGCTTTACCACCCTACAGTCCATCTTATCAGAAGCAGTCTTTTTGCTGACCTTCTTGAATTGCTTCCGCGCCTTCTTGGCTAGCCGGATGTATGCCTTGACTTGAGCAGACGCATCTTCTCCCCTTTTGATGGCCAACATCATCTCTTGTACACTCATCCTCAACTCCATGAAGCTTTCTTGCATGGCATTGCAGAGGTCAAGCAAGACGAGTGACCGTCCAAGCTCTTCCTCCACCAACTTCCTTTGCAGCTTCTGGCAAAGGCTAACTTGGTTACTAGGTGTGCAAATCAGCTCCTCAATGGAGTTGTAGATATCTCCAAGCTTCCTCAAACCATCGCACATCGTGTCGATGGTTGCTGATGGTGAAGAGACGACTGTGTTTAGGGTCTGGAGCTGCTGCTCAATTGTGGTATCATTTGAGCAAGGGCTGGAAGGCACGCTTGCAGACCTTTGATGGCAAGCCATGTCGGGATTGAAGCTTTGGTGTTATTTTCTTCTGTGGGAATGGGAAGAGAAGAGCAAGGAAGAGAGAAGATGCACTTTGCTGGTACTCAAACACTTTGGCTCCTCTCTTATTTATAACTGAAGAAGCAGAACCAAAAACGTGATTGGGTTTGAACAGAGCAATCGACAGAAAGAATCTCATCTACTAACCTCCCTGCATTGTGCGTTGTCATAATAAGTGATCTGTTCTGAAACATAGCCATTCAAGCCTAGACATGTTGTTATTCATCTGATTTTTAATTAGTGCAACAAATGCTAATGAGTGAGCTTATGAGCCTGTCATGTCTCAACTATTGATGACAGTATACTTGCACGAGGGTTTAGTTTGATTTCAGATCCAGATACATCATCAGGAAGGAAGGAGGAAAAGCAGCCTTTTGGTGCTGGTGAGGAAATAATTATTTTGGTTTTCTTCTGATACTCCTACATTAGGACGAGTTGAACATTCATCTCTCATGCAGCAGCAGCAGCAGCAGCATCGCTGGCATGTTCCAGCTATCCACAGAAAGGATGACCATGCAAGTGCACGCATTCTTGACTCAACAACCAGTATAATTTATCTTGTAATATCAAAGTTTCGGTTGGATAGATATGACACGATCATGTCAAATCATATTTATTAGGGAAGGTAGCAGTGAGCAGCTAAGCATACAGCAGAAATGTGACTTGATTAGTTAGCTTAAATTTTGACAAGAACTTTCTAGGATGCAACACTTGCACACGAATGCAATCATCATCTGGCAAAATTTTTTGAGATATTTTAAGAGTTTGCAGGCGTGCAAGGAAGTGTTGAGAAATCAAACAATCGTTGTCACAGTAGTCAAGTCAGTTTGCGTAGCTTCCGATTGTACACCTGGATAGAGATAATGTGCCACTTGTTCATAAGTTGATAGGGTAAACACAGGCTCCAAGATGGTAGAGAAGGAACAAATCACATGTTAACAAAACTGTGTAATTTCTTTTTGCAAGGAAGCAATGCATGCCTTCTCAATTATGTATCTTGCTATACATTTAGACTTACGTACATATTATTCAAAATTTGTGGTGATTGACAGGTCCTATAAAAGTTGGATGCCAATGCCAATGGAGCATCTATGAGCTAAGAGTGTTCAGAAGGGAAGCCCTGGTTTGGATCAATCTCCTGAACAGATTCTCAGCTCCGCTCTCTAGGCCAACGATGCCCAACTCTAATGCCTGCAATTGCACCTCCTCGCATGAAACTTTGGCCTTCTGGAACGATTTGGAGATAAGAGACCACTTGCTTGGATTGCAGGTGGAGATTTGCTTCGACAGGAGCTCTAGGGCAGATTTCAGGACCGAGGCAGTGATCCCTCTCGCTGTTGTCAACAGACTGACAAGCCTTCCATCCTCATCAGAGGTAGACTTGTTGCTGGCCTTCTTCAGGTGATGCTTAGCCTTCTTCACCAGGCGGATGTATGACTGAGCCTTCACTTGAACAACTGCATGGTCTCCCCTGTTGAGAACCATCTGCAGCTCTTGGATGGTCATCTTCAGGTCAGCGAACATCTCTTGCATGGCGCTGCAAAGATCCAGCACCTCCAGAGACCGCTCCATCTCTTCCTCCAGCTTCTTGCCATGTGCTTGGTTGCTATGCAAGCTTATGATCTCGTTGATGCAGTTGTAGACGCCACCAAGCCTCCTCAGAGCGTCAGACACCATTTCGATGGTGGCGGATGGCGATGAGATGCCTGAGCATATGTTGCGCAGCTCTTCTTCGATCTTGATGTAGTTGGGGTGAGGCATAGACGGCAGGCTTGTCGATCTTTGATGGCCAGCCATGTTTGGAATGAAATTTGGTGCTATGCCTCAGACTCTGAGTGTTGGGAGCAGATGATGAACTGGTGGTGCTAATGCTCCAACTCTCCCTACTTATAATCAGGAGGTTGAGAAGATGGTATGAGGCAAATTATGCAGAGACAGCAGGAATCTCCACTGCTCTGCTCTCCCATCTGCTCTTTGATTGCATGGCCAATGCAGCTGCAGACAAGGTGATGCCCTTCAGATGTTGTCTAATTCCAGGTACACTGCTAACTAACCTTTGCTGTGTTGTCATGTCTCATGCATTGCAAGCAGAGTAAGCTGCACGCTCAAGAGATTGTACTGTTGGGTTCTTATGGATGACAAAAGCACAAAAAGAACGAAACAACAGAGGTACGTGGAAGTTTCATCGGTGTTGATTGTTGAAACTTGTTTCAGATATCGTAAGCAGGATCCACCATTTGTATTCACCTGCCAAGTTGTAAGGATCTGAGCATATCTGATCAAATGAACATCTGAAGCAACACATCATCACTTGTTTGGCAACATTGGAGGTTCACTACTCGTTGATCCTGTTGCTCTGTCTGTAGGATTTTTTTTTCTTTTATGTCCAATGCTTTGTCTACAACTCTAAGTAGGACTTCTCCATCATGCCAGCGGGCTCATCGGAGATTCCTCATACTGCAAATGATCTCAAATAGTCTGAAAATTTGTGACATCAAAAAGACAGCCGGAAGATGCAATCCTCTAATTTGCTCCAGCTTCAGGGAACAGTGTGAATAACTCTACTTTGGCTAAGTGAAAAGAACTATGTGAAGCTGAGCTGATAGCGTGGCTTTGCCCCTTCCCGCTGTTTAGGAGTTGCTTTTAGCTGCCGCAGTAGTTCCTAAGCTTCAGTTTTTGGCTTTGCTTTTTCTCCCTTCCCTTGTAACAAAAATTCTTTTTCTTCTAATATATTGACGTGTAATCCTTTTGCGCGTTCGCGAAAAAACTGAGCTGGTAATATATTACTCTGACACTAGTCTACTTAAGGAGGTAACCTATCCTATGCAAATAAGTTTCGGGTGCATCCTCAAAAATTCTTGAAAAAATTATACATGTATTTCCAATAGTATTGTAATTGTGTGTGAAGTCTCTTTAAAAAATTCATTATATATAGAGAGAGACCAAATTCTAACTTACTTATATTCTTAAAACTATTAGTTTTATAAAAAAAAACGGATGAAATAAAAATAACTTTGAAGCGGAGACTTTACATGTATGTGTAGTACTATTGGAAGCACATGTACAGTTTTTTCTAGAATTTTAAGTGGAATTTGTTAGATGGTGTGCACGTTGTGCATCCAAAACTTAGGCTGTGTTTGAGGGAGAGAGGATTGGGAAGATACGCAAAACGAGATGAGTCATTAGCGCATGATTAATTGAGTATTAATTATTTTAAACTTCAAAAATGGATTAATATGATTTTTTTAAATAACTTTTTTATAGAAATTTTTTGCAAAAACCGCACCGGTTAGTAGTTTGAAAAGCGTACGCGCGGAAAACGAGTGACAATCTCCCCTATCTCCAATGAACGAACGCAGCCTTAGTTAATGACTGATTGTTAGTCCAGTTTATGTGAAAGTTGTTTCACAACAAATAATTTCGTACATGTACGAATGTAAAAGACTAAAGGAGTAGTAGTTATGAAACAAAGCTAAATTGTGTTCATCAGCATATGTGACATGAGAATTCTGATCTTTTCTTCTTCCTTTCGATGGGTATGATGGCATCGGAGAGCACAGTAGTCCAAGAGAATGGCTCAAAATTTTCTACTGCTATTTTTTATTGTTCACCATATACTCATATCCAGGTGTCAAAATTATAGCTGACAGCTATCTACTGTACATGCAGCTCTTGCATTTTTTGAGCTCTGATCTGTTCATACACACTCTGACAGTGAGCTGCACATGTTGAGCAAGAAGACTCTGCAATGCACGAGTCGCCTGAAGAGTAGCTCCAGCCCATCCTCCAGCCTCTGGATCGTGTCTCCCAGCGTTCTCAGCTGCTTCTGCACCCGCGCCGCCGTCTCGCCGCCGTCGTGGAGATCTTTGGACGGCAACGAGCTGCAGTACAGGTGAGCCAACGCCGGCGGCGAGGCGGCCGCGATCTCCTCGGCGTCCTCGCACGCCACGCGCGTCCTGTTCCTGAACGCGCGCGCCACGCACGTCGACCACCTGCTCGGCCCGGTGGCGCCGCCCGCCGCCGCCGCCGCCACGACGCGGTCGAGCACGTCCACGGCGAGCCGCCGCGCCTCCTGCAGCGACTGCGCGTCGTCGCCGTCGCGGGTTGGCCGCTCGCGCCTCCTGCTGTTCGTGAGGCGGCGCTGCTGCTTCTTGACGTCGGCGCGCGCCTTCCTGGCGAGGCGCGCGTAGGCGCTCGCCGCGCTCTGGGCGCCGGCGGCGTCGCCTCGGCGGACGGCCACCTCGAGGTCAAGCGCGCAGGCGCGCATCGCCCGCAGGCTGTCCCTCGCTGCGGCGCACGCGTCGAGCAGCGCCACCGACGCCTCCAGCTCCTCCTCCACCTGCTCGGCGCAGGCGAACCGCACGAGCGGCCCGACGTGCTCGTACACCCGCGCCACGCCCTCCAGCGCGCCGGCCATCGCCGCCGCCGCCGAGGAAGACGACGACGACGACGCCACGTTCTGCCTCAGCCTGCACAGCTGCTGCTCCTCCATAGCTGCAGATCACCACACTAGCTTCCCTCAATTCTTGGGAATTAATGGCGATCGATCGAGGAAGACGAATGCATGCACCATGGACAGATGCGATATATATCCTGAGCCGCCGGAAGAATCTCATCGCTGGCATGTCGGTACGGCCTGCCTCGCCGGCAAGGCCTGGCTGGCATGCCTCCCGTGGGCGCGGCACCCACACCGCACGAGCGCGCGACGGCGACGACGGCGACGCACCACGTACGTACTAGGAAGCGTCGAGCAGTTGCAACCACGAGTGGTTGGAGCTTGACGACGAGCTCGGCTAGGGACGCGTGGCGCGTCTCCACGGAAGCGCGCGAAGCCGACGAGTGGGTTCGCGCGCGAATTTGAATGAATGATTGCACGGCCGTACCAGCGAAGGAGGGGAGGAGGAGATCTTTGGGGATCCTGCAATCGGATTAAACAAACGAATTAAAGTTGATTAATTTGTGCTCTGACGTGCATGACATCGTCAGATACGTTCATACGCTGGCCTGATACAGCATTATCTGTATCTGTATAAGTATAATCATGATTAAGGTTTTTCTCTGCTGTGTTTCGTCTGATTGATGCTGTCTCTCTCACCTAATACATGTACGTGTCACTTTCTCACCAGGTTTGTGAAACTGGTTTGTCTTGTCTCCACTGATGCAACAGATGACAACATGCTGACATCCTGGCTTTTGTTTTCTCAATTCATCATGGAATTGTTATTACTTTTTTTATTCTTTTTTAATTTTTAATTTTAAAAATATTTTTTCCGAATCTGAACATTTTAGCCACGCCACCCTACCTGTAGTGGATGTGTCTGTATCGTTTTGCCACACCAATAGGTTTAGATTTAGAAATAGGTTTTGCGAGATTTTATTTTTAAAATTAAGAAGGTTCAAAAAAAATTTAGAAAAAAACTTCAACATCATGTTTCATATGTACTGATCTGGTTGTCACTTTCAAGAACAGCTTGGCAACCAGATTCAAGAACAGTGCATACTGAGACAGGTTAAGAGATGAAAGAAAAAGGCTCAACTCAAGTTACACTCGCTGTACAAAGTTACAGTGTCACAGGTACAAATGAATCATATCATGTGTATACAGATAAACACAGAGAGAGACTTTTTTTCGACAGCCAATCAAATTAGGAGATTGAAGAGTTGCAGTATCAGGGCCATGTCTGCCTAAAATGCTGTCATGCTGAGGCTCCCAATTCCCAAATGCTTCGGTGGGAATTATCGAGTAGAGACTCCAAACAGAGCATCAAACATGTCTCATTATCGATGTAGAGGCAGGAGTGATATCCATTATCTAAAAAAATTATCTCATTATCGAGTATCAGCTAAGATTCATCCACAGTACCAACCTCCTTAAACACTGCCTTGATTCTTGATAGAGAATTTCTACAAGCAATTATAGGGCCTCTAAGAAGAAATATCTTGATCTCTGTTTCTTTGTCAGAATCTTCCATTGCTCAGTCTCTTTCTTTTATAGATAATGTCCATTGTTTTGTATCTCTGATAGTCTGATGCTTTGTGCCCCTTTGTCAATAACATTGTGGTGAATTGGTGATTAACTTCTTTACAGGACAGTAGTTTTCTCCAGTATGATTATGACCACAAAAGAAGATCATTCAACCCTGAGAATGCAGGCCAACACAGATCTCACATCAGTTGCTGCAGGCCTAAGGATGACCCTGAAACTTGGCAGAGGGCCCAAACCAAGCAAAAGCAAGGCACATCGGTTGTGAGACTGGAATTGAGAATCTGTGATGGCTCTGCACACTGTTGCTGTTCATCCAAACCTCCAAGGTCAGTTACTTGCTATGTACTTACCAGCTAAGTCTGAAATGAAGCTAGGAACTCTGCCATTGTTTTGGCCGAGTCGAGTCTTCTCTTCTTCAGAGCGAAGATGGAGATCACTGTATGCATTCGCACAAGCGGCAGTGAAGCTCTCCATTGCTTCAAAGACCTTATTCATACAAGATTGCAAACCAACTTCAGCAGTTGGACCACTATCGTGAACCACCTGCGCAGATAACGACACGCCACTCTGATTGGAAACAAGCACAAGCTTCTTGCTTTGCGCATCGAGAGCCTTGCGCATTGAGAGTTCATCCCTCTCCATCACTCTAAGGTCCCTGTCCATATCTTTGTTAGCCATCATACCTTGCCTCCATTCTAACCTGTGCTTCTCCCAGAGGTGCAGGACACTTGAGGCAAAAGCCTGCATTTTGTCTACTACTTCCTTCTCCGATATTCTTCCCGTGCCGATTGCCCAATTATTACAGATGATGAAAATGGGGGGCGCTCCTAAGCGTCCTGGAGAAAAGGGGGGAGTCCCGTCATCGGTAACTTCGGGCACATAGTCAATTCCCCTCTTGAGCCACTCATTTAAAGTGCCAACAAAGCTCTTTTGAGCATTGACCCATGTAGCAAAACTAGAAATCAACTCCAGTAACTGAAGCTCTAGCCGCTTGATTAAGTCCATGTGAGCTTCACTGAACCTTGCAGAATCTAGCTTAGAGTCCAAGTTTCTAGCTTGGGATATGGCGTGGCATTGGATCTGATGGCATTTTGACATGGCATGCCACATTTGCATTAACCTGAAAATCCATTGTGTATGTCCAAGTTAGCATGCAAATAACAAAGTAATCCAAGGTGACAACTTAAAGTTGAATAACAACACCCGTTAAGATTTAAGAAGCATTTCGAATTTGTACTGACAGCATGTAGAAAGTCATAATAATCGAAACTAATAATCACATGGCAGTGCCAGTACACCATAAAGTGAGGAGAAAATGTAACAATGCATTCTGTTAATGCTCACCAGCAGGGTTTATGTTACCGCCGGTAACCGCGCGGTTACCGGGCTTACTGCGGGGGTATGGTAATAAATACCGCGGTAACCTCCTTAAATTCAAATAAATTTTAAAAATAATTTGAATTTTTGATAAATTTTGCACGGTTTTTCACGGTTACCACGGTAACCGCGCGGTAACCGTGCTTACCGCCGGGGCGCGGTAACCCCGGCCCCGGTGGTATGGGAAACCCTGCTCACCAGTAATCACTAAATGCCTGAAATGCCAAATATTTCACATACTAACAGTTGTGTCTAAATGTGTACTTAAGAATGCTAAATTCTTGCCTTCTTGCGAACCAAATTCTAAATTTGTCCATACTGCCTACCCTGATCTACTCCATTCAATGAAAAAGTCATAAAAATGTATGTGTATGTGCATTGTGTATGCAAAATATGCATTAGTAGTAGTAGTAGTACAACTCATGTGGAATTTCATGTAAAGAGATGCATATCGCATACCCTTGAATCAGTTCACATGTTTGCGGCCATAGTTCGTCATCTCTCAGATTATTGATGTTTTTTGAGATAGTATTGACAATCTGAATGGCAATGCTTATCTTTGTTGATAGCTTCCTGATATGAGTTTCAGTTGCCTCAAGCTTGTGTGCTTCGGCACCCCTTCCATACAAAACTTTCAGCTCCTCACGCTTTTGGTTATACAGCACCCTCATCTTCTCCTCAGTCTGTGATAAACAAAGTTGCTTGAGTATAACCCAACACTGAACATAATAAAAGAAGAAATCAAGTCTTCTTTAACAAGCCTATAAAAGTAAAACAATAATGGGATGACATGCCAAAGCAAGGGAAAGGAATGGTAAAGACAAAGCACAAGAAACATAAAGCCCTCTACAGAGTAAAACTGTAAGGCATAATCATTTCTTGGGAATACTGATATGCAGAGTTGGATCCCACATGTCATTATGACAACGAATGCAGATAAGGGATGCGGCAAACAATTTCAGTGGCATTAAAACTATCAGATTGCACTTATTTGTAGTGCAAACTCCTAATCATCTATAATTAACTACACGACAAGTTTCCGAAAAGGAGAAATGTGCATATTTGACAAGAAATAGTTATATCCAAGTTCATTATGTAAATACAGTTTGTTACTCAAAATATTCGAACTGAATATACTTTGACAATATTAGGCAGCTAAAAACAAGTTAATAACAGCAAACAGTCAGCTTTGCTTTCCTGAACTGAATGTTCAAAACAGACATCTAAAGGGGAGAAAGAAGTACACCCATGAAGGATTAAAATCATTCAGCTAGAAATTCAAAATTGTAGAGCGCGATCAGAACCTTGACTTCCTCAAGAAGCTTTTTCTCCCACATGTACAGCTTCTGCAATGTTGAAGAAAGGTTACCACATTCCATAGCCTTGTCCTCCTCAAATTGCAGGAACTCCTCCCCCACCGAAGATAGCCCACAAATCATCATCGAGGATACTGCAACAGCAATTTGGTTATGAAAATTTCCACTTGTCTCATTGAATGGCAAAAAAGATTGGAAGTTTAGACAGGAAAGCAAGGAATGCATCATAATAAACCTTTTAATCCTGAACTCTTCTGGTAGTAAGGCATCTTCCCAACCTCAAGCACCTTGGATACATCGAATGCGGACTTTGCGGCATGCTCGAATTGTGATCTGATCTCCTCCACCACCTCGACATCGTCATTGTAAACCTTCCTGGGGATCGCGGGAGGCCCCGCGGCATCCGAATGCCGCAGCTGTTCTTCAATCACACTCTTCTGAACTACATGGAGATCACTGATCATGCTGCTGCTGGTACTACTGCTGGCCTCCGAGGACTTGGACTTCCTGTGCTGCTCCTCACTGACATCCTTCGCCGGCAATGGCATGCCATTGGCATCCTGGTGGTTGTCAACCTTGTCGACCTCGTCGTGCTCCACCTCGGGGATGCCATTGTCATCTTCCTCCCGCGCGCCATTGGAGCTCCGGCTTGGCGTGTAGGCCGGTGGAGCAGGAGATGGCTGGTCCTGGTGGTAGTAGCTCTCGAATGACTCGAACGGGTTGAAGAAGTCCCAGGCGGACACCCGCGGCGGCGATGGCGGCGGCGCGGCGCTGCCGTAGTAGGAGCCGGGAAGCGGTGGCCCGGCGGCGCCGTCCCCCGGGTAGTAGTGAACAGTCGCATTGACCGTTTGGGGGCGGTGCTCGTAGGACACAACGGACGACGGCGGCGGCGGCTGGCTCCGGGCGTAGCTGATGCTGAAGAAGCTCTGGCCGTAGCCGCCCATGTCGACGCCGTATTCATACTGCCCGGCGCCGGGGCCGTAGCCGTACGGCGGAGCGTAGGTGTATAGCGTGGCGGCGTGCGGCGCCGGAGCCGCGGCGGGGCGTGGGGGAGGCGGCTCAGCGTCGTCGTCGTCGTCGGACGGGAAATGGATGTGGCCACCACTACCATCAGAACCGCCCTCGTCGTCGTCGTCGTCGGAGGGGAAATGTATGTGGCCGCCGCCGTCGTCGTCAACCTGTTTGATGACCACCGCGTCGACGGGGAGGGGAACCACGGCGGCGGGGAGCGAGTGGTCCCCCTTCCTCAGGTCGGGGAGGCGCAGCGGCGCGGCGTGGTCGACGTCGGACGACGACGGCGGCGGCAGCGCCTGGACGCCGCGGAGGAAGTCGTGCAGCGCGGCGGCGGCGTCCCGCAGCGAGGCGGCGTAGGCGCGGTGGGCGTCGGCGAGCGCGTAGCGGTGGCGGATGGCGTCGGCCAGCAGCGCGGCGCGGTCCCGGCACAGCGCCACAGCCGCGCCGCCCCCGCCCCCGCCCCCGTCAGTCTTGGACTGGCCGCACCCCATGGTCGGCGCGCGGCGGGCGCAGCAGCAGCGGTAGAAAGTTTTAACGGCGCGGCGGCGACACTGGACGCATGCAGTGCAGTGCAGATGAGAGATCTTAAGCAAGGGAGCAGCACGTACAGTGGCGATGGGCGATGGGCGATGGCGACGCGAGAATCTTCGCGCTTTTCGGCTTCGTCCTCGAGTCGAGCGGGCCGGCGCACGGTGAAAACGTCACGGACTGGACAGCGCGGGTTGGCGGTTGCCGGCGGCGAGCGGAGATGAGCAAAAGCGGGGGGGACAGCCGTACGTGGGCGGCGGTGAAAAAGGCTGCGTTAGGCCCTGTTGAGTTCACGTACAAAAATTTTACACCTATCATTTGAACAAAGTATTAAATATATAAAAAAAAACTAATTACATGATTAATTTGCAAGACGAATCTTTTAATCTTAATTGCTCCATAATTTAACAATGTGCTAATTAGGCTTAATAAATTCATCTCACGATTTTTTCCACGAACGTGCAAAAGGATTGCACGTCAATATATTAGAAAAAAATTCATCTCACGGTTTACTATCGGATTCTATAATTAGTTTTTTTAGTGCCTGAACACCCATATGATAACTTATATAATATGCTACGTGATACGCTAAAACTTTATACCCTGCATTAAAACACCCCCCTTATTCGGCTTTGCTTTGCTCCGGTGGTGGGGACGACGTCACGACGCGACGCGACGCGGCCTCTGCGACTCCACCTCATGTTGTGTGCATGCTTCGTCACGCGGGCGGCGCACGGGAGGCAGGCCATGCATATGCATGCATGCATGGTCTGGCTCGCTCGACCCCCACTGGACTTGAAAAGGGTAGGACATGGGGTTGCACATGTGACGTGTGTGGGGTACGTGACGACCACAATCGCACCAGAAAGAAACAAAGCTTGTAGTAGCTGGCTGGGCTAAGCTTGGCACTATGCCGGTGGCAGGTGTTTTTGTTCTTGCTGGTATCCATTATTGCTTCCACCCATAACTCTAGTTTTTTTAAAAAAATATCCCATAACTATAGTTTGGCTTTCTATTGTTCGTTCAACCTTTTTCTTTCATCATCTTCTTCTTGCTATACTACTCGTTGTAGTCAAGATTACATTCGTCATTGAATTGATGGAGCTACCAACTTTCTCGCCGTTTCACTAGCAGCAACGGCACTCTCAGCAGATGAGGAATGGCGTTATAAATGGCTCTCACCAACCAACTTTTAATATTAGATAAGAGTAGATTTTGTTATTTACATGTTATTCAAATAATTATGAAAAAAATATAAGAAAGAATTAAGAAGATACATAAATATATGTGATATATAACATTTCACAAATATATAAGTTAAAATAATTTAACTTATACAAGTTTCAACGAAAAAAAAATTAAACTATATACTTAGTTAACGTAAATTTACATTTTATTTAAACGTGTATAAATTAAATTTGATCATGTATATTTGAGGAATGATCTATCGTATATTAATATATCTTATTGATTTTTTATAGAAATTTGAATAGTATGTAAATAAAGAGGGATGTCCTCTCAAGGGTTTAGAATTGTTTCCATCTTAAGTGAATATGATTATATATTACCTCCCTATTTAATATAGGGAATTGCTTAAAGATTAGTCACCAGTTTTTTTTAAAAAAAACTTCAAATAATATTATTGGCTTATCCATTATTAAAGCTCTGACTTGTTAGTAGCTCTCAAGATATTTAGTTTAAAAATATAAAAATCATATTGTTAGGTATTTCTTTGAAAGTAATTTTAAAATATTATAATTTTGTTTAATAGTATTGTTATTATATTTTTAATAGAAAAAATAGTTGTAAAAGTCGCACGTTAAAGGTAGATAGTGTCATATATTTATATTTATATTCTACTGGTTAAGTTGTGCACAATGATCTGGTAGCAATTTCATCTTAAAATTTGAGACGGTGCAAACCAAAGTGGAGGCGGCGAACCCAGCCAAGGATGGTGGAGATGCCACCACACGTCGCCAAGGATCGATGGTGCAATGCAACGTCCCGCTCTCGAAGTCCCGGACGCCGAGGTCCAGCTGCGCTTGAACAGCGGGTGGATCAGCTGGTCGCTGTCGTCGTCGGCTCGTGGTCTCCTCCCACGCCGCCGGCGAGATAACATGCATGGCCGGACGTGAAGCATCCGGAGCTGAACTCCGTCGTGCTCACGTCGTCGTATACGTAGACCCTCTCTCCTCCGGCACGACGACGGTTGGGTCGTTGGAGAGATGAGATGCTCGTCGTCGCCGTCTTGCGCCACATCTTCTCCACGAATATGCATTTTGATCATGACTACCGGAGACGCAGACGCGCCACCGAGGTCGACGACTCTATATAATCAATCCAACTACGCGCGCGACGATAAGAAACGTGAATCTGAATTCGCCTACAGTTTAACAAACGTCGCGTAGCAAATGCACTGGCAGCCAATGTGCCCAATTGGCCACTGCATGCCGACCAAGAAAATCAAACCTTGTATGATTGTCCATGCAGAACACGTTCTTGATTCGGACTTTGGTCCCGTACTCGATCTGGTGAGGAAAAAAGATTATTCAGAGAGATTCAGAGAGGCGCAATTCGAGATTTCGAAATCTGGATAGACTGGTGTCCCACTGCATCATGATCATGATCAGCTCTAGATGACTTTGTGGCGACTGCTGAGATTGCTCGTACTGCTGCTATCTTTCTCGTCTTTCCATGGACTGAGTCCAGTCCAAGGACAAAGGCCGAGACAGACACCAATGTGCTTTGCCAGGAGTAGAGTATATGGTGATTTGACTGGTTTCTTCCTTTCATGGCGATGCACAAAGGAAAAGCTCACGCCTATTTGCATCGAGCTGCTTTGCTGTTATTAGCCTTTTGGAGATAATAACAACTCCTGTAAATAAAAGTTTAGGGCCCCTTTGAATCAAAGGATTTATGTAGGAATTTCATAGGATTCAAATCCTATAGGAAATTTTCCTATTTGGCCCTTTGATTCAAAGGATTGAAACTTTCCAAATCCTATGAAATTCCTATGGAATGACACATTGTATGTAGATTTTGGAGGAAATTTAGCAAGAGCTCCAACCTCTTGGAAAATTTCCTTTGAGTCTATCTCTCTCATCCGATTCCTGCGTTTTTCCTGCGCTCCAATCAAACGACCATTTTTGTGTTTTTCCTGTGTTTTGCAATCCTCTGTTTTACACTTCAATTCCTGTCAGAATCCTATGTTTTTCCTATTCCTCCGTTTTTTCTACCCTGCGATTCAAAGGGGCCCTTAGGGGTTAGCCAGAGCTAAGCTAGTGTAGGAGTACTAATTAACCACTATACAGGAGTACTGTCTTTTCTTTTCTTTAGTTGTTTAAAGGTTGTCACCTCATGTGGAGTAATTATTTGTATGTATCGCTACCTCCTAGCAAAGCTAATAATACAGGCAACTGCTTACTGTATAAATCATTATAGCTTATCTCAGCTGACTCATATAGTGGTTAGCTCTTCACTATAAATATATGGTCCACTTATCCGTCTTACAGATTTTTTTTTCCTATGCCTAAGCCGACTGTAAGTTTACATCTTACTTTTCATCTCTCATCCACCTCAGCATTAAGCGTTCTTACAGCCCACTATTATATTTTCTCTCGTGACATCAGTAATCCGTAGTCCTATCGTCTATCGACACTACCATATTCATCGTACACGCTGTTTCTAGCAACAGAATCATGAGTTACAGAAACAAGCTTTATTCAAAGAGAACCTTTTGCTTAAAATCTGAAAATTTCCACAACATATAGGTAGCAACCATAACTATACAGTAACAAAGTTGCAGAGATTAACTTCCTCTTAGGGGAAAAAAAGAAATCCTTCTAATTAATCTCTGCACAGAGTATTCAGATAAGTGACCATGCTGAGATATCCAAATGACAAGTTGCCTTTTGAAAAAAAAAATCAGAAAAGAAACCTCAACTTCAATACGGCTCATTTAGACATTCAGGCCCAACAAGCGGGCTCCGGCCTCTGGGCCTGATCTGAGCTGTATTTGGGCCTTACAAATGAGCTGTTAACTCGGATGGGCCTAGGCCCACACCGTGTGGGCTGCTTGCAGAGAAACCAGAAGCAGAAGCAGACACAGACCTCGTCGCCTCCAGATCGACGGCGACTACGGCGGCGGCGGCGGGTGCCACCGCCAACGCCGAGGCAGAGAGCGGCAATGGCGATGAGCCGCGCCCACCCGTCTGCATGGGGAAGGAGGCGGTCAGGCGGCGGAGGAGGGGGAGGAGATCCGCATCCGCTCCAGCTTGACCAGGCAAGCTTTCCTCGACGCCCTCCCCTCCCATCCCCTCCGCCGCCATGCGTGTCGGATCGAACTGCTTCTCCGTGAGATTTACAGAGGAACGCCATTTTCTGGAGGATGCATGTGAGATGCTGCAGTGCAGATGGATTGGACCACAAGGTACATTGGCGATAAGAATTTGTCGAGGAAGTTGTTCAAATCGAAGCCAACCAACCAACACCTTCCTAACCCTAATCAAATTTGATGTGGGCGAAAAGATCTGCGGCTAGCCTATCACCCATCGATCTCTTCCTACGCCATTGAAGTTAACAAGCAAGCTAGGAAGCTACATGCTGTCCTCGTGTCGATCTCTTTATTATCCACAGTACGGTACGGACCAGTATACAGTTGCATCACTTGCATGATCATTGATCAAACAGCTCACAACCTCACTCCTTTCCCTTGCAGGATTGGTCTTTTTTTATGGATTGCTTTGCAATTGTAATTGACAAGAAAACACAGCGAGGTATAGCAAAGAACTCTTCAGTGTAGTTCTTGGAACAACTCTTTACAGAAGTGCAACCTGCAGCACATTGCGAGTTCAGAAACCAGAAATGCGCAAGAGTTCAGAAAGGCATGTAAAATGGAGAACATATGGATGCCACATCTGATGATATCACATCATCGTAGAAATATGGAGCACATACCATATGCAAGTTGCTTGTAATGCTAGTCAAGTCTTCCTCAACCAACCCCTAATGATCAGATAAGGAAGGACACACGAAGCATCCTAAGAAATCTCACTTGATGTGGCTCTCCATCTGATGTTTCGGTGTGTTTCTTGTGTTGACAGATGCTGGAGCTTGAAGTAAATGCCTCTGCATATGCTTCTATCCTACACTGAACCACTGCTGCTGTACGTACCCAATCATCTGAAACCAGTTCAGTACTATGGTCTCCACAAGAGGACCCCAATGCACCAACTGTTGCCTCCATTGTAGCCAACATTGCACTACCAGATTCATGACCCTGCTGCTCGCACCAACTAGTGTCATTGATGAGTGCGTGCATGTCATGGACCAATTTGTTGCTCATCTATTCAAAGCACTAATGGATATCCTCTGGAAAGTGAAAAGTTGATATATTTTCTTTTAAAGATGGCCATGATCCAAATCAGATCCAAGGAACACATGCAACGACTTGACTTGGAGGCAGCTTCAGTCCGTACGTAGAAATAAAGCTCTCTCTCTCTTTTTGAATGAACAGTGTTGACGAAAAAAATCGAATACACCGGCCTGGGAGATCTGCTTAACTCCTGTGCAGGTCTAAAGATTAATGAGATGCGGGCGTGCCAGTCAGTTTGATCCTGCAATTGAAAAGATATGCAAATAGTGTCACACCCCAATCCGGCACCGCCGCACAACGGCACCTGATAGGGGGCATGTCGTAGGAAAAACGGCGCAAACCGCTTCCTACGAAACCGCGATCTCGGTACCAGTCCCAGGACATAGTGCTGGTACCCACGGTGACAAATATGAATCATTGCAAATCCTTAAAATAAATAGAGGACTTATTTACCTTAACTTAGGTTGCAGCTCAGACAGCCCGAGAATACAACCGACGACACGGACGAGGCGAACACCAACAACAACAGCAGCAGCGGAACCAACGGTCTAACACCCAACACCACAGGCGACGGCTGGGAACCAGGACGAAACCCTAATCTTCACTTCACCTCATCTTCAACTTCAGGGCGGAGGAACTATATATATTTATATAGAGCAAGGGTGAGTACTTTCGTACTCAGCAAGTCACGGGAATTTAGGTGTTTAATGCAAGCTTGGAAGAGAGGCAATGTTGTTTTGCAAATCTTTTATTTGAAGACATTTTGAAATCACTAAGTGATTTATTTCTTTCTAAGTTTGGGCCGAAAAGAGACTTGCGTCTCGATTCGACTTTCAGAGATGTTTTTCAACAGCTCATTTGGTAATGTACCGACCTCCCGGGTCAGATCATTACTTCTCGGCTCCCAGAGCCATTCCACTTGATTAATCGGCTCCCAGAGCCTTTTTCATTTTCTCGGACTCCCAGAGTCCAGCTGCCCAGCAGCACAACAATCCGCTTCCACTCGGGAAGCCTAGACTATGATGCCCATAGACATCCCGAATCACACAGATTCGTTTCTTGACCACTCAGGTCATCCATCTGCCACATAGGCTGATTCTGGTTACGATTCCCACACCACAACAACTTTTCACAAAGCACATGCAAACAAATCTACGCAACGAGAACCACCTCACATCCGCCCATGACCATGGGCACGGCTGTTCGAACAGTTAGTTAATCCTCTGCAGAGGGGTACACTTTACCCACAAGATACGAACTTATTCCGAACACCCGTCGGTATCGGAGGTTCGCAACAAAGCCTTTCCCAAGCCGACCCAGGGATACCTCATGCCACATAGAAGGATCAAATCCTCACATAAATATAGGCCATTTTAGGCGTTCACAAATCAAACTCCAACCACCTCGATCGGTAATTCAGCAAGCTTCTCGTTCTTGCATTACCAGGAACCCGGTTTGTCCGACCCCGCCCCGGCGTTCCCAACTATTGGCATGCGAGGTTTCCCTGAACCGACTAGTTACTTAGCCAGGGTGTCCCATTCCACCTTGTGGTTGCACTTTGATTATGTTCGATGAGTTTCCCACAGGAATCGGTCCTTATATGCGAATACGGGACAGTGCCACACAGGCACAACCCCCGCATCGCGAGTTTTCACAATTCATTTTATTTTCAAACACACCGACACCACATGTCGGGTTTTGAAGGCTTCACAAACCTATTTCCCAAGTTTTCGACAAACAACGGTGTATGTGGGATATTTGGTATACGCGCTCAGAGGGCACGATTACCGAGGTACCACAAGGGTGGAGCGACAAGGAATCAGGGTAGTATGACCTACGGAAATTAGTGCGACTACTGGGTAGGTCCGTCGGTTTGGCACGCAAACCGAGGCCAAGCAAGTTAAGTGTGTGATTCTAATAATGCAAGTTGCAAACAAAATAATAATGACTTTTCAATTATAGGGGCAATTGATCAAAGGGTGACTTGCCTTGCTCAAGGTCTTCACGAAGCTTCACGAATCTTCGAGAAAACCCGCGATCGACGAAAATCCGATAACCGCAACTATACGCAAACAATCGAAAACCTAAACAAAGGACCAAAATAAAGATCCTATTTAGACTAATTAGTAGTGCCATTAAATAGATCTCAATTTTACGGAATTACTGGAAGTGGAACGGAGGCGATCGGAGCTACGGATCGAGGGATATGAATTTTGGAGGTCTAAATGGATTTTCTGGACAAGGAAATGTTTTGTCGAAATTTATGGAAATAATATTCTCAAGAATATTATTGACAGTCACTGACGTGCGGGGCCAAGGGTGTACTGTACATGGGGGGGGATTAAGTGGACTTTTGTTCATGTGTGTGGGCACTGGGCTTGGACAGAGGGAGTAAAAGTAGACTTTTCATTTTCCCCTAGGCCGAGAAGGGGGGATGGTTGACGGGCCAAGCCCACGAGCGGGGAGAGGGAGGAGGGGGGCTGACTGGGCGCCGGCTTGACTCGGTCAAGCTGGCCCGGGGTTGAGGTGGCGTCCACGTGGAAGCCACGTCGGATGGGGAGGCAGAGGAGGCCGGGCAGGCTGATCCGATGGCTAGCGATGAGCGACGCGAACCGGCGAACGGCGGCGAGGTGGATTGGGGGGTTAGCACCGGAAGAGAGAGGAGGCCAAGGGGAATCGATTCAACGGAGCGGATTAGCCGGGGGAAGAACGACGGCGGCCGACGGCGGTGGCCAATCTCGCCGACACGCCGATGTGGCCGCGCGTGGAAAGAGCGAAGGGCGCGCGGTCTCAGGGTCAGCTGTCGTGGAAAAGGGGTTGCGACGCGCACACGGTGACGCGGGACCCGAAGGTCACCGGCGACGCACAGGCGGCGGCGCTAAGCGGTGGCGGAAGGGGCGGCACGGCGCGAGAGCGAGAGGGGAGGCCGGCGGCCATGAGGCAACAAGGGGGAGATCAAGGGGATCCCCGAGAGCGTGGTGGCAAGAGGGATTGACAAGAGGGGAGCCGACGGCGGCGGATTTCGACGGCGATCGTCGGCGGCGAGCAAAGGGGGAAAACTTCACCGGGGCAACGGGGGTTCGATTCGTTGAAGTTGGAGCATCTACGCGAGGTCGCGAGCTCATTCCACCGGTCGAGAGGGCACGGGCGACGCCGAGAGAGGCCGGCGACGGCGAGCGACGACCAGGACAGAGCAAGGGCGCGCGGCGAGATGTGACGAACGGTGGCGGGCGCGGCGCGGCGTGCGACAAGGGAAAAGGGGTTCAGTGGGGAGCTCACCGACGAGAGAAACGGTGTCGACGGCGCGGATGGAGTCGCGGCGAGGCGGTCGCGTCGGCGGGGTGGCGCGGCACCGAGAGGGCGCGGCCGGGGAAGAAGAGATGGAGAGGTGCAAGGATGGGGCGGCGCGGAGCTCCTTGTCGACTCCTCGTGCTCGCTAGCTCCCCGACACGCACGACGGCAGAGGAGGGCGAGAACGACGACGAACGGCGAGACGGCAGTGGTGTGATGGAGGAGAGGAAGCGGGAGGTATGGGAGGGGGTGTGGGTTTTGTAGGTGGCGATGTCGGTTTGAGAGAACCGACCTTGGGGCGGTCAAGGAGATGAGGCGGGTGGCGCGAGCGGTCAAGCGACACAGAGGTGGTGACGCCGGCGGTGGTCGGGGAAAAGGAAAAAGAAGGGGGGGAAAGGAGGTTGGTCCTTTGCCATATTGAGGAGAGGGGAAGCAGCTGCTTCTCCCATTCTTGGACGATGTGGCGTGGAGTGGCGGGGGCCATGGATGACGTCGGCAATGACGGTGGTGGTCGGTTTGGCATGGAGCGGGGGCAAGGCGGCAGCGCGTGGCGTCGGCGGTGCAAGGGCTGATGGCGGCGGCGACCGGGCGGCGAGCGCGCGCGCGGGAAGGGCGACCGGCGAATTCAAACGGCGGCGGCGGGAATCGGCGCCGAGGAGAGGAGTTCGACGAGAGAGAGAGAGAGAGAGAGGAAGGAGACAAGAGAGGCGCTGCTTCTCTCGCTCGGCGCGTGCAGCGCACGTGTGGGGAGGAGGAGGAGCGGCCGAGAGGAGAAGATGGGCCGGAAAAGGGAAAAACGGCCCAACGACCAAGAGGGAGGTGAAACGGCTGAGGGAGGGAGGTGGGCTAAGGGGAAAACGGCCCACAATACCCGAGGGAGGTAAAATAGACTTTTGCAGAGAAGACTGATTTGGAGTGGATTCGAATTGAGGTTTTGGATTTGAATTCAAATTTGACATTCGAACTCGATGGTTTAGGTTGGAATCAAGGGAGACTCGAGGAGAAGTCAAGAAAGAGATTCAAAACGAAAACTTGGATATTTTTTTTTAGTCGGAGCGAATATTCGGCAAGGATTCAAAGGAAGGGATTGACTTTCGGAATTTGATTTCGGAGACTTGAATTTTGGATAGGAAATCTTGAGGTGGAGGATTTTTGATTTCGATGAGGGGGAACAACGGGATTTGAAATGAGATCTTGGCACGACTTAGACTCGCACACAAAGAACGAAAATTTTCGCAATTAGGATTTTGCCGAGTTAGTTTTTAACGACTCATGAAAAGCGGAGCGTTACAAATAGTAGATCAAAACAGCCGATCGGCTGACAAGCCGATGGAGTAGTTCCAGCCGATATCCAATAATAGCCGATGCCGATACTAGCTGATAGCGATAGGGTTTAAGCAATCGGCTATATGTCCAATGTAGATGATGATATAAAGGCAATCGGCTGATGATGATGTAATAAAATAACAATATAGTCCAGTATAAACCAATCGGCAAATAATGATATGATAAATAAGCATCGATCCGAAGGTTGAAGCACACATCGGCTGGAGGTCCGATGTCATGAAATCCACAAGATTAGATTAAACAGCGAAACATTTGTTGTCATCGGCTAAATCCAACTTATATGTATATGCAATCCTTATGAGCCGATGCAACGTCCAGATAACTCACCGGCTGAAACCCCGATGAAACCCTTATTGGCAATCAAGAAGCAGGCTAGAGATTATGGTTCTAAGCACGACTTAGTAGATCAAACTTAACTGATGCAACACTAAGTATGAAAAAAAACATAATATCTAGACAATCAAGCCGTTGACTGAGTTTTCAGGGTGGTAGATGTCTAAGCTAATCTAATCTAGCAACGCGATTTAGCCGATACCGACAGAAACCCTAAAACGAGAAGCAGCCGATAGAGCTAAATTGATATGCTAAGACTAGATTAACAGAGACATGATAAATAGGTAGGCAAATATATCATCTAAACCAGAGCAATCCAAGAGGTTGAATGTACTGATGCAGCCTTGAACGACGCCGACATAAACGATACAACTACCTAGGCCAGTGGAACATTGGACTTACCCCTTAGCCAGAGATCGAACACCGATGCAGCCCCGCGTCAGGTGCCAAGTCCCGCCGGACGATAAAAATAAAGTAGAAAAGGTAAAAGGTGGCGATGCGCCGAATTGTATTGATTGTGAAGATAGATTACATAGACCCCGGGTGTACATATTTATACCCATGGGTTGATACAAGTCCTTGTTGGACCAAAAAGAAACTTTCATAAAGATAAAAGGAAAAGATAAAGTCTTTATAGGACACTAAACACACTTTCCTAAAGATAAAAGGAAACTAACAAACTATTCCTAATTAATAGATAACTTGCCATGCCGCATTCTCTTTGAACTCGGTCTCTTCTGGATAAGCTTCCTTTAGTATATCAATTTCCTTAACCGAATATAGCAAGAATCCGACAACTGACGACTTGACAACTCTCATCAGCTAATCTCAAGACTTCGAAGCCGATGACTACTCCGGGCTTACCAAATTTCACTGTTAACAAAAAGCAGCATATCATGATCATAATGTTTAGCAGAATTTGAACTTATACGCTAACTACGTTCAAGGAGGTTTTAAATGTCTTCCATTTGTCAAATTTCTCTTAGTGAGTTAGTGGTAGGATTTAGCGTCGGAAACCATGAAAGATGTACTTCTTTTCCTTTGTGTTGTGAAACATGTACATGTTCTTTTCCTTTGTGTTGTTTTTTATGTGTGAACCTCTTTGATCTCAATGCAATAATGATACACATTCCCAAAAAATAAGCCATGAAACCTATAATCTTCATAAAACTACACTTTTTTTTTTGCGAGGAACTACACTATTTCTTTTAGAACCACTCTAATACTATCTGAGATAATAAGCCAGTAGTTGGGTTCAATGTATGTCAGATCTGGCAAATGAAATATGGCTCCACCATGGGAGAAACAATGATCGTGGGCATTGAAATCCTGTAACACGGATTGCAACATCTCACCATGGGAGTTCATGGCCTTGTCCCTTGCCAGCTAGCTACTTCGTGTTTGGTACTACTGAAAAATCTGAAACTAAGTTGCATATCTCCCTATCACATATCTCCCCTGTAAATACATTGCCATTGACACAAACCATCACCAATTCACCAAAAACAACCTGACATTTCCTCTCTTTTTTTCCCTGATCACTTCCTTGGAAAGCAAAGCAAAATTAAGCAATCATGATCAGCTCCAAGAAGCTAGTTCAGCTTTCCAAGAAGTGGCAGGGAATGGGTGCCATCGGGAGGAAGAGGGTGACGGCATCGGAGAAGGAGATCATCCACCACTCATCCTGCAGCTCATCCGTCGCCGGGAAGGGCAACTGCGTCGTCTACTCGTGCGACGGGAGGCGGTTCGAGATCCCGCTGGCGTACCTCCGCACGCCGGTGTTCGTGGAGCTCCTGAGGATGTCACAGGAGGAGTTTGGGTTCAGCAGCGATGGTAGGATCACACTGCCGTGCGACGCCGCGGTGATGGAGTATGTCATGTGTTTGCTCGGGAGAGAGGCCTCGGAGGAGGTTGAGAAGGCTCTCCTCAGTTCCATTGTGATGCCCTGCAGCCACCACCCAAGCAGGATGGCGCAGCACCAGCATTTTGCTGTATGCAGCATCTGAAGTCTGAAGAATCACACAGCATCTGAAGTCTGAAGAAGAGCTCCAGGGATATTCAGCTTGTTCTTCCTCTTTTTTTCCATCTTTTTTCCCAAATGTACCTTTGGAGCACAGTTTTTTTGTGCAATGTTTTTCCAAGGTACTGCGGGTGTACAGATGGAGCATGTAAAAATAATCACAGCATTGTGATTAGAAAAGAGGATCAGGCTAAATTTCCATGCAGTGGAATAATAATGGAGTTGTGTTGTGTTAAGATCTTTGCTTTTCCAGACTAAAACACGCAGCTTTTAATATACCTTCCCTATTTATGGTTATTTGTCAGTAAGGTTTAGCTTATGTCGTGTTTTAAAAGTCTTTAGCCAAATGAGTATAATTGTTTCGGGAGTGACATGTTTATGGAGGGATGAACACCTATGTTTATGGAGTGACATATCAGTATATCACATGTTAATCTATCTTACTTTTCTATTAAAAAAATGATATTTTAAGCGACATGTAAACACGATAGAACATCTCCTTGAGAGATGAATGGACTTTCCCTATATGAAACAATACTAAGTCTGTGTTCGTTTGGTGTGTTGGGAACAAATATCTTTTGCACGAAAAACGCAATAGTCTATTAGTATGTAATTAATAAAGTATTTATTATTTTTTTAAAAAAGGATCAATATAATTTTTTAGAGCAACTTTCGCATAGAATTGTTTTGCAAAAAGCGCATCGTTTAACAGTTTAAAAAATATGTGCACGGAAAACGAGGGATGTGAGTTAGGAAAGTTGGGGAAAGAACTCAGCCAAGATGTTAACATTTGTTGATAGTCAAATTTAGCACTAGATCAAATTTGGACTTAAAAAATCTTGGAGATGTCCACATATGGTAAGAAAAAAAAAGTTAGCTCTAAGAAATTCTAGTCGCAGAAATCTAAATATACACAAGCTGTTGTGTCATGTGTGTAATAACCTATTAATAATCTTACAACAATAATTCTTATGACGTCTGCGTGTCATTGCTTGATCACTACCGTGTGCTGCTGCATGACGAGCACCGAGCCCATCTCCAGCGAGTCGTTGGACGCGAGGATCTCCGCCGCGGGGCCCATCTCGCCGCCGGCGTCCGCCCACCGTTCCAGCCCGGCCAAGAGCTCCGGCGGCTGCCTCCCTCCCCGGCCGACGATGACCAGCGAGAACATCCCGGCCATCCCGGCCAGCGTCTCCTCCACGTCGGCGGGCCTCTCCACGACCTTCTCCACGTACATGGCCATCTCCGTCGCCGCGTACCTTTTTTCACGAACACACAAAATGATTGTACGTCAATATACTAAAAGAATAGAGTTTTTGTTACACGACGTCCTCAGCCAGACCGGCCCTCGCCGCGTACCTCTCGTAGAACCTCCACAGGAAGCGCTCGTCGACGTCCCCCTCCTGGAACGCCATGTCCAGCTCGTCGACCTTGGCGGAGGTGACGCTGTCGTACGTGCTGCGCTTCACGAAGCGGAACACCGTGAGGCCGATGGACGGGTGCTCGGCGAGGCGGGAGGCGAGCGACACGGCCTCGCGGTCGTCGGCGCCGCCGAAGAACACGGCGGCGACGACGTGCGTCACCGCCCTGTCGCTGCACGGGTGGAGGAGCGTCCTGCCGCCGCCGCTCGTGGCCGCCGCCTCCGCCGCCACGCTGCTGGGCACGTTGAAGCTGGTGCCGCTGTTCCGGTAGGGGCGGTCGACGAGGAGCCCCACGGTGCACGGCGCCCGCGACAGCACGCCGTGGTTCAGCTCCCGCCGCCCGCCGAGGCGGCACCACATCTTGCCGTCGTAGCGCTGCTCCTTGTGGCAGGGGGCGAGGAGGAGGCGGGCGTGGACGCCCTCCGCCGCGCGGCAGACGGCGCCGGCGTCGTCCAGGGCCGCGCCGCCGCGGCACACCACGTCGATCTGGCGGAACCAGATGCCCGTGGCGCGGGAGAAGAGGTCGACGATCGTGTTCATCCGCGTGACGGCGTCGCGGCCGCCGCCGCGTTCGTCTCGTCCTCCGCCGTCGTCGTCGTCACGGATTCGCTGGTGGTACGGGATCCGGACGACGCGCTCTTCGCCGACGTCGAACAGGTGGAGGACATGGACGGCGGGCTGCTCCTGCGGCTCGCTCACCAGGAGCTCCACCAAGCTGAGCATGCCCGGCGCGGCGTGCGCGCTGTGCACGCAGGCGAGCATGTGGAGCTCCTGCTCCGCGCCCAACGACTCCATGGCCTGGTGCCTCGTCCTGTACGCCTCCTCCTCCTTCCGCCGCACCACCGCCACCACCGGACCGGCGACGAGGGTGCTGATCAAGTTGCCGATGATCATCGCGTACAGCGCTTGCTCCGCCCACACCTGCGCCGCGCAAACAAATAATCCGGAATTCCGATGAGTTGCTCCATTGCCGACGTTGTCATGGCGCATCAAGTGTTCGACCGGTTACCTACCCCTTCTGATTTGGCGAACTTCATGTTCATGGTGTCGACGTGGCCCTTGATGTTGAGGAGGACGCTGAAGCGGAGCGCGTCGGAGAGCGGCATGCTGAGGTAGGAGGCGACGGCGGCGGCGCCAATGGCCTTGCCGAAAAGGCCGAGCAGCGTAATGAGCACGCCGGGCACGATGATGGCGCCCGACATGGAGTTGAAGTTCATCCTCATGCCGATCGTCGCGAAGTAGAAGGGCAGCATGATGCCCTTCACCGGCGGCGCGAGCGCGTCGGCGACGGACCTCGCCGCGGCGCCTTCCCGCGGGAACGCCAGCCCCAGCGCGAAGCTCGTCGGCATGCCGTCGAAGCCGAGGAACTGCGGGATGTTGCCGACGAACCAGATGGCCAGGAGCATGACCGCCAGGTCGCGGACGCCGACGTGGTGCTGGCCGACGTTGCGCTTGTTGATCCGCGTCACGGCGGGGCGCACCATCCACACCGCGCCGGCGGCCACGGCGAGCGCCAGGAAGCCTTTCCTGATCTGGTGCTCGCCGCGGGCGACGCCCTCGATCTTGCCCTTGGCGCGGGTGGTGGACGACAGGACGCCGTCGCCGAGGATGCAGATGAGGTTGGTGGCGATCCCGGCGGCGACGACGAGGCGGCCGTTCTCGGTGACGGTGAGCTTGAGCTCGGCGGCGATCCGCGCGACGGCTATGGAGGAGGTGTTGGTGAGCGCCAGCATGAGGGTGGCGGCGAGCAGCTCGGGCGTCTTGACCGGGGAGTGCATCATGCTGCCGTACATGCCGCTGGAGACGACGGCGGCGAGGAGCAGGCTGGCGGCGACGGTGGCGTAGGTGAAGGCGACGCAGCGGTGCGTGGCGTGACGCAGCGCGGCGATGTCCATGTCGAGGCCGACGAGGAACATGTACAGGATGCGCGCCGCGGAGATGTAGCCACCGTACATGTCCTCCACGTTGTCCACGTCGACGTGCACGATGGCGCTGCGGAGCCCCATGCCGCCGACCACAACGCCGGCCTGGACACACACGATCCGATCGATTATGAATTCAAGAAATGTACTAGGAGGATCAATGAGCCGAGAGAGTATTACGTACGAGGATCTGGGAGATGACGCTGGGCTGGTTGTAGCGGCGGAGGAAGAGGTGGAAGAACTTGGAGACGAGGATGACGGCGAGGGCCTGGATGGCGACGAGGAAGAGCGTGTCGAGGGCGATGCCGGGGATGGGGGAGAGAGCGAGGGGGTCGATATGGGAGCAAATGTAGTAGGATCTTGCCATCTTGCTTGCATATATGCCCCGGCCGATCGGCAGCCGGCCGCACCGCCGCCGAGGAAGAAGGCTACGGCGATCGCCGGCTCGCCGTTTGATCGCTCGGCAAACTTAGTTCCGGCCTCCTGCAGGTGTGTGCAGTGTGTTTACGTGCTAGCTAGCTAGCTGCGCCGGCCGCGTGTTCATGCATGCACGATAGATGCATCATGCAAAAGGTAGAAATTGGAGGGACGGCCATGAGTCTCGTGGTGGCGGTGGCCGGGGAGACGATGCCTCGCCCCGGAATAGGCAGGTGGCTTTCGCATCATGCTCCGCCTGGCTCCATCCGCGCGCGACTGTTGTCTGTTGCATTGCAATGAGCCATCTTCTTGGAGTTGGGCTGAGCAGTGAGCTAGTGACCAAGGTGAAAACTCCATTCATCCCTCAAGGTTATCCCCTCATTTTTACATGCCACTTAAAAAATCATCAAATTTTTTTAAAAAAATTTAGTAAGATAGATCAATATGAGATATGTTGCTTTCACAAACATGTAAATTCAAATTCAACTTATACAAGTAGAAAAAAAACAATAAATTTGACTATGAATAGAACGCGTAATTCACGGTCAAATTTATTTTTTTCCAATTGTATAAGTCGAATTTTAACTCGCATGTTTGCAATAAGATATATTATATATTAATCTATCTTGATAAATTTTTAAAATTTTTTGATAGCTTTTTAATGACAGGCACAAAATGAGAGGATGTCCCCTCGAGGGACAAAAATCCACTTCCCAGCCAAGCGTAAATTAAGGAGAAGATGATGAACCGCGAGACATAGGCACATCCATTCATCCTCTTTGAGACAAGATTACCAATGGGGAATTGGGGATACTACTCATCGCCCACCGCGGCGGCACCGTAGCATGGACGAGGGCGCGGAGCTCTTCTCCGATTCTCCTGGCGAGAAATTTAGGATTATACCATCGTAAAAGAGTGGTTTCGCTGGATTGCCATCGCTTCAAACTGATTCATTGTAATGTCACACTAAATTGAGATGTGTTTACCAAAATGCCATTTTAGTTCTTTTTTGTGAATAGAAAGTTTTTGCTCAATTTTATTTTTTTCCCGACCAAAATACCCCTGACGTGGGCCCATCCGTCATGCTCTCTCCCACCTCTCCCTCTCTCCCGAGACCTCTCCTCTCAAGGACGCCGTCGGCTCGCGGGCGTGGCGGGCAGTGGCCGGTGGCGGCGGCGGGCGTGGCGGGGAGGTGGGCGTCTAGCCGTCTAGCGGCGGCGGCGGCTGCGGCTGCGGCATGCCCCTCGCAGGCGGCGATGTGCAATTGTGCATCGCCGTGCGGCCGTCGGAGTCGCGGAAGTTGGGGTCTGCTCCGCCGCACCGGCGACGATGCTCGCTCGCCGTGGCCCTGGCGGATGCAGATGAGGGGAACCCGTTGCCTCGCGGGTGTAAGTACGTGTCCCCCTCCTCCATCCCCCCTCCCTTCCTCATTCGCGTTCCCAGGGCTCACACCCTCTTTCATCCAACCAGTCCGGGGGTCATAGGTCTTACTCGGAGCTAGGAGAGAGAGATTCCTCGATCTATGACTTGTGTGCTAGCAATGCCAGCCAGGGAGTAGTTTACTGAATCTGAGCCCCATCGAGTCCCAGTCGATCCATCGCACAAATTTCATTCTGATTTTACATGTCATATTTAGGCAATGGGAGTTCTCAACTATGATGGTGTGATTGAGATTTTTATCATACTTTGCTATGAATTGTCGGCTTCGGCTAATATAGTTAGAAAACAGTTTGACCCTATGAGGAGCGAATGAATTTTCCTAAAAATCCATTATTCTGGGGCTCATGATTTTTGTGGACTTTACTATGATGGTGTGATTGAGATTTTTATCATACTTTGCTATGAATTGTCGGCTTCGGCTAATATAGTTCGAAAACAGTTTGACCCTATGAGGAGCGAATGTATTTTCCTAAAAATCCATTATTCTCGGGCTCATGATTTTTGTGGACTTTAGATTGACTCTAATCTTGGGCTAAAAGCTGAGTTCAGGAATGGAATGATCCTTTTGTTTCTTAGAGTAAGTCACTTTGGTGCATTTTTCTCAGCTGATTGCTTAGTCATGACTCGAGTTCTGTAGGTTGTCCACTAAGTTATAGATAAATCCCACAGATTCTACTTGAATTGATCCATTACTTGAGAATGATTTGTGCGGTATTATTCAATAATTTTTTGTTCATTTCACTATTTTTATTTGTTCCAAACTTTGCAACAGTGCTATTTTTCCATGATTTGTCTCACAACATGTAAGAAGTGATTTGTACATCATGTCTCACATCACATGTTTGTTAATATATGTTCTTTTGTTAATAAAAAAGAGTAAGACTTGGGGTGATTTTTCACACTCTATGTCAAGTATGTCCAACAAGTTCTTTATGCTGTGTTTTTTCATGAAACAAGAAAAAAAAATCAATAACTCAATAAGTACCTAGCATATTCCTCCCTTATGTTAAGTTGGATTATCATTTTTCAACTGTAGTTTGCTTTGCATGTATTATTCTTCCCTTCACATGGAGATGTTATCCAACTTAAAATTTTCTGAAGTTCAGTTGGCTGATGACAAACTTGTCTATGCTGCTGGTTTTGCTATGCTGTTAGTCATCAAGAATTAGTGAAGCCAACATCTGATAGAGTAACATTGTTCCATGTGTTGTTAACTTGTTATTAATGCTACTGGTTTCTGTTTCATATGGAGATTTTCAACAACAGCATACCAGGTCCCATCTTTTTGCACTTCTATCTATCTATTTAGGCCTTGTTCGGTTACACAAGGATTCGTTCCGGGCTGGGAATGATAGGTATAACAAGAAATTTATAATAGGTACAACAAGAGACCGGGATTTATTCCGGGTCGGGAACCAATTTACTCATATTAGGTACAACAAAACATCTGGATTAGTTCCACACCTCTTGACTAGTGGATTGATTCCCGGTCTCTTATTGTCCCTATCATGAGTAAATTGGTTCCCGGCTCGGAATAAATCCCGGTCTCTCGTTGTATCTATCATAAATTTCTTACTATACTTGTCATTCCCAGCCCAGATTGAATCCTTGTGTAACCGAACAAGGCCTTAGGGAGAATTTTTGGTTCAGATTCACACAGATGAGTCTACAGGCGGGAGTAACACTATTCCTACAACATCCAATTTGGGGTCTGTTGTGGGTGTGGATACGCTGGTGCTTGGACAGGAGGGTGAGGCCTGCAGCCTCGCCGCCCTGGAGCCTGGTGAGACAAACAGAGAAGGGGGAGACCAGAGATAGGTTTAACTTTCTTTCTTGATTGATTCCAATTTACTGCCATGCCTCTCCTTATATAGAGCAGGCTCCTAACAACCCTATCTAACAAAGCCTAACAAACTAACTGAATGCATGAGATGGGCTGAGTTGTGCCCATAACAGTGGCCACTATGCTGTTTGTTGAGCTTATTGTACAGTTGTTATATTAGCAGTCTAAGGTCAATCTGTTGAGGAGTTAATCATATTTCCACGAGCAAGGCCTAGGATGCTGCAATGTATTCCAGATAGTTAAATTAATGTTGTTAGGAAGGTGGCAAAATATCCACACTTAAGCTTTAACTATGACATAAGTACTAAATTAAGCTACTCTAACATGTGTGCATCTGTGATGTGACGATATATACAATGAAGAATTCATTTCCCCCTACCTTTCTGTTTGATTTAAATATTTACCTCTGGCTGAGCATCTATGTAGCTTGCCACTTACTAGGGAATGGAGGCAATCTTTCCAAGTTTTTTTTGGTTAAGAGATATCCTAACTGGTAATGGGTTAATGACACATTGGTAATGCATGGATGTGATTCCAGAACAATTAATACCATATAATAGATAATTAAGGTGAATGCGCATGGATAACTTACAAAGAGATAGGGTTCATATGGAGAATGCTATATTGCATTCACATTATTCAAAACAAGATTAAATTAAGAACTTTGACATCTGAACAAGTCATTGTTCAAGTAATGAACAATACTGCACCACTGGGAAGGAATAATAAACATGCAGAGTAGACAACATGGACTGGTATGGCTGGTCCGCTGGTGTATAGGTGACCTTATTATGTGAAAATAGGGAAGTAGATAGCAGTACGGCAGAGATGGTGAAAGAAAATGAGCTGATGAAGCATTTTACGGGTTGCTTGATGAGCCACGCCTCTGTGACTCAGGAAGATTACCTTCATTGCCATCAAATGAAGTGGGTTCAGTTGAGCCATCTGGTTTGCTGTTATTTCTGTTGCTTTTCATTTGCTCAGTATTAGAGGAGATCCGCCCTTCATCAGACTTTTGTAAGGCTTCTCCTGTAGTTCCTCTGATTTTCTCATCAGCATTTGCAAGGAGGTCCCTTTTCTTAGGCTGCTCATTTCCAGATCCCTGCAGTGCAGCTTGAGACCCTTGCTTCACATTGTCTTCTTGTGATATACTGGAGTAGCTGGACTTGTCACCTTGCGGTTGCTGCACTCTCATGCTCTTATCAGGAATAGAAGGTAGCATTTCTCTGGACGTTGCTGAGCTGCCATAGCTTACTGTTTCTTTGCCATCTTTAGATGATATAGGCTTGTTCAGCCCGGATTGCAGTTGCTGCTTGGATGTTTCTTCAGTTGATGTTGGTTGAACTCTTCCAGTGCTACTTTGATTTGGATTTGCCAACAAATCATCCTTTTGGGCCTTGCCAATTTCATTGATTAGTGCTGCATCAGCTCCTTGCTCTTCCTTGGCTTCTCTTGGCTGAGACCTATACTGATCATTTGGCAACTGCTGTGTGGATGGTCCATCGTTGTATGCTTCATTCATGTTCTTCTGTGATTTCACGACTGAAGGTCCTGCAACCTGTGGTCCAGCATCTTTGGGAACTCCCGGACCTGGCAGCCCATCAGGTGCTACTGTGTTGGTTTGACCAGCTTCAGAAATACCATTCTCCTTGTTCCTTGTACTGAAGGAAGACGGAAGTGGAGCTTGGGATGGCATTTGATCTGTGTTATGTCATCAAATCAATAAGCCATGATCAACCCACACATTAAACATACAGTTCAAAAGAATATATAGGATTTTCTTTCCTTAGGACAGGGACTCATAATCCTAATAGGCAATAGCACATTGTGACTAAATTTAGAGGATGAACCAAATATCCAAATCGACATTGAGCTAAGCATTCCAACAAAATGCAAATATGAGAAATGATTTTTTCAGTGTTGAAAATGCTGGAGTGCCAATATAAATGCAGCATTTTGCTATAAGATTTTGGGATTTTCAAACTCATCTAGAAATTTGGAAACTACTATCTTTTTGCAGAAGGTATTGCTGCCTGTTTTGTGGTGATGTTTAGTCGTTCCACCGTATTCCTTGACCTGCTGCTGAGCATGCATATACATGGAACTCTACTTGATTGAATTGAGCAAATTTTCTTTTAGTGGGGGTTACTTTACCTGCTGCGCGACGACGTTGAGTGTCAGGAGTTGGTTCTTGTCTTCTTGGTGAAGTAGGCACGCCTGTTGGAGAAGTGACTGATGGAGTTGGTTCTTGTCTTCTTGATGAAGTAGGCATACCTGTTGGAGAAGTGACTGATGGTTTGACTGCTGTATTTTCCCCACGAGCATCAGGTGTGCCTCCTTGGAGAGCTGTAGAAGCACTCTGTCTGTTGGATGCTGGTGCTTGCGCCTTTGAAGGTGGCGTTTGTCTTTCATTAGCTCTTGATGTCTTGGCCAAGTCATCATCAGTACTGCCATATGAGGTAGGAGTTCCTCCTCTAATTGGTTCAATTGTCTGTTGGGAACTTGAAACTGGCTTCTGCTTGTTTGCTGTTGCCTTTTCATCAGCAGGAAGTTTCATCTCTCTGTCAGCATAACTAGTACCACGAACATCAGGGGTTGCTCCTTGAACTGTTGTTTGCTTTGGTATGGCTGGAGTGTTGCTTTGATCAGCACTTGATGTTTTTCCAAACATATCATCACTAGCGCCACGGGCACCACTAATTCTTTCTTGGATTGATGCTGAAGCACGCTGAGTGACAGAAGGTGCTGCTTGCCTTGGTGTCATTTGTGGTGCTCTTTCATCGATGGAATTCTTGTCATATTGTTCATTACCAACTCCACGATCAGCTCCTTGCCCTGTTGCTAAAACATTTCTATCATTCCTTGGGGTTTCCTTTGTTGTGCTTGGCTGTGTCCTCTTGTCAACACCTTCTGTTTTGGCCAACCCAACATTTCTAGGAGCATCAGGAGCTGCTAGTTTGGTTGGAGGAGGTGCAGAGGTTTGTCTCCATTGATTGATGGTGGATACTTGAGCCAAGCCATCATCAGGGGAAACTTCCTTTAATGATTCGGAAGCTTTCCCTGAACTGGCTGGTGGCGCTTGGCTTGGCACTACTGGAATTTTTTCTTGCTCATTGATGGATGGTGATTTTTGTGGTTTAGTGGCACCACGATCATCATATGGCATTCCTTCTTTTGGTTGTGAAGCAACTCTTCTTTCAGCAGCACTTGTTGGATAGTCAGGAGCTCGTGTGCCAGCTGACGGAGATCTACCACTTTTTCTATCATCCAAAATGGTTCTGTCTTGCACATCTGAGGGATTCTTATAGATAGATGGTGTTTCCTCCTTTGAAGGTCGAAAATCTGTAGGCTGTGATTTAACTTCTTGTGCTTCCTTTTCACTTTCCTCCATCATCTTCCGGAGCCTCTTGGTAGAGAATCTTTCATCTTCACTCATGATGTTATGAGTGTCTTCTTGAGACTCTGGTTGCATTGTTGACAAGTCAGGTATTTTCAGAATTGGTGGTGCTATAAATTGCTTATGGACATTTTGCTCACCTGATGGTTGTTGACGTGGTGATGCAGCTATCCTGTTTTGATCAGCCTGTCTAGCATCCTTGGTGAATTGCTGGATGCCACGGGGTTGAGCTGGTTGTGCAGTTTCAGAACCTCTCTGATCAGATGAGGTTTTCTTCACTTGCTCAGCACGTCCCTGTGCATAAGGAGACTGAACACCACCTCCCAGATCAGAAGATGTTTTGTCTGCCTCAGTGCCAGGAGAAGTGCCTAGATCTCTCTGTGCAGAAGGCCTTCCAGAAGAAGTTTGTGGTATGTTTGTGGTAGGCTTGGTATATGGAGCTGGCTTGTCAAAGCGGGGATCAACACTGGCACGTTCATCAATTTCATGGGGAGCTTTGGTTGATATTGGACTATTAGGACCGACTGCCTCACTGATATCACGTGTTTTGGGTATCTTGGTAGAAGTTTTCGAGTCTTCTTGTGGACTATGTTTTGTAGGAGTTGCTGTTTCATCGGTATGGCTCCTAGCCTTAAAAAAGCCAGAGAGATGGGATTTATCATGAGCTTCTTTCGATGTTGTTTCACTAGGTTTGGTTTGGTATGGGGCATCTTTGGAGCTGGATATATCAGTATCTGTTCTCTGAGGAATTTTGGGGGTGGTAGATGGGGTGAAGAAGGTACTGCTAGGCTGTTTCTGAGTTGTAGGAGCTCTAGACCTTGGGGTTGATGGAGTTTTCTCTGTGGTAGTAAAGAAGTTGCTTTCTTTTCTAGGTGAGGGTTTATCTTGGCGGATTGTTTCAGAGGGCAGAGGTTGCTCTCTTTGTGATGAAAATGAGGTTGAGATCATACCAGCACTGGGAGGTGGGACTAGTACTGTCCGTGACTCAGTGCTAGTCGTCTGCCGAGGGTCTAAGCGAATGGTGTGGCCAACAGATGTTTGGGGAAGCTCTGTCTGCCACTGCTCCTCCTGCTGCTCTAGTTCCATTTGGTATTCCTCCTCCACTCTGTTCATATCCTTCAGCACCTGCTTCCAAGATTGGCGGTTGGAGATTGTATCCCACCACCTCTGCACATTCTTCCTTGAGTCATACAGGTAGGCAAATTCAGATGTCACAAGGTGGTGGGTGTTTGGCAAGTGAACAAGGTCAGCAAGGGTGAACTTGTTCCCAGCAAGGAACTCACTCTCACCAAGCCTTTGTTCATAGACTTCAAGGACTTCTTCCAGTTTTCTTTTCTCTGTGTTGATATCATCATCGTCGTCATCCTGCACAGGAAAGGCCAGGTGGCAAAACAATGCCCGGCTCGGAGGATCAAACGCATGCTCCTCATGACGGAGCCATTGTTCAATGGAAGCCCTCTCCAGAACATCCTTTCCCAGCAGGAAAGGATACCCACGCTGTTCATAGGTTTCTGCTATGTAGCGGCAAATTGCTCTTGATTCTGCAGGTAAGAAGGGTCAGTACCATATTCTGATTGAAGACTGAAGATGCACCATTACTATATTTCTGGTTTCTGTGGACAGTGTATGTCCTACATAACCTCAGTTGAGAAAATTGAGATAGTTTTAGATAGTGTGATTTCAGTTGCCAATTCACATGATTAATACATGCTAAGAAGCATTTGTTTATTTTGGCACCATGAATCCTGCTAGTACAACCATGATATACTTGCTAGAATGTGAAATGTACCTCTCTTTCCACTTGAGTGCTTCATGAGGTTTTTATTTTCGAACCAGTTTTTAGACATACATTCAGCATTTCATTTCATGTTCAAACCGTAATCATGAAACAAATTGCCGCTAATGATGAATGCACGACATGGTACACAGTGGTTGCACAATGGCACTACATTTTGATGAACAGGGTCTGCCAACTATTTCCACTTTAAATGGAATTTTGAAATGAAAGGGGACATGATATGGTGTAGCACCTAAGTTTCTGAAAACCAGAATGCTGAGAATCATTCTTTCTTTGTTTCATTTTAAGTCTACTGTTATATTAATTATTTTCATCCTGAAATAATGAATAATGTCAATCTTCTGAGATCACATGGCTATTGATTGACATGTCAATTTCATTTCATCTACAGGTTTAAAATTCCTGCACCAATCATTTGCAGGGTGGATGCACAAGACATAAATTGAATTCAACTTATTTGATTCGGTTCAAAAATGTCTCATCTACAAGGCACGCATGCTGATACAGGTAACAAGCATCTCATTCTAGGATTTGTGATTAACCAAAAAAAAAGCTATGTTCCTTTAGCCATGCAAGCTTACCTAAACCATGGATACATCACACACCTTGCCAAATTAAGACAGGCTAGATTGTGCAACAAACATTGTTACCTTGTAGAAATGTGGGTCCATCGTAGAATGGAACTGGAACACTCCTCGATGCCTACAGTCACAGAACAAAATAAAAACTCGAAATGAGATATAAATATATAAACCCAAGAAACTGCTTCTATTGTTGTACATTCTGGGTGTTGCCGAAAACGGAAAGTAACACATAAATGTGGCAGCAAAGTACCTGGAGCCTGAGGATGTCCTTGTAAGAATCCTTGACAGTCTCAAACTCGATGTTTTTCTCATACAGGCATGCAAGCACTCTGGACACATCAGGCATGATCATGGATTTCTCATGGTATAACTTCACAACTGGAGCACCTGCTCCGGTGCTAAGCCCTGCCATGACAGCAAGAGCTCAGGTTTGCTGGTTGAAGAGTTGAATGATATGGCATGCAAGTAAGTATGGTAACTCCACCCTACAATTTTTTAATATAAGAAGCTTATCTGCCTCCAACGAGAAGCAAAGAGAAGATGCTTAAAGTGAGAACCTAGAAAAAAGTTGTGACACCGTGACATGATGTAGTAAGAAATAAAATGGAATTAAAGAAAAGGAAAAGGTAAAGAGAACAAAGGGGAGGGAAAAAAGCAAAAGGTAAAGCAAATAAAATATGGAGATTTGAACAGTGATGATGTTCTTTAGTTATTCCAACCCTTGCTGCGATATCTATTTCCAGCACGTTGTGATTTTAAAGAGCAAAGGTAAAATAATAAAAAGCTACTTCTTGGACACTACCTAGGTACAAACATTATTATGCTGCCAACTGAACGGGAGGATAGATCGTATCAGATGTACTCCCCTATTAGCTAACATCGCTTTATTCATCCGTTGCCCCTTTAACCAAAGGAGATGCAAGGTGCTCTGGTGCGTAAATTCACATGTTTTGTCACAGAAGGCAAGTATAAAATCAGAGACTAGCAGCAGTCCAGCACAAGCCTCTAGCAGCAGCAGACAAATGGGATGATGATGGGCACCGAGGGTGCCTTTGTACCAGGCTACCAGGTTACCCATACCTGCTAGTGGTAGGTTTGAAACCTTCCAATAGAGGCCAATAGAGGCCTGATTTAGTTCCCAATTTTTTCTTCAAACTTTCAATTTTTCCATCACATCAAAACTTTCGTATACACATAAACTTTTAACTTTTTCATCATATCGTTCCAATTTCAATCAAACTTCTAATTTTGGCGTGAACTAAACACACCCAAAGTATACTCCCTCTATCCATAAATATAAACGTTACAAGGGTTTAAAATTTGTCCATAAATATAAAAAATTACATTCAAGTTTCTTCTCATCTTACATTTAACTATCTTTCCACTTCCAACCATCTCACATTTAACGAGGAATATTGTTGTTGGTGGGGGGGGGGGGATTTGTGACTTTTCTCTTGCCCCGGTTTCGAGTGCTTCTTCTTAATTAAAGTACTTTAAGGGGTTTTAATTTCCTCTTGTGGCTGACCTTTTTTTAAACAACCTATAAATGCTTTTATGTACCAAGCTAGCAGCAGAAGCCTTGCATAATACTATCTCATCCCAAAATAAGTTTATTTTTTCCTGTCCCACACATACCAATACAAAACTAAGAAAACTACAACGACTCTACTTTATTAAATCCTAATGCAATTATTAATCAATTTATCTATTCCAAATACAATTATTTCCTACTTTCACAAACTTTGATATAATGATTATTCTAAAAATAAATATATTTTAGAACAAATAGGAAAAGCTAAAAATATTTTGGCATAATAGCAGACAAACAGGATAAACGATGGTTGTACTACAAGGTAGCAGTAGATGCCTGGCATGGTACTAGTAGCAGACAAACATGATAAACGTACATGCCTTTGTACCACGGCTTCCCAGGCTTGTACCAGCCTACCAGGCCTACCCATGCTGAAACCTTTATAATAGGATCTCCATATTAGTAGTAGGCCGTTAACCATTTTGTACGGAGCACTGTTATGTTTTTAGGGGTTCTTTATCTAGAGCAGCATATAAATACTCATCACAAAAGTTCATATAGCACGCTGCATTGTACTACCTCCGTCCCAAAATAAGTGCAGTCGTTGAAATCCGTGTCCAACGTTTGACCGTCCGTCTTATTTGAAAAATTTATGAAAATTTTAAAAAAAATTAGTCACACATAAAGTACTATTCATGTTTTATCATCTAATAACAATAAAAATAGTAATCATAAAAAATTTTCAAATAAGACGAACGGTCAAAACTGCGCTTATTTTGGGACAGAGGTAGTACTAGGTTAAATCGAGATAAAGTATTGGGTGTGGAACACATTTTTAGTAAATTAAGTGTCACCGGAAGGACTAGCATGGTACGGGCATTTGGACCAAATTTACAACATTATGGCGAAATGGCATGTGGCTTAGTGGTTACACGAGCCTAAGTAGCACCTTAGGTTCTAGGTTTGACTTTCCATGGAAGCGATTTTTTCAGGATTTAACAGCTTTGTGCTTTCAGTGGTAAGCGACGTACCCGTTGATAGCGAGGCGCATGTGGTGATTTCAATCTCCAGGATGGATCCTGTGGTGACTTCGTCAATCTCCAGGATAGATTGGCCGGTCGAGTCTTCGAAAATGCTCATAGGAGTGAGTGTGCGTGAGTTGAGTGTCTGCGTTATACTGTATAATTCTCAAAATTTATAACATTAAGTAATGTTCTAGTGTTTAGAAATGAAGTAAATTATTTTCATTTGTGAATGGTTGCAAATTATATGCACAGTTTATAGGCTCCATGTTTTCTGAATTCAACTCATGTAGCCTATTGACTGATTCCACATGGTATTGAGTATTGACTCTTTCTGAGGACTATATTGTGAACCATTGGATCTAAAATGTGCGTCCCGGATCTCCTCGTTACATTTTATAAAACGTCTCCCTCACCAACCAATGCACAAAAATTTTCCTCCTAATCCCAGCTATAGCAAGGTACCAAACTAGATAAACCTTGGGACAACTTGATAATTTGCATATCAACTTGATATATGTTAAACTGAGTATTTATCTAGTTTGACACCTTGCTATAGCTAAGATTGGGAGGAGAGAATAACTTAGATTACGGCAGCGGTTGGAGAAACAATCGGTGAATTGAGTCAGCCGTCGATAGACGGCCTCACATCAAAAGAGCAACATAGTTGGCAGTATTATTTTCTGCCAGTGTTGTTTATCTGTTGCAATCGTTGTCCAATGGTGTAAATTTGATGGCAAGAGAAAATGTGCGACTCTCATGTCAAGATTTTAGCTCAGCTTTACTGAAGATATAGAACAATATGTTATTCATATAAAATCGGAAAATTTATGTTCTTTCTGAGAAAAAAGGTTGGGAAAATTCCATCCTGTCTGTAGCAAAAGCTATGTAAGCTCCCCCCTTCCTTTCCTTCTTGAAAGATTAAACAACTCTTCCTTACAGCCGAGCTAGCTTATGGTATCCCGACGGTAAGCGCAATAACCACGGTGACTGTCACAAGCTATGAAAAACCGGAAAAAGAAATAATCAAGAAATTCAAAACTGTTTAAAATTGTTTAAATTTGGTGGGATTATCACGCGGTTAGCATTAACCGGCGCCCGGCGGCATTGTCAATCCTGTTGAAGCCAACTTCTGTTTTTGCCGATACAAGGCATCCACAGTTCCATACCATTGTGTTTCTCCCTTGCACACGTCTCTGTCATGGTGTCATTCACCCAACCACCCGAAAACCATTTGCCCATTCAGGTCTTGCGTGGAACATTGACACCATATATTAGAGTAGAGATGCCTTCACCGTGAATCCTTCACCTGCATATGTTGCTCATGCTGAAGAAAGAAAAGGTCAGACAAATTGCGATCGAGACGCAGCTCGCAATCGCCGTAGAAAAACCTGTGGCACACCTCCCCTGTTGGTGGTAATCGCCTAATCAATGTTCCGTTGAAACAATTGCTCGCTGCAGCTAGCAGAAATTGACTCCTCCCTACACGTCCCGCTGCACCCGTCGCCCGGGCATCATAGGAGAAGTTTCTGAATTCGCTTTCACTCGCCTCATGTCATGAGGGGCTCTCTCTCCATTTCTGCACTTGTGTTTGGTCTTGTTTAGCTGGGGAAAATTTCTATGTTTGTTTGTCGCATCGGATATACGGACACACATTTGAAGTATTAAACATAGTATAATAATAAAACAAAAAACAAATTACAGATTCCCAGCAGGCAGCATAGGAGAAGTTTCTGACTTCGCTTTCACTTGCCTCGGGTGTGTTTAGTTTACGCTAAAATTGGAAGTTTGGTTGAAATTGGAACGATGTGATGGAAAAGTTGAAAGTTTGTGTGTGTAGTAAAGTTTTGATGTAATGGAAAAGTTGGAAGTTTAAAGGAATAGTTTGGAACTAAACTCGGCCCTCATGTCATGAGCTGCTCTCTCTCTCTCTATTTCTGCACTTGTGCTTGTGTGTAGCTGAGAGCATCAGACAGAGACACAGGAAGAAGAGGGATGTAGAAGAAGCTTAGCCGTTAAGAGAGAGAGCGAGGCAAGGAAAGAATTAAGGAAGAGAGAAAGGAGAGGAGAAATGCTGGAGGCGTACGTAGCTAGCCCCAACCACTCTGGCCGCGCGTTGCCATCAACGCTCCCGCGTGGTCACCCGTTTCTGCAGCGGCACGTCTGACCTTATGGCTTTAAGCTCACGGGGGTGCCGGTGGCTGTGGATGGACTCGTTCCTCCAACCACCTGGTGCGCCACCCCGATAGAGGGACTGTGTTAGTACTCCCTCTCCATTAAGCAAACGTAGTACATGGCGTGATATATTAAGTATCTGGACAAGAGCACATCCCGTATTAGATTCGTTTATTTTAAGGTGAAGAAAGTAGGCCCTTCAAAGTGCCTTTTGGCTTACGGGTTAAGGGCCCATTTGAATCGTAGGAATGAAAAAAAAACAGAGAAATAAGAAAAATACAGGATTCTGATAGGAATACAATTGTAAAACAGAGAATTGCAAAACACAGGAAAAATACAGGAATGGCCGTTTTGATTGGACCACAGGAAAAAAGCAGGAATCAGATGAAAGAGATAGACTCAGAGGAAATGTTCCAAGAGGTTAGACCTCTTGCTAACTTTCCTCCAAAATGTGCATAGGATTACCCATTCCATACGAATTTTAAAGGAACGAATTTTAAAGGATTGGATATGATTCAATCCTTTGTTTCAAAGGCCTTCATAGGATTTTTTTTTCTATAGGATTGAAATCCTCCAAAAATCCTATATTTTTCCTACAAATCAAAGGAGCCCTAAATGCTGAAGAGATGATAGATTATCTGATTTTATGATAGTATATTTGAGAGTGTAAACGAATGAATTAACTGTTACGAAGTTGAAAGTTATTTATTTTTTTAAAAAAAACCATTCTAACAAATTTATGCAGAGAACTTTTGTAGAAACCGTACTGTTTAGAATATTGGGGAGACTGTCTGTCAGTCTGTGATACTAATATGCAAGGAAAAAGAAGTGCCCGTACGGTTTTTTCATTAAAAAAATTCTTAACATTTTTAAGAAAAGTAGTAAGATCAGTGTTTAAGGCTTTAAGCTTGCGTGGCAGCCTGTCAGGCAAGCGGTGCATGGCTGAGCTGGCAAGCCAAGTGCATATGCTTCATATCATATCATCTCATGCGTACCCTTTCCCTCGGCTAATCCTTGTGAATTATACACGCGCTTGATTCATTAATTCATATGTGTCGTGTACTACTAATCACCATTCACCAAGCAAGCATATTTATATGCTAACAAGATTTTTTTTAGAGACGTACCCAACATCCACAAAGCTAGCTAGCTAGATCCTCCTCTTCTCTGCACTCTGCTAGAGCAAGCTCGATCGATCGATCAGTGATATTTCCCCTTATCCAAATCCAGCACAAACCAACAATATCCATGGAGGCCGTAGCAGTGCACGCCAGCTTCTCGTCCTACTCCCCTCCGGTGGTCGCCGGCGGCCGCGACGACGCCGGCAGCAGCAGCAGCAGCAGGAGCATGTCCCGCCTGCCGGCTCGCGTCGCCGGCGCCGTAGCTCGCGGCATCGTCACCTTCGTCTTCGCCACAGGTAGGTGGTGGTGGTTTCTTGCTTCTTTTTGTTTGCCTCGATTAATTCGAGCTCGATCTGTTTCATGGAAGTAATTAACTTGAGTAATTGATCGATTGGTTGACAGTGGGCACGATCCTGGGGGCGATCACCGGCGGGCTGATCGGGCTGGCGACGGAGAGCGGCATGGTGCGGGGCACCGGGATCGGGGCCATCTCCGGCGCGGTGGTCGCCATGGAGGTCGTCGACTCCTCCGTCGCCATGTGGTGCTCCCACGACTCCGGGATCTGGAGCGTTCTCTACGTCGTACGTTTACTAATCTCCTGCCAAAATCTGCATCCCCTACTGCAATTACAGTTCCATCTCGCAGCTGAGACGATGAATTTGCATTCATTCTTATTACTAATCCAACTTATCGTACCAATTAGCAATCCAATTAAGTTTATTTGCTGTACTAAAAAAAGATATGATTAAGCTTTCCTTGTTCTACTAATTGATAGTACCAATTTGCAAGCTAATTAAGCTTTTTGCTTGCTTGCTCTACCAAATTTGGGAGCTAATTAAGTTTGGTTGTGTTTGTGTGTTCAGCTTGACGTGATCTGGAGCCTCCTGACGGGGCGGCTGGTGCGGGAGAAGGTGGATCCGGCGGTGCAGAACGCGGTGGACAGCCAGATGAACGCCGCCGACGCGCCCTTCAGGGAGAGCGCGCCGACGCTGGCGGAGATGTTCGACACCGGCATCCCCGGCGTCGCCGCCGCCGCCACGGGCATGCCGGCGGACGCCATCGCCGCGCTCCCGGTCACCACGTTCGCCGCCGCCGCCGGCGGCGACGACCGCGCCGGCTGCTCCGTGTGCCTCCAGGACTTGGAGGACGGCGAGCGGGCGCGGAGGCTGCCGGAGTGCGGCCACACGTTCCACCTCCGCTGCATCGACAGCTGGCTGCTCAGGCACGCGTCGTGCCCCCTGTGCCGGCGCACGGTGGTCGCCGCCGCCGTCGCCGTCGACGACGTCGTCGTCGGCTGAGCTGGCGCGAGCTCGCATCTGGTTGGCTCGTTCGTGGTTAATTAGGCTTAAGCTAGAAGATTAGTGAGAAGGGCGTGCAGTGCACGGCACGCCGCCGGCGACGGCGTGAGGATCACGACTGACGTGCGTGTGTGTACCTACTACCTCACCTTCTTTTGATACCTTGATTCGTTTTGGCGTAGTACATATGTGTAGCGGATACTTGCATTATACTAGTATATACACACACACTTGTATGTATTGTAGATTTATATACTTGTACATGGAGACCTTGTGATTAACATAATAGAGAGATCCAGATTTTGTCTCTATCTTAGTTATTAATTTCATCACTAATTTTGGGCCTATTCAGATTACTACCAAAATCAACCTCCAAAATTTGGCAATGCTGAATTTTTTATAAATTTATAGAATTGCCAATTTTTGATAGGATGGAACAAATATGTTGTGCCAAAATTTTCTTTACAAATATTTGGTAAAATTAAATGCAACCATATATTTGTCAACTTTACCAAAACAATGATATAGTTAAAATGACACCAATCTAAACACACGCTTGTTCTTATGCAAGATGCATATTGTGGTTTGCTATTTGTTTTAAGACAAGTCATAATCGATCATTGAAGACAGTTCAGAAGAATAATAATCCTTAGTGCAATGCTAAACAGAGTAACTGGAAGCACTGAACCATCCTTTTCCAAATGAAAGGCTAAGGGAACTAAGGGAGTGTTTGAGGAGAAGGGGATTGAGGAGATTGGGAAGATACGCAAAACGAGGTGAGCCATTAGCTCATAATTAATTGAGTATTAACTATTTTAAATTCCAAAAATGGATTAATATGATTTTTTAAAGCAACTTTCCTATTGAAATTTTTTGCAAAAAACGCACCGTTTAGTAGTTTGAAAAGCGTGCGCGCGGAAAACGAGAGCCAATCTCCCCTATCACCCCTAAACGAACGATGCCTAAGGAAATAAACCTAACAGCAGAAAAGAGGCATATAGACAGGGTAATCTCTATACTTAAAACACGACGACCGCGTCCATGAGCCTATTTTGATGTACACTGCCTACATGGAAATATCGTAGTTCAAAGGTTTATTGTTGAGTTACAGATTTTGGTGTGAACTTCATTGAACTCAAAGGATTTTTAAGAGTTCTTCTGCGAGATATGTGTTGTGGTTTGCTCGCTGGAGTACTTTTTTAAAGACAAGTCTCAATCACAAAATCTCAATTTACTAGAGTACTTATTGTAAGAAGACAGAGTTTAGAAGAATAATCTTAGTAGCTGAAAGTATTGAACCACTTTTTTTCAAAAGAAAAGCTTAACTGAACTAGGAAAATATACTTCCTAATGAAATCTAACAATAGAAAAAAAAGAATATCGATAGGGAGCTGCGGCGTTGTCACAATAATAACATCTGTAAGTCTATTTTAATGCGCACACTGCTTCACAAACTAGTGATCGCTTTCGTCTGCCTCTATAAAAATAGCATAATTCAAAGGTTTGTTGTTGAGTTCATTATTGAATCTGAGAAGCACTAACTACAATCCTACCAACTAGAGCTACAGAGGTGATATGTGCTCAACCCAAACGGCGAACGGTTTAAGTTCGAAAGCCCTCCTCCTCAAGAGGATACCGGTTTCCTGATTCCTATGAGGTCACCTACATAAAGGGCCATAGTTGAAAGCCCATCAATTGATTTCAGCGTTAGGCCCACTCACATCGCCGGGTGGTGGGCCGTGTACCATATGATCCGCAGGCTTCTCTGGGGGCTTCTTCTTTCTGGCTTAATTGACTTGGTTGGGCTAATTGATGGGCCTCAATTCCATCCCATTTATGTACATGGGCTGAGATTTCTTTTAGCTTAATTTCTTGCTCACAAGAGCAGAGATTAAAATCCATCCGACTCCAAAAGAAAAAAAAAAACTGGGAGAGATCGGCTGTAGTGATAGATGATCAGCTAGCAGCTATAGCTCTTGATTGATATCACCACCATGATGGAATGCTTCTAACCACAAGCTGTACTAAAATAACTTTCAAGAGAAATGTCATTTGCATGTCGCAGTTGGTTGGTTGGTCGGTCGGTTGATCGTGTGAGAACGCAGTCATGATCGACTGCTGCTACTGTTTGGCTTGGGGACGCACAGTCAATGCTGCATGAAGCACGTGATGTGACGCTGACACTCATCAGTCATCACTCATCCAACCTTCCGCCAGTCTGTCCCTTCTCTTCACTGTTAACGTTGTCTAATGACTCCTGGCTCCTTTTGTTTTAAATATAGTAATCTAATATTATCATTTCGTTTTTAATATAATCCGGGTAAACATCAGATTTAATTTCAATAAAATTAGGATTAATTGTGATACTGTTATCTCTTCCTCACATGAAACATATGCATGGAAATAAAGACATTAAGGGCTTGGCAATTTGGTAATATTGTCAAAATTTTGATAGGATTTCGGATATTCTGATGTAATTAAACTAAATGGATGTATATATTTGACAACTCTAACAAAAAAAAATGGTATGGTTTGAAATGACATCAATCTGAACAAGCCCTAAACCTCCAAAGGTGAAGATTTCCCCATATATCTTATAAGTGAAAACGCTCCTCACAAGTTTAAGGAAAACCAAGTAAAAACCAATAACTTTTTATCCGTATAAATACCATCTAAAAATCCCCTAAAAGAACAAGCTACTCCCATTGATTTTTACAGACGGTCTCGGTGGTTTTGTAAACATTAGAGGATCTCCAAATCACCAAATGTACGTACCAGCTGCTGCGTGCATCGGTCCACCGAGGTGGTCACGTCGCCGTCGTCGTTCGTCGTCAAATTTTTGTGGTAGTGTCGTAGTAGCTGCCACACGAGAACCATGTCGTGATTAAACAATAAATACTGACAGTCCTTGCTATATCTAGCTACTTCTCTAATTAATTAATCAGCCTGCGCCGATATTGTTCTTTTCAAAATTCGATTTTAAATTCAGTCATCAACAGCGCTCCAGCTGGTTTTAATTTCAAGTAGGTGAAGTTGTACTTGACGTGTTGTATATAATACTCTCGTTTGGTAATCGAACAGTACGTACATAGCAAACGTGATATCTGACAATGACAGTCGCAACTATATAATTAACGATTACTCCTCGATCGAATTATTCACAAATTAAATCGATCAACGCAATATTGATAAGAGATCGCGACGACCGTGGCAACTGGCAAGTGGCAACCCACTTATATATTGACCGTGTGCTAGATACGCACTATTAACGATCACACTATTGTGATGCGACCAGAGTTTATAGAACCATATAATTATCACGTAGTTATATTTACGATAACCTTCTCGGTTTTAAAATTATGGTATACCTCATAATAATCGCATATTTTTCACGGTAACCACCAAATCGTGAGGTGATAAACATGTTTTTTTTTCTTATTAAGTTATTTTTAGATAATTAATGGATAAAATCTGACATTGGCTTCAACAAAAGCTACAACTACTCGTTACAAAATTGTCGCTCATCATGACCAATAACAAAAGAAAGTGGAGTACGTAGCTAACAAAGGGTAAAGAGAAGACAAATATAAATCCATATTGGTCACAGTTCAGCAATCCTCCTAGCTAATGAATCTCTATCCAAAATAATATATTAATTCATATTAGTCATAACTAATAACTTTGCCTTACACGTGTGCAATATAACTAGTATGTGTATGAAGTGGTCATATACATCGATCTTCTAATGAAAAAGAAATGTAGATTAATTTGCATTATTTAAAAAAAATAATTATGAAAAATGAATCGGGCAAGATGCAATGGTCCATTGTATGTATTAAGTTTGAGAGTTATTGCACCAGTGTCTTCTAGACCCAGTTGCTATATAGTAGGAGCCAACTCATATCGATCGTCGCGTCAAACCTCTCCATCGGTCGATTCAGAGAGAGATCGAGATCAGCGTGAGAGAGAGAGAGAGAATGAGCAGTACGAGTGGATCTGCATGGGATCACAGCAACAATGGAGGCGGCGGGTCGCCGGAGTTGAGGGAGGCGCTGCTGCTGGGTGACGGCGGGTCGTCGCCGGAGTCGAGGGAGATTAAGGGGATTGCTGTGAAGAAGCAGGATGACCTGGAGGAGATCCGGAGCGTGGGGGAGCTGATGCGGCTGGCGGCGGAGGAGAACCGGCGGCTGTGGTACCTGGCCGGTCCGGCCATCTTCACGTCGCTGGCGCAGTACTCGCTCGGCGCCGTCACGCAGGTGTTCGCCGGACACCTCACCACGCTCGAGCTCGACGCCGTCTCCACCGAGAACATGGTCATCGCCGGCCTCGCCTTCGGGATCATGGTTAGTCACTCACTAGCTAGTACTCCCTCCGTTTCATAATATAAGACACAACTATATTTTTTATATGTTACATAATATAAGGTATGCATGCATGCATACAATTAATTAGAACCTCTTCTCCATTAAACTATTATTTTTTTAAATTCTCCATCCTCAATATCTCTAATTCTATTGGATACATGCATTATATTTATTAGAGTGATTCAAACTAGGAGATAATAATAATTATTTCTTGGTCTTTGGGTTAAGAGCGGTTATGCCTTATATTTTAAAACGGAGGGAGTAGGGAGTAGCTGGCTGGCTACTTCCTTAATAGTTACTCCAGTTACTTCCATTCATCTATTCCTACTTACCTACCACCTCCGTCAAAAAAAAATATTAAATATGATACATTCTAATACTTTTATATATATATATATATATATATTAAATTTATAGTACTAAGATGTACCAAATTTAATATTGATTAATTTTTTAGATAGAGCGAAGTGAGGGGAGTATAATATAATTACCCTCGTTCACCGATCGATCGTGTGTATTACTATCTCCATCTCAAAAGTACTGTCCTTTTTTTAATTTGTGTAAAAATTTACTGTCTTTTTAACTATCAACTTGACTACAGTACACTTTTCGAGAGACCTTGGAAGTACAGTAGTTAATTTTGCTTGATTAGCTTCCCAATTTTTTCTTCATTATGTCTAAACTTTATCTTAATCACAGGATTGAGTTGTACATTTTTGCGCTTATGTCAGTTATTTGGATCCAAAGTTTTATTAAATCTTAGTCTAACTTCCTTGTAATTAGTTAAAACTTGTTTTCTTAAGACAAATTTTAATTTTCTTCATCCAAATTAACAATCACTGCAAATATTTTTTATACGAAAGTTATTTTTAAAAAATCATATTAACCCATTTAAAAAAATAGCATATATTTAATTAATTACACGCTAATGAATCACTCCATTTATGTGCGCGAGAGATTGGATCCCAAACTTCAACATACGAACTTAGGGGTGAAAACGGTACGGAAACGGACGGAAACAAACTTTATCGTTTTCGTTTTCATATTTTTTTCGGAATCGGAATCGGAAACAAAAACGGAAACGAATAGTATCGAAACCGAAAACGGAGCGAAAACGAACCAGCGCGGATACGGTAACAAAAATTTATCGGAATACAATAACCCCTCAAACTGAGCTTCAAACTTTTGTCAAGTCCAATTCGCAAGTCTCAACAGTCAACAATTCATCATAAAACACAATTATATCAAGTCTAATTGTTTAGTCTCAACAGCAAAAATATATTCTTCTATAACTTCATATAATTTGCATAACAAATATTCTAAAAGAATACAGCAAAACAGAATGGTATAAGTCTATAAGGTATACACAATTCAGGTGCTATACTGCTATCAGCCTATCACTCCAGGAAATGGGTTTGAGAACAACAACAGAACATCAGTCCATCAACACTTAGTTCATCAATCATCACAGAACAGCAATAGTTCATCAATCATCACAGAACAGCAATAGTTCATCAATCATCACAGAACAGCAACGCACATCAGTCCATCAGTGTTTCAGTACTTAGTTCAATCACAAAACACATCACCCTATAAATACATAGTTCATCACAAAACATAGTTCAATCACAAAACACATCAGTACATGGTTCAAACATATCTCATCCACTTGTGCAGCAGGAGTACACTAATTTGAAATGGAAACTTGAAATTAGATGTAACTTGAAAATTAAATTGACCAACATTTTCTTCAAACATCCATTGGCGCAATGCCATCCTCATTAGAACATTCCGCTTCTACTGTCTCTGTCTCTTGTTCCGTTCCATTAGCCTTCAAAAAAAATGATAGAGCATTAGTAAAAGTGCAAAGTCAATCACTATATACACCTGCTGCTGCTGGTTGCTCAGATGCTGCCGCTGGGCTGCTGGCTGCTGCGAGGCGAGGAGCCGTCGGCGTTGGTGGCGGTGAGGAAGAGACTGCAGTGGTGGTGTCGTCGTCGCCTCGTCGGTGTGGTGGTTGTTCCGTCGTCGGCGGCGGTGGTGGCGATGGTGAAACGGCGAGACGCGGTGGGACGGCGCCTTGAGATGGCGGGGACCGAGCAGGCCGGCGGAGGTGCGAGATGGTGGCGGCGGCCGGCGGCGAAACAACGAAGAGCAAGGGCGGCGCGAGGACGGCGGGGGCCAGCCAGCCAGGCGACCAGCGGTAGGCGCGAGGGCGCGCCGGCGCCGTGCGAGATGGTGGCGGCGGCCGGCGGCGAAACGACGAAGAGCAAGGGCGGCGCGAGATGGTGGGGGCGAGGACGGCGGGGGCCAGCCGGCCAGGCGACCAGCATAGGGCGGTGGGGGGCCGGCGCCACGGGCGGTGGGCGTGAGGGCACGCTGGCGCCGCGATGCCGCGATCTGGACGCCGCAGCCGCCGCTCCGCCTCCAACTCGCGAGTCGCGTCTGAGTTCTGAGTCTGACGGTCTCTCTCCTATAGGGTTAGCCGGTTAGGGTAGATGCCGCCGCGATTTGGGTTGGGCTGGGAAGCTAGGGATGAATTATGGACTATTGAATCTATGGGCTTTTTAACTTCGGAAATTCCGACAATTTTTCTGGAATGTTTCCGATCGTTTCCGGGTTCCGACGGAAACTGCTATTATCATATTCGATTCCGTTTCCGAGAAAATATTTCCGTTTTCGATTCCGATTCCGAGAAATTCCGAAAAAATTCCGACTGGCCGATTCGGTTTCCGAAAACATGACCGGAATCCGGAAAATTCCGTACTGTTTTCACCCCTAATACGAACACAGCGATAGTTGCAGTAGAGAGTTAAGTGCACATGTCTTTTTTATTAATTCCTTGTTTTCTCCATCACCTGCGCAACATTTTTTTATTACATGGACGCGTATGCACACACTACTGTACACACAACACCATATGCACACACTCGCACATGATTTATATATGTTTATGTATCACTTTTGACCCTTCTAGTAGTATGTCTTTTTTATTTATAAATCATGTGCCTACTACCCAGATTAGGAGGATCGAATTCAACTTAAGAACGAATGGAAGGCTATGTAACTTTAATTTTGGACATATTTAAATTAGTTTTAACTAAAATTTCAAAAGTATGTTAGAAGATTTTTTTTGGGAAATCTTGCTTGAATTTCTGACCTCCACTTGAAGATTCCCGCAACACGTGTTACCCGTTCTCTAAGAGCCAGATTATTATAAGTCGGATTATAATAAGCCGATATAGAATAAGTTGTTAGATGTTTATTTCTCTAAATTGTTAGCTGTTTGTTAGTTGTTAGCCACCAAATAATCTAAAAAAGCACCTTTCGAATGGATTATCAGACTATAGTAATATGGTTTATAAATTGTAATAATCTATCATAATAATCTATCTGTTTGTTTTAGCTTACTCCTAAAAATGTGTTGTGTGTGTATGAATGTGTGCGGTGCAGTACGGGATGGGGAGCGCGCTGGAGACGCTATGCGGGCAAGCTTTTGGCGCGAAGCAGCATCACATGCTGGGCATCTACTTGCAGCGCTCATGGGTGATCCTCACCGCCATGAGCGTCATCCTCCTCCCCATCTACCTCTTCGCCACCCCGATCCTCCGCTTCTTCCACCAGGACGACGAGATCGCCGTCCTCGCCAGCCGCTTCTCCCTCTACATGATCCCCCAGCTCTTCGCCTACGCCCTCAACTTCCCCATCCAGAAGTTCCTCCAGGCCCAGAGCAAGGTCATGGCCATGGCGGCCGTCTCCGCGGCGGTGCTGCTGTTCCACGTCGCGCTCACGTGGCTTCTCCTCGTGCCGCTCCGGATGGGCCTCGTCGGCCTCGCCGTCGCGCTCAACGTGTCGTGGTGGCTCGTCGTGCTCGGCCAGCTCGCCTACATCGTCATGGGCTACTGCCCTGGAGCTTGGAACGGGTTCGACTGGCTCGCGTTCACCGACCTCCTCAGCTTCGCCCGCCTCTCCCTCGGCTCCGCCATCATGATCTGCCTCGAGTTCTGGTTCTACATGTTCCTCATCGTCATTGTCGGTAACCTCCCCAATGCCCAGGTCGCCGTCGCCGCCGTCTCCATCTGGTTAGTGAAAACTCAAATCATCCCTTAGAGGGATATCTCTTTATTTTTGTGTCACTAAAAAGTCATAAAAAAATTGAAAAAAATAGTAGGATATATCAACATGTGATATATCAATTCACAAATATGCAAATTCAAATTCAATTTATACAAGTAGAAACAAAAATAACAAATTTGACTATAAAGTGAACGTGTAATTCACAGTTAAATTTATTATTTTTGTTTCGAATTGTATAAGTCGAATTTTAACTCGCATGTTTGTGAAAGATATATCATATATTGATCTATCTTGATAATTTTTAAATAATTTTTTGATAATTTTTTGAACGGCATGCACAAAATGAGAGAATAACCCCTTAGGGACAAAAACCCACACTAATCAGTAATCACTCATCGTCTTCACTGTTTTATGCTCGGATCGTAGCTGATGTCGATCTCGATCTGTTTGCATTTTGCAGCACGAACCTGTTTGGGTGGCAGATCATGGTGTTCTTCGGGTTCAACGCGGCGATCAGCGTGAGGGTGTCGAACGAGCTGGGCGCGGGGCGGCCGCGGGCGGCGAGGCTCGCGATCGCGGTGGTGCTCGTGTCCTCGGTCGCCATCGGCGTCGCCTTCTTCGCGGCGGTGCTGCTGCTCCGCGACGTGTACGGCGCGCCGTTCACGGGCAGCCCGGAGGTGGTGCGCGCGGTGGCGAGCCTGGGCGTGGTGTTCGCCTTCTCGCTCCTCCTCAACAGCGTCCAGCCGGTGCTCTCCGGCGTGGCCGTCGGCGCCGGGTGGCAGTGGCTGGTGGCGTACATCAACCTGGGCTGCTACTACTGCGTCGGCATCCCCGTCGGCTACGCCATCGCGTTCCCGCTCCGCCGCGGCGTGCAGGGGATGTGGGGCGGGATGCTCACTGGCGTCGGGCTGCAGACGGCGATCCTGGTGGCGATCACGGCGCGCACCAACTGGAACAAGGAGGCCAGCGAGGCGCACGCCAGGATCCAGCACTGGGGTGGCACGGCCAAGCTCGCCGTCGACGACCCCATCTAGTTAAGCGACAGCGAGCTTCATCATCCATCCATGGCGTAAGAATTTGTAATGTACCTGCACAATGCAAGTACATGTACATCCTGTTGTCGGATTTGGTTTGAGATTCGTGCGCGTAGCATGGATTGCAATAAGAAAATGCAGATGTGTTGATATGTCGTGGTTTTGTGTATCCGAGAATGTCAATCCACGATGCAATTATGCAGTGTATGTGCACCTTGTTGTTTGTTTGGATTTGATTGGAGATTCGTGCGCGTGTAGAATAGATAAATATCATGAATAAAGCATGATATTATATACTAGTATCTCCATTTCATACAATTTTTTTCTAAATCAAGTTTATAGAAAAACATAACAATATTTTCAACATAAAACAAATAATGTTATAAGTGTTACTGTTTTTTTAAAAATAATGGTCAAACATTTAAAAATTGACTTTAAAAAAGTTAAAACGAATTATAATATTAAACGGAGTGGGTAAAAAGAAATGCAGTTGCGTTGATATTGTGGTTCTGTGTTTTGGCAGTTTGGTCTCAGATTCTGTTTGTCAATGGCAATGGAACTTGGGCAATGGATGTGTATGATGTAACGCAAGCAACATTCGTTCTCCAGTGACTTACTCACGGAAAATTTTTTTTGACAGAATTGGCTTTTGGTGCTACTATATAAATAAAACTAAAATAAGTAAAGATATTTCCGTGCTATAAGACCATTTTTTTTTCCATTGGATTTTGATGAAATAAGACAAAATGACACTTGCATGAAGAGGTAGGAGAGCAAACTGAGGCCCCTATCGTTTAGCCAAGTACGGATAATAGCAAAATAATAATATTTATAGGTAAGATTTTTATTTATACGTTCTTAGTGATTTAGATGCCAATACTGAAAAATAAACTTTAAATAAAAGATTTTAAATTTTGGCAACGAGCGATGCTGTATGGAGGAAGCGATGGGCCTGAATCCTAAGCCGTCTAGGATGAACAAGCCCAGTTTAAAACCAACACGGCCCTCACACAGACGGCCCAGCTCAGCCCAGCAAAATATAAAACAAAGAAAATACAGGAAACACAACGAAAAGCAGAGGAGAGGTAGCCCAAGCTCGGAAGGGAAGGGGAGCGACCTTCTTGAGGCAGAAGTCACGAACCAACCAGCGCCGCCGCCGCGATGACGGACGTGCAGATGAGCGACTCCGAGCCGCAGGCGGCGCCTCCCGCGGCGCCGGCGGCCTCCGCCCTCCACCGTAAGCGGTCCTCCCCCATCCCCCAGAAACCCTCGGGTGGAATTCCTCAGATTTGTTTCTGATGTGGTTGCGCGCTGTTCGTCCCAGATCTGAAGGAGATCGCCTCGGTGATCGAGGCCGGCTCGCTGTCCAAGGAGGTGCGCCGGATCTCCCGCGCCGTCCGCCTCACCGTCGCCCTCCGCCGCCGCCTCGCCGCCCGCGACGTCTCCGCCTTCCTCGCCTTCGCGCTCCCGCCTTCCTCCGAGGCCTACACCCGCCTCACCTCCCTCGTCCCCAAGGTGAATTACTTCTCATGCGTTCTTCTTCTGTTACTAGTATAACTCAGCGTAAGAGCAACTTAATATTCCATGTGATGCAACTAAACTATCAGTGTTTAGATATAGTTGTTGGCATGGATAAACTTACTAGACATGCTTGCATGATGTGTGTGATTCTGGAAAGTTTCCCGTTGGTAAGTAGGTACCTCTGACAAAATTTCCAGCACTGAGATATTTGCATTGAGTTGGTTTAATTTAACATAGTGATCAGTAATTCTGTGTGGATCTGGGTTTTCTATGGCAAAACTGGAATTTCCAAACCTTGGTACCTGTGATGCTAACTGTGGATATTTGATTTATCATCACTGCATTATCAACCGCTCTGTAGTTATTTTGGAATTCTTTCTTTAAATAAGCTAATCATATGGTTAAAATTTTAAATTAACTGGTAAACAGGAATTTTGGGTGGGTGTGGTCTTATTTTTGTTGTTATCAAAACTGGAATTATTCCATTGGTACTACTGATGTAATTCATAGATGCTTGTTATTTGATTTATCACTGTGGTGTTTGACTTTCTCATGGCTGTTTTGGATCGCCTGTGTCTGTCATTCCATGATTAGCAACCTAAATCGCTGAACATATAGCATGGGTCATTTTCTTTCATCTCTTGATAGGAAGCACTTGCAAATAGAGGTTAAGTGAGCTCCTTCACTGCGCACTTCGACTTTCAAAAAGATCATATTTTCATGTATCGTATATTTGCAACGTTGTTCATTATCGTTATGTTATTTCTGCATGTTTATGCTGAAATCTATTTTTAGAACATATTAGAAAGCTATTCCTAGAAGTCTAGAGCTGTAACGTTAAGCCTTATTTAGCAGTATCTCTATGATACCCAAGAAATTGATTACCAGTATGAGATACTGCACTCTACTTGTTTTTTTTTTTTTCATTTGTGATGACTCTGTTATATGAAGAACATAATATGCTGTTGCACTATGGTCGGCGTAGTTTCTGTTTTTGCTACTTGTTTTGTAATTTAGGGCTCAGGACCTGGAAGCCTAACTTTGTTGTTTCATTGTGTATACAATGATATAATAAGGAGAGTAAGGTAAAACATACTGTTATCATATGCACGGTGTCTGATGTCCTTATTTGTTGCTTTTTAGGAAGATGACACTGAGATGGACATTGACATGGCAGCTCCAGCAACTCAGATTTCGATCAAGCATGGCCTCCCTGAGATTGAAATATATTGCTATTTGCTTGTCCTGATTTTTCTTATTGACCAGAAGAAATACGACGATGTACGTCTAAGACTACTGATTTTATCTTCTGCTCTCAGTGAGACATTCTAATTTAAAGTTCTCACCTGTCTCTAGGCTAAAGCATGTGCAAATGCAAGCATTGCTCGTCTGAAAAACTTGAACAGGAGAACTGTTGATGTTCTGGCATCTAGACTGTACTTCTATTACTCATATGTGCATGAACTCACCAACAGCCTTGCTGAAATCCGTGGGTACGTCAAGGTCTTATTTAATGCTTAGTTGCTCACTATTCAGTGTCTTACTACCATGTTTATCGACTTTTCCTGCATTTACTCTCTTTTCAGGAATCTGCTAGCCTTACACAGAATGGCAACTCTTCACCGCGATGAACTTGGCCAGGTAGTTTTGGTTTCTATATCCTCATTGATTTATTAACCTTTAAGTCATCTAATTCTTGTAATCTGTGTAAATATACCTGTTTTCTTGATTGCAGGAAACTTTGCTCAACCTGCTTCTTCGCAATTACCTCCATTATAATTTGTATGATCAAGCAGAGAAACTTAGGTCAAAAGCTCCTCGTTTTGAAGCCCACTCCAATCAACAAGTATATATCTGCTTGCACCATTTATTACTCTACAGCTTGTGAATTTATTGTGTTTTGGATGTTGCTCATGCGAAGTTTCATACTCCACTTAAATTTGTTTCTACATGTTGTTGTTAAGACACCTTCATTTTAGTTAATGCTTTATGATTATTGAAGTATGAGATCATCCTTCAGCCAACTGAATTCACAGGACAGACTCTTGGGCATATGCTAATAAGTGCCTTTTATTGCAGTTCTGTCGATACCTGTTCTACTTGGGTAAAATCAGGACAATTCAGTTGGAGTACACTGATGCTAAGGAAAGCCTTCTGCAAGCTGCTCGGAAGGCACCCATTACAGCTCGTGGCTTTCGTATTCAGTGCAACAAATGGGCTATTATAGTGAGACTACTTCTCGGAGAGATTCCAGAGAGGACTGTGTTCATGCAGAAGGGAATGAAGGAAGCACTGACACCCTACTTCGAGCTTACAAATGTAAGTAACTAGACTTTCCTGAAATACTGTGTTGCATAGGTGGAAAACTCAGACTGACTTATTTGTGGTCTCTAGGCTGTCAGGATCGGTGATCTTGAATTGTTTAGGGCTGTCGCCGACAAATTTGTGAGCACTTTTAGTGCTGACAGGACTCGCAATTTGATTGTGAGATTGCGCCACAATGTTATTCGAACCGGACTGCGCAATATTAGCATTTCATACTCACGGATCTCCCTTGCTGATATTGCCAAGAAGCTAAGGCTCGACTCTGATAATCCTGTTGCTGATGCGGAGAGCATTGTAGCCAAGGCAATAAGGGATGGCGCAATTGATGCCACCATAGATCATGCCAACGGCTGGATGGTGTCGAAAGAAACTGGCGATGTCTACTCGACAAATGAACCACAGATTGCATTCAACTCTCGGATTGCATTTTGCCTCAACATGCACAATGAAGCTGTGAAAGCAATGCGGTTCCCCCCGAACTCTCACAAGGAAAAGGAAAGTGCGGAGAAGCGCCGTGAGAGGCTCCAACAGGAGGAGGAGCTGGCAAAACACATGGCTGAGGAAGATGACGATGATTTTTAGACTGGCTGGCCACTTCTTTGGCACTTTGGGCTGCCAAATTGCAATGTTGAGTTGGTTGATCTGAGAGACCGTAACACACCTATACATGCCACTCACAAATGATATTTGAGTCATGCAAAAACCCTTTGCTTCATCTGCCGGAAATTTATGTCGATGAGAAATTTATGACTCCAAATGTGTCTAGTTGGATAACTTACTTTTACCTTCACCTTGTATCATGGATTCGAGAATTTCTTTTGTACCATGCGAAATTCGGCTGCTTCATTCATGTATTGTGGTTCATGTGTGCGCGTGCGCTTTATGCATCCTGTACTTATGTAGTAGTGGTAGTAGTAATTTTGTCATGTTTGATCGTGCGCGTCTCTTGGTTTTTCTTCCAGGAAGTGACCCAAGAACGTTAATTTTAGTTGAAACCTAAAAGCTATATTAAGGAGAAGTCATGATGGAGTAGAATATTTTGTGTTGCCCAAATCTGTGAATTGCCGTGGCTGTAATGAATGGTTGAGCAGGTCACTCAAGCAGATGTTAATTACTGTGTTCTGTTTAGCTGAATCCATGCATGGTTATCAAAGATACGTTCCAAAAAAAAAAAGGGTTTATGCAAAGAAGTACTCTCTCCGTTACACTGGAGCAGGTGGCGGCGCGAGTTTATTTATGGGCCGGGGAGAATAGCTCACCGCCTCACCCAAAGGTGGTGGTAAGCTCGCGTATATTGGGATCGATACAAGCTAGCAGATGGCCGGAATTGGAGACGAGGAAGTATGGAGAAGCATCTAGAAGTGGCTAGAATACGATCGAACGCCAGTGTGGTTGGACTTTTTCTTTCTATTGCTGCGTAGAAGTATTATTAATTCTTCCCCACCCAGCCAGCCTCTGCACCGTAGAGATCGATAGCTAGATAATTCCCGACCTCAGTCGATCGATCACAACATGTTGTTGGCTTCAAATTCTGCAGATACTTTAGTCAAAAAATAATAATAATTCTGCAGATACCTAGCTTGCTGTAAAGTTTTTCTGGTCGCTAATAACTAATTAATGATGATCTCCTCCTTCCTTGTAGTCTCCTCCTCCATAGTTCTGTGTATATATACTCCCTACAGTTTTATATATTGTGCGGTCACTGCATGGATGCATGCGTGGGTCGTCATTGGACTGGACACGATACATGACAGTATCTATAGGATTTAACATGTATATATAGCTAAGCTAGTATATATATATAGGAGTATATTTATATACTCATGATTTATTAATTAATTACATTCCGACAGTATATGAATGTGTATGCATGTAGGAGTACTAATTAACACCTTGTAATTAGCTAGCCAAATTAAAGCGCCGATCCAGGCGACACAGCGAGATCACGCGCATACTACGTATTTCGATCTATATATGCAATTATATATGCATCGGAATTAGCTAGCTGCTAGCTACAGTACACTCTATAATCGTCCTCACGTACGTTCACAAAAAAATCACGTACGATAAACACCACCGAAGAAGCTGAAGCTCCCAGGGGCGTCGATAGATAGATCATATCGCGCGGTGTGTAGCTAGATCTCGGTCTCGATCATATCGATGCATTCATCCATTATATATTTTCCTTTCCTTTTGTTTCCCAGCCTGACCCCATCCATCGATCACTTAATTTGGATCAACAAAATTAAGCAATGAACTCAAATATGGATCGATCAATCGCTGTTTCACATTTGCCCTCCATGCCGACCGAATTAAAGTCTTTCAAAGATTTGCACACAGTACGTGCTTAATTATATGCGTGCGGTTTGATTATTAAAAGCTAGCTAGCTATCATCAGAATGGATAGATGCAAACCCTTGCATGATGTTATCGTCCAGGGGATCGCATTGATCAACGTGTTAGATCATTGATCGATTAATTTATTTGTCCTATACAAATTACATATATAGGATAAGATCGATGATGAACAAAAAAGTTATTATATATAGGTTTTTCATTCCTCTTGTAAAGAAAACAAACATGATAATATTTATAGTAGGACGATTGATTGATTAAACTCAAAACCTCTAGTAGTAGTAACATAATTTACAACTAAGCTACGCTAGCAATTAATCTAATCACGCCCTTAAATATTACTTACTCAACAAGCTAGTCCCTGCAAATAACTTATATTTACAAACAAGTCCCTCCCCGGCCGGCTACTACTACTCTACGCCGGCGGCCTTGGCCTTGGCCTTCCTTCCGCCGCCGATCGGCGCCGTGGCGGCGTAGATCTCGGCGATCGGGCGGAGCCTCCGGTTCCTCCGCGGCCTCCCGCCCACCTCCTGCTCGTCGTCCTCGTCGTCCGCCTCGCCCAGGCCACCCCCACGCCGCGGCGCGTTGCTCACGGAGCGCGGCGACGAGGCGGAGGCGGAGGCGGAGGTGAAGGAGAAGGACGACGACCGCGGGGACGAGCTGCTCTCGCTCAGGTGGATCAGCTGCTCCGCCGCCGCCAGCTCCAGCGCCGTGAACCGCTGCTGCTGCTTCGGCGACGACGACAGAGACATCACCAGGCTCTCCCCGTCCGCCTCCGCCTCCGCCTCCGCCGCCGGCGGCGGTAGCTTCCGGCGCCGGGCTAGGGATCCCTCCATGGCTGATTGGATCGAGGCGGCGGGGCGTGGATGGGTTGGCCGCCGGTTAATTTCGTGTGCTCTCTCTCTCTCTCTCTAATTTCTTCCTCGATTTTTTTTGGTTGGTTTATTAGTATTATTTTTTATTTTTGTGTGTGGGTGTGGGTTAAGATGGAAGAAGAAGGGAGTTAATCGGTCATGTGGTTGCTGCGTGCGGCGTGACTCGGCGGAAACCGACTTCGCCTAGGCGTGTAAAACAGAAAAAGTACGGGGGGTTTTGTGAAAAATGTGATTCTTGGTTGGGAACAAAAGCTGATGGGAAATTGCGTGGCCGTGATGAGTCTGCCTGCGCTGGACTCGATTTTTCCTCTCAGGGGGGTATGTGAGAAAATGGCTAGGAGTACTAGGTTAACGGAGTGAAGGAGTTGTGTGTAATTTCGGTTTTGTGCGGGGGAGATTAGAGTAATTTGACGGAGGAGGAGAAAGAGTTAAAAGGTGGGCATGAGACACGTCATCACGGCGCACCTCACGTGGCTCCTAGTTGCCGCCGGTTAATTCATAGAAAAGTCAAAGTTGCAGGGCTTAGCTAGACTGCATGCACGTACCAGCTTAGCTTTGCTTTATACTCCGTAGTATCCAGCCATCCAGGTAGGGGGTGTGTTATGTTAATAATCACACGGCTAAATTAAATCACAACAAGTCGAGAGAAATGTAAATTAAAGTCTGTACATGGTCGGTACGCGTGTAGTGTTCCTGTACTGTGTTGGCCTCTCGCGACCTTTAATTTCAGACCTTTAATTTCAGGCAGCTAATGCGTGCGTAGCTGCGTGTTGTATGTATCATATATATGTAGGTGATTGGATGGATCAGTACACAAGCCAGTTTGTATATCTCTGTCCTAATATAATTACCGTTAAAAACTAATATTTAGAAGAACTATTATAGCGTTCTTTATCAAATTATGTATTTAGGGGTGGGATGGAAAAAAGGCACAATTCCAAAGTAACAAGCATTTTGAAACAAATTTTAAATTCTAAAATAACATCTATTTTCGAACGAAAAGAGTATATCACGGTCTCATGTATTCTCAATCATCCACCCTCTACCTTAGCTTAGACATGATGACATTCACCCAGCCCCATCTCTCAAGATTATTTGGAGTGTTGGGGAGAGATTGATGTGGCTATACGATCGCGGCAGCTAATATTGCTTTACTATATATACAACCCATCTACTGCTGCAGCCGGCTGCAAAGCAGCATTACAGCCCATTATGTTCCAAAGATATTATTGAAAAGCTACATATTTAACTATATATTCTAGAACTACAAATATAGTATAAACTTTAGCATAAAATTATGTATTTAAGCAGACAATTGCAGAACTACATATTTACAACTCTATCAGAACAATAGTGCTAAGATTTTAATATCCAAACTTAAATTTTGGGATAGTTTTGGTGAATGATACATCGTCTTAAATCTGTTGTAATAATTTCAATAGTTTGACTAGAGTATTTTTTTAGTTTTGTGATTTACTTTCTTTTCCATGATCCAAATATAATTATAGATATATTGAAAGTTTTGCAGGCTTGTTCTTTTATCTCTACTGTGAATTAGACAGTTCGGATCAAACTTTTTTCGATCGATCCAACCAATGGTGTACACAGAGAACCGAACTAGAACGGAGGCTGACGATCTAGTCTTGTTCAACCTGAGTATTATTATGTAACTGTGGTTAGTTCTTACATCTGTAGCGACGATGGCGTTTGTTCTCCTTTTTGTCGGTCAGAGTACATTTTATTTTAGCTGTATGCGTGCGTTTGACCGATCAACGCAGCTAGCTAAATCAGTTAGTTACGTACATGAAGCTTGATTGGTCATTAAGTAATCGATCTGAAACATGTAACCCTTCTGTCCCAAAATCCGAACATAACTAAAGAGGGTAAAGCTAATTGAGAAATATTTCTGATTGGCTAAAAGTGAAATTAAATAAGACATGATAATAGTAATTAGTTGTGATCGATAAATAAATTAAAGTAAATAAAGTTGCTATACTATTTTATATGAGATTTTGAAAGCTAATTAAATTTTGTTACCGGGACACGATATGATCGAGCGATCTCTACACATATACGTGTCTTAATTTGGTGCGAATAACAGCGTATGTTTTTGCGCGCCGACCAAGCTTTGCCATGCTTGGTTGCAGGCTGCCGAAACGATGGCGTCACCCGTTAGGCTAGCTATAGCCTAGCCACCTCTGGAATCTTCCAGAAGCAAGCAACCAAAGCATTCAATTCGAAAAAATAAACAAAAATTCGATACATTTCACAGGCAGCGTGTACAAAAAACCTCTTGCAAGCCGACCGATCGCTGCGTGTCATCGATTGTTTGAAAACCAAAACTCAAACTTTGTACAAATTCTTCTTTTTCTCGGTCCATTCCACGCGCAGGTGGCAAAAGGAGAAAACTAAATTAACCAAAAAAAGTGAAAGCAAACACCCTACGAGAAGAAAATATTTACAGATAGGTCCGTCCATCCATCCGTGCGTTCCCGATTCCTCTAGCGCGGCTGCGGCTGCGGCTGCGGCTGCGGCTGCTTCTTCTTCCCCATGTCCTCCTCTCTCTTCTTCCGCTTGCCGCCGCCGTGGTTCTCCTTCACCGGCAGCGTGGCGGCGTAGAGCTCCGACAGGTGGCGGTACCTCTTCCTGACCCTCCTATCCAGCCCCATGTCGTCGTCGTCGTCCATCGCCGCCGACGCCTCGGCGTTGTTCACCGACTGCAGCGTGGTGGACGAGGAGGAGTCGTAGCCATCGTCCTCGCACCCGCCGCCGCTGACGCTGAGCTGCACGAGCTGGTCCGCCGCCGCCAGATCGGCCTCCGTGAAGAAGCCGTCGCCCACCGTCGTCCCACCGGCGCCGGCCGGCTTCATCTCCTCCACCTCCATCTGATCAATATCTGATGCGTCTTCGCCTCGATCCAGCCGCGAGCTGATCGATCGATCGATGGAACGATCTCTCCGCCGCGCGTATGGGTGATGGATGATGATGCGGTTGGTGTTGGGAAGAAAGGAAGAAGATGGAAGCGGAAAACAGTAGAGCTGCGGGGTTGATTTGCAAAAATATCTCCGGATTAGCCAAGGCCGAGGTTTATATAGCGCCTTCGAGGCGGACCCGCGAGGAAACCGACTTGGGCCGCACGGTGCCACGCCTCGCTGACGCGTGGGCCCGGACGCCCGTGACGTGGAGCCCACATGTCGGCCTGCGAGCGTTGGTGGGCCAACGGGAGGCGGACGCGTGGGTGGGTGGCGTTGGTGTCACGCGCGCGGAGGATGGCCGTCGCAAACTCGCAAGTCGAGGATCGCGGGACGGTGGGGATCTTCTGCGGACGAAATGTGGCTCCTCGGCTTCGGGCCGGGCCGGGCTGCGCTCTCGATAATGGGCCGGAGAGGCCTGTCATGGCCCAACACTACTTGTGCTCACACGTCGGCACGGCCCGGCCCCATGGAGATAGGCCACTGTCAGAAAGCCCGCATGTTGTCTCGATGTGATTTGACGCTAGTTCCTTTGACTAAATGTCTAATAAATTAAAATTCGATTCATATGATCCTTCTAGAATGATCGATCCTTCGAAGACAGTGCTGGGGCACAAATGCATGCACGAGCGTACCACCAACAGCCACACGCCATTGTTAAGCTATGCGTGACTTGAGACTTAATTAACCACGACTGTTATTATTATTATTTTTAGTCTAAGGAGAGAGAAGCTTTATTAATATCTGAACAATGGATTACATTTATGATCTAACAAGTCTAAAATTTTTACGGGAGCACAAAACCTCCACTCTCCATAAATCTAGTACTCATTACCATTTTAACCACGACTATTATTATGACTCTAGCAAGGTGATAAATAGCATTCGTAGCGGCTGCTATAGCGGTAACGAACCTCTACTGCTACCGCTACAAGGTAGTGGACTTTATCTAGCGTATTGAAACTTAGTGTCTGCTATAGCGCTTCACGACCTTAATAGCAACCCATTATTAACTTTGTTGAATCACTATATATAATGCTAAACAGTGTTATTCACATATGGATAAAATAATTTAGCACTGTGTGCCTTCTTTTTCTTATATATTTATATGCTATTTCATAATATTTATGTTATTAAATGTAGAAGTAATTAAGCATGCAGTTTACATTTTAATTTTTAAGTGAAACTTGATGCTAATATTGATATACAATATAAATTTATGGTTATTTTTCTTAATTTCGTTATTGGAACTTAGGTCCACAATAATACCTACTAACCTGCTATACGCTATTTATTAGATTTCACCTTGCACTCTAGCTACTCTCGCTCGATCGGGTGTAGATGCGATGCCGTACTGTAGAAGCGCACGGTAACGACTGTCTTTAAGTATATATATATACTACATGATGGAGTAGTATATGGCGGTCTTAATTACTCTGGTAAGCACACGTATATTGGGTAGGGACTGTTTCGCACACATGAGTACTACTAGTATGATTTAAGCCACTGAAGGCCATTTTGGTTTGATGCCAAAACGTGCCCTACCAAATTATTGGCATTTTGAATAGTAGTTTGGCTAGTGTTTAATTTGCTACCAAAATATACCAATAAGACACATAAGTTGTCAAAGTATTTGGTACTACCAAAATTTACCTATGATTTGGCATTGTCAATATTTTGGTATGGTAAGGGGGTGTTCCCCTCTCTCCCAAACACCCCTAACAAACCAAACAAGCCACTGAATTTTGATTGGACCGCTCCGATCTAACCCTGATGATGCTGACAACTCTCTGGGCATGTCTGGCTAGCTTGTTGTTACCTTCAACCATAGCGATCCAAAGTTTCAAACATTATACCATCTCAATCACATAGTACTAATCTTTTTCACATGAATACATGATCACTCCGTACAAAAAATTCGGTAGTAAGATATAAAATCAAACAGCATATATGCCTACACTACATATACCTCTACGGCTCTACCAAACTGTTTTATATCAAACATTGTCAAATTAACTTTTTGGTGTTGGATGGCATTCCCGCTCTCAGCAAATGCACGTATCATTGCTGTCTCTCTCTTTTTTTTCTTTGGTCCTCTTTTCTCCTATATTGGATGGTACAATGCATAACATTGCGAACATTGTCAGGTAGCGCGGTTTGGTTGTTTTGGCTTGACTATAGCTAAGCTGGACCCTTTTTCGAGAAAAAGCGATGGATCGTAGGGTAATATTTTTAATTCAGGCCTTATTTAGATCCAAAAAATTTTGGCCAAAAACATCACATCAAATGTTTGGACATATGTATGGGGCATTAAATGCGAGAAAAAAACCAATTGTATAGTTTGCATGTAAATTGCGAGACAAATCTTTTGAGCCTAATTACGCCATGATTTGACAATGTGATGCTATAGTAACTATTTGCTAATGACAAATTAATTAGGCTTAGTAAATTCGTCTCGCAGTTTACAGGCAGAATCTATAATTTATTTTGTTATTAGTCTACGTTTCAAATGTATGTCCGTATACTTCAAAAACTTTACATCCAAAAACTAAACACATCCTCAGATGATCGATCTAGCTCTGGCCATTTGCAGTACGGAGTTTTCTGCAACAATTCAAGGTATAAGTAAGGCCGTGTTTAGTTTTCTCCCTTATTCCCGACTTTCCATCATATCATATCAAATCAAAAATTTTCCTACACACATAAACTTTTAACTTTTTTTTTCAAACTCCTAACTTTCTTCAAATTTCTAACTTTTTTCAGAAACTAAACGCAACCTGTGTTTAGATGGTGAAAAAGTTAGGAAGTTAGAAGAAAAATGGTAGTTTGGAGAAAAAAAGATAGTTTATATGTGTAGGAAAGTTTTCAATGTGATGTGATGTGATAGAAAATTGGGAATTTGGGAGAACTAAACACGGCCTAAGAAAGAAAAAGAAAAAATCAGGTTGATGTCGTCACGTTCGATGGAACAGAATACATGCATGATGCATGTGCAGATGTGAGATGTGCTGAAGTGCTCGTCCAGTATATACAGGATAGATTGCAAGTTGCGAGAAAACAAACAACGAATCTCAGCAAAAGTGATCTGAAAACGTTCTCAGTGAACATGAATAAAGCTGGCCAAAACTCTCTGTTATGATCGATCTCCATTGTCTAGAGCTTTCACGTTCACGGATGGATCGAGTTTTGATGACGTTCACGGCACGAACAATATACTCCCTCCTTCCCGTTTTATTGGACGTTTCCGACCAGTTCAACAGGATTAAGGAAGCAATGAAGTTACGATTTTGCCCTTCTTTGTTCATATCTAGTATTCCCTTTTTAAAACATGTTTGACCATTCGTCTTATTCAAAAATTTTTGTGAAATGTGTAAAACTATATGTATACATAAAAGTATATTTAAAAGTATATTTAATAATAAATTAAATGATAGGAAAAAAATTAATAATTATTTAAATTTTTTGAATAAGACGAACGGTCAAACATTTTTTAAAAAGTCAACGGCGTCAAATATTTTGGAATGGAGGGAGTACATACTGCTGCTCCGCCGGCTCGGCGACGAGGCGGCCGTCTGCCTCGCCGCCTTGATGCCGCACGAGGCCTCCAGCTCGTCGTCTCGATTTTGTCTTTCATGTCGTCTCCCCACGCCGTCGCCGCCACACAAGAGCAGGAACCCATAGCATTGCTGTTGTTGCTGATCCGAAATGGTGCTCGTGCTGCTGTTGCTGCGTTCTGATCTGAACTTGATGCTGCTGGGTGCTGGTCTGAAATATTCAGAAATCAGCTTCTCCTAATCTTGAAAAAAGTCGGTCCTCACATGAAAATGTGAACCATAAACCATTGGCAGGGTAGAGATAAAAAACCCACAACTACAACCAATGACTGTATTCCAATTACGGCTCAGAAATCGAAATCCACAACTGCAACCAAGGATTGAATTCCAATTACGGCTCAGAAATCGATTCTTTTGATTCCTCAAACACAAATTCATCAATAGAATTAACACTCAATCTGAGTTGCTTACCTCTCTCGTGCATATCGTATTCTACACAAGCACCATATGGTGTTCGTCGTCGGGCACCGGCCTCGACGTCCGCCATGCCGCCGCCGGCGGCGGCGACGACTTACGGCACCGAGGCAGAGGACGAGGCCATCGTCGGCGAGCAGCGACATCATCACCTCTTCGATAGCAAGCAGTAGCCGGAGGGGACGGCATGAGGGAGTTGTGGATGCAGCCGTAGGGAAGCGCATCCCAGCTCCATGCTCGATCTCCCACGGTGTTGGAGGACAGGGGCAAAGACGGAATGCTTCAATTGATTTGGCTTACGGCGTCAAACATTGTGACACTAATTTTTTTTTGACTTGCGGCGTCAAATAAAATGGGAAGGAGGGAGTATATAACCCCCTGTCACGTTAAGGCATGTACAAACAAAGCCATTTCTAGAGTACCTTCACTAATTAAGGATACTTTTTGGGGCACTCATCTCCCAATGAAAGCTACACTAGGTGAACTCTTCAAAATATGAGGTAATTGGGTCAAGATACTTAAACCCACAATGGATGTTCCAACCAAAAAGCCCACGGTGGGTATTTTCCTATACTACCCTCCTCCACCCCTAGCTCACCGACGTGTCGCCAATCTCTCCCTATCTCTCGCGCGTCGCCGATCTCCTCGCCCTCCCAAGCCACCACCGCCGCCTCCCTCCTCGCCCTCCCCAATCACCGCCACCGCCTCCCTCCTCGCCCTCCCCAGCCACCGTCGTCGCCTCCCTCCTCGTCCTCCCCAGCCACCGCCGCCGCCGCTACCAGAGCTTTGTCGGCGAGGGCGATGAGGAGGGCTGTCGCACCACCGTCGACTCCGCCTCTCTCCTTTCGCCTGTCGTTCGTTGCCGTCGACTCCACCCCTCTCCCTTCGCCCGTCGTTCGTCGCCGTCGCTGCTCGCCCCTCCTCTCTCTCTCTCTCTCTCTCTTCCTCTCCCTCGGCGGCGAGCGCAAGGCGAGGGCAGCGGCGGCGAGGTGTCGTCTTACTCGGGCGGCGGCGGCGGCTCCTCCGCCTTGCACCGCCACCGGCCGGAGGCGACAGATTCAGCATCGTCCTGGGCGGATCTGGCCCCCACACGGCCAGATCCGGTTTGAGCGGCGCCGGTCGCGCCGCATTGAGGAGGAGATGGTGGCAGTGACGGGCGCGACGCCGGCTGCGGAGACGTAGGTACTCGGGCAGCAATGGCCTCTCTCTCTTTCTCTCGTCGTCGCCTCTCTCTCTCTCTCTCTGGCAGCCGGCGAGGGTAAGGGGGAAAACAGGGGGAGAGAGCGGTGTCCACAGGCTCCTCCCCTAGCCACGGCCGACCCAGTGCGGCTTCTTGCTTGGTCCCCCAGCCGAGGAGCTCGTAGAGCCACGTCCCTTGCAGAGGGGTCGCGGCCCTCTGCTGGGAGATGGCTTCGATGGCAAACCCCGACGGCGTGAGCAGGGACACGGGCTAGGGGTACGCATTGAACATGCCCTTAATGGAACACTTTTACTACCGTAATCGTAGATGTATGACAGTTTTAATAGGATTCATTAATTGTGTTGGTGCTTGTTAGGTTGTTTGTTTTTATTTTAAGATAGTGTGTTTTTTTGACTCTTTATGTGTAAATGCTAATAAGCGAATTTGTATAATACTAATTGGCTGTAACTCGTTTAGTAAAGGCTAAAAATATATTCCATTATCTAAAAATTTACTAACGGTTTTCATAACAATTAAAATTAATTGTTCTCTACGCACATAAATAAAACTGGGAACTACAACAGCAGTTTTAATTAGTTCCTTACCCAAAATATGATGTGCTTGTGGGAGGCCTTTTTTTCAGGCAGGCAGGCACACTCCCCTCCGCGCAAGGATAATAGCAAGTAAGCTTAATATAAACTTACGGAAGGAGAGAGAGAAAAAAAAAAGCAGGGTGTTGGTTTTTATATAAGAGCTAGCTTTATACGTCCTTCAAAACAAATATATATATTAAATGCATAAGTGAGAGAGAGATGAGAAGAAAAATTAATTCAAAACAAATATATTAAATGCATAAGTGAGAGAGAGTGGAGAAGAAAAATTAAAGCCAACATTATAACTAATCTATTACTACCTCCGTACATATATGTCTGACGTTGGCTAGTATAAATCTGAACTAGCCAACGTCATATAAAAAAACTAGAGAGAGTATATATATTGGCTTTAAAATGGACTAGTAGTTCTAGTCCTTGCTCTCATATTCTCCATGCTGAGGTAGCTAGCTAGCTAGCTAAACCTACCTACGAGTTCTAATATTCTTGCAGATTAATCTACGAGTGGAGTAAATTTCACTCCATAGCCCGGCCGACAACCCCCAACAAACTTGCATGCTGACACCGATCAGAACGTCGCCGACGACGTCGGCTTCTTCGCCGCCGCCGCCGCTGCCGCCGCCTCCGCCTCCGCCTCCGCCGCGGCGGCCTTCAGCTGCACATCTCATCAACACGTCGATCTATGAGCACACAGAGTCTGACGACGAAGGAAGGAAGGAGACGATAGGGTAGTACGTACCTGGTGGCACTGGTGGCGCAGGGCGGCGTTCTCGGCGCGGAGGAGGCGGACCTCCTGCTCGAGCTCCTGCAGGTACGCCTGCTTCCGCGCGCGCGACCGCTCCGCCGACTCGCGGTTCTTCATCGCGCGCCTCTTCCGCCGCTCTACGCCGCCGCCGCCGCCCAGCTGTTGCTGGTGCAGCTCCGCGCGGTACAGCAGCTCCCGCTCCAGCGACGCCGACGCCGCCGCTGCGCTACCGCCGCCGATGCAGGAGGGGTAGGAGCGGGACGACGGAAGCCCGTCCTGAAACGACGCCGGCGGCAGCACGAGCTCGTCATCGTCGCCGCCGCTACCAGTACCAGCCGCTCGCTCCATGCTCGCTGGAAGTGGCAGGTAGCAAGTTGGCAAAAATGGCAGATAGCAAGTTGGGCTCTCTCTCGCTTTGTATTGGCCGCGCGTTGCTCGCGTGACTTTGAATTGGCCTGTTTCACACTAGCTAGCTACCACATGCAAGCTGCTTTGGAACATAGCAATCACAAGCTAGGTCGTGTGGTCCTTTATATGGTACTCCCCGTCCCATTGGAAAGCAATCTAATCATTGTAAAGCAATCTAATAGCGGAAAAAATATATGCTTGTACTATAAATCTGAAGGGTAGATATATTTAGATTCGTGTTACATCTAATACTAGATTCATATCACGTTCGATCATAGATCTCAACGCCAACAGGACTGACATGGTGCTTAAGGGCCATATATTTCAACGGCACCAAAAGGCCTAGCGTTGATATCGGGTGACGGGTGGTTAGCTAGCGTGCGCCCACCACGTTGGCTAGCTAGCCAACTCGAACAATCCGATTAGGTGGCAGCTATCTTAGGGCATTTACAATATGAGCTACTTCTAAAGTGTTCTTACTAACTGAGGATACTTGTAAGGGAACTCAGCTCACAATGGAGGCCACAGCTAAGTGGGTTCTTCCAAACTCGAAGCAACTGAATGAAAACACTCTATCCCACAGTGGGTATCCCAACCAAAAAGCCACATATATTAATTTCCTCTCCTACCCCTGTCGGCAACGCGGCTCTCACTCCTCCCTCTTTCTTGTCGCCTTTCTCTCTGCTCTCTCACTCCCTCAACTTGCTCTCTGCTCTATCCCTCTCTCTCTCTCTCTCTCTCTCAGCAAAGCGGACGGCGAGGGCGCGCATGTCGCGGCGGTCGAGGCAGCGGACAGCGAGCGTCGCGCGGGTCGCGCGACGAGGAGGACCGCCGCCGCTGCCGGAGCTTCGTCGGTGAGGGCGACAAGGAGAGCCGCCTACTCCACTGCGGATCCGTCGCCTCCGCCGCGGATCCATCGACGCCGCCGCTCGCCGCTCTCTCTCTCTTGTGGGTCCGCCTCGGCGCCGTCCCGGTCCCGGTGGTCGCGACGAAGCTCCTCTCTCCCTCTTCATCGTCGACGTCCGGCAGAGACTCTACCTCTGCCAAGGGGTGGAATAGGAATACGAGCTGGGGAACCGATGTCCACAGGAGCCCATCGCCCCCGCCCCCCCTCCCCCCAATGCGTCTCTTGGCTACGTTGCTTGGCTAAAAAGCGGCAAGAGACGCGTCCATCAGCCAGGGGACGCGCTCCATCGTAGGGAGCAGACGCGGACGGAAAAGCGAACGCCCGTCGGTGAGGGGACGACCTAGGGGTTACCCATTGTAGATGGCCTTACTCACGCTAATTAAGATGATGAACATCAATGTTATTGGGGTTGGCATTAAGATTAAATATTCATATAATAAGCGGTTTTGATTTCTATAGTCAAATATTTTTAAGTTTGATCAAATTTACAAAATATATATATATATAATTTAATAAAACTAATTTGGTGTTGTAAATGTTGTTAAATTTTTCTACAAACTTGATCAAATAAAAGAATTTTTATTAGGAGAAAATGACTTATAATACGGAATGGAGGGAGTGTTAACTTTTGCTAAGGTTCATTTTTTTTAAGGGTTAATGTGTCAAAATTTTGGGATAGGAGTAGTAATGGCTTTCACAATGCGACAGCTCAGTTTTCCACATCAAAGATTCCACGCCATATCAGCTTCTCCCGTTGCCAACTGAAGAATCTGGAGCCTATTTGAGACTCGCGTTTTTTAATAGCTGAATTTGGTAGTGCTCTTTTCCAAACTTTAATTACTCGTTTATTTTAACAAAAAAAAACTACAAATATTTGGAAAGATATCAACAAAGCCGCGCAAGTGCACTTAGGCGTAACTAACAGATCAGATTCCGATCTTCCTCGATGGAAGTTTAGGGTGTCTGTTTGAGAGAGGTAGAAAGTAGAAATTGAGAAGATATGTACAATGAGTTGAGCTATTAACCATGATTGATTAAGTAATAATTAGTTCATACTTAAATTTTGAATTACTATATTTTTTAAAAACAACTTTCTATAGAACTTTTTCTAAAAAACACACACTGTATAGCGGTTTGAACAACGTACGTGCGAAAACAAGGTTTTTTTTCCTCTTTTTGTTGTAGGAACAAAAACAACCTTAATTTACCATCACCTTAAAAACATATCTTTCTATGATTGTCTTTGCATCTTGGATTTTTTTTAAAACACATTATAAATGCGGACGCTTACAACATGCTTATACTCTTCCCTATAAACTCACATACTTATATATACATTACCCATATGAGCATCTTTGGAAAATTGTGCTGATATATCTTAAGACCGACAAAGTTAACACGAGTGCGTCGCTATCGACGAATATGTCACCTATCATTGAAAAAATAACTAGATGCAAATGCGAACACCCATATCAAAGTCTAAGATTTCAATCTAGGTGAGCAGATTTACACGATAAGAATCTTAACCAGTTTATCTCGCTTACTCCGATGTGCATTTTGGATTCTTGGTACCTAATCGATCGTCGATGTGATGGTCATTTGGAATAATTAATAATTAATTGTCAGCGTTACGGATAAGGTATACCTCATATCATACGACTTATGGAATATACGGGTATGGTATACCTCCTATTCTACGATTTATGGAATATACGGATATGGCATACCTCCCGTGAACGCTGTTGGAATCTGTTACAAATTATGGAAAATATCTCCACGAGTCAAGTGATTTCGAAAGTCCTGCTCGGTGGGGATAGAGTTTCCGTTATATCGTATAATATCTGATGTCTCTGAGTCTTACTTGGATATCAAGATGATCCACGGTATAAAAGGGACCCCCAGGGAGGGGTGCAAGGCATCGAATCTCATCGCCAACACACCCACCATAGTTTACAAACCCGGAGTATGCAGAGCCAAGTAGCCGGGAGATCTCGTCGGGTACATCGACTATGATCTTGTCGGTATCGTCAGTTTCGTCTACTTCCCTTGTAATCTGTGGTTCTTCCATATCAATCTTATATAAACTGAACTATGGCTATTACCTGATATGGTGGCCTGAACCAGTATAATCACTGCCTTTTGTTTGCTTGATGTCGAATTACGTAGATCATCGTTCCAACGTACCCCAATACCCTAATCATCCGGTCTACGAGTATCACTCGTCAACATTAATAATCTTTGTTTTAAAATATAAAAATCTAGCACTGATCCAATGTTTAGATTTATAATGCTAGGTAGTTTTTTTAATGTAAGTATTAGGTTCCTCTATTTTGTGGTGGAGGAAATAATATTCTAAGCTCGAGTGTTAACTCTTAACCGAAACCGGCAAGGAATTAAGGTTTGAGACTTTCCGTCGGTGCATTGCTAAATCTGATCGATTCTACAGGTGTGTTTAGTTCACGTCAAAATTAAAAGTTTAATTGAAATTGGAACGATGTGACGGAAAAGTTAAAAGTTTGTATATGTAGAAAATTTTTAATGTGATAGAAAAGTCGAAAGTTTAAAGAAAAGGTTGGCAACTAAACCAGGCCTAGGAGTATATGCTACAGATCTGAGCTGAAATTAGTGTCCCGTATTGTCCTTAAGCCTTTATTTAGTTTCAAACTTTTTCTTCAAACTTTCAATTTTTTAATCACATCATAAATTTTCTACACATAAACTTTCAACTTTTTTCCTTCAAACTTTCAATTTTAGTCAAACTTTTAATTTTGACGTGAAACTAAACACACCCTAATTTCTTCGAAGTTTGTTGGCCGCCTGCCGCCTGCTTACCAGTCACATCTTAGGTGGTGTTTGGTTGAGGTCAGGAAATGCAAACGTAAATGGGATCAGCTACAGCGGTAAGGGAAGAAAATGTATCACTTTACAGGTTTTGTTTGGTTGGCCGCTGTAACGTCTCATGTTTGCATTACATTGTTTGGATGGAACATGGTAACAGGTAACGGCTGCTTCCGAAGCAGGGAGCGCTTAGAACGTGACGCAGCTCAAAGCTAAGGCACATTACAAGCTACATAGCAGCAGTGTTCTCAAACACGTGTAGCACATCAAAGCTATGTAAAAATATTCACAATTTTATAACATGCAACTGTTTGATACTATCACACATTGGGAAGTGTATACAGTCTTGAAAATGTGAACATCAGTTTAATAATCTCAAGTATAAATTATGGATAGTGGTCATATAACAATGAACAAGCTCCAAATATTGTGACTGAGCTAATACATCGGTTATTCTTCATTGCTTCATCTGTGGTAATAATGAAATAATTCAGAAATTAGTGACCGAACAGTTATATGCAATAATTTAAAAAAAAGTCTAAAAACACCTTAAAGGAGTCTAGCACAAACAGTCTTCAAAAGTGATCCAACAACAATCTAAAAATGCAGTGATTAAGATATGCAATAGTAGCTCTCATATAGGGCAAACTCCTAAATTTTGTGACATGCTTCCTGGCCCAAAATAAAGAAAAGAAGGGAAATGTGTATTTTTTAATACCTGATAGCACTCTAGCTAGGGCATGTATAGGAATAATTCAAGAAAAGTTCATGTGGCTTTAGAATTCAAGTGATATAATTGGACAACATGCATCCAGAAACTACTGAAAGTGAATAATCGGGCAGGTCCTCGCTTCATTCTAAAAAGGGCATTGACTCCAAAGTTAAGAAGCACACATGCATGTAAATATGTTCTCATGCTCAAACAAAGATGCAAGGAATCCAATTTATAATGTTACTTCTACATTAAAAGAAATAAAAGATGCCACTGTGAGTTTAAAGGAGAGCACGAAACCCAAAAATATGTGTTCCACTTATGCAATTGGTAACAAGTGGAATAGTTTCTATGGTTTCCAATCATACACTTTTCATGAAATATAAGTTAGCTCACCTGCAAATTTACCCTCCATTTGCTTCTGCAAAGTGAATTTTAAAAGAAAATGGAAAGCAGGGCCATCTGAAGTCAACTTCCTGGACAAGAGAAAATTAAATGCTAATCAGAAAGTAGAGCAAATATTTGTTGAACAATGTCAACAGCAGCTGCAAAAAAAATATTTGCTAACAAAGTTTTTGGAATATAACAAGTAAAGAAATAAATTGCCCATGGGACAGTTATGCACATACCAGATATATAGGCAGTTAACCAACAAGTAAATAGCTGCACCGCGAGACTAATTTTCGCAGCAGTCATGAGGTAAGCAATAATTGGCACTTGAATCCTTGTGGAAGGATCACGATGAGAGCAGTGGAACTCCAACAGTTCAATCTCGATCCAACGATCTCAAGCTAGGGTGGTGTTTGGTTCGGAATACTCAAGAGTAAATATCGGATCCATTTTGACATGCAAATATTTGAAAGCAGCTAGTTTCTTGAATTTGTATCTAATATCAGCCTAGCATCATCCTGGAAGATCTCTGAACAAGATCTTGTAGATGTAGCTTCCGAATACTCAAGAGTAAATATAAGACCCATGCTGGGAGTGAGAACTTCAGAAGTTCAATGAACTAAACAACAAGAGGATACATTGTGATCTGTCTAAATAAAGTACTGAGGAAATATATGGATGAACAATTGACATGAGTGAAACTACTAGATTAGTAGACTCAGATTCAGCGAGTAGATTGGTTTGGAACAGTCCATGCTGCGAAACATAAGTAAATTGATTATATATGTGCAAGATGACAATTCTGTCGAAAAGGCAATGCACGACAAACCTTTTTTTTCCAATCTCACACTCTGCAAAATAATATATCACCTGGCAGTAATGAAAATCAAAATTCTCAAAATCTAGAGAGTAAAATGAGTTGGTCCGACAAAATTTCGGAACTTACCTACACTCGAAAACAAATATGAAAGAACCATCAACTACTATTCCAGATTTTTCCTGCAATCGGGAAAAACAGATTCTACAAAACTCATGTAAACTTATAAAGCAAACAGAACTGAGGCAGGAATACATGCAACCAATCAAGAATACAAATGATTCACTAGTATAAACTACTTCATGATTTGTTAATGAAAAGAAAAAGATCATCAATCATCAGCATCACAAGTATATCATCATAAAGAGTGGTGGTATCAGTGAGGGGAGGGTTCTCACCGGCGACGGCGGAAACGACAGAAGAACCTCCTTGGTGGCTGGTGCCTTCTTCGTGTGCCTCAAGATCTTTGCCATGCCTTCTTGATGCTCAACAGCCTTGTCCTTCTCGCAGATCCAGTCGTCAGGGATGTGGAACTCGAGGGAGATGGAGGAGGGACTGAAGGTAGCAGAGCAGTGGGTTGTCGGCCTTGTCGAGGCGGGCAATCTCCGGGCGGTCATGGAGCGTGCGAGGGGAGGGGCAGCGGCGTCGGGGCAGGGGGCAGCGGTGTCGACGACGCACGCCGGGCAGGGGGAGCGGCGCCGGCGACGGTGCGCTGCAAGGTGGCGGCGCTCAAGGCTAGGTCATGTTCGCTCCGCTCCGCCTCCGTATCGGTAACGCGTAACGCCCGATCTGGAGCGTAATCAACTTTGTATTGGGCTGGGATTCGTTTGCGGGCTAACCGATTACGGTCCATCTAAAACAAACAGATGTAAGGGAATCAATTCACGCTGGTATCTGATACGGGCCGAAAACAGCCCAACCAAACAGCTCCTTACTTTTTGAGCAAGCTTGAAGGATGTTGCGTAATAGAATCTTCAGTTGATTACTTGCAGGAAAGTGCATGCATGTTTTCTTGGCCTGCCTCACGAAAACGGTATGTCCGACAATATGAGCCACATCTATCAACATCATCCATGCCTCTTCAGTCTTAGCTCGCAAAAAAAAAAATCACAAACAAAATGGAAAAAAAAGCATTGCACACTAGTGAAAAACAATACTAAGATTGTTATACAAAGTAGCCGATATAACGAAACGACTAATTTTCTTGATCGGGTTCAATCATTGCTTACTTAAAACATGTCAGATGATGATGATATATAGAAACACACGATATTTATAATGAAGTTTAGTGAAAGCCTACATCTTCGGAGCTCTGATTATAGGTGCTCCTCCCTAATCAACATACTAACATTTAACCGCTACGAGTCCATGGCCTCGTCTCTATTATCTCTCTGAGTATTTACGCTACATTATAGTTATCATCTGACACGTTTTGGGTGATTGATGGATAAAACGATCGAGAATGCTAGTTATCGTTCCGCTATATCGATTAACTTTTATAACAAGGACGATGAAGGATGAACGTATCAGGTTATCTTATTATTTTCTTTTCGAAGAGGGAATTCCTCTGTGTCCCTTAAATCAGCATGGGCCGGAGAAGACAAATGGACCGTCGTATCTTACACTCCGGAAAAGAGAAGAGAAATGGACCGTCGTACTGACAAGTTACTACTCAGCCCACCAACACCTCGGGCCGGAAGCAAAACGGCCCATCCGCGAGGTCGGCCCGCGCCGGACAGCTGGCCGCCACGTGGGCCCCACCGTCGATACACTCGATGCGGCGGCGTCGCCAGCTGTATAAATACCCCGCGGCCTCGCCGAGCCGGCCATCCTCTCTCCTCCTCCCAGTCGCTGTCACGCGCTTCGTGCTCGCCGCCTTCCACCTTCGTGCTACCCCCCGCCATGGCTTCCTCCCTCGCCGGATCCGCCCTCTCCTTCGCCACCCCCGTCAAGGTCAGATCCCCCCACCCGCCACCTTGTTCTGCCGTACATCGATCCATCGATTCATCGATCCGTGTGCCTGACTGGTTTCTGGGTGCTGGGGGTTCTTTTTTTTTTTTTGAGCTTTCGGCTTGATCTCGGGCCTGTTTCTTTGGCCGATCTGTGGGTTTAGCTTCGTGCCCTTTGGTGGAGCGATTCAGATGGGAGAACGGCGAAAAGTTTTCTTTCTTTTTTTTTTTACCCTTTTCGCTTTCGGGTGGGTGGCACAAGTGCTTTTGTGTGCGTTTACTGATCCATTTTGTATAGCAGATCCGAGCAGATCTGCCTTTTGTGTAGGTTGAAAAGGCTGCAATATACTTGTATCCGTATGAAATTTCCGCCTTGTTAGGCTACGAGTAGATTTCCGCATAGTGATGATGAATTCGTTAGTCGTTACTGGGATTTACTGATTCTACTTGGATGGTAACAAAACTATTGGTCCTTTGGGTTCTCCATAAAAAAGTTGGTTCTAGTATTGATATGTTGTACTACCACCTAATAAAGAACGGGCGTATCTTGTTTTCCCTTGGCACGAAAAGGGATTTTTGTTTCGCCCCGTCACCATCCGGCTTACTAGCCTGGATTTTTGTCATACGGCTTCGCAAAATTCTTATGTTCATGGTATATAGGGAAATTGTAATAAAATCTCTTACAGAAAGTAAAGAAAAAAAAACTCTGATGAGTTTGCAACTATGCATTGGAGATTATTTCTCATCGAAATCATCTTTACTCATTTCAACACCCCATACTGGCTACTGAGACAAATTCAAGACATACAGCTAATGTGATACTAGAACAGTAGAATTATGACAATAACACTGTTTTCTATGCTATGTTCTTTTCCCCTGTGGATAGTATGCTATTCCTTTTTCTGCATTACTTCTGTTGTCTAAATAAACTTGTTCCATGAATTGCAGGCAGTCAAGACTAATTCGATATCTTTCACCAGCGCAAGGAAGGGAAATGCATTTCTCCGCCTGCAGCCAGTGCCTATGAGATTTGCTGTTTGCTGTGCCGTGAGTTCCATACTTTCTTGTCATGCATGATTTTTTTTCCCCATCAATCGCTGCTTTGCTATGCTAGAGATGAGATATCCGCTAGCAGTTGTGTTATTTCTGGATGAATGAAAATTTTCACCTGGGGCCAAAACCCTTTCCTTTATGACCAGGGAGGGTTTAATGCTTTAGCTGTTTGGAATTCACCTTTCCATTCTAGAAGGACCTTTTTGTTTCTTGTATCATTGATTTTTTGGTAGGGTAAAGTTGTATTTGGTTGGAGACCAATTTAGAACAAGCCTTGAGTAGAGTATAGAAAATATCAAACTAGACATTGGCAATGCCAATGGTTTGGCTTCAAACCAAAACCACCATATACACTGTTCAAACTACCAAAATATTGGTAGGGCACCGTTTTGGCACTAATCCAAAACGGCCCTATACTCCGTTTTTAAATGTATGGCACTGTTGACTGCGCTATTTCCCTTTTGCATTTTGTGTTGTCGTGTGTTTTCCTGCTACAATCTAAAGAGTGTCTCCTAACCCCTTCTTAATTTCCGCTCAATAGGCAAAAAAGGAGACAGTGGAGAAGGTTTGTGACATTGTTAAGAAGCAACTCGCTGTTCCTGAGGGCACTGAAGTTTCTGGTGCATCCAAGTTCTCAGATCTTGGTGCTGATTCACTGGACACGGTAACTCCCCCATAATTTTTTGAGTGATGTCATGCATATGGTTGTTTTGAACTAAGCAGCACCTTACCTAAATTTTCTATATATTTTGGGGGCCTGAATAGTTGTATCCTTGTAATCAATTTGGCTCACAAAATAATATCTGAGGGATGCTTTGGTAGCATCTCTCGTTTTACAAGTGGCATCTATGTCCTTTTAGAGATGTGGAATGGCTTTACAGCCATAGTGATTATTGGTGAGGCTCGCTCTTCATGTAGGTCTTGTTTTCCAAATCTCTTCAGTACTTTTAAGACTAGAATATCAGATGCATTGGAATTCCCAAGTTGCCACATGAAGTGTGATAACTGTTGCATCAGGTGTGAAAATGATCAAACAAGATGTTTAATCTATGAAGTTCAGGCACATGTGCTTTGTTTGGATGTTTAGTCTAATTCAGTTATAAGTTGGTAGAAGCCTGTATCTTCTTTTGTTTGAGTAAAGGATTACATGTTCAATTGCAAGTAGTAAAACTCAATTGTTGGATTGGTGCAGGTTGAGATTGTGATGGGTCTCGAGGAGGAGTTCCACATCAGCGTCGAAGAGTCAAGTGCGCAGTCAATTGCAACGGTTGAAGATGCCGCTGCACTCATCGACAAGCTTGTTGAGCAGAAATCTGCTGAAGCGAAATCATCTTGATATGCACAAATCACAATGTTGAAGCTCGTAAACTAGCTCTACTTCTACCTTGGGCCAGCCCTTGTTGTTTTAAGATTGTATCCTTATCGCCTTTTTTTTTTATGACTTGATGGTTTGGTGTTCTCAAGATTATTGCCCTCTGTGCCGTAATAATACTAATTAAAGTATTTAGGCCCTCTTTCTTTTAGCTTGGGATTATTATAATCCAGATTATTGGGAGTAAGCTGAAAAAAACAGACAACTTATTGAAGTAGCTTATTATAATCTGATAAGCTCATTTAGGTGAGCTTTTTCTAGATTATTGGGTGAAAAATTACCCACCATGCTACCCCACTCCCTCTTTAGACTTGCAAACCCAATAATCTAGGCTCTAATAATCTAGTAAAGAAACAACTAACCACTTATTTTACTACAGATTATAATAACTCAATAATCTAGATTATAATAATTTTAAACCGAAAAGAAAAAGTGCCTTAAGCTATTGGGACAGTTCAATGGCAATTATCTTGCACTCTGATTTACCTCGCGGTGTGGTTGGTCCATTGATGTGAATGAATGAGGTTGCAACCTGTAACTTGTGAATGGGTGAGGTGAGGAATACGATGGGCAATGGTCTCAACAAGCAGGTTATGTGCATTGGCCATTGGTGATGGCAAGCACATGTAAGATTCTCTGATGCAGCATAAGATATGTCATTCATGTGAGATGTGTATAGGTAAAGAGTCCAAGGAGAGCTTGTTGTAAGATTTGTCATGCAAGATGTGTATGGGTTTCTGTCCGAGGACAGCATACTGAAATTTGGAATGTTTTACCTTCCATCAGGGATCAAAATGATGGTATATTAATTGCAAAGCAACTAGAGGTGAGAGCAAATGGTGCACACTATAGGATAGGACTTAGGATGATGTTGTGATGATTATATGTTGTTATTCACCAAATGGAATGGACTAGTATTTATTTGCATCAACAATTAATCAATCTACAGTTACCTACATATAAAACCATGGACGATGGTGCATACAAGGAGCTGAGCATGAATTGATTGTTTGCCTAAATAATTCCCCAGTGAAGTGAGTGAGATCGATGATGGATGGAACCAATCAAAGTACAATAGCAGCGGCGGCAGCAGCAGCAGGTCAAAGCTTTAACTATCTGAGAATCTGATGAGAGACAAGAAGAGAGATGTGGCGGCTGGCTAGCTTATTGCGCGGTGGCGGCGGAACGAGGAGGCCTCTTGGAGCACTTGGCCTGGACGGCGAGCGTGCCGGTGGTGCCGGGGCAGTGGACGTCGCCGCCGTAGACCTCGCTGGAGACGACGAGGGAGCAGGTCTTCCGGCCGATGCAGGCCTTCTCGACCACCTCCTTGGTGCGCGGCGCGTGGCAGCTGCCGACGGTGTAGTTGCCGCAGATGCCGAGCGGGTTGCCGTAGCTGGCGAACACCACGGACTGGATGGTCTTCTTGGTCGGGCACGACAGCACCGCCGTCGGCTTGAGGCCGCCGGCGCCGGCGCCGGCGCCGGCCACCGCCTTGGGTTGGCTGTCCTTGCTCTCCCACGACCACCGGACGTGCGCCGGGTTCTTCTCCGTCATGAAGGTGCAGATGTTGTCCCGCTTCACCGTCAGGATCATGATGGCGTCGGGCTTGCCCCCTTCCTCCTCGAAGAACATGAGCGTGTTGCCCTTGGGGCGGAGCAGCGACCTCGGGACGTGGTAGAGGTACTGCGACGGCTTGCCGAGGGCGTGGTGGTAGGAGACCCAGTAGCGGCCGAGGCCCTCGCCGTTGACGAAGAGGAAGCCCTTCCCCATGGGGGTGAGGTCGATCACCACCGGGTCGGTCCCCGACGGCGGGTCGAACCGCCGCCGGTACCACGTCAGCGGCTGGTTGTCCTTCCCGGGCTTCCACGCCACCGCGCCCATCCCTTGCTCCGAGTGCACCCGCCGCCGCTCGCCGTCGAGCCCCACCACGTGCCCCCACCCGTTCGTCGTCAGGTCCAGCGTCCCCGTGTTCAGCCCCCGGATCGTCACCGTGTACACCCCGGCCATCCGGTGCTCCAGGTATGACCCACTGTCCTGAAATAACAAAAAAAAAACAACCACCATGGTTGTTGTTGCCCATCATATCCAATGTTTTAAATAGCGGGTTAAAACATTTAGCGATTAGTTTCTCAGACAACTATAGCGATAACTATATTGGGCTAAATAGGGCTATAGTGGCTAAATTGTACATGAGAGCAAATAGCTGGAACTCTTATCAAACAGATATAGCGGAAGATTTAAAACCCTGATCATATCACCACCAAGCTCCATCCTAAGAAGAACAACAATCATCAAAATGGTGGGTGGATGAAAGCTTTATTACCATGAGACCCAGCGTGGAGGAGAGGATGGCGACGTGGTTGACGCCCACTTTGAGATCCATCGCCTTCTCCATCGTGAACGCCTTGTTGATCTTCGTCCCGTGCCCGCACCCTGCAATATTTCAATTCATCCAAACGCACACGGTGGATGGAATCAAGCAGCAGCAACAACAACAACAACAATGGAACAACAAGAGGAAGATGGAAGAAAGCATCCAAGTTAGTTACCTACGAAAGCGTCATTGACAAACGCCACGATGGCGTGTCCATGGCTGCTCACCTCCAGCACCGGCTTGACCTCCTTCCGGTACGGCAGGTCGTCCGTCTCCAGCCGGAAGCTGAGACAAACAGACGACCGTATTATAAATCTCAATATGGTATCAGAGCCATCCAGAAAGACAACGACTACTACCTACGTACCTGGTGGTGTACCAGAGGTAGTCGGTCTTGTCCTTGGTCTGGTTGTACTGCTCGAGTGGCCTCTGTGTGCGGATGGAGGTCTTGCTGTAGCGGGGGATCTTCTCCTCACTGTACATCTCCCACACGTTGTCCTGCACCGTCTGGTCGGCGAAGTGGAAGGTGCGCTGGTTGTGCTGCGAGTTGACGTGCTGCGTGCTGAACACCACCGTCTTGCAGTCGGCGAGGATGCTGATCGACCGCCGCGCCACGAAGTACTTCTGCCCCCTGAACGTCACCGTCCCGTCCTCCTTGGTGTTGTGGTTCGACAGGAACGCCACGCACACGTTCTTCTCCTTCATCTCGAACACCCGAGCCTGCATTGCATTGCACCATGGAAACACATCATCATCATCATCATCATCATCAACAATGGCGTCCTACGTCTTCTTCCTCTTGCCGTCACTGCCATTGCCATGGCATTACCTCGTAGAGTTTGCCGAGGGGCTGAACGGAGGGGTTGCCCCAGAGGAGGGCCTTCTTGCAGTGACGGAGAGCGTGGTGCAGGTCCCTGAGATGGCCCCATTTAGGCTCCTTGTACAGGCCTGCTCATTGCGTGTTAGAAACTGAATTCTTCACAACTCATGGTGCTTCATCTTACACACATTTCTTGGGTACTGTGGATGGATTGTTCAGGGTTGCATACCGAATTCGTCGAGGGGGGCCTCGTCGTAGTATCTCGGCATCACGAACGCGGCGCCGTTCCTTCCAAAGTTGGTTCCTCCATGGTACTGTTGATTATTCACACAAGTAAAGCCACCAGTGTCAGTTCTGTCAGAAATTTCATCTCTCTTCTTTGTCAAGAACAGGTTACTGTTGCTGTTCAGTACTACCATGTAGTAGTTTGCCATTGTGCCGCCAACGGAGAAGAAGCGCGCCACGGAGAAGGCAATGTCCTCCGCAGAACGTTGGGACGGTGGATCACCGAAAACTCTGTACCTGTAGAGATCAAGAACCACCCCCCAGAAAGGAATAGAACATGTTAATCACTAAGAAGTCTGCATAAGTAGTATATATTTTTTTCTCTCACTGACAACATTGACAATGATCTTACAGAACAAGATGAATTGGATTTTACTCAAGTAGTAGTAAGTAGTAACTTACTGAGCAGTCCAGTTTTCAGTCCACAAGAGGGGCTTCTTCTTGTCAGCTGGACCCGGCCAAGTATCTCCACAGTGCCTCCCATTGCAGGTAGGGATCTGTTGGATAAAATAAAATTCAGATTTAATGGCTAAATCGTGGTAAATCCTGAACATGAAAGGTACTGTCAATCCAAAAGTTTGAACAAATTAAGTAATACTTTTGTTCTTTGGCCATGAACAGTCTAGTATCAAGTTTTTATTCCATCGAGAATACTTGCACTTGCTATAAAATGTATGTATGATCTTAATGAAGTTACCACTTCACCAGGAGCTTTAGTCTGCTTGCACATGATCCACGGGACACCAGTGTTGGTTGCGATGGCCATCTTAGCTGCCCAGTTGATGTACTTGGTGCCAGCCTCTTTGAATGCCACCTCCAGGTGCTGGTACTCATTCTCAATCTGTTATGATCATGTAACCAAGAATCACCATCAGCATTCAGAATGTCATTATTCCTTAGCACATTGCCAGATTCTAAGAAACAGGAAGAAAGGGATCAATTTGAAAGATGAACCTGTGCCAGAATGATGGGGCCTCCTTGTGATGCGAAGAGCTTTGCTTCCTTGAGCTTGTTCACTATGAGAGTGACAAACTGCTTCATGTACTTCTGCATACATGAAGTTCAAAAAAAAGGAGATAATCATCATATTAGAACATTCCTGCATTTCAAATACACCTGGCCAGTATTTCGGACAATCACCAAACAAGTTTTCAGAAACTGGAGCAATTAGTTGTCTCAGTCATACTGCGTAAGAAAATTGGATCATGATGTTGTCAGATTTGTCACCTTGAAAGGCTCATTGTTCGTCCGGAAGATAATGTCAGGGATCTCCCGGAGCCAATATGGCAGACCTCTGAAGAAAAACAACAACAAGAAGAAGAAGAGGCAAAAATATAAACAGGAGTTGCAAAATGCAGAGATGAACACGCATGCATGTCTGAATGAGATGGTGAAGCCACACAAACAAACCCATGGTTCCATTCAGCCTGCACGAAGGGCCCGATCCTGACAATGGCGTACATCTCCTTCTCCTGGATCAGCTTGAAGAACTTGATCAAATCATACCTCCCTTCAAAATTGTACTTAGAAACAAATTAAACAGCCATTCATTTAGACACGATTTAATTAGATGGATGAAATCAAATGCAAATTGAGCAATGTGTGAGGAGGGGATGAGGTACTGACGACGCCCTGCTCGGGCTCATGGCCGTTCCAGAAGACGTAGCTCTCGATGACGTTGAGGCCGCCCTCCTTGGCCTTGCTGATGAGGTCGGGCCACGTGTCCGGCGGGCTCCGCGGGTAGTGGATGGAGCCGGAGAAGAAGATCTCCCGGTGGCCGTCGATGATCAGCGACCGGCGGTCGTAGGTGATGACGGTCCCGTTCTTGGTCAGCTCGTAGCCCGACGCCGCCGCGGCGAGCGCTGCGACGGCGGCGGCGACGACGGCGAGCACCGCGGCCGCGGACATGTCATGCAAGGAAGGAAGGACGAGCAAGGAGGGCGGTGGCGAGCGCGCGTGAAAGAAACCAAAGGCTTGGTGGTGGCGCTGCTGCTACTCCTAAAGAAGGAGGTGGTGGTGGAAGGAGTGGCCGCGCGGGAACGAAGGGCATCCGTCCGTACGGCCATGGCCGCTGTCAAAACGGCGCGCGGTCGCACGCGGATTTGGCGCGCGGTGGTGCAAGATCGAGAGGAGCCTAATTTTGGAAGGAACTGACAGGGATGCCATGCAACTGCAGCAAATTAGTGCTCGTTCAAATATGATCAAGTTAGATTTAACTATGAATCTGTATGAATGGTTTGTGAGCACAAACCAAATCAGTTTGGAAGATGAACAGGTAAGGCAGTTGCTGGATTGCAGCGGTCCAGTAATCTGTACTCCCTCCGTATTTTAATGTATGACACCGTTAACTTTTTAACAAACGTTTGATCTTTCGTCTTATTCAAAAAATTTATGTAATTATTATTTATTTTATTTGTGATTTGATTTATCATCAAATGTTCTTTAAGCATGACATAAGTATTTTTGTATTTGCATAAAAAATTTGAATAAGACGAATGGTTAAACGTTGGTTAAAAAGTCAACGACGTCATATATTAAAATACGGAGGGAGTAGTAATTTGGATTGCCATTGATAAGATTTTTTTTTTGGTTTTGCACACTTGAGTCCAAAATAAGTATTGCATGGAATATTTAAATCCAACCATGAATCGACGATACAATTCAAGTAAATGATCTGCGAACAAAAATCAAATCAGTTTAAAGAGATCCTCTTATTCAGAGTATATACCTCGGTGTTAAAAGTGAAGAAGAAAAGCGAAAGGATATGTAGCCTAATGTTTACCAGAGCCTCAGTGGCATCTTAGGTCCTGGGTTTGACGTACCCGTTGACAGCGAGACACCTGTAGTGACTTCATTAATCTCCATGATGAATTTGCTGGCCCAATCTTCAAAGATGATCATAGGGGTAGAGTTTGCGTGCGTGTCAGCGTGTGTTTATAGGAGTGAGTGTGTGTGTTGTGAGTGTCTATGTTGTACTGTGTAATTCTAAAAAAAGTGAAGAAGAAAAGGTGTAAGACATAAAACAAAACAAAACAAAACAATATTTTTTTATTTCAAACAAACAAAAAGAGAAAATAATATTTGAGAGAAAATAAAAGGGGACGTGTCAAAAAAGTAAATAAAGAAGGTGAAGGAAAAAAAAATTGACAATGAGGGCCCACACGCCTTAATACAGTCATGGCAGTAGGTGTAAAACTACAGTAACAGCAGACGACGACTCGAGGGGGCGGAGCAACCAATCGCTGCCTCCCCGCGTTATCTCTTCTCCCCCACACGCACAGTAGCCAGTGAGTACTAGTCACACCACACGCTTGGCTTGACGCCGCACGCCTCCGCTCCGCTCCGCCGCCGCGGCCGATCTCTCTAGGGCTTCCAACCTCGCCGGCGACGCGACGCCACGCCATGGCCGCCCCGGTCGTGGACGCCGAGTACCTCCGCCAGGTCGACAGGGCGCGCCGCCACCTCCGCGCCCTCATCTCCTCCAAGGGATGCGCGCCCATCATGCTCCGCCTCGCGTACGTACCTACCGGCCTACCCCCCATCTCCTGCTCCTCCTAGAACCCTCCCCTAGTTCCTAATCCTTGTGATGGATTCGCGCGGCGGTGGCGAGGGAGGGAGCTCTCGTGTGTTTGGATTTGGAGCCCGCTCGGCTCTGCTTGCCTCGAGTGGTGGGATGAGTTACTGCTGGTGGTGGTGAGATGGGTCGCTTGCGATTGCGAGACTGTATGATTGGGTTTGGTTAGTTGCTTGCGGCGGGTACCTGCGCTGGTCCGTGGCGTGGCTGTTGGGCGAGGCAATTCGACGAACACCTTGAGTGCGTGCGCGCCTGCTTTGGATGGCTCCCAGATTTGGTTTTGATTGTGTGACTGCGCCTTTGGAATTAACGAGGAACGGCGGACGATGTTTAGTTCGCTAGTTCACATGTAGAGTGCACGCGTTTTTCTGTTGATCCGTTGGTTCTCTCATACTAGTCAGGAAACTAGCAACCTAGCAGGGGAGAGCGAGCATTTTTAATCACTCCCCATATTCCGTCATAACGGCAATATCGCAGGAAGCTAAGACGAATTTCTTATTTCTGTCTATAGTAGGTGTTCCACTCCATGAGCTTCGTGTTACATTTGTGGAGCTGATGAGAGACCAGTGTTACAAACTGGAACAAATAAGTGATGTTTCATTATCTAAAAAAAGGGGATGTTTGCACTACTGCTGCAAATGTTCTATGTATATTGTAATTACGAATGGACTCAGAAGAAGCATTACCATTTAACGCACCATTACAGATAGTGCAGCGTGTATTTGCTAATTAATTAGTACTTTATATATGGAATTGTGATTTTTTTTATCTTATATGTTGTATACAGTGTTCTTCTGTAATGTACTATGAGTTTTTCTCATTTATCATGGAGGATATTCTGCGTGCTCTTGGATTACTCTTGGACTAAAACTTAGTTCCTGTGCACTCCCTTGCAGATGGCATGACGCGGGCACTTATGACGTGAACACAAAAACTGGTGGTGCAAATGGTTCAATTAGATACGAGGAAGAGTACACTCACGGTTCAAATGCTGGTCTAAAGATTGCTATTGATCTTCTCGGTATGTATTGTTTGTCCCCAATGTGTTCCTAGATGATTAGACGAAAGTAGCTTTCACTTTTCCCCCATTGTCAGAATGGCTCTAGTTCCCTTTAAACCACTCATCAGCTATATGATTGATGCCTCTTAAGAAATCAATTTGAGTTTTCTTGTCAGTTTCTCAAAATTCTTTTCTTTTTCTATTGTTTTGGGTTTTACCTTGATCGGACTACAAACTAACTCTTTTTTTTCTCTAATTCGGGGATCAAATATTTTGGGAGAAATAACTAAAAAACAAGAAACTCCCATATTTTTGCAACTATTCTCAATGGTGTTGCAGTACTCACCACTCTTCTCTGTACAATTGCATTATTTACCTGTTCCACGTTATCTAGTTTATTGTTATATTGTCACTTTATTCAGTGATGAAATAAATCGAATGATTACTTATGCTTCTCCAATTGTCTTTTACTGTAACAGAGCCTATTAAAGCCAAGAGCCCTAAGATCACATATGCTGACCTTTATCAGGTAAATTAGCGTTGCTTGAATTGGTTCTTGTGCTGCCAACTTATTATAAGAGTGCCTTGATACTGTGACATCTTTTTTTTTTCTTGTCGCACATTTGATCTTTTTTATCTTATCGATTACTGTGTAAATTTTTAAGATCCTAACTAGATTTTTCTTACAGCTTGCTGGAGTTGTTGCAGTTGAAGTTACTGGGGGTCCAACTGTTGAGTTCATTCCTGGAAGACGTGTACGTGAAATAACATTTCTTTATGAATGGATGCATCTTTTATTGATTCACACTTATTAAGTTCTTTTGACCTGAATCAGGATTCGTCAGTTTGCCCCCGTGAAGGGCGTCTTCCTGATGCTAAGAAAGGTAATTGCCACAAACTATTCTTTGAACTGGTCTACCTTTTCTTTTGTCATTATAATCATGCTTCCTGACTCCTAGTGTTTGAAGCAATGAGTCAAAATATGTGTTAGTATTCTACATGTATCACATTTAGTCCCATGCATTTCTCCTGTACTTGTCTGCTAGTACTCATGTTCTGGCATTTAGTACTTAGTGTTGCTTGAGACAACCCAGTTCATGCAATACATACCGTAATATGTACATTATCTTAAACACACATACATCTCTTCATAGATGGGAGCCTCGTCTTTCATTTATCTTATATTCCTGCATATCTGGTATAGTTGTCATTTAGGTGTCATACCAGCAGGTGCTGTTGTATGTCTGGTAATTTGTTTTATGTTATTTATCTGTTTTCCTATTCCTTCTGCCGAAGTCTGTTTTCCTTTCTTACATTTACTGGGATGCAAGGTGCCAGTTCCTATTTTAGTATTTTAATAACTGGTGCCAGAATCCTGTTTTGATATGTATAATCGTAATCATATATCTATTTTTATGGGGGTATATCTGCATTTTATCTTTGTTTCATGAGCAGGTGCACTGCACTTGAGGGACATCTTTTACCGGATGGGCTTATCAGACAAAGATATAGTAGCTTTATCTGGGGGTCACACTCTGGTAAATGCTCTAATTAATGTAGAATTTGTGTAATGGTAATCCTGATTCTTCATGAGAAGCACAGTTTTAACAACTCGCTTTATACTTCAAGGGAAGGGCACATCCTGAAAGGTCTGGATTTGAAGGCGCATGGACTCAGGAGCCTCTGAAGTTTGACAATTCGTACTTTCTGTAAGTTGAATACAAAACTGGGTCATTTACGTACTAATTCTGGGCACTAGATTTGAGGTTAGAAGATAACAGTGTAATATTTTATTTAACTGCAGTGAGCTACTGAAGGGGGAATCTGAGGGGCTTCTGAAGCTCCCAACTGACAAGGCATTGTTGGAAGATCCTTCATTTAGACGCTATGTGGATCTTTATGCCAGGGTAAAAAGGATCTTTTATATATATATTTTTTTTCTATTCCTTGCACTTAAAACTCCCCCATTTTATATGCCCTTTCATCCATTTTTTAGGACTATAGGACCATTAACAAACTATAAAGTATTTGAATTTGTTAGTTGAAAATGCAATTAATAGATTTATTTATTGTCAAATATGATTTCGGAGCATTATATTTTTACAACTTTTACTGCTATATAATTGGAAGTGAATAATTTTCAAAATGCTACAAGAACTGTGAATATTTCATGCCGACGTACTATGCCTTGCGGTGCTCCATAATATAAGTTTTACATTCAGAACCATTTCTTCTGTTCATATGGCAGGATGAAGACACCTTCTTCAAGGACTACGCTGAATCGCACAAGAAGCTTTCTGAACTTGGCTTCACTCCACGGAGCAGCGGCCCTGCATCTACGAAATCTGATCTTTCAACTGGTGCTGTACTCGCACAGAGTGCTGTCGGGGTAGCTGTTGCTGCAGCTGTAGTTATCGTGAGCTACCTATACGAGGCTTCTAAGAAGAGCAAGTAAGATTGCTATGTTCTTCATCAGCATGGCCTCATAGTAAGTATCAGGGTCAAATAACAGAATTCTAGTGATGATCCAGCCATACGAACACTTCCTTCATGTCTACATATACCCTATCAATATTTCATGGGGAATTATATGGAGATGACATAGCTTCACTATTTAAAAGCACTTTGGACATATATTATTCCGTCTTCTGTGTGCTCTCTAATATCTACAAGAACAGTGGTTTGTGTCCTTCGAATGTTTGGTCAACTCACTAGCTAGCAGTTCAAGAACTGATAGACGCCAAAGGTGGAATAAGTAATTAACTTGCCTGAAGGGATATTTTATACCGGAGACCAACCAGTTATGTTTTACGTAAGCGTGGCTCTGAAGGTCCTTTTTTTTTTACTCGTAAAGTTCCAGTCATATGATGGCAACTGATAACAATTCGTACATGATAACGTTTTTAGAGGGATGCTTGTAATTGTAATCAACTCATGAGGAGTTGGTAGTAGTTGTTACAACTTACAACAACACGTGCAAAGATAATGTCATACCGTGTGTTTTTCATTATAGTATTCACGAGCATGCTGATGAACCAACCTGACCCAACACACGACCGTGGCTAACTGACGGCTATACCTATTCAATACTGATTCTTGTACTTCTAAGCAATCGCAACTTTTGCAAGAAGTGTCACAGGCAAGCGATGAATTCAGGCAAAATTGTTATAATTTATTGACCAATTGATTAGGATTTGCGCCCACCAACTGATTTGGAACTAGCCACTGTTTTGTGAAGACATAATTAAATTGGAAGGAAAGAGTAGAGATTGACATGGTAGCACATCATGTGGAAGAAAATATCATGTGTTCTTGTCTACTGTTTGTTAATATCATGTGGCTCATCAACTTCAGTTTCGATTCTTTAGACAAGCCATGTACAATGGGTCCTAGTTCTCGAAGGTATTAAGATTCTTAAGCCAGAATTCAAGGTCATCAATTGGAATGCAACAGCACTACAGCAGTAGCAGACTTGATTTTTCAAGTCCTGTGAGGCTGGAACAATCGTACACTGCTACCTAACCTAACACATGATCACCCAAGACTAATCTGCATGGGAGAATCAGAAAAATTAAATACTAATGTTTGGTATTTGATCATTACACATCACACACGTACTTAAAAAGGTGACCCTACAGTCGTGCACAGTAATTGCTCTGGAGCTTTCTGCATACAATGAGTCACTGAGAATGTAGGACAGCGGTGTAGATAAACATGTGACGTGGCCGTCCTATAAACCGGCCACGTGTACGCCTTTTTTATTTCTCGAAGGTACACTCTACTACAGGAGCAATCAAAATGGTCCATCGCCATTGTACTCACCCACCAATAAGAGAGGCCCATCGAATCGATCGGTAGCACACAAGTATTAATCAAAAGAGATTATTAGCCCATACAGTACAGATGTGTCGCCATGGATTTGTTAGTTCCTCCTACCCAGCTACAGCTATATACTTGGGGCAATTTCGTTTATACCCCCACTTTAGTATCCAATATTGATTCTACCCCTACTTTCTAGAGTTTTCGTTTTTGCCCTCACTTTTTTGAACCGAACAAATTTTTTTTTGCCCCTGTTTTGGATGGAGAAGTTAACGGTGTTAAATTCTTGTCAAAATGATATTTATACCCTTTCATATCTCTATTCATTAGTTGTGTTTTTGCCCCCATTTTATGCATGGCTTTGGAAATTTAAATTCTTGGCAAAAGGATATTTAAATGACCCACGTTAACATAACAATTTGCACAGATTCTGAATTTGATGGAATTTCTACAAAATTTCAGCAGCATTTTGACAAATTGAACAAATTTTTGATAAACCCACATTAACATAACAATTTGCACAGATTCTGAATTTGATGGAATTTCTACAAAATTTCAGCAGCATTTTGACAAATTGAACAAATTTTTGATAAAATTTCAACAACATCTCGGCACCATCTCCAAGCCCCTTGCAGGTCGCCACCTACCCGACGCCCGCCGTCGCCTGGTCGCCGCCCGGCCGACGCCGCCAAGTCCGGATGCCGCCGCCGCCTAGCCGACGCCTGCCGTCGCCTGGTCGCCGCCCGGCCGACGCCGCCACATCCGGATGCCGCCAACGCTCACCGTCACTTGGTCGCGGCCTTGGCCTCCGAGCAGTCGCCATTGTCGCCGCGCGCGGTGGGCGGCAAGCCGGGGGGGCTTGTCCTCGCGTGCGCCGACCTCGTCCACCGGGGGGATCTCGACGGGGCACGCCGCGTCGCGCCGACGCCGTGCTCGACTAGCCCCCTCCACCCCGCCGCCTACCCCTCTTCCCACCGCCGCCTAGCACCTCAACGTCGCTGCCTAGCCCCTCCACCCCACCGCCACTTAGCGCGCCGCTTGGCCGCCGCCCTCTCCCCGGCCGCAGGGAGGAGCGGCCCCTAGCCGCCGCCGCCGCTGCCTAGCGCGCGCCGCTAGGCCTCCGCGGCGCCCTCTCCCCGGCCGCTCTCCTACACGCGCCGGGAGGAGCGGCCCCTGGCCGACGCCCAGTTTCCTCTATCGCCGCCGCCGCTGCCCACTCGCCGCCGCCTGCGCTGCCTGGGTCTTTACGGTCTCGGCGAGAGAAGGAAGAGTCTCTGTATTGTTAACATTTCACAGGGGTAAAAAGGTAAATCACTAATTCAAATATTTCCTTCCATAAATCCGGTCCCACTAAATTCCATCCAATCCAGGGGTAAACGCCTCTTTCAGTTCAAAGAAGTGAGGGTAAAAACGAAAACCCTAAAAAGTAGGGGTAAAACCAATATTAGAGATGAAAGTGGGGGAAAAACGAAATTGTCCCCTACTTAAATGGTTGTTCATATCAAACTTTGACAGGGCTTTAGCTTCTAGATTCTTTTCCACAGTAGTCGAAACCTAATTAAGTGTCAATGGATCTCGGAGAAAGGAATGGAGTGCAACAGGAGTTAGAACCTTTGCTTTAATTATAACCCATAACAATAATTCGGTGAATAATCTATCTCAAATGTTACTAAAGTGTGCTTGGACAAGCATACCGGTGCTAAAACGGCTATAGTTGTTGCCAAGCTGATGTAATCACAGCCGTTTACTGCTAGAAATGAAATGATGTTGTCTATTGGTAGTATTATACTACCAATATTATTATGGGTAAATTTGTAATTTTCTAATACAATGGTAGAGTTACTTTATCCTTTATGTTTTTTTTGCTAAATCTATCTATGATCATCTATTGCGCTGGCATCGCTCATATTACATTAAAAGCTAAAAAAAGAAAAACAAATATTCACTGCTAAATAAATATTATATCCTTTCCGCACTTTTTTTTACTAAAAATATAAATAAATCTTAACTCTTTAATCATAACTCTTTAATAAATGAGATCAATAGTTCAGATTGTTTTTTAATACAGGTGGAAAACATCATAACCATGAGGTTCTTTGAGAAGAGCAGGGATTGAGTACAACAATTGACACTATGGTACTGGGAGGGAGTAGGTAACAGGTGTGTTTTTCCCAGTCGTGTTGATGTCCTGATGACTATTTACCAAGAATCGGATCATCATAATTTGGCGTGCACAAGGTTTTGTGATCCTACTTCGCAGAGTACACGTGTGGAATTTCATCATTTCATGGGTTTGGTGAAATCAATTCAAAAAGGACTGAGTTCGGTGAGATTTTTTCTTTAGTCCAGTATGCTGACCAAAACATGAACTACCAATCTATGTGAGGAATGTATCAGGCACACTTCCAAAACTGAAATTAATTTAGCAACGTTTATTACGCCTTTGACAGATCAATCGAACTATCCACGAAATGGAGATCCCCAGCGAGGATTAATTAGCCGCATGCTAAATACACGAGTACAAATCTATTTTAAAACCTGTCATTTTCCATCGTTTAGTTTAATCAATAACGAGCAACTAAGTCTATGGTTATAGGTCGGCGTGTTCAAATCTCTCCCCTTCGGGAACATGGGTTAACTAAAGCAGGTTTGATTTTGATTTTTTTTAATCACGAGAACATGTATCCCAATTTCAAACATAATTCCATGCAAGAAAAACATGAATTTGTCATAAAAATCGCCCCGTTGTGCGAAATGATCTTCCCATCGAGCAGAATTGATCCACGAGATATCCATGCGAGATTATTTGACGCGACACTTAAAATATAATATTTAATAACAGGAGAATTTTAACACATCCTAATCCTCATAACACGGATTTGGATCAGGTGCAGTTGGTACTGTGACTGCAACTTATGCAGTCCATTACCACCTGTTAGATCCGAATCTAACGGTCCACATGCACCCGGATACTGTAGATCACTAGCAAAAAATATTCAGTATTTTGCGTTGACACTGTAGCTGATGATTTGGTCCATTCATCACCAAAATGAATGGATGTAATTGCATGCAGTAGTTAACTTGCCGTCGCTGTTCATACTGTAGGTGATCCCAATCCTCGGAACACTAATTGTATATGCTCCTTCCCTAATATTAACATACTACTAAATACAACTACCTCTACTACAGGATGTAAGTCATTTTACCCTACATCGACTTACAATTTTAGCAGAGATATCGCTGTTATTGACGACGGTCGACCAACTATGAATAGTTAGTTACTCCATTTGTCCAAAATGTAAGGTAAGGTATTTCGATTTTTTGATTGTACTGTTTGACCATTCATTTTATTTAATTTTTTTTGAAATTATTATTATTATTTTTGACTTACTTTATTATCCAAAGTATTTTAAACACAACTTTTTATTTTTTATATTTACACAAAATTTTAAAATAAGATAAATGGTCAAACAGAGTAAAATGTTAAAATCCCTTATATTATAGGACAGAGGGAGTAGTTTCTTATCGGTTCTATTGAAAAAAATGGAAGTAGCCATAGAAAAAAATAAAAATAAAAAAGGGAGCGTGAAAACCAAATAAATCGAAAGTGTTGTGTTCGGAAAGAGATCATAAAGTTATAAACTTAATAGGAAAGTAAATATTATCATGGTTACAACGTGATATCTCTCTGTATTTAAAACAATAGACTAGGTTAGACAGTTGACGCCACTTTTACCTATACCATAAATATAACTTTATTCCACCAATAATCAAATAAAGCTCATATATTCAATTTAACACGTGTCTGCTAAAACAGATACAATCAACGTTTACACTTTCGATTTCGATGGAAATTTCGGTGATTGTCGGCAGTTCTCGTACCATTTTTTTGAAATTTTGACAGATTTTGACCGGAGTTAAATAAACTTTGACCAACTTCAACAAAAAGAAATTGAGAGAATCCGAAAATTTTGGTCGATGCATTGATTTGCCGGTGAGGTCTTCCCAAATTTAGAACCGAAATTGCAATCACCGGATGCAATTGTGACTATTCCACGAACTCTTCGTGGCTAAGGCCTGGTTTAGTTGAGGAAATTTTTTTAAGTTTGATTATCACATTGGATACAGAGACATATTTAAAGTATTAAACGTAATCTAATAACAAAACAAATTACAGATTCTACCAAGAAACTACGAGACGAATTTATTAAGTCTAAATAATCCGTCATTAGCAAATATTTACTGTAGCACCATATTGTCAAATCATGGCATAATTAGGCTTAAAAGATTCATCTCGTAATTTACACACAAACTATATAATTGTTTTTTTATATTTAATACTCCATATGTGTGTCTAAACATTCGAGGTGACCGCGTGATTTTTTTTAACTAAACAGGGCCTAAGCAGCAGCAGCTAGTTAGAGCATGTACAGTAGTAGACTGTAACCCACTATAAATATATTTTAGAGAAATAAAAGAAGATAGAGAAAAGCAGTGGACTATAGATCTATAGCCAGCTGTAACACAAACTCCAAAACGTAATATGTGTATGATAGGTGGGATCAGCTATTAATAATATAGCAAGTACTATTATATGAATTGGTTATTACATTAGTTATAGAAGATTTGAAGCTACTAGTTAGCTATATTATTAAACTTGCTCTTACAATCAGTTACGAGTAGTATAGTAGCCCATAGCTAAGCTAGGTGTCAGGCGAGGCGCGCAGGATTTTATTACAGCGGCGAGCGAGCGCGACGGCGGCGGCGGGTAGGTCGCTCGCCCCGCCGCCGCCACATGTGTGGCCACCGCACGCGCCGCCGCCGCCCCCGCTTCCGCTTTGCACCTACCTAATCCACCTCTCTTCCCATCCCACGGGCGCGCCGACGTGGCGGCACCCACCGCCTCTCCCGCGCGCGCCAACGCCAACGCGAGACCAACACCAACCAACCCAACCTAACCAAAAACTAAGTTGGCGCCTTTCCCTTCCCTCCCCGCCTATATAATCCCCTCCTCATCCACCCGCCGTGCGCCACCCACGACGACGACGACTCGCCGCCGGCCGAGACCAACAGCGATGGGGAGGTCGCCGTGCTGCGAGAAGGAGCACACTAACAAGGGCGCGTGGACCAAGGAGGAGGACGAGCGCCTCGTCGCCTACATCCGCGCCCACGGCGAGGGCTGCTGGCGCTCGCTCCCCAAGGCCGCCGGCCTCCTCCGCTGCGGCAAGAGCTGCCGCCTCCGCTGGATCAACTACCTCCGCCCCGACCTCAAGCGCGGCAACTTCACCGCCGACGAGGACGACCTCATCATCAAGCTCCACAGCCTCCTCGGCAACAAGTAACTACGCTTCTCTTTTCTTGCCTTCTGCCTCACCTCGCCTCTCTTCCATCCATCGATTTTCATCATCTGTCAGGTGGTCTCTGATCGCGGCGAGGCTGCCGGGGAGGACGGACAACGAGATCAAGAACTACTGGAACACGCACATCCGCCGGAAGCTTCTCGGCAGGGGGATCGACCCCGTCACGCACCGCCCCGTCAACGCCGCCGCCGCCACCATCTCCTTCCATCCCCAGCCGCCGCCAACGACGAAGGAGGAGCAGCTCATACTCAGCAAGCCGCCCAAGTGCCCCGACCTCAACCTGGACCTCTGCATCAGCCCGCCGTCGTGCCAGGAAGAAGACGATGACTATGAGGCGAAGCCGGCGATGATCGTGAGGGCGCCGGAGCTGCAGCGCCGCCGCGGCGGCCTCTGCTTCGGCTGCAGCCTCGGCCTCCAGAAGGAGTGCAAGTGCAGCGGCGGCGGCGCCGGCGCCGGCGCCGGCAACAACTTCCTCGGCCTCAGGGCTGGCATGCTCGACTTCAGAAGCCTCCCCATGAAATGAAATGATCCTGCAAACCAATCCATGATCGTTACACTTTCTCTTCTCTTTTGGGTTCTTGATTTCTTAGCTAGCTTTGGTTACTGCTTAGTGTTAGTCCTTCTTAATTAGGATCAGATAGAGGAATACTTCCTTTGGGGAGATGATCAGTGATCTTGTTGATCACTTCCTCCATTTTGTGTAAATACTGTTCCACTCATACTTAGTTCAGTTGATGATATGGTTATTTAGGTTGTTGGATGTAAATTTGTTCTCGGTCTGAAAATCTATGGTATTTGTCATGCCTTGCCGAGAAGAAAATTCTTGTTACTAATTTCACGAACAAGACTAGATGCAGTAACTCAATAAAGAAATAAAGAAGTAAATCAGAAACATTCCTTGCATCCCTCCAAGTCTAAAGTCTGAAATGAACAGAGCAGCTTCAAGACAATTCTCTGCTTCAGAGTGCAGACACCGGAGAACTGTACTGAAGATGCAGATTTGCTCTGAATTAGGAGCAAAAAGAGTCTAATCTACTGTACTTGGTCGCCTTGTAACAGTCTACTGTACTACCGAAAACTCAAGGAAATCAAGAAAGGGTTTCACCTTTTTCTTCAGGACCCGATGAATGTGTCCGTCCCAAACGGGTTGGCGCCAATAACAACTAGTGTACTGATAAAAGCGCGAGGAGGAAATCAACCGCTACAAAGACAGGTCATGAGATGAGAGACTGAGCAAAGTGAGTGCCTCCGGCTAGTTCGGTAAAGTTGCTGCTGCCTTTCTGCCGTCGCCGTCGTTAATTTTTTTCAGCAACAGTGTGAGCCCCTGCCTATCTCTGAATACTCCCTCCATACTTTCTCTGTCCTAAAAAAGAATCAACCTAGACACGGATATAATATTACATTGTATAACGAATCTGGATATGTCTAGATTCGTTATACTATATAATGACATATTCGTGTTTAGATTGTTTTTCTTTTTACGGAGAGAGTACTCTTTTACTATTCCATCTCAAGTTGCAGGGTCAGATGGTGCTGTTGCTGTTGCTGTTGCCGCCAAAAAAGCAGAGGCCTTGCACTGCCTCAACTTGCTCCAGGCGCCGCTTTGCATTGCACCCTTCTCCATGGATGAGATCAGATTCTGTTTCTGAATTGAATTTTTCAGGGTAACAGACATCAGGCTCAATAACTGATTCATGCATCATAATTAAGGACTCCTTTCATTTCTCACATGAACAGAAAAAAAGCATTAGATTGCGGAATTAGCTGCTGTGCATTGCAGCTTTGCAGGGCAGCACGCAGGGATGAGCTCAGATTCTCTGTTTCTGAAATTTTTCAGGGTAACACAGACATCAGACTGATTATTAGTAACTGATTCGTATCATGATTAATTAATTCTTCATCAGGATATTAGTATAATAAGCACGAGATGGAAGAACAGAAACACTGTCAAGATCATCGAGCAGGTAGCTGGTAGATGATCATCATAGATGGATCGATCCGGAAGGCGGATTTGTTTATGCAGTTGCTATTAATTGCCGACATGACAAGGCGACAAGCACCTTCCAGACCAAGAGGGCCATGCCTTGTTTTGTCCCAAGTTGTAAGGTGGAGTACCACTAGTTGGTGTCTACTAGTAATTAATTACTCCCTCCTTCACTAAATGTTCGATGTCGTTGACTTTTTTAAACATGTTTAATCATTCGTCTTATTTAAAAAAATTTATAAAATATGTAAAACTATATGTATAATAAAAGTATATTTAACAATAAATCAAATAATAAGAAAAAAATTAATAATTACTTAAATTTTTTGAATAAGACAAACGGTCAAATACTTTTAAAAAAGTCAACAACGTCAAACATTTTGGGACGAGGGAGTACTAGTTAATTTTGATTAATCTACTTTTGTTATTCAGTGGAGTATTACAGTGGTGTTGCACCTGCCATTTTCGGCCGATCGGTAGGTTCCGGTTCGTCCTAATGTCACTTTTGCTGGATTATAATTTGTAATGATCTTCTGCTTCGATTTTCCGAGAATTTTATTACAGCACCTATGTCGTGAATGGTAAGGCATTCATAAATAATAACCATTTGGTTTAGTTTGCTACCATTCACCAACCTTTGAAATGTTCACATGATTACGTCCTATATGAAGGACAATGATTACATCCTATATAAAAGACATGAATTTTACCAGATTTTTGTATGTAATTTACACGAAATAATTCAAATCCCTAAAATTCAGAGAAATTGTGTGTATTAGATGGAGATATAATATGTTGAAACAGGTCGGACCCGTGACCTTATCTGCATTTCGGCCAACAGAATATAAACCTCCTTTAATGCATGCATCTAGGAAGAAAAGCATCTATATGGCCCTTTCAGAACAGATAAAAAGTTTGATTAGAAGAAGCTAATTAATAAAGGTGTCAAAAGTCATGGGAAAAAAAATCACGTAGTATTAGGTCCATTCAACTACATTCAAATTCGATTCAGGAACCTAGACACATTGCTATTCTACCATCAGCACAAAAGGGCAACCTATACATATCTCTCATTTCTAAAGTAGTATTAGCATCATGATTAACTGACCACAAGAAGCATACACAGAGAAAAATCTTTCATTTCTGTGTGCCACATCTGGAATTCTGACGGTGGTTTCTACTTTGGTGTTGAGTCTTTGATTCTGCAACGTTGAACCTGCCCAGTTGGGATCAGTTTCTTGCTAAATTGATTTGCAAGCTTTCGTTTCTTAACTTTTGGGTAATGTCTGAAGCATCAGGCTAAATGCTAATCTACACACAAATTGTTGCCCATTTCGGCTGATGACGAATGCTGCCGCTGTTTCATTCCCTTTTGTCTAGTGTGCTTTCTGGAATGTTTAGTACAGTCAAGCCGGCCTAAGTGCTATTTAAAGGACTAAGTGCCGGTTAATGAACGGCTTGCAGGGGTACACGAAAAGGGAAAGTTCACCTTGTCTGAAAATTGTCTCTGCAACAAGCCCTTAAAATATTGGTAGACAACTTATCATTAAATTAATTTTATAGTTGACTTTAGGTATTTTTATCCTAATTTATTTTTCAGCATTAGCTTATAAAAACCACTAATAACATAGATATGAAAACTAGCTGGGTGGCCCGCGCAATTGCGCGGCTAGCACCCAAACAAAATCATATATTTTTCAGTATGATTTTACTTAAAATTTATTAAATAGCTATCTCGTTGTCTTAAGACTTTGAAAGACTAAATCTTATCATCCCCGTATTTCTAATGAGAAATAATATAGTTTTTAAAAGTCACACCAACTACTACCCCTCACTTCTGTCATATGCTTCTTTATTTGCTTGCTTGATCTACCACTATTTCTATTCATTCTCCTTGAAATATTTAAAAATCAGATCTTATAGTTTTTATAATTTCTAGAAGCCCCGTCAAACGCTGTCATTATACTCTTCTACGGGCGTCAACTATCTTTTCTCTATATTGTCATTGGGATTTTAAAAATCGAACATAATTATCGTTCGGGTTCATTTTTTACTTTCTAAAGTCCCGCTAAACCGTCAGCGGCTTTGCCATTGTTTTCCTTTATGGCACGCCCGCTGCCTCCCTTCTTTATCGTCATTGAGATTTTAAAATCGAACATGATTATCATTGTGTTTTTTTTTACTTTTTAGAAGTTCCAAACCTTTAAAAATTAGACCTCGTAGTTTTTAGAGTTTATAGTCTTGTTGGTTTCATTTTTTATAATTTTTAGAAGTCTCGTTAAACGATGTCACTATACTCCTCTACGGCCCATCCGCCGCCTACTCTTTATTGTCATTGGGATTCTAAAAATCGAACATAACTATCATTGGAATTCATTTTTTTATTTTCTAGAAGTCCTGCCAAACCGTCAGCGGCTTTGCCATTGTTTTCCTTTATGGCATGCCCGCTGCCTCCTTTCTTTATCGTCATTGAGATTTTAAAATCGAACATGATTATCATTTTTTTTTACTTTTTAGAGGTTCCAAACCTTTAGAAATTGGACCTCATAGTTTTTAGAGTTTATGGTCTTGTTGGTTTTATTTTTTATAATTTTTAGAAGTCCTATTAAACAATGTCACTATATTCCTCTACGGCCCATCCGCCGTCTACTCTTTATTGTCATTGGGATTCTAAAAATCGAACATAACTATCGTGGGAATTCATTTTTTATTTTCTAGAAGTCCCGCCAACCGTCGGTGGCTATCATATACACCCCACCCGCTGCTTCTCCTTTTTATTATCATTAAGATTTTAAAAATCGAATATGATTAGCATTGTTTTTTTTTTACTTTTTAGAAGTCCCGGCAACCGCCTTGATTGATTGCTTCACAGCCTACCCGTTATTAGGATTCTATTTGGTGTTTTATTAACAGTTTTTATATGTTGTATCAACCGCCACCACTCTACTTCTTTATAGTCATGTTACTTAATTAATCTCGCTATGTGTTTTAGATGGTATTTTCTTTCAATAGTCTTGATTTTCTATCACCAATTTTAGTTATTTATAAATGGTATTCCTAGTATTTTTCTTTTTCTAATTTCAAAATTTATTTTATTTTTCATATTGTGTTCTTTCGATATTTTTATTTTTTATTTTTAATTTCAGTTGTTTCAAAATTGTATTCCTATTTTAACTCTCTTTTTAATTTGCCTAATTTCGGATTTTATTTTATTTTTTATTTCGAATTTTAATTAATCTACTAAGGTTGTTATATGTACTCTTATTTTCAACACTGCTTATATTTAATTTAGAATTTAAGTTAATTTTAAATTGTATTCCTACTTGAACTCTTCTTTTCTTTTTTTTCTAATTTTGATTTTTTTTATTTTTCATTCCGAATTTTAATTAATCTTGTATTGGATTTTTATATGGACTCTTATTTCAATATTTCTTATTTTTAATTTCGAATTTTAGTTATTTTTAAATTGTATTCCTACTCGAACTCCTCTTTTTTTCTTTTTTAATTTCGAAATTTATTTTATTTTTATTCCGAGTTTTAATTAATCGCGTATTGGGTTCCTATATGGACTTCTCTTTCAATATTGCATATTTTTTATTCCGAATTTCAGCTATTTTTTATTGTATTTTTATTTGGACTCTTCTTTTCTTTTTCTCCGATTAATGCGGGAATTTCTAGCCTCCACAGCGAACGTGGTTATGTATTTTTGGCTTGGTTATGTATTTATTGGCATGACAATACTGATACAATTCGAAAACGGCAGAGTTTGATTAGGATTGTTGTCTTTCAATGTTTCTAAAAGTGGTGTGAACACGCGTATTCCCAAAATATTGTCC